ACCTCCTAAAAGCTAAATCCAAGATGATTTTGTTATATATTATTTTTGACGTGAGCAGGACGTGAAAATCTAGGATTAAAAAAACGGCCAAAAAGACGCATGTCATAAATGCAAAGTCGGGTCCAGTTCAGACTTAATTTTGGAAATTATTTATTAAATGCCTTCGGTGGACTAAGTACAACCCTAGTACTCAATTTTATACAAAACATATCTTCCATTGAACTTAAACGAAGTTCACAACTTCTGATTTAAAACGAACACTTTTTTGCAAAGTTCAAATATTTACATTTTCCAAAAAAAATGAAGTAAAAGACCACTGAAAATTGGAAAATCAATTTCCAAAAAGCACATTTTCAGTTTTTTCGAAATTTTTTGCGCTGAAAAGTTCTGGCATCGCATATCTCTACATTAAAACAATGATAGGCCTCTAATAAATCAAAGATGAAAGATGAATAGTCGAAGTTTTGATTTTGGTGCCAGTCAGAGATCAAACTTTCATGAAAACGGAAAAATTCGACCGGTTTCACAAAACCACTCATAAAATATGTAATTCGAAACAAAAGTTAAGAAAAGTATAGTGAAAAATGTTCCTCTAGGGTTGCTTTATTTCATTCATGAAACATATAAGAGATCTGATAGCTCCGAAGAATGTTAGAGACACTGAAACTTAAAGTTTGCAATTTCTGAAGAGTTGCGTCCAAACAACGTTTTTAATTTCACTCTTCTCCCTAGTGCGGATCACGTGAAACACGTGAATTTCAAAAACTAATTTAACAGTTATTTAGCTAGTGGTATTGGAATGTATAATTCATGATCAGAATGTTCAGTTTGAAAATTGCGGAATAGGTTCTATTGAGCGAAGTTTGTTTCAGTTTTTTTGGGTCACCCTGTATAAGAGAGTTTTTAAATAAAAATATCCATGCAAAATTCAAGGTAGTGTGTAGTTTTCTTTCTTTTCGTTTTCTAAATTTTCCGACCAGAAATGTTTTCAATATTAAAACTTCTAAAGCGAAATTTTTACAGTATGCCAATGGAAGATCTTTCAAGAACCCACAAAAATGACTCATTTTCACATCTAAACTTAGACAACTAGGAATAAAGCCCTCTCCCTCTAAATTTAATTTCAGATTATTTGATTTCCCTTCACACCTCCGCAAAACTCCCCCCCCTAAAAAAATGTTTCCGAAAAATTTCCCTAAATTTCCTCATCCTTTCATGATTTAGTCTATCATCTCACATCTTGATTACATTTAATCTGTCTCGTTTTTTTCTTTCTACGAAAATATGATCAGCAGAAGCAAAAATATATTAATAATGAAAAAAATGAAAAAAAAAACCTGTGACACCACGTGGATTATGTGAAACCGCAGAAAAAAGATTAACGACAAAACTATTTGGCACACAGCTGGACAAATGGAAAATATAATCGAAATAAAAAAATGACAAGAAAAATTTGATCATCTGCTTTTTTTGCACAACAGAATATTTAGAATAAAAATATATATGACAGCTACCAAAAAAAGGTGTATTTGAGAGAAAGAGGGAGAAAAGAAAAAGAGGAAAATAGAGTCTCGATAAGCAAAAAAAAGAAAAAGAAAATGTGAAAAGAATGGGACTAACAAAACAACCGAAAATTATATGGGTTTTCGAAAATTTGGAAAAAAAAGTATGACCTTCAACTATGATCTGTTAATCGTTTGGTGATTTTTTGATTTCATCTTTCAAAGACACATTTTCTGAAATATTTTTTTCCAGAGATCTTCTAAAAGTATACAGGAAATAACAAAAAAAAACAGAGATCAGCATCGAAAAATGTGAAAAATATTAAGAAAAAAAACAGGAAAATAATTAGAGAAAATAGTACGGATGAACTTTGAGAAATTAACTTTAGGAACAATGTGAGTCATCATTGGTTGCTTTAAATTTCGATGAAGATTAAAAAAAAGACTGAAGTACTGTAAAAGAAACATTGAAAGAAAGTTGAAAGTTCTAATTCTGACTAACAATTTTAAGCTTGGTCGGAAAAATCATAATTGGATCATTGTGAACTGAATATCTCACGCCTTTTTGAAACAAGGAAAATTTGCAAATTTGAAGAGAAACTGAGAAAAAGACAAATCTAACTGCAAATTTTTTTCGCGCTGCAATACCAGTCAAAAATTTATTCATTTTCCATTTTTTTCACTTTTTCGGCTGTTTCTCTCGCCTTTTTCTGCTTGTCGCGCGTAAAAATAGATCAAAAATACGAAATTCGAGAAGAAAAACCGTAAGAAAAAGTGAAAAAAATGGAAAATGAATAAATTTTTGACTGGTATTGCAGCGCGAAAAAATTTTGCAGTTCGAGTTGTCTTTTTCTCAGTTTCTCTTCAAATTTGCAAGTTAAAAAGGCATGATCTGAAATCTAAAATGAAGCTGGAGATTGGAAAAATATTTCAGGGCAAAAATTAAAAATCTGAAATTGGAATTAAATTAATTTTTCAATTGGGTGAAGTTTACCCTTATTAAGTTTTCTGACATTTTTCTGACATCTTGAACATTTTTCGGTTTTTTCTAACAAGTTGATTCGAAGACTCATTTTCCCCTCTCCAATTCTTAGTTTTTGATTTTTTGATTACAGTAAAAATATTACAAAAAACAATGATTTTTTGACAAAGTATGAATCAGATTGTTGGTTTTTTAGAAATCCTTTGAGAGTTTTCATTTTTGCATGAATAAATTGACGCCTCCAATTTTTCTTTACTAATTTTTGGATACAACTTGAATACTGTAGTTTTTTAAAATGTTCAGCTTCATATTTTCTTTATTCTTCAAAATTCTTCTAAGCATCTATCTACCCCCATGAAACTTTTCCACAAACTGAAACTGTATTTATTTACGTTAAAAATGTTGTAACACAAAATTTATGAGAGTAAATGTCAAAAAAAAAAGAACAAGCATGCATGATATGTTCCCCGTTTGCGTGTAATCTTAACATAAGATCCATCCAAATAAAATTCCTAACCCGAAACCAATAAATCATAAACAAAAAAACTCAATTATATTTGTGAAAGAAAAGGGAGAATCTTTTAATATTTCCAGATTTTCTTATTCTTCATTATTTTCTTCTTTTCATGTTCAGATAACTATCATTAAAAAGTTTAAGTATTGTATAAATGTATTCATTGGATAATAATAGATAGTATGACATAATAACAATAATAATAATACGGAAAAATGATGATCAATCGAAAGTTTTACGATTTTCAATGATGAGATGCCGTCGAAATCTCTGGCATCATCACAAAAACTTTCAATTTCGGAATCGGAAGGAAACAAGATAATTTTCAGTCGAAAAAAGTTCCACTATCCTGGGCGATGAAGGAGGAGACTGAAAAAAGATGATGGAATTATAATTATTATCTATGTATCTTTCACAAAAATCTACCTGTGTTCCACTATTTTGTTTGTTTAAGAAACATTCTTAGTTCTTCCTGAAACTTCACATAAAGAAAGCTTAATTAATTTGAAGTTCCCTTTTTTATTTATTTCTGATCACATGGCTTAATTGCACTTTTTTTTTGAAAATAATGATGATGATGAGATTTAGAATAAAATGAGCAGGGCAAAACTATTTTTCATTTTCTCTTTTCAAAATTCAGCTCAAAAACCACACATATTTTTTTGAATATAGTTTGATAATCTATTCAAGCTGAAAATTAATCTCATGACTAATTGTCACGCTGAAGTTTTTCCTTTGTTGTTTTTCGAGATTTTTCTAGTTGAAAATAGTTAGATTAATTAACTGAAATCCAGGTGGAATTGTTGTTATTTTTCGAAAATATGACTTCAAAGCATCTTTATCAAATAGTACTTTTTCTTTGATAATTCAATTTTTCTGAAGTGATTTTATTAGAATTTTTTCGAACTTCAAAAAACAACAGTAATTTTTTAATGCTAATAACAATCAAAATCATTACTTTGAAACTAGTAATAATATCAATTAGGCACAGGCCTCAGACAAATTTGAGTAGGTTTCTTTTCACATTTTTTTGCGTTTAGACTAATTGATTTCACTCGATATTTTTGAGAAACTTCAAATTTTTTAAATTTTATGATTCTCCAACTGTAACTTTTTTGAATTCGAAAGATGATCAGAAATCAAATTTCCCACGTGGGTTTTTTCAATAATCAGGAAAATCACCTGAAACTTTCTCAAACAGTTTTTTCTACTTGGTTTCTAGTTCCCCGTTTTTTGCACCTTTCTGTTTTTCGATGTTTGAGATTCCAAAACGAGCAGCTGATAATTCAAAACCACTTATTTTTCAACACAATTTCGTTTTTTGCAGATCATCCAAAAACTTTCTCTAATCAAAACTTGTATCTATTTTATTTATTATGTTATTCTTATTATTATGATTATTTTTGTTGTGTAAATTCATCTCCGTTCCATTTCCTTTAGCCGCCAATACAATACAATAACAATCTTTTTGATTAGCTGTAGAAATGTATTTATTTATTTATTTTGAATAAAATGAAAATCAGTATAAGCTACAGTATTTTTTTTGATCCATCAGAAAAAATGAAAAGTAGGAGGAAAGGATAAATGTGAATATGTTTATTTATAAATACATTATTATTTTATTATGATGATGATTACATTATTATTTATATAACATGCATTCTTTTTTTCACTTACAGTACCACTTTCTATTTTTTTTTGCCTCAACACTTATCTTTTTCCTCTTTTTATTCTTCTTCCTGACAACTACAAAAATTCTCCATTTCTCAGAAAACATTTTGTGCGATTTTGGTCGTAAAATAATTATAATAATATAATTAAACAAAATGTTCCTAGAAATCGACGATTTTTTTTATTTTATCAATCGCCACTTTTTTCTTTTTCTGTTCTGTCAAAAATGTGGAACACAAGGCCAACACTATTTCTTATCACTGAAATTTTCAGACCTCCCCGATAAAAATACATTTGTTTCTCATATATATTTTATTTGAATTTTTCAGCGATGCTTCCAAATAATCAGCCCACATTTTTCCTTAACAATAATAACAATAATAATTCGATTTCGAATAGCAATTTGAATCAGATCCAGAATCGAATTCCAATTGTGAGTTTACCTAATATGGATTAATTTTAATTGTTTTTTTTGGTGCAGCTTCCACCTTATTCCATATTATCTGCATTTTATGCGTTATCATCTAGTTCAGCTATGATGGATGAGATACAAAAATCGACGAAAATTGTCCCGCAAAAATATAACAGTCCTGGTCGACCGCTTTGCATTGAAGATCGAAAAAGGATTGTGAGATTATATGAGGAAGGTAATCGAGTTAGTCATATTGCACGAATTATTGGAGTAACTCATAGTTGTGTCAGCAAAATTATGTCGAGGTGAGCACTTACTTAAATGGGTATAATTTTTCTTGAGACTTGGTACCTTTTTTTATAATTTTTGTGAAACAATCTTTTGATCCTCTTATTCTTGAGGTAGCCTTTATGCCTCCCCCTCTCACCGCAAAAAAATCTTATCAATCATTTTAAAAAGGTATCGACGAACAGGAAGCGTTCAACCGAGAAGTGCTCGTCATGTCGTTGAACAAATCAATTACCCGGTTCCAAAGCGTGACACACCTTTGCCATTTTCAATAGAAAGGTTGGAGTTTGTTTTTAGTTTCAAACTTAAATAGATTTTTTAATGGAAAAATTGAATGACTTATTGTTAACAATTTCAAAATATCACGGTATTAAAAAACAATGTTTTGAAACGGTTCCGAAAATTTCAAGATTTCTAAATTGTACTATTCGAAAAATGAATCTCTACAAACTTTGAACTTTTTTCAGGCTACTCGCTGATACAAAACCGCCAATAATCAAACCGGAAGCGTAATTCCAACTCCTTTATTACTCTCCTTATTCCTTCATTATATCTCTTCCAAAATGTTGCCCCGTGATATCCATGACATGTATAGCTCTTTGTTTTTTTTATCATTATTATATTCAAATATTAAATACATACAAAAATGAAATGAATTATTTTTTACCAATACCCATTCCACTTCCACGAATAACTTCAACCGCTCCAAATCCGCCAGGTAAATTGACATCATCAACATCTGTTTTACCTATCGCAAATATTCCACTTGGATCAACAGCACCGTATCCTGGTTCATAGCCGGTGATTTTCTTATTTTTCGAATTTTTCGCAAGTTTTTGGAAAACATTGTTGAGGCTGGGGACTCCCAAAGCACGAGCAACTGACTCTCCAAATTGTGAATCTGCTTTCGTTGGTTGGCCGAGTCCAAGACTTGGATAGCCTCGAGATAACGAATCCAATGATCTAGCTGGACCTTTGCCGGTTCTTTTACCGAGAACACCAACTTCTCCACCATAGTTCAACATCATTCCACCAATCTGTAAAAAATCAGTTATTCGAACTCTTTGCTGGTGGGAGTTTTTTAACACTCATACGAATCTTTAGAAGCAAAACTTTCATGAATCACTGTTAGCGTAAGTCTAAAAATTATTTCCCTTCATAAACAATTACAAACCTGATCGAAGAATGGTAATCTCTCATTTCCGATATCTGCTCCTTGACTACTGGTGAACTCAAATCCTGGAATTGCACCTAATCCAAATGCCCAACTTCTTCCAATTCCAAAATTTCCATTCTTTTGTTTTTGTCCATATCCAGCTGGTCTTCCCTCATCTTCCGGTTTTGCAAATCGACTTGGATACAAATTCACATTTGGAACTCCACACATATCAGAAAATTGTTGACAGAAAAGTTGTAAATCATATCGTAATTTTTTCCCGGGTCTACAAGTTACTTGGAACTGATATTGATTTGCCGGACAATATTTTCGCCAATCTTTTTCTTTTTGAAGAGATGGAAAAATACTGTAGAGTAAATGTTCGTGAGTTGGTTTTGCGTATAATCGACGTGGAATTGGTCGAGGTGTTGTTATTGGAACTCGAGATTCTTCATCCTCATCTTCAAGTGAAATATCTTCTTCATTTTCATCAATATTTTTTGGCACAAATTTAGTTCTGAATGGATCTTCTGGTCGAGTTTTCTGCGCAAAAATCGCTAGTGGAATAACAAAAAATAAAAGAAAATATAGGAAACGCATCGAGAAATGATTGAAAAAACCGAAAAAGATTTGGATAAAAATTGCGGATTGAAACCTGTCTTTTTACGCAATTGATTCAAAAAACTTGAATTGTCAAAAAAACATATCAGTGTTATTATGAAACAAAAATAAAATATTTTTAGAGATCTTTATGTACATACAACATAATAAATAAATAAATTTTGAAAATAAAAATATAATAATTACAAATCAAAAATTAACGTCCACGAACAGTGTTCAAAAATCCACCAAGTCCTGACAAGAAATTTCCACCACCAGATTGTTGTTTATAATCAGCGGCTTCTTTTTGGAAACGATCTTCTTGCAATTTCTCAAATGCTCCACATTTTTTATCTTTCAAAATATTTGGAATTGAATTAGCTGTTGTGGCAGCTTCGAACAATAAATTTGTCTTAACTTTAGCTCCTTCAATATCATAATCAACAATTGCGTGCTGACAAGCCAACAAACGATCTGGATCACGTTTTGAAACCCAATATTCCAAAAGTTCTGAATTTGTTGGAGTATAACTTCCTTGATCCAAAGAATTAGCTGCAAGCCATTCTCCAATAATTGCAAATTTGAAAGCTTTTCCAAGAAGGGGATTATCAATTTGTGCAAAGAATTCCTTTTCCAATTCTGGCCTTGTTTGTCCTCTTTCATAAAATTTCATCCAAACATCAACGGCTCCTTTCTTTTGCCAATAATCTTTTTGCCAAACTGATTTGGAGAATGCTGTGCACATTGTGAAATTTGGATCCTCTGGTGGTGGACAAAGTTTAGTAGTGAGTCGATAAGTTCTTTCTCCAGTTGCTCGGCACAGATTTCCATCGGTGTTTTCGAGAAGTTTGAGTTTTCTTGATTCTTTACACCAATCACAATAGAAACATTCTCTTCCACAAGTTGCAACATCCATACAACGAAGTTTTCCAATTGGTTGAATCGAAACATCAAGTTTCATTGCGAGTTTATTGATATGAACACCTGGTGGAAGTGTAACATCAATTCCCATATCAAAACAATCTGGCCAAGTAAGATGAACAGTTCCATCTCCATCTCTTGAAGAAGGACTCGAAAATGTTGGCTTCGCCAATTTAATTGGTTGAGTGCATTCTTGTCCAGTCAATTCTTTACAACATGAAGCAGATCTTGCATCCTTCAATTTTGCAACAAACAAATTCTTTGAAATAACAGCTTCATAACTTCGTGGCCCAGTTTGTTTAACACTTCCAGTTCCAATTGGAACATCCTTATCATTATAAACTACAGTATTTCCATTCTTATCAGCCACAACTTTTCCAACCGATTTTCCTTGCGCATCATAACATTGTGAAACTCCTGGAGTTTCCGCGGTACAGTGATATTTATTATTTCTTCTTCCGAAAAGTGATTGTTGGAGTTGCGATCCAACTAAATTATCAGCCGAAAGAGTTGCATCAGTTTTCTTTCCATTTTGAGCGATTGTGTAGGCATATTTTCCATTCTTCCCTTTTTCCTAAAAAAAACTGAATTTTCTCTAGTTTATTGTGTTTTGATCTTACATTATCACCGAAAGATAAAATACCATTACCGGTATTGTTATCATGTTCATTTGGGTTCAACTTGAAATCGAAGCGATCGTTGCGAGCTTGGAACTCGGTTTGCTGAAAAAAGAAAAAAATATTTTTGAAAAAAAGATGAAAAATTACTCACATCAGGTTTCCCCTTCAAATCTCCTTTTGCAATAGTATCCAACTCATATTTACCATCAGCTTTCAAAAGTGCGTGTTCTCCTTCTTCATCATTTTTAGTGCGAAGTTGAGCTTTATGCCCATCTACAGTCGCAATTCCTCCCTTATCCCCAATTTTTTGAACTTGCGCACGTTTTCCATCAAAAGTTTCAGCCGCGGCAACATTCCCACTTGCTGAAGCTGTGAATTGTTTCTTCTGATTCAACAAATCGAGAACAACTTTTTCTTTATTTGAAGCATCAAGAGCGACCTGGAAAAAGCGAATTGAATTCGAATTGTTTTTCCTATCTTTCTGAAGCTAATCGTTCTAATTAGTAGAACATGAGGAGAAAAAGAGATAGAACTGGAAAAACATTGATGATGTGATGTTCCCAGACGAAAGTGAATCAAGGTTAAAAACTAGACAACTTTCACTAATCTTATCAGATGTGTGGGATTTTATGCACTCTACGCTAATTATTATAACGGGAACATTTTGAAAAATTCAAATTCCCGCAAACACACAAAGGTTTAGTCAGTGTATTCAATTTTAAAAATTTTACATGAAAATTAAAAAAAAAATTCAAATTGCCGCAGTTGCACACAAATTGCGTCAGTGAAATATCTTGACGTGTTTGCTTTTTTTCATTTTTCATTTTTTATTTTCATTTTTTATCGCACGTCTTTCTCTATTATTATCAAATATTCGAAAAATGGATCTCTGTGGTGAGTATTTTGAATTTGAATTTTTTATTTTTAAAATTTTTATTGCAAAGAATCTTAAGTTTGAAACTATGTGATGTTAAAAATCAGTTTGTTTTCAATCTCAAAACTAAAAACTCACCCTCTGAACTTCTTTTTGTTTTTTGTCTAACCAAGTCGAATCGACCTCAATATGTTTTCTTTTCTCGTTGATACTAGCATGATTTGGCACCAATTGCGCATCCACCCAAAACCATCCTAATACAAAAATGAGAATTAAAAATATTCTCATTTTTTTTCTGTTGTCTCAACAGCCACCAAATCAATAGAGATGAATATTGCCTAAATAGGACGACTGACAGATTTGATATCTATCTCCGCCTTTTCGCTTTTGGTTTTATGTCTTATTAGTGTAAACACAGAACATTTTTCTCTTTTTTCACTAAAGGAACTATATCGAATTCCAGTTTAATAAAAGATGAGTCAAATTATAGTGATGTTTCCGCACTTGCATTGTAATATTTTTCGAAGTTTAACTTGCTTAGTCAACTTTTATTATATTAAATATGAAGTTTGATTCTTTTAATGATATTCATTCTTATTATTAATAATTTTGAAAAGACATTGGGGAAAATACAATAAATTATCACAGTTCAAAAGATTAATTGTTTCAATTAAATCAACATTTTACAAGAATCGTCTTCTATAAAGCCATCTTTTTCGATGAACCCATTCTTCACATGGTTTCACATTTTTTCCATCGATTGCACTTTCCATTAGATCAACTAATATTCCATTAAAATCAACATCAGCGATACATCCAACAAAGTTCCGATTGAAAATTCCTCCAGTTGATTTTTGAATATCAGGCACGCCTCCTATGAAAATATTTCCATCAACATTGAGCATCGCAAGAATTCCAGTACTTCTTCCAGGAACATCTTCATAATTATCAACTTTCAATAATCCTCTCTGACCTCTTCTTTCAATTCGAATATGATGAATTTTTCCATCATCAACACGTTCTCTTGAAATCATATGAGCTGCACCGCCACCAAGTTCATATCTAGAATGTATACTTATTTTTCATACAATTAGACATAGAGAAATTGAAACTCACGAATAATGCAGATATCCATTTACAATTCCAACTGACAAATAATCCTCCATCTGTGTTACTGATGGATGTTGACCTTGCCAGATAATCAAACCATTCGGAGATCTTGTTTTCATTTTGAAAGATAGAACTTCGTCTTTCTCAGAAGTTAAATGTGGAAAATCATCGTTAGGAAACTCGAGGAATGCGTTTCCATCAAATCTAGCAGCATGCTCGATTGGTCTAACTGCAAAAATCAGCTAATTTTAAATTAATTCTTTAAATGAAAAATGAAACTCACAAACATTACAAGTCGGACCATCATAATAAATTTTACATTGGCATTCATAATGAGTTTCATTTTGCTGAATACAAATTCCTTCATTTCCACATGCTCCCGGTGGGCATAAATCATTTCGGAACGTTTTGTTACCATTTTCAATGGTTTCCAAAGTTCCTTCAATCGGTGTTGCGCTATCATAATATGGTGATTCAGTTGTGATTTCTTCCTCTTCTTCTTCAAAACTATCTGTAGGGAGAATCACAGCAGTTGGTGGTGGTGGAGTATTTGTAGTTGGTGGAATAATAGTGACAGGTTCAGAATCTCTAGATGTTTCATAAATATTGTATGATTCTTCAGTAGTTGTTGTAACTTCTTCAGTTGTTTCAATTGGTTCTTCGGTTGTTGTTGTAGTAGTTGTAGTCTCTTCTGGTTCCCATTGACTTTCATCACAATTTGTGATATCTCCTGATGATGATAAATCTTCCAACTCCACGGTTTTGGCATTTACATAAATCTCATAAACACAACCACTCAATGATTTTTCAACAACATTTGGTGGAGCTGTTAAACCTGGTGGCAATCCTCCAACAAATATTCCAGTTTCCGGATTCATTTTATGACTTGTCTCAAGCTGCAATTAAAATACCATTAACCTAGAAATTATTACTCGAATTTTATACCTTTTCTACAATTTCCCCATTGACCTCCATAGTTAGAATATTTTCATTATGAGTCAGCGAAACGTCAAACATTTTTCCTGGCTCTAACGGTTCAGTTTCAATTCGTGTAACTTCATGTTGATCGGGTTGTTTGACAGTTAAAACAACCTGATTGGCGACTAATGAAAGTGAAACATATTCATTGCTTCTTGGACCGTATTTGTTTCCAAAATAAACTAGAAGATGTTCATCGTTATCATTGTTTGGCTTGACTTTCAAACGAATCTAAAATAATACAATATTCACTTATTGTTTTTTTTTGAATTTTAACTTACTTTTTCGAGATTTACTGGTTTTTTCACAACAATAAACGAAGTTTCCTGCGAGAATCCAATGGGTTTTTGAACCTCTAACGTTTCTTCACATCTTAATCCTGTAGTTCCAATTGGACAAACACATTGCCAAGTATCTTCATTATCCAGACAAATTCCAGTATTACAAAATTCATCGTGGCATCGATTAGTTCTGAATTGACAAACATCTCCGAAGAATTTCTCTTCGCATTCACAAACAAATCCGTGATTATTATTTGTATTTCGACATTTTCCATTATTCAAGCATGGCTGATTACTCAAACACACATCAAATTTAACAGTAGTTTCTGGAACTCTAGCAACTCCAAGATGCAAATTTTGACCATTTAATACGACTTGACTAATAACTCCATCAAAATTATCTTGTTCATCATATCCATCGAGTTTACCTCCAATATAAAGTGGTTGATTTACTCCAGTTCGCAAACTTGGTAATGGATAACTATGTTGTTTTATAGTAGTTTCATCATTCAACAATACTTTCACACTTGATCCATCATTTTTCACTTCAATAACATTCCATTCATTTGGAATAAACTTGTTGCTTGTAACAATAACTTCTTTTCCGGCTGGAGTTTCGAATTCATATCTCACAGTTCCATCAGTTTCCAATCTCGCTTCATGAAAAATTATTTTCTCATTAGTATCATCTAGAAGATCGCCAGATTTGATTCTTTGAGTTCCAAATATAACTCCCTTCGGGTCAGAAGCATTGAAAATTATTCTTATGTTGAAGTTACTAATTTCACTATCTGTCAAGGGTGGCAATTCAATAGGTTCGCCATGAATTTCAGGAATATAATCATCAACTTGCAAATCGATTTGTGAAACTTCGGCTGATTTATCAACATTAGTTTCTATTGTGCAAATATACCTAAATATTCAACAATTGTGAGAGAATTTGTTCCACATATGTAAATTAAAAAAACTCACTTTCCCTCATCACCTCTGTTAACAATCGGAACAATAAGAACTCCTTGTTCAATTCTCGCTGTTGCTGGAATTTCTCCATCTGCTTTTGTCCATGTTGCAGTTTGATTTGGGTTAGTTTCAGTAGATCCAAGACATTGTAAATAAGCCTAGAATTGTTTGCCGAATTTTCTTGTAACAAGATGTCTTAAGTTCTTACCTCATCTCCAACAGTGTAAACAACTGGGAGCGGTACATTTTCCAATGCTGAAAATTTAAGCGATAGAATGCGTCAAGCTTGAAATTAACTAAAAAAAATATTGGGATTATAGAAGAGATTGGCGCGCAATTTTGAATCGAAAAATTATGTTAATGAAAACAACAAAAAACAACAATCCATGCATCTCACATCATCTAAAATTTATTTTATAATTTTATTCATTCATCGGTACATATTTATATGATAAAGGCAGGAAAACACACACTCGAAAAGACACGATTGGAATATAAATGAGCTACTGAATGAAGGAACGTTGGGATGTTTTTTTTTGTAAAAAGGAAATAAGAGCACCACAAAAATTCAATAAAAACGGTAAAAATATGAGAACAATAGACACAAAAACACGCAAAAAACTGGCAGTTTTCTTTTTTTCTTTTCTTTCTATTTTTTCTGGAACGGGGAAAGTTATATAAAAATCACACAATAATTATCAATTCAAAATTCAAAAAAAAAACTAGGTTAGATTCAATCAAAACCACGATCCGATTAGTTTGCGAATTTTTCGTTGTTGCGGCCGCGCTGAAAGTTGCGACGCATTTCGTCGACGGTGTCGCATAAGGCGACGCCCTCCTCTTCTAGCTCCCAAATGTTTTCGCTTGCGTTTTCCGGATCCGATATTGAGAACTGTTCGTGTTTGAAGTGGTCCGGCTTTTGTCTTTGCGATACATTTGTAAACTCCAGCATCTTCCTCTTTCAATCCAGTGAACAATAATCTACCTCCAGTTACCTGAAACACAATATTTTATACATTTTTTCGAGAAAACATCTTCAATAGTTTTTCTCGAAAAAAGAAGCACTCTTTGGCTCGAGCTTATTGAAATGAATATTATCAACATAACAAGGTTGATGTGAACAGCCTAAGCTAACCGAAAAAAAAATCATAAAAGGGAATATTGGTGGAGGAGAACTAAACAACGAAAATATCAAAACACAACACTATCACTACTTACTGTCGTATTACAAATTTTATCAAATCTAAGAATAGGAATCTCCTGAAAATTTTTCGAACTTCTATCTTAAATTTAATAACTAACCTGAGCATTAGCTGGAAGTTCTTCATTGCTTGATTCTCTGTTCCATGTGATAACAGCTGATGGATCTCCTGTGACTTTGCAATCAAACCAGGCACGATCACCGATTTGTGGAGATTCAGATGAGACTTCAAGGAGAACTTGGATAATTGTGTCTGGCACAAGAATTTGAGCGTTAACATATCCATTGATATCATTTCCGTCAATTGAAACTTTGCAAATATAAATTCCAGCAACGCTATCATCAAAGTCCTTGATTCTGAAAAAAACAACCAAACTTTGATAAATATTGAATAATAAAGTTCTTACTCAATCTTATTTCCATTTGGATGTGCATTTGATGGCAAATCACCCAATGACCAGGTCCATTCGACCTTTGATCCAGGAACTTGGAAGACTGGGCAAGTCAAAACGGCATCGGATTTTTCTTCAAATTTGAAGTCAACAGAATCTGAAAATAATTTTGTTAATGAAGCTACATGTTTTCATTTTGATTTTTTTCCCAATGGGTCCCAAAGTCAGTACTAGATTGTTCGTATCCAACAGCAACAGCTGTGAAAGCACTTCCTTCGACATGTCCATTATTATCTTCAACGTTGCATCGGTAAACACCATAATCGTTTGATGGGTTTGCTTTGTTGATTTCAAGTGTTGGCTCACTGCCAAGTTGACGGACAAGACTTCCATCACGCAACAAAGCCCACTTGTAGTTTTCTCCATTCTCGAAATCTGAAAAAAATTTATATAAGTTTCTGTGGATCTATTCAGAATAGTTAGTCTCACCATCCATATTATTAGTTCTTCGATAACAGATACGATCCAAGTTAGTACTGACGATGGACAATAATATTATTTAAAGGGACACAAGTTACCTATCATGCCACGTGGTTGCACAATCACAATATTTGGCGATTTTCCGAATTCGTAATTTGTTTCCTCCAATGTGCAGAAATAAAAACCCCGATCACAGGCATCAACGCTTTTCAAGTGTAAATGGTTAGTATTAGCGACGTTTTTGAATTGTGTTAGATTGTCAGGTGTATACCACCAAAGTACACGTTTTTTGTTATCATTCGGACCTGTTAGTTGCACAATCATTAGATTTACATTACACAATATGTATTAGACAAACATTCAATCATTTCCAATCATAAAACTAACCTTCTGATGAGCATTTGAGAACAATATTTTCTCCTTGGTTAACAATTCGAACATTTGGTTTTTCATTGCTTACAATTGGTTCGTCAACACTTTGTCCTTCAGTAAGAACTTCTACAGTAGCAGATGCGATCAATACATCATTACGGTATCCGTTACAAACATATTCTCCAGCATAACCGTTTTTGAAGGTTGCGAAGTGTAAAATTCCATTTTCGTTATGATCTTCAACATCACTTGAAATTTCTGCATCTGGACGAGACCATTCCAAACGATCGATCAAAGAGTTTCCAGTTGAGGTACAAACCAATTCAGCGTCACGACCAGCAACAAACTTCTGCTTAGATCCACCGAGAATAGTGACAGTTGCGATCTTGGATGGTTCGACGACTGAAAAAATCAAATATGAAAAATTGAAAAAAAAATTAATATTTCTCTACCTTCAATAATGATATTCTTTGTGGCAGTTGCGTGTTCACTGGTTCCCTTACAAGTGTATAATCCAGCATTACCTAATCCAATCGATGGATGTCTGATGAATTGTTCAGAAATAGTAACCGGTTTGAAATCATCTGGCAAATCTCCTCTTTCCGGTCCTGGATCATGCAACCATTCAACTTCTGGCTCTTTCTCTCCTGGTGCTCCGAATGCTTCGCATCGAATATTCACTGGCTCACCAACGGTGACAATGAGTTTTGGACCTGGTGGATTGGTTTTGATTGTGAGAGATGGGCCGATATTGACGACACCAACATCGGATGCTTCTCCAATAGGATTCGAAGCCGTGCAAGTGTAGTTTCCGTTGAGTTCTGATCTACCGTTGGAGAAGTCGAGAATATTGGGCTCAAGCGCACTAACGTCATGTGATAGAGGTGTTCCGTTGGGTCCGGTCCAAGTGATCTTTGGAGTTGGTGATCCAGTAACGATACATCTGAATTGATGTCGCTCTCCCGGATTCCCATTCCAAACTCTTGGGACAACTTCGGCTGTTGGTGGCTCTTGAACTGAAAATTAACTAGAGTGTTACTATTTTCAAATATTTTTGTGCTGATTTTGATTTTTGAACTTAAGGATAGAGAAATTGGAAAAATGATAACAAAAACGGTGATAAACAAACCATCGGTTACTTCCAGTCTAACTGGTTGTGATTCTCCACTTCCAAACTCATTTTCAGCAGTACAAATGTACTCTCCGATATTATCATCGCCAGCTTCGGAGACAAAAATATCTTCTCCGTTTTGAACAACTCCCTCAGGAAGTGGGTTTTTGTTTGCGGAGTGGAACCATTTGATTCGGGCTGGTGTGTCCGAATTTGGTTCACAGTGGAATTGTGCTGGTGCGCCTGGTGCAACTCGGAGCAAAGGTGGTGTGGCAACAGGATTTGGTGGGGTGCCAGCTGAAAAGGTGACAGTGATGGGAAAAAAACGTTGGATAGGAAAGTGGTTAAAGAAAGGACAATCAAAACACACCACGAGTTACTTTCAAAACACTTGGTGAAGTTTTTGAGGGTTTGTTGTTTTCTGGTCGGTAGATGCAGATGTAGTTTCCAGCATCGGATAGAGTAGCAGATGGAATAGTAAGAACACCAGATGAATCGCTAGACCCAAATGGAAGTGATCGACCATCAATTCTTTCGAAAGAAAGGTATGCTCCAGCATGAGGATTTCCTTGAACTTCACATTCAATTCGGGCAGGTTCGCCTTCTTTCACAATTTGTTCACTTGGTCTGATTGTAGGGACCAAAGGACCTGAATTCACATTAGGTTACAAACACTGCACTACAAACGTTTGGTGAAAGAAAAGTGATAAAACAAAAAATAGAGAAAAAACTGAATATTCAACATACGTGTTTCCAAGTTTCCTGGGGAAGGTGGTGTGACGTGAACTGTAGCAGGAGTTGAATCAACTGGTTGACCAGTTGATGGATCACGAGCAGTACAAATATAATCTCCTTCGTCGGTGAGTTCAGCGCGAGCAACTGTGAAGACTCCATCTTCTTGATCATTGTCGTCATTGAGATTTCCAGCTGTTTTACGGAAAGTCAATGGAATGTTTGGATGTCCTGGGACATAACAGCGAATTCTGAATGGATTGCCTTGTGGAACAGTTTGCTCATTTGGCTCGATAATTGGTCGAAGTGCTGGAAAGAAAAACAAAGGGATAGAGAAAGAAGAAAAAGTGGAAAGTGTTGTGATGTGGTTTATATATAGTTATTCACACCAAACTTACGAGATCTAACATTAATTCTAGCTGGTGTTGATTCAACCGGTCTGTTAGATGTTGGGTCAGTTGCAATACAAATATAATCATCCTCATCGCTCTTTTGAGTTCTCGAAATTTCGAGATGACCTTGTGAAACACGAGCATGTCCTGGCAATGGACGACGTCCTCGTTTAACCCATTGAAGTTGAATGTTTGGATGTCCATCAACCCAACAACGAATTCGAGATGGCTCATTTTCATTGACAGTTTGAGTGGGTGGATCAACAAGAGGTTGAATGGATCGTGCTGTGACGGGAAAACGGGTTAAAAATGTGAAATCATAATATCACACAAAAGTGGTTTAAACTATGTGAAGGAAAAGTATGTGAATAAAAATAAAATTTTTCAAAAAATGAAACTCACGTTGATTGACGTTCAATCTAGCTGGTGGAGCTGGAATTGGTTGTCCGCCATTTGGAGGAGAGTAACTACATTCATAATCTCCAGCATCATTCAATTGTGATCTATCGATTCTCAAATAACCATCACGCTCCATAATTCCCTGTGGAAGTGCTAAAAATAATACTTTTTGATTTTTCTCAACTCTTCTTCGCAAAACTCACGTCTTCCATCTTTTCTAGCCCATTTCAATTGTGCTCTTGGTTGTCCAGCAACCCAACAACGGAATTGAGCAGGATCATTGACATTAACAGTTTGAACTGGTGGATCAACTTGTGGGGCAGCTGGTGGTCCTGGATCTCTGATTGACAAATCAACTGGTTCGGATTCTCTTGGAATGTTATCATTTGGATCTGTGGCAGTGCATTTGTATTGTCCGATTTCTCGTTCAGTAGTTCGACTGATGTGCAAGATTCCTTGTTGTTCTTGAGCTCCTTGTGGAAGTGGGGAACCATCAGCACGTGTCCATTTAAGCTGGACATTTGAGTTTCCTGGTACCCAACATTTGAATCGAGCTGGTTGATCGCGATCAACAACTTGACGTGGTGGATCAACTTTTGGCGCAATAGCTCCTAAAAAACTTTCATTTGAAATTTCACTTTCTGAAGTTTTCTCTGAAATTATTTTCAAGTTTGACGATCGAAAGAAAAAACATATATGGAAAAATTATAGAAAAACACTCCAAACCATACATACAATCATGAAAAAACAACGAAGAACTCACGTCTTTTGACTTCGAGAACAGCTGGTGTACTTTGTCCAGTTCCATAAATGTTGGTAGCTGAGCAAATGTATTTTCCAGCGTGATGAATTTGTGCTTGTGGAATTTTGAGAGCATTTCCAGTCTGATACACACCATGCGGTAAGATTCCACCGAGAATCTCCTACAAACACAAAGGAAAAATTGTAAACAAGGGTTGCAATACAAAAAACATACACGATGCCAAGTAATTTGACAATCTGGAATTCCTGGAACATAACATCTGAATTGGGCAGCATCACCTTCATCAACAACAAGATGAGGTGGTTCAATCACAGGTTGTGGAGGACGACCAACTGCAAAAGGAAAATCAAAAACCATGCAAAGGGAAAGATGGAATGTTCACTCCGTTTTGACTGGGAAAAACTCAAGAATATCAAACAGGTATGAAACCAAAAAAGTTTTTGTTGTTAGAGAAACTTAGAGAAAAAAGAAACAAACTCTGTCTTGGTTGAACAGTCAACCACGCATCATCCGTGGCATACTGTGTAATTGTTGTTGCAATACATCGATAATGCCCATAGTTTGATTTCTCAATTCCTTCTAGAACAAGATATCCATCATACGATCTAGCATTTGGCGGCAAAGACATTTCTCCAACTTTTGACCATTCAACATTAATATGTTCACTCTGAAAGAAAAGCACGCGAGTGTTAAAAATGTTAGTGCTAGAAAAAAATGAAACAAAGTTAATTACCGAAAATCCAGATACAACTTGGCAAACCCAATGAATCGATTCTCCAACATCGGCGATTTGATGTTTCGGTTCGAGAATTCGCACACGCAAAGCTAAACTTGTTAGTGAATGTGAATATTGAAAAAAAAATGAGAAAAAACTGGACTGGACCAACAAATAACATTGAAACGACACATTTATCAATTTCTTTTTGATTGAATATATTAGAACGTGAAAGAACATAAAATAGTTTCCTATGAGCACAAAAAACTGCTGTGGTGATATGATAGGAGACGAGAAAAACATATAAGTACAACAAGGTGACGAAGACGACAAAAATGATCATGATTTGAATTGAAACAGGAAATAATAATAAAAATATTGAAAAAAAAACAAATTGTTGTAGTAGTAGTAGTGAACAACACATTATTGGTGATAGAAACGTGAACGGACATGAATACGTCTACGACGTTGTCGACGTGGAATTGAGGACGACGAAGGAACATTACCACTGTTATTATTATTACTATGATTGTTACGCGAATCACCTTCATTTGGTCTTGGAACAAAAGTAATATCTCCTGGATTGACTTGACCAATTGGTTCGCAAACACGTCCAGCTGGTTTGTTCGAGCGAGTGTATCCTGGGGCACATCTGCAAAAAAAGAAACAATATTAAATTTTTCTGATCTGATGAACGAAACTTCGGGCAACTTACTCATTACAAAGTTTTCCTTGAAGTCCTGCTGGGCAAATACGGCAAGCGACTTGACCTTCAGAATCCAAATAACAATCAGAAGCACCTGGACATGGACACGGTGTGCAATCATATGGTGTTCCTTTAGTAGCATCACCATAATATCCCTTCTTACAACGTTCACATTGAGTTCCTTCGGTGCTGTGTTCGCACAACAAACATCTTCCAAAACTATCACAACCTCTTGGTGAATGATTGTTGCAATGACATGGAGCACGTGTGGCAGCCGGTTGACAATCTTGTGGTGTTCCACGTCTAGCATCTCCAACAAATCCTGGTTTACAACGTTCACATTGATCTCCTTCGGTGTTATGTTGACAATCGAGACAATATCCGTATTCTTTGTCGCATTGACTAGCATGTCCATTACATTCGCACTTCTCACAAAGTCCCAAATAAAGACCACCACCGGTACGAGAATATCCTGGAGCACAATCTTCGCAAGATGTTCCAACATATCCTGGTGGACACATACATTGTTCAACTTCGGCAGCAGTGATTCCACGACCATGTGGTTCCGCGAATTCAAAGTTGACCGAGATAAGAGAAGAATCAGTAGAATCATCATTGTATGAAGCCTTGATGAGAAGAGTGTCAAGATCAGCGAGAGCCATAAGAAGATGTTCACGAGTGGCTTGTTGACCATCAACACGTTGCCAGCTAAAAACATATCATTTGTTTTGGTTGGGAAAAAAAATGGAACTCACTGATTTTCAAAGAGTTGAATTTCGATAGTATTTTCTCTATCAGCATGAATTGGTTGACGACTCTTGAATTGCAAAGCGATATCATTACCCTTCAAGATAACATCAGCCCCATTATCTGGATTTCCGTTTCCAGAGAATTTGAAAGTATATTTCAATGATCCACCATAAGCGGTAACCTTGTTGCCCAAGAACTTCTCCGATAACTTCCAATATAAAGTTTGTCCTCGAGCTTCATTGAAGCTTCTGAATTCGATTTGTTGTCCAGTGACTTCGGCATGTGATTGTGGTGAGAATGGTTGTTTGGTGTCAGCAGAGGTTAATTCCAATTGATCGCGATCTCCTCTTGAATAATCGATAGAAACAACAGTTCTACGCCAGTTACTAGCTGAACATTGTTGAGTGACTCCAGAACAGAAGCATGGAATACATCCTTGTGGATTAGATGGGGAAAGGCCGAAAGCGTTTGCTGCACAACGATCACAGTTTGGTCCAGTTACGGCTGCTTTACATTGGCACTGTCCAGTTGTTGTTGGTTGAACAGCTCCAGTTCCACATTGTTGTTGTCTTTGTTGTGGAACACATGTTCCCAAATATGGTCCATGTCCACTTCTTTCATATCCTGGTGCACAATCTTCGCAAGATGTTCCAATGTATCCTGGTGGGCAGGAGCATTGTTCAACTTCCAAAGCGAGTCCATCTTGAGTTTGTCTGTCTACAGCAATTTCCCAGCTGACATCTCCTAAACTGGTTGATGTTTGTTGATCGACGTGAGTAGCACGAATCAAGAATGAATCCAAATCAGCCAAAACCATAAGAAGATCTTCGCGTGTAGCTGGAGCTCCGTTCAATTGTTCGTAGTTGGTTTCATAGGTTTCAACAGTAATTCTTACTGGACTATCAGATCTCAAAACTTGTTCTTGGTTACGAACACGATGAACAAGAATATTTTGATTTCCCTTGAGAACAACCATTGGTTCACCATTATGAGATCCAGATCCACTGAATTCGATTTCGAATTCCATCTTTCCACCGTATGATGTGACTTTATCTCCCAAGAATCTTTGTGGAAGTCTCCAGTATTTGGTAAGTCCATCAGTGGTTCCTTCAAATGTCAAATATCCAGTCTTGGAATATGAGTAGGTTGGTTGTCTTTCAATTGTTCGTTCTTCAACGTCAGAGATGGTAACACCTTCAGAATCTCCAGCGAACATCAAACGATCCTGAAAAAATATAATTTGTTGAGAATAATTAAAACATCGAGAGGGATGAAGGGAAAACATTCAGTGGTTAGAAAAAACAAGACAAGTTAGAGATTAACAAAAAGAGTTCACACATCTTGGACGAGACAACACTTACACAAGCAGCATCCTGAAAAATACATATATTTGATTGCACAACATTTAAACACATTTTAAACTATGTACAGACATAAAAAGTAACTTTTGACAACTAACCTTTGTTCTGTAGTATCCACTGCTTCTGCATTGATTAGTAATTCCAAAGCAGAAACATTTCAAACATCCTTCTGGGCTCTTTGGTGACAAATGGAAGCTTCCTGGTTTACATTGATCACAATTTGGTCCAGTAACTTGTGGTTTGCATTCGCATTGACCATAATGATTTGGATATGGCGAGACAGATCCAGTTGTATCGCATTTCGCGATTTGTGCTGGTGGAGTTGGTGGTGGACGAGTTGGGAATGGTTGCTCAACAACTCGAACAATACAATCTGGAGTAGCGAGAACACGTCCTTTCACATTGATTGCTTCACAAGTATAAGCTCCTTGATCAACAGGTCTGCAAAAGAATTCATATTTACTACCAACTTTCCGAATAATGTAATCAATCCCTTTCTCACTTTCCCCCTCTTCCCCACAATCAAAAATTATTAATAAAAATGCAATAATTTCCCACAGATATACATATTTATGATAAATGACTGGTCTGATAATTTCTTTCTCTTCCTAATTGCCCATTTGCCAATATGATAAGCCACATCTTCGGTCGTTTAATTAAAATGAAAAAGTGTGAAAACCGGTTTGCAATTGATCCCCTCTTCTACTATCTAGAACCTATCTCTAATGTCAAAAAATAGAAACTCACTGAGCATTATGAATTGTAAGAGTACCGTAACCTCCTTCGGAAGTTTGAAGACATCTTGGTGGCTCACAAACTGGTCCCCAATTAAGACGCCAATTAATATATGGTTCGGGAACACCAACAGCTTTACAATTGAGTGTGAAAGTAGTATCACGTGGAACTTCAATATTTGTTCGTGGTGGCTCAACAACTGTTGGTTGAACACATCCAATTTCATCTGAACCATCATCACAATCGTTTGTACCATCACAATGGAAAGATGATGGAACACATTTACGACGATCTTGACATTGGAATTCAGTTGGTTTGCAACCATCAGCAGATGATTTGGCATCTAAAAATTCGATTATTTAAGAAAATGAAAAAAACAAAGGGAAAAAACCAAAAAGCTGAATAACATGCTTGCGCAAATCATTTTTAAAATAAAATAATTTTGAAATTCTCATGCGATTTTCAAAAATCTCAAACAATAGGAAAACCGACGTCACAATTTTTTCAATGCATTTCACTTACCGAATTTTCTTCCAAATATAGCACCTTTAAATAATTATTAGTTTTGAACAATAGGATTGACACGTTATTTCTAGGTTTTCAGAGTGAGTAAATTAAAATAGCAAAACACCCGCTGAATTTCCGAACTCATATATCTACATGGGAATCACGGGCAATTTTTCCACTTCTAGAACTAACTAACTAATTATTTAGAATTCTCTCGAAATAACGTGTATGGTTAGTTTTCACTTCAATAAAAATACAACTTACGGCAATTTTGTTCATCAGATTGATCTCCACAATCATCATCTCCATCACACAACCACATTTTTTGAACGCATCGATTGTTGTTACATTTGAATTCGTTCGGCTCGCAAATCTTCGCAGCTGATGAGGAACCCCCGCAATTTTGTTCATCAGTTCCATCTTCACAATCACGTTCACCATCACAAACAAATTCATCCTAAAAAAATCAAAGAATCTGATGATTGAACTTCTATTTGTTTTTTTTCAGATAATCTGACCTTATAACAACCGATACCATTAGCGCAAGTTCTTTCACCGCGTTCACATTGTCCCTGTGGGCGAAGGCCGTTGGTTTGTGGACCGTCTGAAAAATATTTGATAAGATATGATATTGCTGTTGTGTTTCGGAATTTGGAAAATAATTTTGGTTCCGATGATGATAAGAAATTGTTGATTTGGAAATAAAATAAACGAGCACATTAAAAAAATGGCTTGCACTTTTTTAATGTTTTATCAGAGGTGTTATTTTTAGGTTAGTGCAATAAAGTCTTTCGGAACGCCCGACTGGAATTCTGAATATCACAAGGCTAGTCTTACCCCTTTCAACTCTATGTATAAACTTACATGTGACAACAGTCAAAACAGCTTTAGCTTCAACAGTTTGTCCATTGTGTGTAGCAATACAGATATAGGTTCCAGCATCGCTCAAAGCAACCGGGTTGATTGTCAATTGACTTCCCGAATCGTGAGCAGATCTTGGAAGTGGTCCACCTTCTCTTGTCCAACTTGTTGATGGATAAGCTGAGTTGTCAGATGTTCGGGCACGACATTCGAATGAAACATCGCGACCTTCTCGAACTTCTTTTTCTGTTGGGAACACGGTGATTTGGATAGTCACTGGGTCTTGATGTTCTTGAGCTTTTTGTGAATTAGCATCATAGTCATAATCATCTACATCTTGATCTAAAAAATATTTGATGGATGTTTTAAAGGTTTATTTTATTCTAAAAATTCAGAGATGTGAAAAGGGTCGGATAAGTTCCGAGATCTAAGTGCCCTATTCACACCCCGCCTGAAACCGAACACTTTTTGATTGATTTTTCGAATAACTTACACGTCTGTCTCGACTTCCGATGATGACGTGCCGCATGCACTGCCATCAGGCAGAGCACCAACGCGGCAACAAACTTCATCCTTTGAGATCAAACAAAAAAAGTTGCCTAGAGGGTTTTTGCAAAGATGTTACGCGGGGGACCCTGTGAATAATTTTAATTTCAATTTAAAAATTTGGAGAAAAAAATGAGAATAAAAGGACAAGTAAATAAATAAGTAAACAATTAAAAATTTTCAACAAAAAGCGAAACCAAACCCAGAAAAAAACTGATAAAATAAATTTTTGTGTTACTTTTTTTTTTGATTTGATAGTGTGTTTTTTTGTGAGTGCGTGTAGTTTTTTGGTTTCTGTCAAAAATGCAATAAATAAATACTTATGAATGCAAAAAGAAAAATCTTCTTATTTTCATTGACAGGTCTGATAAAACCTGGTGTATGCCTGTCTGAAAAATAAAAATGAAATGTAATGAATCAGAGGGCGGGGCAGGGTCTTTGAAGATGAGTGAATGAGTAAGAAAAAAATAAGTATATATAAAAACACATCTGGCACTTGAGAATCATAAATGAATCTCTTTTGCATGATATAAACCTAGCTAAAAATAATAATAATAATAATAATAAGCTATATGATCTACTGAAAAAGATTTTTTGATTTTTCTACGTGCTGCTGCATTTTTCCCTCCCACTTATCTTAGCACACACATGTACTTCACAAAAGTTCCCACCAACATTTTGTTTCGCGGGATGGATTGGAAAAACTGATGAGCCTCTCTATGTCAATGTTTACAAAACTAACTGAGCAAAAAAAAGTGCGGTTAGGCAAATATATATTTCGCAAATTTTTTGGACTGAGTTCGACTGAGGTGAGCCAAGTTTTGAATAATACAAAAAAACTTGAGCAATCAAAATACTTCAAAAAACAATGCAAAAAAGAGCATTGGAAAAATATGGGAGAGAAGAGCAAAAAATAATCGAAACCAATCTAGGAGGAAAAAATGAGTCCTAATTTTAGGCGACAAAAAAACAACTATCAAAAATCTTCTCCTTCAAACATATTTCGAAAGGGTGTGGCACTTGTTTCCGATCGACAACAAAAAAGTGTATGAAACACAGCAAAAATGAAAATGAATGTAGAAAAAAAACGAGGAGAAGAACAAGAAAAACGAGAACAAAAAAATGAAACAACAAAAAAACTGATTATATTGAATGGATGAGAAAAGAGCTTGAGAATTGGATAACATTTATCATTTCCCACATCCATTTTTTATTCTTCTGTGGCCAGGAACACGTACATGACAATCAAAAAGTATAGTTTTGATTTATTTTTCCAAGCCAAGAAAACGAAAAAAAGTTCACAGGTGTTCAAAAAGTCTTCATGTAGGTTTTTTTTTTGAAAAATGTATATGTATAGATTTCAAAACTATGTAGAAAAAGAAGAAAAAATATTTCAGATACATCATTCTGGAAAAAAGAATGAGATACAGCTGAAACATGTTGGCAATAAATCACACATGTATCTATTTTTCGAGCAAGGTTAGAAAAACATAATATTAGTTTTTGGGCTCTGGAAAAGAAGATTTGAGAGAAAGTGGGGAACTTTGAGAATTTTGAAAAAAAGCTTCAGAATTTTTTATAGTTGATTTCTTTAAAATTGAATTTGAAAAAAAAATCAAGATTTTTTTTTTGGGAATTGGTGTGGACAAAATTTTTAGGTTGAATTCAGAAGCTAGTTCATTTTCAAATTCAAGTTTCAAATTTTGAAAAATTGAATATAAAACAAGTTCTCATAAAAGCGCAAAAATGGAATAAGGTGTTTCATGGGGCCTAATCAAATTGTAAAATGTTTCATTTTAAAATTTATTCAATATTACCCATTAATTAATTTATTGAGTAAAATATCAAGTAGTCAGATCGAAAATCGGCCCGTTTTTATTAATAAAATCAAATATTGCTCGTTTGTTCAATTTCAGAATAAATTTCCCCAACAAAAAACTTGAAACAGCAAAATTTTCAAAAAAAAAAGAAACATCTCACATATAATTGCTGCCAGATTTTCTCTTCACCCAATAAAAAAACACATGTAAACTCTCATCCAGGCCATCCAGCCAGCAACAAAAAAAACAACAAATCACTTTACACATAATCCAGCTATAGGAACCACTCAAATAAAAAAAAGAAAAGAGAGCAATGTTCACACCTTTTTATCTAACAATACATTTTTCAAAAAAAAGCAACAAGAATCTGGAAACAGTAATAATCAGGTAAGGGAAAAATAATAATAAAAACGAATAATGATTATGATCAACAAGAAAGATATGGAATATCTTTGTGTGTGTCTCGTCTCCAAAATCGTTTTTGCGGTGAACAACACGAACAAAATATTATTATTTTTATCATCTTCTCTCAAATCACAACTAATCAACGTTCAGCAAAAATGTCCTAATTTAAAGCGAACGGACAAATGGTTTTAGATAGGGAAAAAACAACCGATTTATTGATTTATTATCAGCTAGAAGAAAACTTTTAAGAAACATCAAATTTCCGGTTTTTCCACCTCATTTCATCGTATTCCAATAAATAAGGTCATCATGAAAGTGATATGGGACCATTAGATGTTTATCTTGTTGGGTTTTTTCTTTGAAAGGTGTCTGACAGACACGTGGCGGAGATAAGACAAATGAAAAAACGAGAAGGTGAGAAAATATTTCTAATAATGTTTTTTTTTTCATAAGAAAAAAAGATTGGTCCGAAGGAAAAGTGATTTATGGGACGGAAATTTGATTTCTTTTTTTATTCCGCGATGTCGCTTTATTTATCGGTTTTTTTATGAACTGTATATGAATCTATACAAAAACAAGTGTACAATAAATTACAGTAAAACAAAATTAAATATTTTTTTAAAGATCGATTACGGGTTACACTAAGAACTAAAAGAACAAAATGACCCAGTTTCGAAGAAAAAAAACTGGGACAAAATGTTACAAAAAATTTCTGGGTTTGGGAAAAATAACTACAGTAACCCAAAAAATTTCAGGATAGAAATTTTGAGGTTCTCATTGTCAGAATTATAGTTTCTGAGTAGCAAAAAATGGTACTGTATTTCTGAAATTTTGGCTAGAACCTGGTGAAAGTTCAAAACCTTCAGATTTGAATTGTAAAAAACTCTTCAGAAAATGTTTGAAAATATTTTTACAGTAATGAGTTATATGAAACTGGAAAATGAACTGAAACATCTATCGTAACCCGAAATTATGCAGATTAAGATCGAAATTATGCTCATCTAATCAGGAACTTTTAACATAATTACAGTACACCTAAACTTTCGGCCAAAACAAAAGACGTTAGGTGTAACTAATTAAAGATTAGCCATTAGTTACAGCAACGGTAAAAATCATACAACTTTTGAATTTAATTTCAGAAATTCGAAAATAACATTTTCTTGATGTCAAGAGTAAACTATTTATCAAAAAATAATTGAAACAGGTATGTTCTACCCTTTGATCTTTAAAAAAATTGTTCGGTGACACTTGAAACCAATTTCCTGGTTTCAAAAGTACAGTTTTTCTACATACAATCTAATATTTTCCACTTTCTCATTTTTCGAACAATAACAACAAAAGCGATGACACTCTACCACCAAAAACGACCACAACAACAACAAGAAAAAAAACATTGAGAGAGAGAATTTTAGCAGCTATCATGGTTTTATTCGTTTTCGTCTTCGATGATATATTACTACTCCATCTTTCATCAAAAAGGCGTGGTTTTCTTTGATTTTTTCGCATTCATTCATTGAATTTAATATTATATTACTGTAGAAGAACCAAAAAGGAAAGAGAGAGAGAAATGATAAGAGACAAAAAGGGTTTCGGGTCCTTTTTTGGTTTGGATTTTGTTGTTGAAGGTCGGGGGAGACAAAACGAAGAAAATGAAGAAGAAGAAGAAGAAGAAGAAGAAACAGTAAATAAGTATGATGATCATATAGGGTGGCAACAAGAAGGAGAAAAAAAAAAGAGAAATTGGGAAAATTATGGGTAGAAAAAGATGATTGTAAATTTGTTTGATATGATTTATATAAAAATTAAATAACAACAATAAGGAATAAATAAATTGGAAGAAGAATGAAATAAATTTGGAAAGAGATTTTGTAATTAGAAAATGAAAAGAAATTCGAATTATAAAGAAAGGAAATTATTAGGGATTGAAAGTTATAGAGAATTTGAGATTATGAAAATTCACTTTTTTAGAAAATTGTGATCAGCGGAAACATTTTTGCTCGAAGACTTTCTGGATATACTTTCAAAAATTTTTATAAGTAATCAAAGAACTAAGTATATGAGAAGGGTAAAAAATTTGAACATTTCTCCAAAACTTTTTTGTTTCAATATTATCTACGTAGTCTAATAATTATTTTTCCAAACTAGGAATTCTCGTTGACAGATTTTTGATCGAAGAAAAAATCGTCTCTCACAAATTGTTTCAAAATTCCTAACTCTTCCGCTTGAAAAATTTTGTCATTGATATTTTACCACTACAATCAGGTTTCAAATAAAATTCACTGTTTCACAAAAATGGTTTTTTCTCAAACTAGAGGTTTGCATTTCTAGAAGACTGAATCTTGATTCAAAAATTCAAAATGTTTCTCTTGAGAAATTTCGTGATTATCAACACATTTTTTGACGGGACAAAAAATCAACCATCATGTCATTTTCAAAAACCGCAACACCTCAATAATAAAATATCTCTTTTCTTTTCCTCGTTCAAAAAAAGTTGAAATCTTAGAAAATGTAACAAAATCTCCATCAAAACAAAAAATGTTTACAGGTGTTGAAAAAAGCAAAGCCTAGGTGTGATGTGTAAAGTAACTCACTCAGAACGAAAAAAAATAATATCAAATTACTCTTCCAGGTATTTAGGCTAACAGGAAATTAATGACACCTTTTGGTGTGGCCGAAAATCCGGAAATGCACAAAGGAACTATAGTAATCTATCAAAACGTTAGGGCTCACCAAAAAAAAAATAACGCAACATCTTTTTTCGTTTTTTTTTTTCATTTTTTCATTGGTGTCGGAGAGCCCCAAGAGACAATCACATGTTCAAACCAATCAAAAAGTGTTCTTTTTCAGACATTATTTTTTGTTGTTTTTTGAAAATGAATAAAAAATAAACTAACTTTGAGGAAGTTGAATATGATGTGGTTGAGCTCGATCTGCGCAATTTCTTTCATCTGAAGCATCAAGACAATCTGGACGAGTATCACAAACACGACGTCTGGAAAATGTTCAAATTTATAGAAAAAAATTGGGTTTAGTTGAAATAAAAGTTTTATTTTTTAATTTACAAAAATTGGCACTGCCCATATTTTTCTTTTTATTTGAAAAATAGAATTGCTCATGTCAAACTTTGTAGGAATAATTTCTCTCAGAATTTTTCAAAATGTAGGAAATGAAAATTTTGAGTTTATAAATTACAAATGTTCAATTATTTTAATTTCGATAAAATGTTTCTTCAACTAACTTGTCAATACATTCTCCAATTGCACATTGGAATTCATGCTCCAAACAACCATCTGAATTATCATCAGCCGAATATTCATCTTGAAATGATACTTCATTACTTGTTTCATAATTTGCTTGTTGCTGTTGTTGTTGATGTTGTTGAAGTTGACGATGATATTCTTCAGTTCGACGACGATGTTCTTCTTCAGCCAAACGGCGAGCTTCGTGATATTGAGCATCTGATGAAGGTTGAGCTGGATGAGATTGTTGGTGATGATGATGAGAAGATTGGGTGGATGTTGTCGAAACAGTTGTGGCTTCTGCATCTCTTTGAGCCATCGCAGCTTTGAAGTATTCTAAAATTATTTTTTGATTTATTTTTTTGTGTTTCGATCAACTCACTTTCAAACCATTTTTTTATTTCGCAAAACCCAAAAATAAATTTTAATTTCTTATTTAATTAACATTTCCTGTCAATTACAATCAAAAGTAGGTCACGTTTAGTAATAAATTTTTATTATTGTTTTTGGGAAATTTGAAAAATGGATCTCGTGTGGTCAAAATCTTGAAAATCAAAAAATCTAGTGAGGTCAAATGTTTTAGAGTTTAAGAAAAAAAGTTCTGGAAACAGAAATTCAAAAATTTCTTAACTTTATGTCTGAAATGAAAATTATTCAGATTTCAAAAAAATTCCCCCAAAATCTTACCACATTCAGTCTCATCCGATCCATCAGCACAATCATATTTCCGATTACATTCCAATGATTTATCAATACATTTTGAATCTCTCTTACATTCGAATTCTGCAGCCGAACATCTTCCATTTTGTGGTTGTGGTTGTTGTTGAACTTGTTGATGTGGAGTATAATGAGATCTTGATCCAGATCCAGATGAGTGAAGTCCCAGTGGTTGGAATCGATTTCCAGATGAATGATAAGAAGCTGGTTCAGAATGTTGTCTTTGAACTTCTGGAGAAGCGTGAGTTGGCGGAGCTCGAGTTGGAGAAGCTTGAGTTGTGGAACCACCAGCTTCATTTGAATCACAATCAGCTTCATCTGACATATCTCCACAATCATCAATTCCATCGCAAAGTTTATCATAGAACACACATTTTACAGTTGAAAGGTATGGGCACCTGAAAAATGGGATTCTCAAGATTCTAATCCGACACACAAAAACGTGACCATATCAACATTTTGAATTAAATGGTAGCAGGTGGAAATTAAAAATCTAAAAAATTTAGAAGCCGAAAACATATGTGGAGAATTCAAATATAATATCAAAATTATTTCACAAGAAACCGCGTGGCGAATATCCAATTTCAACAATCAATTTTAAAACGTTCCAAAAAATAAATATTTGCTTTGCTGAAATCCAACTTACATAAACTCTTGATCTGTGCAAACAATTTCATCAGTTTGTCCTTCTAATTTTTGTGACCTTCTTGGTGCTTCTGTTGTTGTAGTAGTAGTTGTTGTGGTTGTAGTTGTAGTTGTAGTTGTAGTTGGCTCTTCTCGACGATTTTGTTGTTGACCATGTTCTTCATGATATTTTTTTACAGCAAGATAATATTCACAAATTGTTTCATCTGATCCATCAGCACAATCATATTTTCTATTACATTTCTTTTCCTCACTGATACATTCCCCATTTTGACATCTGAATTCACCTTCAGATTTACATTCGATTGATGTTGAACCGGTAGATCGCTTTCCAGTTTCTGAAAAAAAAATCATGTTTTTCTTGTAAGATTGAAATCCAACTTTTTTGCCGTAAACCGGTTATATTTTCGCCCTTTGTATTTAGATATTCAAATTACATACAAGTATCGGGATATTGTATTTTTCTCATCAAAAATAGTGTGTGAGATAGAAGAGACGCAGAGATGAGAGAAAACGAGAGAACATAGAAAATGACCTAGATTAGAATCGTTGGCTGTCACTAATACAAAAACTTATTTTTCTTCTCACTTTTTTTTTCATTTTTTCAGTGCAGACCAAAAATGGTCGCTGCACAGAATAAATTCAAACGGAAAAGTTTATTTGAGTATCCAAAGTTACCCGAAGTTCCGATATGTTTTGCTGTTACGGTTTGTACAATGAGTTATGCGTGGTATTGTGTTTATATGTGGGTTTTTTAATTGTTTGGGGAAGGGGGGGGGTGGGGGTGAAAATGGAGCATAGGACTTGAGAAGTGTGGAAAATAAATCAAACTAGATACATCTTGAAAACATATTTTGACCTTGGAAAAATATGATCCACGGAAAAAATAAAATGATCTCTTAGAAATTTTTTAAAGTTAATTTTTCTAGAAACTACAAAAAATAATGAAATATTTTTTCTTGAAAATTTGAAATCTGTAGATCACAATAATTTTGGAAATTTTAAAGAAACGTTTGCTCAGAATTACTCCGAAATTTCTTTTAAAAAATTAAAATTCTCATAAACCTTTCCGAAAATTCAACTATTTTAGAGCAAGTCAAAACTATGAATGGTCAATGTCAGATTTTGGAATTTGGAGTTCTCCTCCAGTTATTGGAAATATAACAGGACCAATGATGAAAGATGTCACAAATTGGGAATGGTCTCGATGGTCCCCTTTTGCAATTTCCTATCTTCCTGTATTTATTGGTCATTTTTTAATTTTCAATATCGGATCAGCATTTCTTCCTGATTCAATATTTGTTCCATTCTACACAATCTCATCAATTCTTGCAGTTGCTTATACATTTACCCCATTTCTTGTAGCTGTCTCAATTTTCCAAGGAACTATTGTATTTTTGACATCAAACTATATCCAAAAAACATGGACTGTTTGGCTAAGCGCACTTCCAGTTTTATATGTTTCAATGCATGAAACAAATTCGCTCTCTGATGATCCTTTCCAAATTTTCACATTTTTATCATATTCAATGATTGGCTATATTTCATATTCTTTGGAATTTCTTCGAGGCGAAGCAAGAAAAGAGGATGATACTTTGGTAAAAAGATATTTGAGAATGATGTTTTACACATTCTATCAACCATATTTATTTTCTTTGATCGTTTTATATCCAGATTTTGAACGACAATATAGTGAAAGGTATGTTCTCTAGAAAATATAGGTTTTCATCAATAAAAATAATTTTTGTAGAAGTACCCGAAAGCGAAACTGGCTGAATGCAATCTGGTTTGCTTGTCGGATTTCTGCATTATGGTTGCTCCTCGAAATTTCACTTCATTATCTCTATTTTGAAGCAATTTTGAAAAACATGACATATTTATATTCTCTTCCAAAAGATCAATTTGTTGCTTTGGGAATGGCTATTGGAATTTTCTTCCATTTGAAATATGTTGTCATTTTTGGACTTCCTTCGCTTTTTGCGAAATTGGATAATATGGAACCACTTCCTGGACCGATTTGTTTGATTCGAGTTACATTGTATTCAAAGGTTAGACACTTTGAGAACACGTTTATAGACACTATGGGAAAAATATCTGATTTTTCGAAAAATATGATTCAAGATTTGTGAAAATCTCAAAATTTCTTCTACTTCTAAAAATCGGTCTCGAAAATCCCATCTCTTTCAAAATTCAACACCTTCCAGGTTTGGCGCGAATTTGACCGTGGTCTCTACCAATTTTTCAAAAAATACATCTTCATCCCAATCTGTGCTCCAACTTTCTCACTTCCCAGAAAAATTTTTGGAGTTTTCATTTCCTACGGATTTGTTCTCTTGTGGCATGGTTTCTATCATCATAATATTGTGAGTTATTTTAATTTATTTTTCCCGAAGTGGTTCTAAAAATTCCGAATAAAATGTTAAACTGGGAAAATAATTAGAATTAACCTCCTGGGATCTAAAATCTTATATGTTTTTAGGTTTGGATTGGTCTGAACATTATCGCTTTGTTCATAGAAATGGGTTCAAAAGCGATTTACACAATCGAAAGTGTTCGAAAATGGCGAGAAGCTAATCTATCAGATATCACTTTCCGTCGAATTTTAGCCTGGTGCCACATTTTACCATTCGCAATTGGGTTATACTCGAATTTCTATTTTTTGGGAGGAAGTGAAGTTGGTGCTGCGTTTGTTCAAAGATTCCTTATTGAAGAGACAATTACATTCAGGTAACTTATATAGGTTAAGAGATACCTAATTATAATAATAATAATCTAACACTTCAGATGGCCATTTTTGCTTATTATATCATTGGGTTGGTTCCACGCAAATACAGCGATGGAAGTTGATCGACAGAAAAAGACTACTAAACTTGAGTGATTTTAAGAAAAAAATATATTTAATAATATAAATTATTTTTGACCCAAAAAACAACTAACTTGAAATTGGACAGCATAATCCGTGGACACATTCGGATGATTGTGGACACACCGAGTTTGACCAACAATAACTTGATCCATGTAAACTGAACTCGGGTTCACTTCCATCGTGACATTTTACATTGAGTTTGGCTTTTTGATGATGTGGTTTGTAGATCTTTTTGGATGATGTACAGTTCTAAAAAAAACAAAGAAATTTTATAGAAAAATGTGTTCGAAAATTATTTGGAGACTCGGATGAAAAAATATAAGAAAATAGTTTAAAACATTGAAAATTTTTAAAACTAATAATAAAAAATGTTTTTTAGAAAAATCGAAAAAAAAATCAGTATTGTAATTTTGAATAGTCGACACAGGCCAATCAATAATATTAAACACTAATACTAACACGAAAATATAATGGCTATGTGTCGCTTCCTTCTCGGCAACAGTGTGGTCAAAAAATTTTCGTAGGTCAATATTTTTTGCAAGTCTAGAATTTACAACTTTTGAAGTATTTTTGTGTGTGTGTGTCTTATACTTGGGTCATCTACTTATTTTGAACATTTTTCGTAATTTTTATTTCTACTATTTAACGGTGTTCTTCCAATGTCGTGAATAAATAAAATAAATAAAATTTCTAGAAATTTCTCTAAAACTTATATATTTTGATTTTCGAAAATGATGAAAATATTTGAAGATTCTCTTTTGTTTTCTTTCTATTTTTTCTATGAATTATAACTATTTCCGTACCTTCTCATCCGATCCATCGTGACAATCCCTCCAACCATCACATTCAACAACTTTTGGCACACAAATTCCCGACAATTCACATTGAAACTCGTTGAATTTGCATTGCACTTCTGTCAAGAAACAAAAAAATGTCTTAATTCATTGTTCAAATATAACATCTTGTTTTTGTTGTGTTTGAAAAATATTATGCATGCAAAAAATCTGCTCAAGTGCAAAAGTTTGTCTATTTGCATAAGTAATTTTCTAATAATAAATAAAAAATGTGATTTTTTGTTGGTTGGTCGGCTATGTGTCCAGCCAAAATTTTTTAATTACATTTTGGAAATGAATAGAAAAATGATTAGTCATATTCATACCTGAACAATCGAATTCGTCATCTCCATCAGGACACTGAACACGGCGATCACAAAATTCTGACACTGGAATACAATGACCTGATTTACAGGCACGTTGACCGGATGGACAATCATCGGATTCTTGAGGAACGAAATCAGCAGTTATTCGGATCTGTAAATAAATGTTGATGTTTAAAAAATAACTTGAAAATGTTCAAGTTATTTTTCTGCTCACTTCAAAATCAGCGTGTACATTCATATCTTTAACCAACATTCGATAAGTTCCATCATCACTTGTTGTCACATTTTTAATCATCAAATAATGTTTCTCCCCTTTTTGATAAACCCTAATCCTTTTATCCTCAATTACAGTAACTTGTCCAACACCCAACAAAACTTCACCACGATACCAATTAATCACAGTATCCTGATCTGAATTTTCGACAGTTGCTGATAAATGAACCGATTCATTTCTTGGAGTGAAAACAATTTTCTGAGTTTGATGAATAATTGGCTGATGTTGTTTGCATTTTGCGTGATGTTTATGTTCATCTGATCCATCTGGACAATCTCGTCTTCCATCACAACGTTGATCCGCCGGAATACAGGTTTTATCAAGGCAGGTGAATTCAGAAGATCCACATGAGGTTTCAGAATCTTCAAAAAATTATTCAATTTAGTTGGTTTGTTTAACACATTTCTAGATCTCAGTTTAACTTTGCAACAAAAAAAAACACACCCCTAACAACATGCAATTCAAAACCCTCGTCTGACACTTTAAAACTTCCAATATATCCATTTTTGATTGCTGAAAGTATAGCATCTGAAACCAGCGGATTTTCTTTCTCGAAATAAATATCCACATTCACAAGAGTTCCAATAACATTATGATATCTGAAAAACACACACACAACAATGATGATGATAATCAGTGTAAATACTCGAGTTTTTTTGTTGAGAAAAGATTTTAACGCCGAAAGTAAACATTGTAGTAATGTATGTATTTTTGTGTAGTCAAATCGAAAAATGAATAGAAATTTCGTGAATCATAAAAAATTGTGTATTGGAGGAAAAAACGTGGGTGGTTTTTTGTGAAAAATTGGTTTAATTGTGACGTGAAAATATTTTGAAAATGAGAAAATTTGAAGATCTGAACTTTTCTTTTCAAAAAATTTTTTTATTAGAAAACTCAACCTCATTTAAAATCTTCGAAATCCCGTTCATAATTTATATCTCAAAATTTTGAACTTCAAAATATCATATCCCTCTTCTCCAGCCCCAATAATTTTGTGAATCAATCCAAAACGCACCTATAATCTGAAACTCTCGCTAAATGTTTTCCATCAACATTCAAATGTTCCAAAACGCGATGAATCTCTCCAACAATTTCACCGGAAATTTTCAAAAATTCTTCGGATTCAACATTTTTCAACTCTCCAGTATACGGTAATTCGGGAAAATTGATAGTCAACCGATAAATAACAGATAAAGAAACAACGGAGAATAGCGAAAACGCCATTCTCTTTAGTTTCTTCTGATTTTTTTAGACTAGGAAATATATAACTAGATTGAAATAGGAATTAAAAAGTGGAGAATTATCAAGAAATAGTGTTACTAATATTAATATAAGAATAAATCTATTATAAACTAGTAGTGCTAGACTGTACTGTATGGGTGTCCGAAGAAAATTGGAAAATGGCGGGAGCTCCGCCCTTCCCTTTTTCTGTCCTTTTTTCTTCCTTCCCTTTGGGCTTTTCGGTCGCTCGGGAAGAAGAAGAAAAAGAAGGGAGCAAACAAACAAATATTTGCAGACACGGTTAGCGAGGGCGCTAACCTCTACCAAATTCATCCGAAAATTATTGCATGTGCATATTTTTTTCCAGATTTTGCACAATCCAAAAAAAAAAAAAAAAAAACAAAAAAACAAAAAAAAAAATTCACGGGAAAGAAGAATGTTGACTTTTTGTTGGAAAAACAACAGTAATATAATTTTATTTATAATTTGAAATCTATACGTGAAGCGAGAAATTTTAAACCTATTTTTTTATCAAAAAGAAGCAAATTTTGAAAAACCCAAAAATTCTCGCAACGTAAAATTTATGAATAAATTTTTAACATTAAAATTTTGAAACGTATCTTTTACAAGGAGAACAAAATGTAATTTTTTTTCCTCTACAGTAATCTAGATGTTACAACAACCAATTTCAGGATGAATTTTATGATCGTCATTTTTCCAAATATTTCTACAGTACTTCATGTTTTCAATCATTTCCAGAATTCGACAAAAGTTCTCATTTTTCAAAAGTTTCATTTCACTAATATTATTTATTATTTCTGACCAATCAAGTGTGAATCTGGTGCGCAAAAGATCCAACTCAAACAAACATAATCTGCTCTCTTCTTTTTCTTTTCTTTCTCAAAAACTATATAACTTTTTGCCTATTTCGTCTTCAAATATTTGAACACCCGCTAATTTGCATACCCATATCATATCATATCATATCATAATATATCAACTACCTTTTCACACGCCCATAAATAGCTTTTCCTTTTTTTCCCATCTATTTTATTTTTATTCCAAAAAGTGCTCGAATAAAATAAATATGAGTTTTCAAGTGAACGAGAGGAGTCGAATTACAGGGATAAACTTTATTTATAAATATTTTCCACAGTTTCAAACTAAAAAGAGGCAACTTGAATTGAAAAGTGTCAAAAGTTTATATCAACAAAACTTATCGGCTTTCGCAACAAACTTTTATTTGTTCAAAACTAAAAGTGCACAATTTTGGGTTAGGAAAAAACACACACACATAAAAATATACTTATGAACACGTTCCTTTAAAACTCACTAAAAATCCACCAAAATGGTGCAGCCTCGATTTTCACAAAAAAAATTAGAAGGAAAAATATTTGGTAATTTCGCATTCTTTTAATAAAAGAAGTTGAAAAATGAAATGAAACCTAAAAGTTGGTGTAACAATGAAAGGTGTCAATGTTAATTTTTGATTGATATTAGTTGAATAGAACATTTGTTGTTTTTGTGGTTAATTAATTGTGGAAAAATAGGGAAAAAGGGGAGAAGAAAGAGCACTTTATATCTAGAAAGAGTTTTGAAACCGGAAACTTTTGACATTGATTTATTCGCTGTTTTTGTTTTGGTTTTTGGAAATCGAAAAGGTAAATTTTTTTTGAGTTTTTGGGGAGAAAAACGGTGTAATGTGGCATTTTGAAAAAAGATATCAAAAAAATTATTAGGTAAAAAAAAATTCATACTAGTGAAACTATTCAACCAGATTTTCAGGAAATGTTTTATAATTAATCATTCCGTGAAAAAATTCAATTGAGCTTACTTTTTTTCAAATTACGGTCATTCCATTTTGTTCATCATGATTTCTGAATTCTTATCTATTCTCAAAATTTATCCAAATTCAAACAACAAACGACAAAAAAAGATATTTACAAAAACAAATAATTTAATTCCAAAAAAATATAGAAAATCATTGATCATCCAAAGTGATTTCTTCAGTCGACTTCTTTTCATCATCAACAGTCGCTGCTTCATAGATTTTCTTCAATTCTGGCAAAACTTCAGTTTTCGCGAATTCAGAAGCAGCTTCGGCTTTCTGGAAAAAATCAGGAATTCTTCAAAAAAAAAATTGAAGGTGTAGGATTTTCTCAGAAAAATTTTTGTCAATTTTTCCAAAAAAAAATGTTCTGTACATTTTTGAGAGAAACAAATTCAGAGACTAAAAGGGTTTACTGTAACTTTTTGTGAGAATGTTTTTGGATTCCAAAAAAAAACAGACGAGTTCGGGGTTACTGTAGATCTCAGCTCAACTGACGTTGAAGTGGGTTACTGTAGTGAAGTTTCAACAAAACATACAGGAGCCTTTTTTAAAACGCCAGAACCAACTTTCTTACAAAAATTCTCAAAAAAATATCAATAACTCACTTCACTGAGCCATTCTCGAATAGTTTTATGAGTTTCAGGATCTTGAAGAGTTTCCTTTGCATCATTGAATTTCTCACGAATAGCTGGACTTGCAGTATCTTTGACCCAATCAGCAGCACTTACAAGACCACTCGATACTTTATCAGTCAATCCATCCCACCAATCAGCTTGAACAAAAGAAGCAAACGAGAAAATGAAAAGAAGGAAGAAAATTGAGGAACGCATTTTATGCAACGAACGGAAACTGCAAAAATTTATCATTTTATACTATTATTTTTTGATTTTGATGATGTTTAATTTCACACGATGTGTCATCAATAACATTCAATCAATTTTGATATACAATTATTTTTTATGCGTTTTTTCTTTACGTGGGCTGCCTGCCTGCCTGCTAATGTTTTTTTCTTGTGGTATTTTCATTTCTTTTTGAATATTTGTTTTAATTAAAATATGAGAACTGTTTGGATACTCAACATGTGCATGATATGTAAATAGAAGAAAACATAGAATAGATATATGTAAAATATGAAGGAAAGGAAAAGAAGGAGAAGAGCAAAATGAAACAATGTTTTTGGAAAAAAAGTTTGAAGGGGAGAACATTTTGGAACTTTTGCGATCTTCGTTGGAGATTTATTTGGAAACTTGTTCTTGGTGAATCTTGGGCATACAAATTTGAAAAATTATTGAAACGTAAATTTTTCGGGTTAAAAAATACAAAATTCATTATTTTTTTGAAAAATGACCGGAACAGAGAAAGTGGGTGAGATTTTGAAAATTTGAGTCTCCGAATTTTTTCAAACAATTTTGGGAAAAAATCATTTGTTTGCTGGAAATGTTCAAATTTTTTCAACAAAAAAAACCAGAAAAAAACCAAAAATCAAGAAAATTTCACACAAAAAAATCCGATTATCTACTTTTTCCCCAAAAAAGGACAATAAAAAGAACTACGTTCACGAAAAAATTTGCAACAACAATAAAACATGGCAAAATTTGATGAATCACCCAACAGGTTTATCACATCACAGTTGGAGGTCTCAAGTGGTTCTGGACAAGAAAAATGGAAAGAAGAAATTGGAATGTCCAGAAGAAAACACAAAAAATTACTGCAAAATAGAAGAAGAAAGAAAAATAGAACAAAAACCGAGACGAGTCAAATGATATATTTTAGCCAGTTAAAAAGATAGATAAATAGCTAAATACATTTTGTGTAATAATATAAAAAGACAAAGAATGACTAATCAATTGATTCACCGCCAAAAACATATACTTTCGAAGTACTTGTGACCCCCGTTTTTATTTGATTTGTTAGATATTTATGTTTGAATGGTACAATAAGATAAGAAGAGATAACAAAATATGCGTTTGTTGATAAAGAGTTTCGTAAGTTCTCATGGATTCATTTTCGAAAGAGGTGCAAAAATAACAGGTAACAATTTTTAACAAAAAAACATACTTATAACAAAGTGATATTTTAGTCGATAACTTCCATTTCAACAGATTCTCCGCCATTGTGGACGGTGACATTGAGAGTGAGATTAGCAACTCTTGGGCATTTATCCGAACCACCCGTGTAGAAATAAACTTCGCGTCTTCTGCAAAAATTTGAAATCGATAGGGATTTTTGGCTTTTATCGGTCCCTCATTTTTCTAGTATTGCGGATTATTTTTCAACTCCACGAAATTTCGTAAAATTTAAAGATATTCTGATTTTGAGTAGATTTTTTAAATTCAATTTTCGAACTATACAAATTGCGAATTCATCTCAAAAATCAAAGATGATCCGACACTCTACTCAAAAAAATATTCCCCCCACAAACATACTTTCTGCAAGTCTCAGTCTCTCCTTCCAATTTATCAAAATCAATTTTGATCTTTCGTTTTCCATCAGCCACAACATCCAACTTGTTGAAATTCTCATGAACTTTTCCCTCGGCCCAAGCATCAATAAATTGTGCCAATGGTTTTGGAGACAATCCTGTGTAATAGACTCGAATTTCTCTTGCTGAAAATTGCATCAACTGTTCGAGTTTGATTTTCGTTGCTGGGAGATTCAAATTTCCGGTAATTGTTTTCAATTGATCCATGTCAACAAATCCAACTTCCAAAAGATCTGCTTGTGTATTCGCACAACTTCCGACTTCCAAATTCTCCAAACTCGGCATATTTCGAATCTTGATGTTTTTCACAAACTTTGATTTGGTGGTGGTTTTCTGAAATATTCAATTTTTGGGATAGGAATTCCGGAATTATTCCTTACATCAAATAACATTGAAATGCCTTTTAAAGTTTCGTGATATCTTTGAAGATAACTTTTGAAGTAATTCATAACAACATCGACAAGTTTTCCATTCTCAGTCTTTCTCCAAAGTGGCATCGGGGAATTTCTGGAATAAAAACAAGTTATACTTTCAATTTTTTAAACAAATTTTGTGAATTTTGCTACTTACTGTCTTTTGTATGTGACATTTGTTGTAGTTGGAGTTTCAGCAACAAAATCCAATTCATAAGTCCATTTGTATGGATATTCAGTGGAGATTGAAATCAGGAAATTCTTCTTATTTTCCATAACTCGAACTCGCAAATAATAGTTCTTTGAACTTGTTGCTTCTTCCCAGCAAGCTTTTGAGCATCTCGAGAATCGGCATAAACTTGGAATATCCAAATACTCCAATATTAATTTTCTGGCTTTTTCCGGAAGATCAAACCATTCTTTGGTATTTTGTCCGTTATCTTCTTGTCGAGCTCTTTTTTATTGGTGGCTCCATTTTCTGAAAATGAATCTTGTGGACGAGTAGTTCGGAAACGCCCACCAAATGCTGCCAAAAATTTAAATATTCAATTTTCAACGTTAGAAACGGTTTTTAAAACATCACAAAAATTAGCAAAGCGTTAAATATTTACTATTCTATGAAAAAAAAACAAAAAGGGGGCATTTTGACCTATTCTACAACAAAAAATTCCGAAAAAATCTCAAATACCTAGAAAAAAATGGCTGGAAATTTGGGGGTCTCCCATATTTAAGAGGAGAAAATACACAAATTATGGAATGATTTCTCATTCCGCGCGACTGCGAATTGATCGAAAAAATGAACATGAAAAAATCGATTCTGGAATAAAAAATGTTATGTAAAGATAATCAATGGAGAATAAAAATATTACCTTTTCTCAATTTCTCGAATTCATATTTACCAACAAAGTTGGAGCCGAACTTGACAGTCTCAATTCTGGTTGATCGATATCGTCTGAAAATTGGGATAAATTTTGAAACTAGTTTGTGTTAGAATTACGCCTCTCGGGACTAAAAATGTAAAGTTTCCTGGAACTCTGATTCAAAAAATGGTAAATCTCATTTTTCAGAAAATAAAAATTCAAATGTTACCTGAATGGAAAATGCGTTGTTTGTCATCTTTTGCATTATCCAATTGTTTTTCATCAATTGTTTCTTCGCCTTCTTCTCCTTCAGTTCCTCCTTCAATATCGCTCATTTTCATCATAACCAATCGCTCTTTTTGTTGTTGTTGGTTTTGTTGCTGTCTTCCCCATTCACGCTCTTTCAATATTTCCGCATACGTTCGATTCTTATTGTTTTGCATATCAAATACAATATTTTGATGTTGTTGCTGCTGTTGTTGTTGTGTGACAATTTTCATAAATTCCATCACTTTCGAATTCGAACCCCCATTTTCACTGTCTGTCGAGATGATGATTCCCTCATTTTCATGCAATAATATGCCGCCAGGCGACTGAAGATAAACTCCCGGAACTTTGTCTTTTCGCTCCAAATTGATGATTTGACACGGTCTGTCGTGACGATTTCGAGGTTCAAGCATTGTTTTGGTGACCGATTGATATGGTGAACTTGGTGATTTTCGATAGCCGTGGTCATCTCCATGATACATTTTCTCGTTATCATATCGATTATTTTCGTCTCTTTCATAAGACATACTCATTGTTCTCGATCTGGCACCTCCATAATCAAAAGATGTGTTCAAACTTGGCGATAAAGTAGAACTTTCTAAATTCAGAACATTTTTTTAAATACGTTCTATGTTTTCTAGAAAAAATCACCTCTTCTGAATTGTTTTCTTGGCGAGTATTGCAATTGTTGAGTGTGTTGCTTTTCTTCAGTAACATGAGAAACATCTTGTGTGAAAAAACGATCTTGTTCATCTGGGATGACCTTAAATTGTGTAACTTTAGAATTCCATACGACCGAAAAATACGATAGGTAATTTAAAATTTTATTCGAAATTTGTAAAAAACAGTATTATTACATGAATTTTATTTATCACATTGGTAAGACCAGATCATAGAAAATGCTTTTCTCTCTTCGACCCTGAAAATAAAAAAATATTTATATTATTTTTGGGGTCGAAGAAACAAAATTTTCGGGTAAACATTTGTTATGTTTCAGAAATATTCTGTCAAAACCAACCTGTTTCAATTTCAACGTATGTGTTGATGTGAATTGTTGTTGATCTCCACCATTTGTGTGTGATTGTTGTTGATTTCCACCATCTTGCCCATTCTCCCGATCGCGAAAATAATTTTGATTGTGTTGTTGATTTCCTCGATAACCACCTTTTCCACCATTGTTCGTCGACATTTGTTGACCCTTCTTCGAATAATATGTAGATTCCCCGGAATCATTCTTTCGCCATGTTTCTCGATGATTTGGCCGTTGTTGACGACTGTAATAAGATCGTTCAGAATCTTCATAACTTCCAACGACTTGTTCATCTTTTTCTCTTTCTCGGTCTCTTCGCCCATCATTTGTTTGATATGTTGGACGATGAGTTTGCGGTGGATTTTGATGAGTTCGTTGACCTTGCGAAGACGATGTCGAACCACGCCGTTCTTGCGGTTGTTCAGTTGGAGTTGCAGCAGCGGCTTGTTGCGCAGCTGCAGCCATCAAACCAGGATGAAACTGGTATGGTATCATTTCCGGAACGAATGGAACTGGAAAAATTAAAATGAAAAACTTTTTTAATGGCCAGCAAACTTACGATATGGGAACATCTCTGATTGTGGAACCATTATATATGGATAAACATACAGAGGTTGCTGCTGTTGCTGTTGTTGACGAAGTTGCATAGTCACTGAAAATAATACAAATCCTAACTTTCTTTATGAATCAACTCACTCAAACTTTGATTTTTTTGCTGTTGTTGTTTCTGGTGATGAGGTGGAACTTGTTGATTTCGTTGTTGCAAATATCTTGGATTCGCCATCATTCCAGGTTGCACGATATATGGCATTGTATGCGTTGGCATAAGTGAAGGGGGGAGTTGCTGATGGGGTGGTGGATTTTGAGACGCCGATGGTGAAGGTGTTATTGATTCCATATATGATGTTGACGATGAATGTCTTCTTGAAGAAGATGAATTCGTCGCATTTGATAATGGGGCAGCTCCTTCCTCTCCAAGGTTGTCATGTTTTTTCAATGAGCCAGATGTTGTTCGATTTCTTTCAGAATTCGAATTTTTATCGGGCAAAGCAGCTTCTCCACGACACGGCAATTTGAATGTCATAACGGAGTCGTCGAGGAGGATTTCTTTGAGCCACACAGAAGTTTGAAGATCACGAATTTCAGGAATGTCGAGTTTGATCGATGACTAAATATTTCTTTTTTTTTTTTTTTGCAAAACTTTCTGGATAACAATGTTAACTCACTGAAAGTAGTCCTGTATAAAATGTATACAAATTGCGCATATTGAATTCTTTAGTCCTCAAAGTGATACAATGTTGAAGTTCTTCATCAGCTAATAATGGAACCGGATCATAACGAGAAGGTGTTACACGCATTGACACTTTCATATCGGAATGATAAACATCGACAACACGATTGTGAATATCGATCGGTTGGGCCATATCAGAATCGTTGATATTGAGACACATAGAGACAGGTAGGAGTTCCTGTAAATATATATTTTCATTGTCTGACTCATAAATGACCTAAAAATTTACCGTGATGCATTTCCTTGCCTCCAAAACATTATTGAGTCGTCCTCGTATTAACAATGGGAATATATGATCATGCGATGTGTTTATTGCATCAAATGATGGATGTGTGATTTTTGTTCCAGTTCTTTGTTCAACCAATGGCATCAACATGTATTTCTGTCTTGGTTTCCCAACAACATGATCCAAATGATATATTGAAATATTGAAACGCATCGAATATTCAATTTGTTCATCAATCGTATTGTTCAACATAGACGATATATTCTCGCATGCTTTGTTCAGGCATTCAATATGTTTTTGTCGACAAGTTAATTTGAGACCAGGTCCGCTGTTTGGCAAATTGTCGAGCTCGATGATCACATTGTCATATGTATTACGGTTGGAATCAATATATGCCAACACATGATCTATATTGTTTTTTGTGGAATCCATTTCGAGGTAGACGGAAAGAGGGCAGTTTTCCTGAAAATGTTCGATTTTGTTTTATTCGGGCAGTGTGGTTTCAATAACTTACCCGCAAAGCAATTCTCGCCTTCTCTACATCATTAAAAAATCCAGTAATAGTAACTTGTTGTGCATGTGGACTGGCACCATTTACATTCAATTTGTCAGGCAATTGGATGAGGGTGTTAGTTGAGTGCATAATCGATGTGACATTTTCGACGTTATCGATCCGTTTATGCATTAGTTCATGATACTGGAATTCGATTTCAAGACTGAGGGTTATCCTAGTGGGGTTAACGTCAAGCATCGGAATTCGATTTGGCAATTGTTGCCCGCTATCTTCTTTTAGCTTGATCACTGCTTCTCGCATTGTTTTGTACGAAATGTGCTGGCGATTTTGGAAATCTTCGAGCATCTGAAAAATAATTTACAGCATGGTTTCCCATAATGAAAAAGGAACAAACCTGTGTAGACTGTTGCTTTTGATGGAAAAAACTTTCGGTGTTATTGCTGAGAATGGCGCGCAATGCGGGGGATACAATCAAATTTCGTGGCAGCGCCACTTCTTCCGCCATTCGGATTCGACTCTCTGCATCCAACCCATGATGAATTGGGGTACGGAATTGTGTTGGAGTGACGAGAATCTCTTTTTCACCACCACGTGCTTCCATGTAAATGTCTGAAAAAAGCACTTTTCAAGTTCTTGAGACAAAATATTCGACAAAAGTATTTTCACGCATAAAAACCATCACTTCGATGACCAAAAATTGTATTTGTCATGCTTCCCCGACCGAAAAACCCAAAACAAAACTGAAAAATGGCCGGACCGCGCCTAAAAATTGTTTGCGAACCAATTAAAGGGACACATATTTTTGAGATATGGTCTCGCCACTATTTACCACACGTCGAAAATAACAACATATTTTGCCTACTCGATGTGCGCGAATTCAAATTTATTTTTTTGTTTGAAATTTCACAAAATCAAATCGTTGATTTCAACCTTAATATTTTTTGTTATATTATTAAATTGCTCAATAAGGAAATGCGCCCGAGATTGTTTACAACTTACTAACAAATTTTATTTTTTTTAAATGACAGCTGGATATTTACGAAATGCAAGAATACAGACTGTTTTTTTCTGTGAACTGTATTATACAGTTCACGGAAAAAAAAATGAAAATTAGCATAATTTTTCAACTTCTATTTCCAGAAAATTTTTAAAGCTTGCCATCTTCTAAAGGTCACGATAGTACTGTAGAATTTCCGAATTTTCGTAGAAACATGAAAGTTCTTCGAGCTTTATCTGTGTTAAAAAATCGAGTTTTCAATTGAAAACTAGTTTCTCAGGTATTTTTCTTCAAAAAAATAAATTTCATTTCATTTGGGGTATGGGTTTTCAAAGGTGAAATCCAGTTGGAAAACATTTATATGCATAACAATTGAAAAATACAACAAGAAACAATAGAAAATTAAACAGAAAATTGTTAATATTGAATTGATTTTAGAAATCATATATTTGGAGATTAGCCTGAAAATTTCAAAAATTAATTTCTCAGTTTTTTTATTTTGGAAAAAAAACCTCTGCGTTCATTGAATCCGCCGTTGTTTCCACTATCATTTCCTCGTTCATTATTTTGTGAGGCACCTTGCTGTTTAGGTTGTTTTGGCTTACCAAAACGTCCACTTTTGCAAAAAGCTGTTTTTGGTGCATCGTCGTAAGATCCAGTTTTGAATGAGCGGAATTCGGGTGGGTTGTCTTCGGACCAATTTCCATCAAGCGAATTCACGTCATCTTCAGTGACAACCGCCTCAAAAGGAATTTTGGTTGTTTCCTCGGCACATTGAGGATTCGATGTTGTTGAGTACAACAATTCGGATTTTTCCACCATGACATCGACTTCGTCCTGAAAAATCGATTTTTTCAGTAAAAATAATTGAAGAAACCAACATTTCCTTGATCAATATCGCGAGAAGAAACGTGGACCATATTTCCAATATGAACTCTTTGTTGCTCTTGTTGAACTTGTGAATTTATATTCTGCATTTCCTCGCCTGTATAACTATAGTTTGTTGGAGTCGCAGCATATGGCTCAACAACACTATTTTCTTTTTCTCCACTATCTTCTTGAAATGGCGCATCGACTTTCGCAATATTTCCTTGTTCCTCTGTGAGGTGTGCAGCTGAAAAAAAACTATTGAAATTGCAAATGAAAATATCTTGCAACTCACATCCGAGGTGGAACATTTTATCTGAATTCACGAAAAAACTTTTTTCGATGTCATAACTTCTCAAAAAGTCGAGGATATATTGGCAAGCTCTCAAAAGATCTTCTTGTTTGTATCCGATGTCGATTGGGAAACCAAATACATCTCTCGAAACGGCAGCCCAATAATCGATGAACATTTTGAACAATTGATCTCTTTTCCATGGATCTGCGAGAAGATTTATAACTCCATCAGCTTTGAGTTCGGGAATATCATAAGGACAGTCGAGATTAGTTATTCTTACAAATCGTGGAAGGAAATAACGGAGGAGAGAGATTGAAGCCTGTAAATTCATGAAAAATTATTTTCCATCGCTAGTTTTCTCGAATTACCTTCACAATTGTTTGGCTAATTGCAGGGAACATTTTCTGTTTTATACAAGTAGGCAATCTCAAAAAGAATCTGTCGGCCTTATTCGATTCACCTTTGAGAACTGCGTCGAAAATGAGGAAATATACTTGACTGGTGAGTGATGATATTTTTGACAATGTTTCATCGTCGTCTTTTGAGATGATATCGATGATTTTGTCAATAACATTAGGAAGAACAAGATTGATAACATCCTCAGTCGGTTTCTTCAAATCATGCAAAAGCTTACTGTGTTGATCGTTTCTTTTACCAGTCTCCCATAAATAAGCAAGTCTGCTTCGACCCTCTCCCAATTTTTTGATGATGTTTGCACGAATCGAATTGATTTCATTTTGCGCTGAATCATTGGTGAACAACTTCAAAAATACGTAGGCGTCCCAATCGAAATCCGCCGCGCAAAGTGCAACAAAGGCATCCAATCTTTCAGATGCTGACTTTACGATCAACATATCTTGGAAGAATTTGAGCAAACCGCTTCCCTGAACTTTTCCGATTATCGAGTTTTTCACGTGGTCTGCCAATTCTAAAAAAAACAATTATGAATAGTTTTTATATAGACTTTTGATATTCCTACCCTTTTCGAAAGTTTCGTTATCGTTGGATCGAAGTCGCAAATTGAGAACATCATGATTTGCTCCATTTTTTCCCAAAACTTCAGCAAGCTGTTTGACAGTTTCGAAATAATCTACGCCGAACAAAATCATTGAATCAATTGCGGAAACAATTTGTGAGTTTTTTGGATTGGATCCAACAAGAATTGCATGAAAATCGGAAGCTGTTGGGAAGTCATTTGAAAGACCTAAAACGAATGAGGCAAATTGGTTGACTTCTTCGTTTTCCATCAATTTCGAATCATTTGCCAAAATATATTCGAGAAGGGGTGCAAAAAAATAAGTTTTGACACCTTCGTGCTCTAGATGAATTCTCTCTGTCATCTGAAAATTCGTGATGAATAATATTTGTGAATCCGTCTCTATAGACTTGAACTTTTTTGTGAATCCTAACTTTTAGGCCCAATTTTTTTTCAATATTTGGGTACAGTAGATATCTTGTCAAGAATCACCTCCAATCAAGCGCTCTGCTCCTTTAAACAATCTACGATGTGTGCTTACACCGCGACGCAAAAACACAGAAAAAAAGTTTCAAAAAATTATTTTTTTTTGTGCGCGTTTTTTAGCGACTCACCATTGTTTGTCTGCGTCTCCTCGAATTCGGGTAGTGGCACGACGTGACTACTCAGGCAAATCGTCCCACCGGCGCAACACCAAATCTCCACTCACTCAACACCGTTCTTCCACCGGTGGGCCCACCGGTGGGAAACCGGTGGAGCTTCGGTGTTGCACCGGTGGGAAAAGGGGGAACACCGGTGGAGTTTTGGTGTTGCACCGGTGGCGTTCAGGTGTTCAACCGGTGGGATTTAGGTGTTGAACCGGTGGGTTTGGAAAAGTTTTTGAGAGAAATTTATTTTTTTTATTTTTTCTGCTCAGAATGGAATATTTGAATTCCTTTGACCAAAATTAGTTCGCCAGAGCGAACTTTCTGACTATCTCTTTAGTGAAGAGACAAAAATTCTCCTGACAAGAGAAAACCTCAATAATAGAAGCATTTTGAAGTTGAAATTCGCGGATTTCGTGGAAGGTCATGTAGTGAGTTCACCGACGTTTCGCGAGGCGCGCGCGCCGCTATGTTTTTGATAAGCCGTTTTCGATGCTCGTTTTCCATTTTACCAACACCGGTGGAACACCAGATGAAAGGTGGACAACCGGTGTTGATTAGGTGGGAAACCGGTGCTAATTAAGTGGACCACTGGTGTAGTAAAAAATGTTGGAAAAAAAAATTAAGCGGTGTTAATCCGGTGGGAAGTGGTGTTGCGCTGGTGTTAGAACGGTGTTCAGTCAGTGTTAGTTGAGTGGAACACCAGTGTTTTTTTCTATTTGGTGTTGCGCCGGTGGGACGATTTGCCTGAGTAACTCTGCCATAAATATTTTTTGTTTTGAAATATTGTCGCTCTTGTACACGTGTTTTTTTTTCAAAAAAAAAAAAACGTCATTCAAAAATGTTGCTTCATTTCTCACAAAAATGAGTGTTAGTTATTCTCTTCAAGCCAATACGGCGAATCGTAAGTTATTCCGTATCAAAAGTCATAATCTGTTTTCTTTAGTATCCTCAATTTTGCGTGTATTTTATCTCTGGAAAGGTAGTCTGTGGAAATTGTTATGGCGCGAATTATTGATTTGGTTAATAGTTTTCTTCTTTTTGATGATGATCCATGCTTTTGTTATAAAAAATAGCGATTTCGAGGATATCTATAGAACTATTCTTGGCGGCTTATCATCTGTGGAACTTGATGGAACTATCATGTTTCTTCTCTCATTTTTAAACTATAATAGTTTAACAAGATGGTCGGACACTTATGATCTTCTAATGTGGCCAGAAAATATTGCGTTGTATTTCAATCAATATTTCAATGAAAAATCAATGTCTTCAAAAGAAGAAGCAAAGAATTTAAGAAACGCTATAGTTCGATATATCACAACTTTTTATATTCTAATTTTTCGTGATGTTTCTACAGAAGTTCGACAATGGTTTCCAACATTGGAACATTTAGTAGAATCGAAGATTTTGACAGAGTAAGAAAATTATGAAAGCGTAGAATAAATTACAAGTTTATTGTTTCAGAGACGAACTTCAACTTTTAACAAGCAGTCATCTTGCTGAAAATTCATGTCATTATTGGATTCCAATCGATTGGGTGGCATTGATTTTGAAAAAGCGATATAGACCGAAGTAAGACAATACTTTTCTTTTTATTTACAAATTAATCTGGAAAATTTCAGATACCTTTATGATTCTAGTGGAAATCGAATTCGAAATCCAAAAGAATCAATAATGAATCAAGTTCATTTCATGGAATTTATGCGCGAGTTGGCAAAATTACGTGGAAAAGTTAGTGATGTTTTATCATATGATTGGGTACCTTTACCATTAGCGTTTATTCAAACAATCACAATTGTTGTCTACAGTACTCTGGTGATTAGTACTATTCAAATGCAAATAAAGATTATTGATATGTAAGAATTTAACCTTCCAAAATTATATTCATGAAAAAACATATTTTCAGAAAATCAAAAGATTCACACGATTCTTTAATCACTGAAATGTTCGTCAGTTTTCTCAGCACAATTCCAACCAATGTTCTCTATTTATCATTTCTTCGAATTTCTCAAGTCGTTATCAATCCTTTTGGTCAAGACGATGATGATTTTGAAACACCGTATCTAATCGATCGACATTTCAAAGTTCTACAAGAGATTTTGTGCAAACCAACTGATGCTCCACCAACTCCACCACCAGTTCCACCAACTTCGCCAGCAGCAAATGCACAAATGGAAATAATGAACCGAGGACCGAATCAATTGGGACACACATTGGCCAGCGCAATGCTCAGGTTTGCTTCTAAGAGATTTTTAAAATTCATTTTTAATTGTTTTTTTTTCAGTGGAATCAGCACAAATAGCATGAGAAATGCGAATTGATTGATTTATTGTTTTGTTCTAATAAATATACATTGTTCCAAAAAAAAAAGGATTTTTCATAATGAAATACAGTAATCGCAATTGTGTGCACAATTTTTTCAAAAATTTCCAAAAACGTGAACGCTAGTGACGTGTATCCATCGTGGCAACCTTGATTCGGAAAAATCCAGCTCAAATCTGCTTATTTTTCATCAAAATCCAAATACAAACTGCAAGTGTGACTAAATTATTAAGAATCGACATATACGAAAAAAATGCGAAAACAAAATACTCGTCCAAATCAGGTAAGCTGGATAAACTCTGGAAATTCAAGTAAATAAGCAAGATGTGTCCTTCACGCATTCTGATTGTGAGAAACAAAAAATGGGGATTTGCTTGAATTTTCCCTCTATTTTTGATTCTCTCATAAATCTCCCAATATGTATTTCAGAATGCTAGAAAACAAATGCAAGATCTAACCGCCGAATTATTTTCCGGTGCCATCGACAAAAAAACAACTCGAAGAAAAATGCAACTAACTCGTGCAACTTCATCTTCTCGCCCAGCTCCTGGAAGCGTTGTTGTTCAAATTGTTCGACCACCACCAGTTGAAGAACCTGCTGAACAACCAGAGCAAATTCCCCAAGAGGAACCAGAACCAGAAGTTGAAGTCGAGCAAGTTGTGGAAGAAGAACATCAACAGGAAGATGGAAATCAATCGATAAATGTGATGGATCTATTGATTCCTCCTATTCCTGCTTCGATTTCTCTTCCAACTCTTCAACCAACAATCCAATCTACTTCTTCAAATTTTGAAGCAGGTGGATTTTCTCGATTTACACCTTCGGAAAATTCCGACTTTTATAATACTAGTTATGTTAGTCGAAATGTATCGCCATTTGATGTTGCCGCAAAACAACCAGATAAAATGGTATGTTTTTCAAAATTAAAAAAATCAAAATCATTCAAAAAATATTTCAGCCAAATCCATTTGCAAATCGCAAACGATTTCCGATGGATAATTTTGAATCTACTACCAATGCCAACAACAGTCTCAATAAACCTCGCTATTTGGATTCCAAAACATTTTGCGAGGATTTCTCCAATTTGAACATCAATAAATTTGGAAATATTCCGGCGAATCGTCGAAATGAAAATAATAATTTTATGTTGCCTGCCTGGTGGAAAACTCGATCTTTTTCATCTGCAAGTTGTTATTATCCACAAAATGTGAAGGCACAATTGCAAACTCGAAGTTTGACAACAATGAATGTGCCATCACATGGAAATTTGGATGATATTGATAATTATTTGACGACTAATTATCAACAGAATCATAAAGTTGATATGATGGCAAAGTAAGTTTTGGAGAAAAAAAACTTGTTCGACTATATCACATTTTGGTACTTTTTTCTACAGTAATCCTATTCAGGAAGAAACCTAAAGACTAGAATGTGATTTGTTGGGACCTGTTTAATTTGAAAAAAAAATTAAATTCCTTTCCGACTATTCGCAATTTTTCACCAAGCTAAAAAACTAAAATTCCAGAAAAGAGAGATGGGCTCGAATGAAGGCTAAAAAACGAATTCTTCGTCGACCAGTTGAAGAAGAATTTTTCGAAGATGCTGACGAAGAAGAGGAAATTATGTGTGGTCGTGGAGTTCTTCTAAATCAGATTGTTCAATTAAGTAAGCAAAGAATATATTATTTTTCGAATTTCCCATTTTATTTTTCAGATGGCAGCGGACAATATGAAGATGCAGATATTCTTCGAAAATATCGTCGCGATGTTGCTTACATCAAAGAACAATTGATGAAAGAAGTCGAAGGAAATATCGATGGAATTCGAGAAATTCGATTTTTGATTGCTTCTGTTCAAACATATGGAAATATTGATGGACAATGTATGATGGCTGAAATCGCAATGAATGAATTCACATTGTTTTCTGGAGTTTTGGAAAGATTTCATGCGATCGTTGGACCATGGTCGCCTGAAAATGAGACACAAAGAAGACGAGCAAGTCGACAAGCATTTGATACACATAAAATACCACTTCAACACAATTTCGCAACAATGACTAAAAAGAAACTGGTGGAGGAGATTTTGGGAAGATCGGAACCGAGTATTGCGTATCGACAAGGTGTTAAAGTTGGATTGTATAGTGATACGGTATGTCAAAGAGATATATATTGATCTATTTTTCCTAATCTTCTGTGAATTAGAATAGTTGAAACAGTAGATTTGTGAAATTTATTTTTATCGAAATTCCAAAATTTTCACAGTCAGTATTTCTTTGAAAAATATGTAATTTTCACTTGTATGTTCATCCTATCATGTTTTTTTATTTTGAGTTTTTTTGAACTTTGTTGAGTTTTTCTGTTTCCACGAAGTTAGAATTTTTCCATAACACATTTTATGATTTATTTTTCAGTGCGATGAACAATTCCGTGTTCATCTCCATCTCAAAAATGGCTTCAAAGATGCTTCAATGATGGTTGATTCAAACGAGAGAAGATTTGTTTTAGTTCTCCAAAGTGAAGTCGAATTAATGGTTGAATCAATGAAACATCTTGGAAAAACCATTGGATTGCATTATGAAGGATTTCCAACAACTCCAGATCGTTTTATCATTGTTGAAGCATTCGTCGACGCAGTTGTAGATTTGATTGGTGATAAAATCGGGCCAGAAACAATGCATTGGTTCGCGCTTCTTGGACAGAAAAATCAAACTGATGTGAGTTTTTATTTGTGAAAAGCAAAGATCTAAATTTTTACAAATTCATTTTTTCTAGACTGCAACACCTTGGGAGAAAAACGTGGATCTTCATTGTTCTCATCACACTGATCCCAAAAATAATTATTGTGCTCAATTGACAGTCTGCAGAGCAACTTTTATTATTCTTCATATTCTTGGTAGCTTTTTCCGCCGTTATCATCTTCGAAAAATTCCAGCAACTTCAACTGCCACGTCATCAGCTATTCTTACTCGTTGAAAATCAATCAAACAAAATAATACTAGAGCCCAAATTTTTAGAAAAATTCTTGATCTGAATAAACCTTGGGAGAATCGTAATATGTATTTTATTTTGACATGCTTCGTTTTGTTGTCATCTCTTTTTTCTTTTTTTTCCGATTTAACTTTGCCCTTTCATTCCATTCTCATTTCCCCTTTTTTTCATCCGATTTTAACTGGGTCAGCATTTTTCACCATACAATTTGTATGAATCATTTTGGTATAAGAAAAAGTGAAGAAAGCGAATGTCTTCTTGATTTTTATTATATAATCTCGAGATTATTGTTTTCATTTTGTTTCAATTTTACGCTTCTATGCTTTTAGGTCAATGTTCGTGTTATCAGCTTTTCAACGAAATTTATTAATTTTATGTAGTTGTGATACGATCCGCTTTTTTCTGAAACATCTCAATTTTTTTCAGATCAAATATCGTCACTTTAAAAAAAATCTGTAAAATTTTTGAATAGTTTCCAAACTCTCGGTAAATTATTTGTTCGATCTGTAAACTTCCAGAATCTCCCGATTTTGTTTTCAAAAAAATTGAAAATAATTCTCAAGAATTGTTTTCAGCCCTTTTAATCGCTGTTCAAAATCTCAAGTTCAAAACGATTTTCCCAGCAAGTTTTTTTTAAATTCTTACTAATTTCCATCGTCTGTAATTCCCCCTGCTTCCCTAATTCAAAATGCGTTGTTCGGTCAAATGAATAAAATGTCGCAATATCCATTAGTCCGAATAACTTTCACCTTTTCCATATATTATTTTAATTATAACAAACCTTTTCCTTTTCTAAATTTAGTTAGTGAATGTGTGGGAAAAAGTAAGAGGAAAAGGAAAAGGGAAAAAAGGTTTTACAATTTGGCGAAAATGGTGTCAATGTTCAAGGACTTTCTCACACCTGTATTTTGATGCATGTTTTATTGGCTGCTTTATGGTTGTTGCTCTTTTTGATACAGTTTTTGGAACAATTTTTGTTTTTTAATAAAAATTCTACAGTAATCTTGACAATTTTTAATTAGATTTTCAGCATTTTCATAATTTCCTGGATCAATTTTTTTGAATTTCGAGGTGGAAAATTCCAAATCAATGCAAGGAAATTTTTTTATTCCTCAGCCCATCTGATCAAGTTCCAAATGTTTTTTTTTCTAAAAATATCCCCTGCTCGAAGTTTTGTAGCCACAAAATCCTGTTCAGTCAGATATCTAATATTATTATTACTACAATTACTAATTATCTGATGAATTAGAATAATAAAACTTTCAATTGATCATGCATAATATGAATTTCGATAGAAAAACAAATTAAATCTTCAGGATCCTCAAACACCGTACTCGTTTTTTGACTATTTCATTAATCACAGCTTTTCCTCTTCTTTTCCATGTGTCAATGACTCATTAAAGGCAACCCGCCTGTTTTGATCATAAAATGTGGGTAAAATATGGGTCACCTCATCCAAAAAAAAGAACCTAGTCAATCTTCATTATTGCTTTTGAGGAATCTTCCAAAAAAAAAAACAACAACATATAAATTTATTATGAATAATTTCTAGTTTTTTGTCCCAAAAAGTAAGCACTATTGTATTTTATATTCTCTTATTGTCATTCATTAATTAAATAAGTAAGTAAGCAATAGTAATTTGTTATGACTCGAGTCTTTTCTTCGGGTTTCCTTGACCCTCTGCTGGTTGGGCGCCATTCTGTTTTTTTGCCGCCAAATGGCCACAAAGGTCATTCTAATGTTTTATGGGGTCTTTTGAAATGCGAAATATGTGATAGGATTAAGTCGGATTTGAAATTAGCATGGCGGAAGGAACGAGTTTTCATTTAAAATTTAGACTGTTAGAAATTAAAAAAAAAAGATAGATTCAAAGATTTTTACCAATGCTCTTTCCTGGACTAACTTCGAGATACTGTAGATATTTCATGATAAATTTAAGAGCATCACGAATTTTTTTTTAATTCTTAAACTATTTTTTTGGAAAACTACATAAACCTTATGTTAGTTTTTCTCGATACTGTATTTTTTCGAGCCTGTTAATCGGATTAGCAATATCATCTATATGTTTAGATGTTATATAAAACATCCCGGTTTTTCTCAACTTTCTCTCTTCAACCAACTGGTTGACTTGTTATCAATTTTGTTTCCAAGGATGTTTATTTTCTCTGCAAAATCGGATCAAAGAAGTTTGATTTTTTGCCAGAAATTTAATTTTGAAACCCGAGCTCTAAATTGTGTAATCCTAAATTTTCTTGCACTCGAAAAAGGAAATGTTTGAATGGAAAACCTCCGGCTCCGATTCTCTCTCCAAAAATTTTCTGAAAAATACTATGTTCAGAAAATCCCTCTTCGTTTTTTTCCAAACTTTTTCGGCATTCTGCCAAAACTGTTTTTTCTTCCAATTCTCATTTCTTATGCGATTAGCCCGACAGCCCGCCCATTTTCCAATCATGTAACATTTTCTGTCCCCTCCTTGTTCTTCCCGTCTTCCAATTTATCCCGTCTTCTTCTTCTTCTTGAATAGTAGGTCAGTTGATATCTCGGTTGGTTGTTATCGGAACAGTTAATCGTCCTTGTCCTCGTTCTCGATTTTTTATTTCTTTTATATTTTTCAACAACACGAGAGGGGGAGCACCTTTTTGTTTATAAGTTTTTAATAATTATTACTTTTCAATTGTTCAAATTTTTCTTGAAATAAGCAATCTTTGTGTTTTTTTCTTGCTACATACTTTCACTTTTTTTTTTTAATTTTTATTTACGCTGCGGAAAGGCAAACGTGTGAAAATGAAAAACATCAAGAGTAAAAACTTTGAGATTAGGCAAGTATTCGACAAGAAAGTGATAATTGGGATTAAAAAAAAGAGTAAAATGCAAAGGGCAAAAAAAAATGAAGAATCATGCAAGTGGTAGTGAGATGGGGAAAAAAAGAAAGAAAGAAAGTAAAAAAAAGGGGAGATTGAGAGTCGGGAATACGCGTTTTGGGTTGTTTTTATGAGATTTGAGTATTGTTTTTGAATTTTTAGGTGGTGACTCAACTTAGTCTGATATGTTTAAACTGCTGCAAATACTGGAATGTAATAGGTGTCTAGCTGTTGGGTTCAGCTTTTTTAATTGCTCATTGAAGAGCGGTATTGTTCTTGACACAAAGAACTTTCCCCTATGCGAAGTCTTCGCCCTTTCCGTCGAGATGCTGAATTTAATTAAGCAGGAGTAAATAAGTAAGTAACTAACACTCTACTTTGTTTCGGTTATGTTTTTTGTCGTGTTCAAAACGAAATTTATGTAAGATGCGGTGTTGAAACAAGTTTTCTTCCTACTCATCGTTTTTTTCCATTCTGAATAACATAAAATACTTGAATCTCATCGTTTAAGTTGTTTTACTATTATGCTTCATCTTGTTATTTATTCGTTTAGTTATTATATAATAATAATAACAATAATAAAAAATAAATTGTTCCAGAGAAAATCGAATGAAAAACTTGGTGCTACTATTTTTAGTAGCAGGGCTCGCCTCGGCGCATATCAAACTTGTTTATCCGCCAGCTCGTCAACCGGCTCTCGATTTTTATACTTCGAGTAATAGTCAAGGAGCATGCGGTGTGCCAAAACCAGAAAATGGAAAAGGTGTCCGAACTTTTTTCAAATCAGGAAGCACGATTGAATTGAATTGGTTTATGGCTGTTCCACATATGGTGAGTTTAACTTCGAGATTTTTTGATTAGGGAATTTTTCTCAACTATTTATAATATTTTTTATCAACTTTTATATTTATTCTGTAGATTTTACAGTAATACTGAATCGATTAATGTGGTTCAGGCCTGTGCCGGAAATTTTCCGAATTTCCGTATTTTCCGGTTTTTTCACGGAAAAATTAATTTTCCGGTTTTCCGGAAAATTTGGTCGGAAATTCCGGAAAATGATTTTTAATAGTAATATCTTCAATATTGCTGAAATTTTGAGAAATTTCCTCAGTTTGTGATACAAAAAAAATTTTTTTTTTTTTTTTGAAAATTTTTTTTCCAATTTTTCTGAATTTTACGATTATTTGAACGTAAAAAGTTCTAAAATAGAAGAATTGTATCTAAAAATACAATTTAGGACCAACTTAGTGCTGAAATTTCAAATTTTTAGACTTTGAAAAATTTTCCGAATTTTCCGGATTTTCCGGTTCAAAAAATCCGGAAATTTTCCGACTTTCCGTTTTCCGGGTTTCGATTTTCCGGCACAGGCCTGATGTGGTTAATTTTCCAGTGAATTTTCAAAGTTATATTTTTGCCTCCTTTTCAAATTATCTTTTAGTCATAATTTTCCATTTTTCATGTAGTTTTTGATCACTGATAACAATTCTGCTAAGTTTAACTCCAAACATCCGTTATGACGTGGTAAGATTGAAAATCTCGAAAGTATTGAAAATGTAGCAAGTGATTTTTTGATGAAAAGGTTCAAAAACTACTTTACTTGTCTAGTTATCACAATTTGCAACACAATTTCGACATAATTTCAATTCACAAATTGTGACAGAACACAATTTTTATTTCAATAATTGTTCCGAATAGAGTCGACGAAAAACATAATGTGAAGTTCAAAAATACTTTTCCCAAAAAAGGAAACTTTTCAAAAGTACATTCTTATCAAATGTGTCAATCTTATCCATCATCCATAAATACATATATTTTCTTCTACCTACCAGCGCGCAGTCTCTAATTATCCACCTCCCCTTCTTTTCCAAAATATACCGACTAATCCCTTCTTTCCCTTTTGCCAAGATAACTAACAAGGAATGTTCCACAATGTTCCCCCTCGAAAAAAGGTGGGACTATGCGGGTATTGTAGGTCCCCCTGGGCTTGAAAAAGCCCAAAGGGATTTTGTAAGTAAAAATTTTTAACAGGAGTTTTTTGGGAAAAAATTTTTTTTTTGAAAATTTTTCGATTCTGAACTTTAAAAATTTGAAACTAGGGTTAGAGTTGACTAAATTACTCGATCAAAAAATCAAAATGAAGCTAAAATGCTATACTTTTAAAGGTATTACAGCTCTGTTGATGAAAAAAATATTAGAGATTAAAAACCAATGAAAACGAAAAAATTTGAAAAGACCAAAAATTGGAAAAGCATGAAGGAGGCGAATTCATGAGTTCTAGTTGCTTCCAAAGCATTCAGAACGCAAATTTAGGTCTAGGCACACTTTTTCGGAAAATTTGACCGTGGAATATGAGCACTTTACAGTTTTGTAGGCGAATAATCCAGAAAAATGCATCTTGTAGGTGCAACCAATGGTGACCAAGTGGTTAACACGCATGATTATTGAGAAATCAGTCATGGGTTCGATCCCACATGCTTCCTACTTTTTTTTCGAAGTGACAACATAATCAAATATGTTCTCAAGGCGTTGAATATGACATAAAAGGTTCTCTAGACTGGTCTCCTTGAAAGAAATTGTCTCAAGGCTTGGCTCCTTGAAGCAAACAGTCTCAAGGTTCGGCTGCTTGAAATACATCACCTCAAGGCTTGGCTGCTTGGACTACATCACCTCAAGGCTTGGCTCCTTGAAGCAAACAGTCTCAAGGCTCGGCTTGTTGTCATAAATCGTTTCAAGGCTTGGATTCTTGAACAAAACATTCTCAAGGCTTGGCTCCTTGAAGCAAACAGTCTCAAAGCTCGGCTCCTTGAAACAAACAGTCTCAAAGCTCGGCTCCTTGAAACAAACATTCTCAAGGCTCGGCGGCTTGGACTACATCACCTCAAGGCTTGGCTGCTTGGACTACATCACCTCAAGGCTTGGCTCCTTGAAGCAAACAGTCTCAAGGCTCGGCTTGTTGTCATAAATCGTTTCAAGGCTTGGATTCTTGAACAAAACATTCTCAAGGCTTGGCTCCTTGCAGCAAACAGTCTCAAAGCTCGGCTCCTTGAAACAAACATTCTCAAGGCTCGGCGGCTTGGACTACATCACCTCAAGGCTTGGCTGCTTGGACTACATCACCTCAAGGCTTGGCTCCTTGAAGCAAACAGTCTCAAAGCTCGGCTTGTTGTCATAAATCGTTTCAAGGCTTGGATTCTTGAAACAAACATTCTCAAGGCTCGGCGGCTTGGACTACATCACCTCAAGGCTCGGCGGCTTGGACTACATCACCTCAAGGCTTGGCTGCTTGGACTACATCACCTTAAGGCTTGGATCCTTGAAGCAAACAGTCTCAAGGTTCGGTTCCTTGAAGCAAACATTCTCAAGGCTCGGCTGCTTGGACTACATCACCTCAAGGCTTGGCTGCTTGGACTACATCACCTCAAGGCTTGGCTCCTTGAAGCAAACAGTCTCAAAGCTCGGCTTGTTGTCATAAATCGTTTCAAGGCTTGGATTCTTGAAACAAACATTCTCAAGGCTCGGCGGCTTGGACTACATCACCTCAAGGCTCGGCGGCTTGGACTACATCACCTCAAGGCTTGGCTGCTTGGACTACATCACCTTAAGGCTTGGATCCTTGAAGCAAACAGTCTCAAGGTTCGGTTCCTTGAAGCAAACATTCTCAAGGCTCGGCTGCTTGGACTACATCACCTCAAGGCTCGGCGGCTTGGACTACATCACCTCAAGGCTTGGCTGCTTGGACTACATCACCTTAAGGCTTGGATCCTTGAAGCAAACAGTTTCAAGGCTCGGCTTGTTGTTATAAATCGTTTCAAGGCTTTAGCTCCTTGGAACAAACATTCTCAAGGTTCGGCTGCTTGAAATACATCACCTCAAGGCTCGCAGTTGAATGTATTTCACAAGAAGCCGAACCTTGAGGTGGTGTATTTCAAGCAGCCGAGCCTTGAGACTGTTTGCTTCAAGGATCCAAGCCTTAAGGTGATGTAGTCCAAGCAGCCAAGCCTTGAGGTGATGTAGTCCAAGCAGCCAAGCCTTGAGGTGATGTATTTCAAGCAGCCGAACCTTGAGACTGTTTGCTTCAAGGAGCCAAGCCTTGAGACAATTTCTTTCAAGGAGACCAGTCTAGAGAACCTTTTATGTCATATTCAACGCCTTGAGAACATATTTGATTATGTTGTCACTTCGAAAAAAAAAAGTAGGAAGCATGTGGGATCGAACCCATGACTGATTTCTCAATAATCATGCGTGTTAACCACTTGGTCACCATTGGTTGCACCTACAAGATGCATTTTTCTGGATTATTCGCCTACAAAACTGTAAAGTGCTCATATTCCACGGTCAAATTTTCCGAAAAAGTGTGCCTAGACCTAAATTTGCGTTCTGAATGCTTTGGAAGCAACTAGAACTCATGAATTCGCCTCCTTCATGCTTTTCCAATTTTTGGTCTTTTCAAATTTTTTCGTTTTCATTGGTTTTTTAATCTCTAATATTTTTTTCATCAACAGAGCTGTAATACCTTTAAAAGTATAGCATTTTAGCTTCATTTTGATTTTTTGATCGAGTAATTTAGTCAACTCTAACCCTAGTTTCAAATTTTTAAAGTTCAGAATCGAAAAATTTTCAAAAAAATTTTTTTCCCAAAAAAAACTCCTGTTAAAAATTTTTACTTACAAAATCCCTTTGGGCTTTTTCAAGCCCAGGGGGGACCTACAATACCCGCATAGTCCCACCTTTTTTCGAGGGGGAACATTGTGGAACATTCCTTGTAAGAATGAAAATGATTGCGTGATTATGATCAGGTCAATGTCATATTACTAGACATATATTTTGTCTAATCGTTGACAATATATAATTAGAGGGACACTAGATCCGAGACTATTTTTATGTTTGTTTTTTTTCAAAACAACATCAAAACATAGGAAAAACACAATGAGGTCAATTGATACTTGAGAAAAAAGTTAACAAGCGAAAGTTGTTTCAGGGAGGAATTCGATTGGAAGTTTTGAACTCGTCTGATGAACCAATCGCAATTTTCACCAATTTCAACGATGCGTTCAATGTTACCGAAACTTCGAAAAAAGTTGAGCTTCCGCCAAATTTTGAATGTAAAGATTGTGCAATTCGAATGACGACACAAGCCACAGAATATGGAAATTCATATTTCTTCTATTCATGCGCTGACATGAATATTGTTAATGGTAAGTTCCACATCTCTTATATAAGATTAGATCATTTACCAACACACTCTTATTTTCAGAAATTCCTGATGGTGACACCTGTCTTGGAAATGGTAACCGAACAAATGGAATTTGTCGTTGTTTCGATGGTTTCTCTGGAAATGATTGTCAATTCGAAGATGAATGTAAAGAAGATGATGATTGTGGAGTTCAAGGATATTGTAAAGTTGGAAATAATCATCCAAGAAGTCAATGTTTTTGCCCAGTTAGCAGACATGGAAAGAATTGTGAACAGGAATCAGACAGCATCCGAAGTGTCGCTGATTTTGACGAGACTCAATATCAAAAACGCGAGGATCAAGGCAATCAAATTTTCTGGCGAGTATTGAAAGACGAGATCGAATTTGTTCTCCGTTATCCTGGTCAATCTTGGGTTGCTTTGGGATGGAAAACACCAGGAGCCACTTGCGATGTTACTCCAGAAGATTTTGCTAGCAAAATGAGAAAGTTTGAATCCACCACAACTCCCACTGGTATCCCAGATGTTATTTCGAGTTCAACAATTCGTGAACAAACCGACAACGGAGATCACGAATGTGGACCAAATGAGATGTGGTCTGAATGTCCTGAATCTTCAAGAGAATGTGAACATTCATGCGATTGGACACATTTCCCAGAAACTACACCAAATTGTCCAAATACTTGTGGAGAACCACGTTGTATTTGTAAAGAAAGCTTTGTTCGTATGGCAAATGATGAAGATGTTTGTGTTCCATTTGATTTCTGTGAGAAAACAGTCAGCGAGAATGAGAGTTGTCAATCGAATTCGACTTGGGCTAAATGTGGAACTGCTTGCGAACCAACTTGCGCTAATATGTATGACACATCTCCCTGCCCAGCCAGTTGCGAAAAACCAGCTTGCACTTGTGCTGATAATTATGTTAGACATAACGGCCAATGTATTTATTGGGGAGATTGTCCAGAACTCGCTGAAAAATCAACAACAAAAACAAGTGATATCACAGCCACTCCAAGCACTGTTTCTATTTCTAATAAAGCTGTTTCTGCTCCACATGCCAGAGTTCCACCAACTGAAAAAGTTGTTGTTTCTGAATGTGCTTTGAACGAAACTTTGAATGAATGTGGACGAGTTTGCGAAGCTGATTGTGTTTCGATTTTCACTCGTTCTGAATGTAGTGATTGTGGATCAGCAGCCTGTGCTTGTATTCAAGGATACGCTAGAAACAGCGAAGGAAATTGTGTTTACTGGGGAGATTGTACAGCTCAAGATACCAGCTCTCAACCAACATCAACAACTTCTGCACCAACCACAACTGGATTACCACAAACTGCTCCACCAAGTGTCAATGGAGATGTTTGTTATGGTGATTTCCGTTATCCAACCGGATGTTCTGATTGTGAATACAAATTGTCATGGAACTTCCTCGAAGAGACCAATGAAGTTGAATTCTCTTTGGAGACTAGACTCGGAGAAAATTCGTGGTCTGGAGTTGGATTCAGTGAAGATGGAACTATGCAAGATGCTGATATGATTCTTATCACTTCAAGAAATGGAAAACTCAGTTTGAAAGATATGCAAAGTCGCGGATATGATGTTCCAGCTCTTGATGCTCAACAAGACGTCAAATCCACTTCTGATGTCGTAAGTTTTATTTTTTCTATTTTAGAAATTTTAAAAAATGATGGATATTTTTCAGATCGGAACCCATGCTAACGGAGTTCTCCGAGCTCAATTTGTCAGAAAAGTCAATACCGGAGATGCAACAGACAAACAATTTGATGGAGATTCTTGCTGGAAAATGTTGTACCCAATTGCTGGTGGAAAACTTGATCAATATGGAAACATCTCAATTCATTTGAGCACACCAATCTCGTCTGAAAAACCAGTATGTATTAGAAGTTGTAGACCAAACAAGAAACAAGAAAAATCGCCATTGACCACATCCTCGCCAACCACTGCTTCATCATCATCATCGTGTGGAGTTAGTGAATATAGATTCCCAGAAGGATGTGCTGATTCGGATTGTGATTATATTGCTAAATGGACTTATGATACTTCGAAGAAAGATGTTAGATTTGAAATCAGTTCGAAAACAGCTGGAAGATGGACTGGAATCGGATTCTCAAAAGACGGACAAATGGCAAACTCTGATGTTTACACCGGATGGGTTTATGAAGGAAAAGCTTATATCACTGATAGATTTGCCTATGGAAGACAATTGCCAGCAATTGATCCAGCTGATCGTCAAGATATCTATGATATTGGAGGTAAAACAGTCGATGATACTCAAACAATCTGGTTCAGAAGAAAATTGATCTCGAAAGACAGTAAAACTGATCTTTCACTCGATGAATGTCTCTATTTCTTGTTCCCAGTTGGAGGAGGACGTGTTTTGGCTAGAAAGAGTTCCGACTTCACAAATCCAAAAACACCAATCGGATATCACGATCAAGTACAACCCCAAGTTTCCGCTGCCAAGATCTGTATCTGTGACGAATCAGGAAAATCAGTCTCCCACCAAACCAGTTCCCCAGTTTCTACTCGTGTTCGCCGTGCAGCAAATCGTGTAACAAGTGCAATGCATTGCACAGATATGGTTGTTGGTATGGTTTCGAATGGCCGTGCTAGAGTTATGGATTATTTCTCACCATCAAAGGCTACACCAATGGTTGATTCATTCTTCGGAGGAGAAAACTCGTTGTCGTCAGCTGCTGCTTTCCAAGAAGATGGAGTTACAACAGTTATCTTCAGAAAGAAGATTGAATCTAGTGAAAAATGGGACAACTCATTTATAAATGGACCAATGACTGTTATTTGGGCCAAAGGAGCTGATCCATTAAATTATGTTCACACAACTGGTGGAAATCCAATCAAGGCAGATACTGATTTCTTTGCCAACTCTTTCAAATACCACGGAAAGAATGCTAGGGGAGTATTGACTATCAATTTCTTGGAAGATCAACGACCAGTTGCTCCAACAGTTCATGGAATGCATCTTGATATGCACACTTGCGAAGGAAATATCAATTATCCAGAAGGATGTGTTGGTCAAGAATGTTCATACACTATTTCGTGGATAAGTGACGGAACTGTTGCTCGTTTCTCTTTGCGTGGAGCTTTCGCTACTGGAACTTGGACTGCTCTTGGATTCTCAACTGATGGTAATATGGCTGCGGCTGATGCCGTTGTTGTTGGAATTCAAAACAATAATGTTATGGTGACTGATCAATTTATGCCAAATTATGGAAGACCAATTGTCGATGAACAACAAGATATTTTCGACGTTGAATCAACATATATCGATGGAATTTTGACTGCCAACTTCTCTCGTGAACTTCACAGCGATGATTCTCATGATGTTGATCTTCAAGAATGTGTCTATTTGTTGTATTCACCATCTGGTGGTGTAATTGAGAAGAATGGTGAGATTCGCAAGCACGAAGGAACCCCATTGAAGAGTCAATCAAAGATTTGTCTCAATAAATGCACAACTGATACAAAGACAGCTGTCAGTAAACCAGTTGCAGAAATCACAACAACTCCAACCACTTCAACACCAATCACTTCCACAACAAGAAAGGCTCCATCTACAATTCCATCAAGACAACCAGGAAAGGGACCAGTTCAAATGCCACCAATGCGCACCAAAACTCCATATGTGGTTTATGAACCAGAAACCGAGGCTAAGAAACGATACGGACTTCGCGTTAGAATTCTCAACAGAGAATTCAATCCAGCTTTGCTCGACTCGAAAACCGGATATTATCAAGATTTCACCAAAGAAGTCACTGGAGCCATCGATGAACTTCTCGCAAAACGCTGGAAAGGAATGCGTGTCTCTAAAATCGTTGGATACGAAAAAGGATCAGTTATTGCTGAATTCGAAGTCGTCGCCACTGAACAAACAGCCAAAGTTATGGAACTCAAATCGCTTGTCGAAGAAAACGCAGTGCGCGGAGCAATCGGAGCATTCTCAATTGAACCATCAACTGTTCGAGTCAACGAAGTTGATACCAGTGTTGCCAAGAGAGAAGAAGACGTTCTTCAAGATTGGTCAATGTGGAGAAACATCGGAATTATTGCTCTTTGCTCAGTATTCATGCTCATTTTTATCTCATTGATCTGTTGTTTGTTGTGCAGATGCAGAAGACGAACAACTTATGTAAGTTTGGATAAATGAACAGAACGGTTTGAGGTTGAAAAACATTTCTTTTTCAGTCAGCATACCCAGTCGCTGATGCTCATATGTCTTATGGTGCTCGAATGATGAACGAAAAGGCTGGATTTGACAATGCCATGTATCACAATCCATCGTCTCAACGATACTACTCCCAAACTACTGTTGCGTCAACAAAACTATCAGATGAAGCACCACCAGGCGGAGTTGGAGAAACTACCTATCAAGAATGGTATAACAAGGTAAGTCAACTCAAAAATATCACAGAACAAAGAGATTAATATCATTTTATAGGTTGGTTCAAAGCCAGCATCTCAACAAGTTGAAGAAGCGCCAATCGCCCCACCATCAAATCCATCTCGTCCGCCATCAACTCAACCCTATGTGTCTTATCCAAATGATCCAACCGGATATTACACATTAGGCGGTAGAAATCGACAAAATTCGGGCAGCGCAGCTCATCGTTACTAAATTTTATTGTTCAGTTTTCAACTTTTTCGTTTTTTTTCGGTGCAAACACCAAACACACAACACACAATGGGTATTTTCTCACATTTTGCCTTAAACCTTTTCTACATTTTTTGCCTTGTTTTGCTCATCAAATTATTATGTATAGTCTTTCTTTATTATATTTGTCCAAATTTCTATGCTTTTCTCTATGAATCAATGAAGAAATATGATGAAAAAACATGTGAATACAACAACAATTTGTTTCTTTTAAAAGTGAGAAGTAGAAGAAGAAGAAGAAGAAGTCACCGGTTTTGTAGAAATATAATATGCAAATATGGATGAATCTAATCGGTCTGGAAAAAAATGACGAATGTTGAAAATCCAAAGGATGAAGTAGTTACAACAACAGAGGACAACAAGTTAGCGAAAAGCCAAAAATTGTAAGAAAAAAATTAAAAACAAAGAAGAAATTAATTCACTACTACTATTATGTTTACAACTAAATATTAGTCAAGCAACAAAATACACGAAATTGATAAAACAACAAAAGGTTTCTAAAACCTTCCAACACCGAGACTAAAAAAAACAAAAGGAAAACCAAGCTTTAGGCTTCAGCTTCAGCCTCAAAATCAAGCATATTCAACAAATCTTGATTTGATGAATAGCGTGGAACATGGCTAACAAGATTACAAGAAATACGTACATCATCCTCGTCCTGTTCATTTGGCGATGATAATTTCCTGGCAGATGAATGTTTGTTCGAATAACCATTTGTGAATGAGTGTGAATGATGCATCAAATTATTGTTTGTTGGAGTATGATGTCCATTTTTAGTCGGATGCCCATTTTCTTTAATAACTGGTGGTGTTCCGAATGGAACTTGTCCATGTTTTGCATTCATTGATTTTCTTCGTGTTACTTGATAATCAATTTCGCTATTTCCATTTGCATGAAGAGCCCATTCACGTTTCTCAAGATCAGCTGTCAACATTCCCATAATTCCTTGTCCATTCTCATCTTCTCCCGAATCATAATCATCATTAACATTGCTTTCTCTAAAAACGGATTTGGTGTTAAAAAATACTCTAGAAGAAATGGGTAACATTTTGAGAATGAAACTATTTTTTTTCAAATTTTGATTGGACCACACCTCGGCCAAAATCGTGGTTTCCGAAATAAAAATTGTACACTAACAAGTACAAAAATTGTGAATTTTTCAGTTTTTGTCCTCTAAAAACTGTGATTTTTCAATTTTTGACCTCTAAATTCAGTTTTTTCCAAAAATTGTACTCTGGCCAGCCACGGCTTGGCCGAGGTGTGTGATTGGGCACAAAAATTTCCAAAACACTCGGGTCCGTTTCAAAATTTGCTCTCAGAAGGCAAACATTTCAAAATTCTAGATCCTCATATATTTTTTTGAATTTCAATTTTGTGATCTCCCCAATGCAAATCTAGACTTGAAAAACTAACTTATCACTGCATGTTTCCAATTCCGAAACCAACAAATCTCCTCCAACTTCAAACCAATTTTCAGGCATCTTCTTAGTCGGATATTGTAATCTGAATAAATAATTGGCAGCATCTTTGTGTTTGAATTGTCTCGCATCATCCAATGGATACCTTCCCCATCTGTCACGAGAATCATGTGGAATACCAACAACATTCACCAAGAATTTGCAAACTTTTGTTTTTCCTTCTGCAGCCGAAACGTGTAATGCGGTACGTTTATCGTAATCAGCAGTTCGAAGATCAGCACCTTGCATGAACATTCTGCAAAATAGTTGTTTTTTGGTTGAAAACTTGTGATAAACAATACCTTCTCAAAGAGTCAAGATCTCCATTCTTTGCAGCATACATAACTTGTACAATAGTTTCAGTCTCTCGATGTCCAATTCTTCTTCTCGGATCAATTTTCTTCGAATCATCCGGATGCAACAAACTATCATAATTGTGGAAATTGAATTTCTCAACAAGTTTCTTGCAAAAAGCAACACCACGGCACGAATTTCCAGTTTTATCAAGTGGTGGAGAATACAATGCAATTCCCATAACATTCGGAATAACAACAATCAATGTTCCAGAGACACCAGATTTCGCAGGAAGACCCACCTAAAAACGAATTGTTTTCAGATGAAACTAAATTACAATATTTACCTGGAAAGCGAATTTTCCTGAATAATCATACATTCCGCACGAATACATCAATGAAAGAATATCACGACAAGGTCTCGATCCGAGACATTTTTCAGTTGTCAATGGACAAATTCCACCATTTGCCAATGTCGCTGCCATAACAGCCGCTGTATCACAATTGGTTTCCAAAGAGCAAAGTTGGAAGTAGAGATCGAGTTCTTCGCGAAGTCCCTGAAACATTGAATGATAGTCGATTGTTCTAGAAAATTTCGGGTGAAAGCGGAAAAACGCTGGACGTAACGGAATAGAAAAGCGAGTACAAGAGAGGTCCAAAATGTGTCAGGTACAACTTTTTTTTTCCTAAACTTTAGCCACTTGAATTTGAAAATCAACTTCAAAAAAGTTGAACATAGACCTCTCTTGTTAGGTTAATTATAGCTCTAAAGTTTTAAATAAGCAGGGTGACATAAATTGTTAAAACCTTTGCCTTTTCGTAAACTGTCGATTCATCCGGGAAACATCTATATTCTTTCATATAATACGATAAAGCATAATTACGATCAGCAGTGTCTCTTTCAGAAAGGAATCTGGAAGTATTTTGATCATAAATGTTTTTCGAATGAAAATAAATAAATAACTTACGTTGCATTATCGAATCCGACATGCCCACCACCAGCAAGTTTTCGATATTGTTTCAACATGAAATCGAATCGATCAGACATCGAATTAGTTGGTTTGATCATTGAAGTGACAACAATTGCACCAGCATTGATGAGTGGATTGTGTGGCATATCTGAAAATAAATTTATTCGTGGGAAATTTTTCATCTAAATTCTTACTGTTGGAATCCAAGCAAATTTCATTGAAAAGTCGTCCACTTGGCTCGTGTCCAACATATTGATGGAGGAATGTTGAACCGATTTCAGAGGCAACAATCGCGTAGTTGAAAGCCTGAAAATTCAATGATTTGTAGAGGAGAGCGATGACAAATAAAATGACATTTTTGAAAACCAAACATCACTTATTTTGAAATCTAAAAATTTGAAAAACAATAAAAAATGATGCTTCTCAAAATGTTATGGGCCTATGCAGAATGATATTTTGTAATAAAAAAACATTTTTTTTCCTATGCAGAAAAACGTCGAAAAAACAAAATATACAGTTTATCATTTTGAGTGGAGACAACGTGAAATTGAGAGAGTGCAGACAAAAAACCCAATTTTATGTCTGCGCTCTCTCAATTTCACGTTGTCTATATTTTGTTTTTTCGACGTTTTTCTGCATAGGAAAAAAATGTTTTTTTATGTTTTTTTATTACAAAATATTATTCTGCATAGGCCCATTAGAAAAATGATACTTCAAATATTTTTTAGGTTTAAAACTCACTTCTGGATATCCCAAAACCTGTTTTCATTTTGTTCATTTCAAACAATGAAGTTATTTTTATTTGAAAAGAAAGACAGTTCACGTTCCAAAAACAATTTTTTTAAATTATTTTTTTAAAATGTTTTTTCCACTAAATGTTGTTTCATTCCCACGTGAAATGTTACGTTCAAAGGTTTTTTTGGTCTAAATTTCATTTCAAATTTTGCCTCACCTTCGAAACACTTTGCAAGCAGAAATTTTTCTTCGAATCTCCCAACGAAAATCTTTGTCCATCAATTGTGCAAATCGACATTCCCCAATTTTGGCTCGATTGTCTTGCTAATTGTGGAATATACGATGCATTTTCACCTTCTTGAATATCTTTGCATTGATTGAAGATATTTTCGATGGCTTGAGTAAATTCAATCCACGATGGAATAATCAATTGATTTCGAAGAGTTCTTGAGATGAGAATGGTGCATGGGAAGATAATTCTGAAAGAAAATGAGCATTTTATGAGATAAATAGCATAAATTATGACAAACTCTTTGAATTGTTCCATATTCATAGCCCATTGTCGAGAATCCTCATTTTCTTCATCGTGTTTTTTCATTCGATCAAACATTGGTTTGAGTCTTGGATCATTGTCACGCAATCCAAAAGATTTGAGCACTTTAATGAGTCGGAAAAATGAGCAATCCGAGCTGTGTGGAAGTTTGAAGAGATTGCAAATCAATTCAGCGGCTCTTTCCATTTTCTCATTTTGAACAAGAGTTAATTGATTAATAGTTTGAGCCATCAAAGGAACCACAGATTTCTTTCGACCCAAAACATCACCAATAAAAGCCAATGATTTTTCATCAAGTTGAGTTGCTTTTGCCGGATCATCGCGATTCACATAAGCCGGATCATTTGATTCGACTTTCAATGCATCGAAAATACCCTTTTCCGGTAACATCATCGACATTTTTATAACGATTTTTAGAGTTGGCAGGGTTTTCTGCAAAACGTTTAGGTGTTAACCTAACCAAACACAAAGTTTAAAATGATATAGAAATAGAGAGAGGGCGGTGATATTTATATAATTTATTTAGACTTTTTTTCAACTTTCGGACTCGACTATTTGAGTTTCGTCTTTATTGTAATTGAGAGAAGATGACGATAATGAACCACGTGTGTGGGTTAAGTTAAATAACTTATTGTAAACTTTGTTCAAATCTATAAAGACGAAACTATTCAGGTGGTCTGAATTTAACCAAAGTGGCTAAAAATGTTTTAACGCTTTGTAGTTAGTATCTTTCTCCATATAAAAAATATATATAAGAGAATACTGAAAATGGCGCGACACCTGCGGACACTCAAAAAAGAAAAAAGAAATGTCTGAACATCTGGCAAAGAGATTGAGCTAATAAAAACTGAAAAAAAAGCAATATGAAATAGGCGCTTTTTTTGTTTCAACATTGTTATTTTATGACCTATGAAAAGTGTTATCAGCAAAAAAGTGTCAATGAACGTTTTTTTTTTGGAAAAAAACAACAATCTCTGTTTCTCTGAACATATCCAGCTTTCGCCGAAAAATATGCAAAACCGTGGAAACACAGAGAAATGCGAAAAAAAAGTGTCCGTTTTCTCAAGACGAAAAAAAATGATGCAATGGCATCTGGCTCGTTCTTCGCTCGCGCGCGCGCCAAAATGTATGATTCAACTCAGCAAAAATCGAGACAATAGTTTAGGTAGCCAAGAAATGAAAGAGACACTAATTGTGGCAACTAAAACATCGAATTTCGGGGAGTGCGAGTGCGCGGTAATAAAGGCACAGGGTCACATTTTGTTATCATGAGTTTTACGACTTCAATTGAAATCTTGGCGACGGCGGCGAAAATCAAGAAATCGTGACGATCAAGGGTCGATGATCTTTTTTGTTTTGTTATTCTTCTGGATGTTTCCAAAATTTAAAAAACTTGGAAATATATAGATATTGAAATAAACAAACACTTTGAAGTGATGAAATTCGATCCTCATGCGACAAAGATAAGTACAACATAAATGAAAAGTTTCAAGTCAGACATTTTTTTGTTGATAAAACATGAAATGAACAATTCTAAAGTGACGCAAATTTGAACAGTTGTCCACTTTAAAAGCACAAATTTCTTCCCACGTGTGCAACAATAGGCAGAAAAGAAATAAGCAACGAATTTGAATATAAATAGAAAATTTTAGCGAGAAAAAGCGAAGATGATTCAATAGAACTATTGTGAACTGAAAAGTGGGAATAATAAAAGAAACTGTGAAAATCATCAATCTTTTTCACAACCAAAAAAACTGTTTCTTCGCGATACGCCTTTTGGAAACCAACCGACCGACCGCGTGTTTCGTTGTAAACCAAAACATTCTTGCTAGATAAAACTGTTCATTTCCGATCCGATGAAATATCGAGCGAAAGATGAAAAAAGCACAAAATAATATTGGTCATAGACCAAGAAGAGTTCACAATGTGTAATCTTTTTTAAGCAATAAATATAACTCTCAAATGAACAAAAAGTGTCCTCATCTCATGACATTCAAACATTCTGCGATCAACTAAAAAAAATGGAGAAAGACGACAACAACTTCGGTTTTTACAGTAGCCTCTATCAGTCGATTGGTAATAAATCAGTAAACAATTTGGGGGAATACCCCCATTATCAGGGGTTTTCTACCAAAAAAGTGAATGATAAATGAGTTCAGCAACTTTACGACAAAACACTTTTTGAACTTTTATGTCGTCTCGATACATGTTTACGATTTTGTTAGGAAGTTGAGACAAACTGAAATAAAAAAATTAGATGATCAAATCCTTATCAAGAAAATAAAAACAGTAACCATGTGCGCGGGGAAACCCGTCTAAAAACGTTTTTTATTGTTTTTCTACTCATAAAAACTCTTACTTGTAAGTAAGTATCTGAGCGGTTTTCTTCTACCAAAGTTTCTACATTTTTCGTAATCAGTCAGTCAGTTTTTACGACTTTTTTTGCATTGCAATAAAATGGTGTTCCCCAATGTCTTCGTTACAGTAATCTGTCAAAAAACGATGAAAAAAATGAGAGAAAAGATCATCGACCTCGTGATAAAGAGTGCGGGAATACCCCTTTCATGATAAACAATTTGAACGGAAATAAAAGAGAAGAGATGAAAAGTTTGGAGCAAAAAATGATCATGAACGATGAAAATAATGTCCTCAAGTTTCTGTTGCCAACAGTTGTTTTAATGGCTGAGGAAATATTTAGTTTTTGTACTTTTTCGCGCTATGACGTAGAGATCTCATAATCAGTAAAATTTTACACACTTTTTTTGTTTTTTGAAATAAACCTCACCTTTCTACTCCAAAACCGTTTTGTTGCGTTGTAGAATAATCGAAAAACCCACCAAATATTCGTTTTAATTGAGACGATCCTGAAAATCGGCTTTTCTGCTTTCGCTTCGAAGTTTTTGGCGACGAAACAGAAAAAAACGAAAAAAAAAATGTTTTTTATATATATATCACAGCCTCCACACCTGCGTGAAGTCTGCGTCTCACTCTCTCGTCGTTCGCTGAGTGAGATGGAGCGCGTTTGCTGCACTCACTTTTTTCCATTGAAAAAAAACTTTTTCTTTATTTTTTCGTGTTTTTTGGTCGCCACGATTTTTTTCTGCGCTAATACGAAGCTAAACTTCAAAATAGAAGAGATTTGGAAGACAGAGATATATAAAACATCTCATATCGAGTCGAAATTCAAGGAGAACATTCGAGCGGAAAAGTGAGTGTTTTTTCAACTTTTTTGACTTCAAATTTTTGAGCAAGAAAAATAGTTTTACAGGTTATGGGACATCTACAGAAGCGCACGTTGAGAAGGAGAATTGTTCAAAAAATCAAAAAACTCCAGAATACAGCTCTTTGCGTTGTCCGAAAATATGAAATTTTCAACTTCAAATCGATGCTTCCACCAAAACTGAACTTCAAATATCGAAATAGTTGATGCAAAAAAATGTGAGAGGATGTCAGATAAATACGAATCATGGAGAAAATCGAAGATTGGATGGAGTTTGGTGTCGATATTCTATGATTCTGGGAGAGAGAGACAACAGTCATGTTCAATGGCGAACTTGTTAAACTTCTGAGCCATGGATTATTGCTTATGAACGTTATCCGAACTTTGAGAAGCACTATTTAGTGAATTGGTTCGTTTTTTACAAAATTCTGTCTCGTTGAAGGTTCATGAAAACTCGTTTTCAAAGCTACTTTTCAAAATTTATCACCATTGTCTAGTGTATATTTTCCAGGTCCTCTACCAACTCGAATCTTCTCAATTACACTCTGAGATTGGAATGCTTCGTATGGATTCACCAGGATCGAATTAATTTTATAATTTTCGTTGAATTCTAATCGAAATTAGGGCGATTTTGAATAAGAATAAATGTTGTTTCATAAATTCGAGTTTATATCCTGAAACTAATTACAGAAAAATGTCGGTTAACATGGCACGTAACCTAAAAAATGAATTTTTTGTATTTTTTTCAAAATATCCCGAAGAGAAAGCTCAGAATCAGTGTCAAAACGGTCATTGGTTTTGTTTGTCGATTTTCTGATTGAAAATGTGGTCAATGTTTCTCAAAATGTATTTCTCTGCTTTCGTGAGATGCTCCTCTTTCTTCTCATATACAATTCATTTGATGAAACCCACGATTTTCAGAGTATTCAATGAAAAAATGCTGAAATTTTTTTAAAAAGAAAAAAACGAGAGAGCGCCTCCCGCTGAAGAAACCGAGAGAAAAAAGATGACGAGAGAGTGTTGCGATCGGAGAGAACGAACAGACACACACAGTTTAGTATGCCGTGTGTCAGAGTGCAGACAGGGCAGCGTTTTTTCATTTGTGGACAGCGTGTTTTTGAAAAAATATTGCATCATTGTGTGTATGCACAACATTTGACGCAAAAATACACACATCAAGAAAGTTTGGAGTCCGATTTTTTTAAATTTTCAACACTAGGAAAACGAACATTTCTCGAATGTTGTTAACAAATCAGTTTTCCATAACGTTTTGAGATATTCTCCTACCTCATTGTCAGAGTTAACTTTGATGAATTCTCGCGTCGATCGTATACCAAATCCATCCATCCAGCCATATTTGAATCGCCTGCGAGAAAAAACAAAAATGAAAATAGAAAAATCGTTATTTTCAAAGCTTCATCCCTTTTTTATTTCCCATGTTTTGCCCCACTCTTCACCAGAAAAACATCATAAACGATGCGCAAAACCCAATGCGACTCCCGTCACTGTTTTCCGGCCTCAGCAAAGGGATTCAATGAAGAATCCTCACTCATGTGAAATGAATGGCTTTGGGTTTCAGAAGCTGGTAGGCGGTACTAACTCAGGGAGCGCGCGCAGACTTTCTCTAGTTCTTGAGGATCCGAGTGGCTATGATTTCGAAATTTATTAAAGCTTTTGAAAGTATAAAATTACACCCTAAAAACTTATCTTTCACATCCTCGCACGGCCAAAAAATACACAAAACAATGAAAATGGCAAAAAATCGATGAGCGTTTTTTAGTTCGCGAAAAATAGAAGAATATTAGCGGGGTAGATCAAAAAAAAATTTTGACCAAAAACATTTTTTTTCAATTTTTTTTCTGTAGGGTTTTTTTATTTTCAACATTTTTTGGTATTCAAAACGTGAACACCGACGTGGCAATTTATGACTTTTTTTGTGAAATAACAATAAAATGAAATTTTCTATCATTGATTTTTGGCTGAAAAGCGTGTTTACCGATGTGGTAAGTTTTAATCATTTTCCAAAAATATATGATAATTAATTTTTAATGAACAAACGAGCTTTTGAAAACAAAATAAAAACAATTTTGATGGATTTATTAATTAAACAAATTATTGAGCTTTTCCTCTCGCAAACATCTTCTTTTGTGGACAAGGACAGTAATGTGAGTCCATTCCCGGGTTGCCAGTGGCTCCTCGAATTCCTGGTTCTCCTTTCGGTCCTCGTTCTCCGCGCGGTCCAAATGGTCCAGGCAATCCCTCTATTCCAGGGACACCAGGACCTCCAGGTTCTCCAGGAATACCATCTTCTCCTCGAATTCCAGGCGCACCAGTTTCTCCATTCTCTCCAAGCACACCTTTAATTCCACGAATCCCAATTTGGCCCATCATTCCTGGTTCTCCAGGTAATCCTTCCATTCCAGGTTCTCCCAATACCCCTTCTTCTCCAATCGCACCTCTTTCTCCATCCATTCCACGTATTCCATTTTCTCCCGGCCAACCTGGAGGGCCAATCGGGCCATCAGGTCCAACTGGACCTGGTTTTCCTTTCGGGCCATATGGGCAAACCCGACATCCATAAATATGGTTATAGAGGATATTTGGAAGCTCTCCAGGCTCACCAGGAGGACCATTGATTCCAGGAAGACCATCTTCTCCACTAATTCCATCTGGGCCTAGAATTTCAAATATTTTTCTAGTGTTGATAAATCTACTCTTGTGAGTAACATACCTCGCTTTCCAGGTCTTCCAGGTTCACAATAATTCAAATAATCACATTCACAATAATTATAAACATGTTGATATTGATATTGCCCATAAGAATAGTGTCTTTTTCTTCGAACATTTGCATCTGCCCAAAATTTCTTCTCAATTTCAATGAAATCATTCAAATCATGATCCAATTTTCGACTGATTTCAGATATTTCACTAAAGAAATGTGGAAGATAAAGAAATAATGGAAAAATCGAGAGAAATGTTAGGAATATTGAGACATGCAAAACTTCGGTCATTTTTTTCGAAAAAAAAAAAGAATGAGAGGATTACGGTGCCTGTATAAAATGTTTTCTTATATACAAGATTCGGTTCCACAGGATTATACCTTTCGGATTAACCATTCTCTGGCAAAGTGGGAAAATTTTGAAGAAAAAATCGAAGTTTTACATTTTCAGAATTTTTATTAGACTGTCTGGTCTCTTTTTAACAAAAAAAATGTTCGAAGAATAATTCATTGTTTGTTGTCATGTTCACCCTGATTTATCTTTTATCAACGACTACTTCAGCAATACAAATCCCAGAAAACTCCCTTGAATCTAATTTAATTGTTAATTATCACAATTCGATTCGAAGTTTATTTGCGAAAGGTGAAATATTTGCACCAAAACCGCCAGCTGCAAATATGCAAAAAATGGTATGGGATTCAGGATTGGCAATGTTTGCAGAGCAACATGTTTTGGTGAAACCAACCATAAATCCGAAATTGCCCGGAACAAGTTTTTTCTATCGAAGTCATATAAACGATCTGAAAATGACAATTCATGAAGCATTGTTTGTATGGGAATCTGAATTGTTTGAAAAATCATGGGAACCTAACACATCTATTAATTTTGATTCTTTATCAAATGGTCTTCAGATGATATGGGCAAAAACAAATAAAATTGGATGTGCATTTGATGAATGGACAAGTCCTTCGAATAATCAAAATCACACGATTTTTGTATGTCGATATGGAGAGAAAATTGGAAAAGCAAAAAATAGTGGGAGAGATAAAACAATATATTTGGAAGGGAAATATTGTTCAAAATGTCCGATTAACAATGAATGTGAAAAAAGTTCAGGACTCTGTATTGAAAAATAAATAATTTTTGAGCGAATCCATTTTCAAGAAATCCAAAAAGACTTCTGAAAATCAGAACTAAAAATCTCACGTGAAATTTTTCACGTAAACCTGCAAGGTTTATTTGCAGTTTTATAAATTGCTGTTACAAAGTTTAACTAGACTATAGTCAGATGAAACGCCCTACTTCAAATGACTGCGGTTCCTTAGCCAATTAATAACTGTTTAGGTTAGAAAAACTTAATCCCGGTCCCCAAAATCCCGATTTCCAGGTTCCCGAGGAAAAAAAAGGAAAAAATAAAAGTAAAAAAGCGACACTTGGCTTGCCTGTTATTTAATTTTCTCACACTGTTTGAGCGGAGTGTCGTTATTTCATTTTTACAAAATTGCGCGTAGGATTTTGTGTTTGCGGGCAGTCGGTGTTGCCACACACTCTTATTTTTTCGTTCTTTCTTTAGGTTTTGGATTTTTTTTGTATTTTTTTTCTGGAAAAAAACATGGTTTTCAGCTGTTTCTTGCGTTTTTTCATATCGAAAAAACGAAGCCGTGTTTGCACATATAGAAACAATTGATGTGACGCCAAATGTTCAGTGATTTTGTCTTTATAACTGCACTGCATGCCAATTTGTGTTTTATGGGACTTATGAAAATCTCTGGTTCAAAATTTATCGAACTATGAAAATGAGGAATTTTCCAAGTGAGTTTTTCTGGGGAACTTTTCCGAAAAAAAACTGTTTTATTTTATTTTTTTTTGAAAGTGCTTTTCCGAAAAGAAATTATAGCTTTCAGTTCTTGAGATCTGAAGATAGATTTTTAAAACTATGTATAGTATAGTATGCTTGAAAGGATTACTGTAGCTCTTGTTATTGTTAGTTATTTTTTCGAATAGTGAGAACATAAGAATTAAAAATTTTTTTAGTTGACCTTTTCCTATAAAAATCCGGTCAATTTCTGTTTTAGCACCCATCCAACAAATATCATTTCGTGTAACACATTCCTCTCATACTTTCTTGCCAACAATAACTAATCCATCTATCCTGAACAAGCCCATCCATCTTTTATTTTTGCGTAATTTACAATACACTTCTGCCTAACCACATGTACAAGTCATAAATCATCTCAACTTACCACCTGCCTGCTTTTTGTTCATCTCATTCTTCTTCTTAACAAAACATTTGCTAATTAATTCGACCTTGTTGAAACGCGCAAAAAAATCCACAATGATTTTATCTCTCGAAGAAAAAGCAAAAAAAAAACTTTTTAATTTTTCTTCATTTATCTAACCTTGAATTTTTCATGTTTTTAATATCAAATCAAAATTCATATGTTTTTTTTTGAAAATGCAATAAATGTAGATGGATAAATCAAATTTCAAAAGGGCCACCTGAATCAACAATGCCACGTAAATAAAATATACGTTTCATTTCAATTAAATATATGCCGATTTTTTATTTTCAAAAAAAAGTGTATAATTCTGAATTGACACCTAAAGTGCATATATGAAGTGTGTCTTTGAAGTTTACCGACCGACTGATTATTACGCTGGTTGACTTTTGAAGTGTGCTCTTGCTCTTTTTCCCAAAAACAACAGATTTTTATTGTCTTCTAATAAAAGCCGCTGACTTCTGCTAACTTCCCAATTGTAAAAATATTGTTTTGATATTTTCCGACCCGGAAAAACTTTCTACTGAAAACATTATTATATATCGTATTATTTTAAAAAGTTACAATTAAAATCTTAAGAAAGGATTATGCGGTTTTCACTGACCGACCTGAAGTTTCTATTTGATCTTTCGGTGAGAACTGAAAGCATCTGAAATATTTAAAAAATATTTGTGGGATTATGTAGGTGCTAATTTGTCGGGGTTTGTTTTATGGAACCAGCGGGAGATATTAGGTTGCTCAAAATTGTTTGATTTAAATAAAACTGTGAAAAATATTCTGAAACTATAAAAATAATTGAAAAATTCGTACTCAAAAATTGTTACTCAAGAAACTACAAATTTCTAACTTTTCCATCATTTTTCCCATATTTTCTTAATTCCGAATTCTCACAGGCCTGTTTCTTCTCATTCTCGTTAGTTCTCAATTTCTCTTATAATTTCATAATACCATGGTCAATTTATGAGTTTTTTATTGTTAAACAAATAATCAAAAAATTATATGTAGCTTGATACTTTTCCACACACAAAATGGAAAACAAACCGAAAAACAGGTCCTCTGTTGTCAGAAAAAAAAATATTTAGCCAAACTTTCACAAATCTGGATCCAAAAAAAGTTCTTGGCTCACAGTTAATTAGTGTATCACCGCTAATTACAAGTATTTATTTTTTGATATTTTTCCGAACAATTAGACACCTGGTGCTAATCTGTCGGCCACTTTTTTCAAACTCAGCAGGACTTCTTTCATGAATATTTTTGAGCCAACTAGAATATAATATAAAAAATAATATAATACTAATCAGTGGTTTTTTCTTCTTTCAATTTCTTCTCATTTCCTTCATAATGTTTGTATTTATTTTGTGGCTGGCCTGTCTGTCCGTCCGTCCGGAAGTGCTTACGGTTTGCTCACTTATTCACACACATATTCATTATTTATTATATTTTTATTATGTATAATTTTTTTTTAGATTACCAACTAAAGAAAAACTATACGAAATTTCCATGACAACATCTTTTTTATCCAGATTTAGATTTTAAAGCCTCTTTTTGATGTATAACTTAATGCAACCCTATATAAACACACTCCATCTTATTTTCCAAATTTGGTGCCATTTTGACCTGACACTAATCCGCTAACATACAATAATGTGTAAACACGAATACATACACGACCTTTTTCCATTCGCCAGCAACACTAAATTTTCACACCTATTGTTTTGTTTATCCAACATTTTCAAGATGAGAAATGTCAACATTTAGTGTGTATTATATTATTATAATATTATAATATAATGATGGATTTCTTGTTTGTCTTGAGACTTGAGAAAATCTCTTGAGTTTGTTTCATGAGGTTGGAGAAGGTAATTAGAAAATGTGCGAAATTGTGGGTGACCTGAAACTTTCTGCTTTTTTTGTGAAAGTTTCGTAATTATCTCGATGTTCCGGAATGTTTTCTGGTATTTTTTTTTTTGGAATTTTAATTCACTTGTTAGAATATTTTTTCTTGTTGTTTGTTTTAGTTGAAAAAATTTGAATATTGAAGCTTTTTAGTCCGGATTTCGTTTTTCCTGCTTGGAATTTTTCAAGCTCTTAACTTTGAACAAAAATTAGATCAAAAATTGACTTGGAAATTCGGAAAACGAAATGTTGTTTCAAAAGAAACATTTTCCAAACTTTTTTTATTGACACGCCATGAATCACATTATATTTTAATTTTATGAATGCAGGAATTTTTAATTAATAGTTTTCAAACATTCGTAAATTCTCGTTCGCGAAACTTGGGAAGCTTTCTAGATTTTTTTCTTCTGTGGCTGAAAATTCTTCATTTCCGATTCTTCTTTAAAATCCAACAGATCTCATACTATTTTAGTACACTTACCATAAATCCCCTGCTGCCACGTGTAATTCCATATAATCCACGTGCCATAATTAGTATACTTTGATTTTTATAATACCTTCCCACCCCATTCCACAACCAAAATACCATGTTTTTCAAGTACTCTTAATTCGAAGGCCACTTTTTTTTCGTATCTTTCAAATTATACTTACTTTTTTTGTGTTATGCTTTGTTATTTTTTTGTTGTCTTATCAAGTGACATTTTCCATCTCATCTCATCTCGTTTTTACTGTTTTTTTGTATCAATCATTCATTCAACCGTTAGTATTACCGCATAGTTTTTTTCATTTTCATATAAATTCGAAAATGTGTTTATTTTTTGTCATTTCTCGAAGGTCAATTTCAATTGTTGTCACCTATATGAGATTGTTTGGTTTTAGTTCTAGGTCATTTTCAAGGTTTCAAATTTTAAGGATGGAATGATCAAAGACTGGCTAAATATTAAATAATAATAAACTTTAAACTTTTTTATTGACTTGTGAGATAATTTTTATTTTATGACTTGTTATGTTTTTGAGACAAGAGGAGAGTGTGACGAAATGATAAGCTTGAGGAATTTAAAAGGAAAGGGCGAACATTAGTATCAGTGTATCGTTTTTTTCGTTTTAGTACTTTGATTATTGAAAGGTTCTAGTGATTGGAGGATTATAAATCGAATTTGAGACTGACTGAGTGATTGACAACAACAGAGAGACACCGTAACACTTTCATTTGTTAGAAAAAGGTTTTTTTTTATGGATAATAGGGAAGTAGAAACTTCTCTGTGAAGAAATTTTAGACATTTTTTCATAAGCTTCTGTAGCTTTCGAAGATCTGTTTAAAGCCAAATTTTGAAATCATTATTAGATATCATGAAAATTTGTGAAATACGGAAAATATTTATTCAGGACTCTGAAAAATACTGAATAGAAAATCTTCCCAAATTTTTCAAAATACTTATCATAGATTTGCGAAAGGTTACTGTAGACCCTATTTTCTTACCCCGCCCTCAAATTCCAAAAGTTTTCTTGCACTTTTATCACTATTTTGAGCCGATTTTAAGCCGATTTCAAAGATTTACTGTAGTCCATTACAAAAAACTATAGATCAGAGTCTGTTTCTAACATATCTCAAAATACTGTGTGCGATCAAAAACCCCGATCCCAAAAGCCATATCAAGTCTTCTTATTTCCGACACTAGAAAACACGATTTTCCCAACATCAAGAATCACTGGAACTTATTCTCATCCCAGTTCTCACCTTTTTTCTAATTTCCCATTAATCTTTTCATTTTTTTCTTCTAAAAACAATCATTCTAATCTTTTTTCTTTATCCATTTATCATAATAATAATTATTATTATTATTCTTATTATTAGGATGTTAATGCTTCTTCTTCTTCCTCGAGGATAATATTTTTCTCTCATCTCTTGTTTTTGTCTGTAGTTCTCCTTTTCCTGAATATGTAATTGCTAAAGGATGAGCGACAGTTGCGCGGATAATAATAACAATAGTGGACACAACAACAGTCAGTCACTCTAAATTTTTTGGCGAAGGCCATTGCATTTATTATTTTACCGCATTTTATTCCATGAAAAAGTTATTTCATTTCATTTTTTCTTCTTAATTCATCCAAGTTTTATTTCTTGGCTCCGCCTTTTTCTAAGTGTGTTAACACATCTGTTGTTGCTGTTACCACCAAGCCACGCCCACTTTTGGTCCCCTCCCGCTTGGTCAGTTTTATGTATATGTGTTATTATTAAGTAACATCTGGCTACGACTCATTTTTCTTCTTCTTCTCGTCCATATTTTTCTTTGTTCGATTCGGATCGCTAATTTTATGGGCTTCGCGGTTTTTCTGTCATTTACGAACCAGTAATTTGGAAGACAATAGTTAGGGGATTTTTTGGCGGCTGTTTGACTGTTTGAATTGTGAGATTGTTAGGTTTAGGAAAGAGGTTTTGCGGTATTCAGAGTTAGGAATTAGTAACTTCGGGATTTATCAGACTTTTCGTGGAATTGAGCTAGACGACCTTCAAACTTGAACTTATTTTTCATTTTTTGATTTTTTCTCGAAATTTCAATAGTCATTTTTCATAATTTATTCCCAAATTAGCCAGTTTTTTCTATTTTCTTTTTTGATTACAGTAGATCTAAAATTACAGAAATCTTGTTATTTTCTAAAAACTGTACTGTTTTTGAGCTGACCCCAAGGTTCTTCATCAAAAGTTCTAAGTTTTTTCTAGAAAATTAATATTTCGAAATCCTGTAATTACGCAAATTTTCGAATTCATATCTTTGAAATGATCTTTGGGAAACGTTTCATATTATAATTTTTTCCATGACGTTTTTCCCAATTGCCATGATTTTTGTGCCATAATTTATTTGAGGGTACTGTAGGTCAAAAATTGGAATGACTCAAAATTTTATCACGCTACCACGTGTTTAATTCGGTCTGAATTTTCATTTTCAAAAAAAAACAGCCATAAAAATAAACACGTGTTCATTCATTCAACCCCTCCCAGCTTTCTCTTTTCCCCTTTTCACCCTAATTTATTCTCGATACCATCTGTCTCATATTTTTTTTGCTATGCTTTGGTCCACTTTCCCCCAGATGTTTATCCCGTGCTCTTTTTCTGTCTCCACCCATCCACATTCAGATTTTTCTTATTCTTCGTTTCATTTTCATCTTCTTCCTCTTCTACACACATATTTATATATCTCTTCTAAATATCGCCGAAAAAGAACCGCTTTATCTTGTTTCTACAAGGCTGCTTTGATGAGATTGTTGTGTTTTTTTTTATTTTTCAAGTCATGTGACGCCTAATTAAGTGTTGATTTTTTGAATATTTTCAATAATTCAATATGAAAAATCGAAAATCAAAATTTGTATTTTTCTGAAAAGTTCTCGAATTTCATGGCAAAAACAAATACAAAAGACAATGGTCTCTCCTCCCTGACACGAGAAAACAATAATAAAAATAATAAAAGAAAATAGCGGGAGGGCGAATCTTACACACTTTTTCGAACTACTACATAAATACCTTTTATACATATATTAATAAATAAATGAATGAATGTTACAAAACCTCACTTTACTACATTCCATTTTCTCTCTTCTTTCTTAATTTTCTTCATCTTCTTCTCTTTTTTATGATTTCCTTTTTTTGTTTTATGTTAGCTATGATGATAACAACAAATTTATTTATTTTATTATATATTTTTTCTGTTTCAGATGGAAGATTTGGACACTTATCGAACAATTTGTGCCAATCGAATTCGTCGACTCGAACGATTCCAAAAAGCTCGAAGTTTTTGCAGTTTGGAAGATCAGCAAAGCACATCGACACCAAACACAACATTTGAACTTATTCGAGAAAAAATGGTTAGTTTTTGAGAAAAATTAGAAGGGGCTTGGAGATGGGAAAAGAGTTTTGGAGTTGCTCATTATCAATATCATATGGGGCCTGAGTCTTCTAGAAGGTTTTAGTTACTGTCAGGGTTTTCCGGATTTATAGGTCTAACCATCTTTATATTAACTTTTGGTGCTGGGATTATTAGGATTCCTTCAAAAGCTCTTTTCAGAACACCTCCGGAGCTCGCGTTTGCTTCTGAGATTGAAAAAAAAGATCTTTCCTATTTTCCAGTAGCCACCCTTCCCCGTTTCTGCATTGGTGGTCCTTCTTCCCACATTCATAAAATAATATGGTGCCATAATGAGCATGAACGACACCCGATTAATTAACATGCTTTGCATTCTTTAGATAAAATCTCCGCCATCATCAGATAATATTTTCATGACGCACTGCGCGCTTTTTCTGCCTGCAAATTCCTCATGCTAACCCAAAAATTGGAATAAAAATGGGCATAGAAATAATATTTGCATATTGTGACCCTAGAAAACACTACATAGTGGTGAAGGGGGATTATTAGATAGATGGTTTTGACGACGGGAGACTAGAGAAAAGAACGACGGGAGAGGGGAATTGTAAATTGATATGGGGTAAATAAATACTCTTAAGGGAAAGGCGACAGGAGGGAATAAGCAGAAGATGGCAAACATATCATCACAAAAAAATAGTAGATGAAAAAGTTATTTTAGGCAAGTTCGGTAGATCAACAGTTTTTGAGGGGGTGGGTGAAATTCGAGACTTGCGGGTAGAGGAAATTGAGATCTGGATAATCAGGTTCTCCCGAGATTTTTGATGCTAGAGTTTAGTTTGAAAATGGTTTTTTTTAATTTGGGACTCACCATGTTTGACACTAAAAATTTAAAATTTTAGAAATACAGTATCCCTGCTCTTTTTTCCATCCAATCCCAACCCATCTTTTTGTCCATTCAAAAACGGAATATTTATTTATGAGCTTATTGTTAGCACCCTCTTTTTTTTTGTCTATTTCGGAACCTTTTCCCTTATACAAACAGGTCCCTTACGCAATTCCTTCTCTTCTTTCCCTCCACAGACAAGAAAATCCTAAATCAAACAAATAAACCGTATTTTTTCTTACAGTTCTCTTTGATGGAGAACGATATGTCCCTTCTACAACAACTTCTGACACTTGGCGATCAAATCAGTGAAATCAAAAAAGAACGACTCAGAAAAACACAATCACAAACTAGCATTGATGAATATGAAGGTGAAGATGATGAAGAAGAAGAGGAAGATGGATTTGGAACTTTTTCGGCATCAATGTCGGCAGCTGTTACTAATTTGTATGTGAATGATGAGAAACCGCAATTCTTCTCGAGACAAAATTCAGTGCTTCGTATTCCAATTCCACCAAGAAGTAGTAATCGATTTGGGCCGAGACGGATTATTCGAAGACCTTCGGATGTTTTGACAAGTCGACAAAATGTTAAAACTTTGTCAGTGAATAGCAGTGACGAGGGAACAAGTTGTGATGAACGAGATAGTAGTATTGTTCAAAAAGACAAAAAGAATCGGTGAGTTTTTACCTCAAAACTTCAAGTTATTTATTTAAAAAAAACATTTTTATAGATCTTCCAATTCTTCAATCGACTCTGGAATCCGTGATGAATCATCGCCAACTTTTGAATCAGAAGTCATCTAATAAATTTCTAAGTCATTTCCCCCTACCTCCTAAAACACTGGTATAATTTTGTTTTCGTTTTATTCCTACATTTTTTTGATAGTAACTATTGACTTGTCCGCCCCGGTTCATCATCAGAAAAAAAACAATAAATGATAAAAACTTTTTGTTATTCACTTTTGAATTATGAGATTACCCTTGTTATTGTTCCTTGTTTTGTCTGTGGTTAGACACGTGGTTTCTGAAAATCGAAATCGATTGGCAATTCCAACGCTGAAAATTCCAGAGGGTTTGACGACACCAAAAACTCCGTATCATTTACCATCTCCCCCGGTAAGAGCTTTGAGAATACTGTAGAAAAAGTATATATTCAGATTACAGGATTACTATTAGAAATTCAAAAAGTTTTCAGAAATATTTAAAGTGTTTTTCTAGGAAACATAGAGTTCTGAAAAGGTATTCTAAAAAAACATTCTGCAAAAATGTTCATCTTTCAAAGTTATAATACGAGGCCTATAAAATTGAAAGTAAGTATATGAAACTGAAGTCTACAAATTTTCAATTCAGAAAGTATCCAGTCGTTCCGAATAGTCGAATATAAAACTTTTTCTTGAAAATTTTGAACACCTACGATGGTTAGGTTATTTACAAAATAAAAATATAAAAACTACAGTAGTCCCAATAAACTTTTTTTCAGAGCGATGTGGCACCAATTCCATTTCTAGATCCTGGTGTAAGTCTTCCTCTTCATATTTTAGTTTTCTTATTCGCAATCCATTTTTTTCTAGAATAATTTAATTTGCGATGTTTGTCAAAACTTTGTCGTTGTGCTCCATGCTCGTCTAACAAATCTCGAAGAATCATCTCGGCCGCAACTTGAACAACTTTTGAAACACGGCTGTCATCTTCTCGAAAAAGTGGAAATCCTCGAACAACCCTGTTTGAATCTAGAAGATCACCTTCTCGATTCATTTTTCAAAATAATCAAAACATATGAAAGTTATCTAACACCTTCTTATGTTTGTGGCTCATTATCATTATGTAAAAAATAAAGAGTTTACATTTCAAAGTTTTCATTTGATTGATAATGTCTGTAATTTTCATATTGTTTTTCTCAATTTTTATTGGGGTTTTGGAAGGCGCTGAAAAATCTCCGCCAAAATCTGATGATGAAATTTGTCTGAGTTGTTTGGCAGCTTTTGGATCTATCAAAAATAGTCTTCCACCGGTCGCCAATTTTTTGAAGACTATTTCAGAAATTGCTATTGAGGTGAGGCCGAAAATCTAACTATCATATCAAAAATATACATTTTTAGAAAACATGTGATCGATTTTTGCCGCACGTTGAAACACTTGAAGCACTTTGTCATGTTCTCGACACAAACATCGGAAATCATCTTTATCAATTTTTGCTTTACATTCATAAATCAATGGACGAACGTGAAATTTGTAAATTCATACGTGTTTGTTCTAAATGACGTGGCAAATAAAACGTATAAAAACTCGATTTCTCCTGTTTTTCGTTATTTCTACATTGTGTGAGCAAAATTAAAAATTAATTGCAAAGCTTTTTCGTCAAAAATGAGCGATGAAGAGCAAAATGAAAAAGTTGAAAGTATCAAACTTGATATGGATCTTGTAAGTTTGTGGGAAAAGCGAAAAAAAAACAATTTCAAATTTCGCGCACACAGCACTCGTAAACGCGGAGTTTCGTTGTTTTCTTTTTATTTTTCTCGCGAAAAATTTATAAAATTAAAATATTTCTATTTGCAGTTGATAAAAGAGCATTGGGCTCCGGTGCGAGAACTTGGAAAGGGTAACTTTGGCAAGGTTTTTCATGTTATGAATATTCAAGATGGAAGAGAAGGAGCGATGAAAACAGAGAAATTAGAGACGGAAAGTTTGTTGAAAATTGAAGTTGAAATTATGAATGAGATGAAGGGACAATCGGCTGCAGTGCAGGTTTTGGATGAAGGCTATTCAAGTGATTTTAGATTTGTTATTATGACATTGTGTGGAATGGATTTGGCAAAAATATCACAGTTGGTAAGTTTTGGCGTCTCAAAATCCTAAAGATATTCAAATTTTCAGCTCAATAACAAGTTCACTGATTCGACAATTCTCCGTCTTTCTATTCGGATTCTTCATGCTATTAAAACGGTATTTTCACTCCAAATCTCTGTCCCCAACTTCAATCAGTCATTTTTCTAGCTTCATGAAACTGGTTATATTCATCGCGATATGAAACCGTGTAACTTGGCACTTGATTATCACAAAGATTCACATGTGATTTATTTACTCGATTTCGGAATGGCTCGAAAATTTGCGCGCCAGGGATCCGATCAGAAATGGTTGATTCGCGCTCCTCGACCATCTTGCCCTTTTCGTGGAACTCTTCGATATTGCTCTCCAAATATGCATAAACGTCTCGAATTGGGTCGCGTTGATGATTTATGGTCGTGGGCTTATATGATAATTGAGATGCGTGTCGAAGTTCCATGGGCAAATACAACACATCCGGATAAAGTTGAAATTCAGAAGAATGAATTGATTCATTCGACTGTTCATAAGGATCCATTGATTAAAACGTATTGGCCGATTATTGAACATTTGAATAGTTTGACATATGCTGATCGTCCTGATTATAGCATGATGTTCAATACGGTAAGTTTTTCTAGAATTTTCAGAATATGGCTTTATTTGTAATGCCCTTTTTCTCTTTCAGATCTACAACAAAGTCAAAGAAATTGAAGCAAATATGATGGATCCGATGGATTTCGATGCAATTCGTCCACAAGATTGTCCTGAACACGAAGCTATAATCAAGAAGTACAACATTCAAGTTGGATCGAGAGAAAAAGTTCGTGATTTGAAAAAGGAGACTGAAGAAATCACCGAATTCTTTGTTCCAAAACCAACCGATGTTCCTGGTGGCGCGAAATTCGTCCTTCCGAAAAATCGAAACTTTTACTATAAACATGAAAGAAGAGATGGAAAATCGAAAGGAGCCGAGTTGAAGGATTTCTCCGAAGCTCCGAAAGGACACGGATTGTCGACGAAGAAAAGTCAGACAAATGTTAGCGGAGAAAAGAATCGAAGTATGAGAAACAAGCAGAAAGTTGAAAGTAAGAGAAATAAGCAAAAAGGGTGAAAGGAATAAATCTATTTATTTGGATTCTGCTGATTTTGAGAACGATTTCTACGTCGAAAATAGTTAGCACCTTGTTTACAAGTAAATGCTGGACGACGACGTTGATTTGTTCGAAGTTCTTCTCGAAATCGACGACGTTCTTCGTGAGTTTTTTTACGAAGACTTTCGAACTCATCTTCCTGAAAACTATTTGTTTTTTGGAATCAACACAGTTCGCTTAACTCACAGTCATTTTATCTTTCAACAAAAGCACCAAATTTTCACCACCATCAAAAAGAATTCCATATCTTCTCTGATATCGAAGCCTTGTTTTCTGATCAAAACTTAATTCCATCATCAATATAATTGCACTCCATTGTCTCAACCATTCTAATGAATTTCCAGATACTTCTGTATATGTATTTGTCATCATAGCGATAAGCATATTTATAAGAAGAAGAGTAACTAAAAGCATATAAATAACAAATGCAATTTTCCCAATTACAGTATGTTCGCATTCTTCTAATTGCTCGAAAAATACCGTGAATTCTGTTAGTGACATTATAAACATTCTGACATACGACTCAGCAACATTACTCATAATAGATGGTTCTTTTTCGATATTCGTGTTAGAATTTCTTTTATAACCCAAAAATATAACATAGAAGGCTGAAAAGTTTGTGATTAAAAATAAAAAAAATGAATTGAATTCACCTTGAGAAAATCCAATAACAATAACCAAATAAATTAGGAAAAATCGCATCAAGTCCCTTATGATAATTTTGTATAACATTAAAACAAATGGCCCCACTGATTTGAAACCTCGACAGAAAAATAAAAACTTCAAGGATGTTAACAAAACAATAATCATCCAAACAACATCTTCAACTTCGTCCAAACAAAATAATCGAAGAGTAAATGAGATAACCATCAAAATGCACGAAAATAGGAATATGGCTTTGGCTGGAAATCCAGATAAACTCAAAAAATATAATGAACTTCCGACATTTTTGATATGAAGAGCTGCTTGAACTAAATAAAGAGTTGCACCGGTTGTGCAAATTATATGAAGAATGTGATGAATCTGGAAAGAAAACCTTGAGATTTTCGGAAACTGAGTTTTGAACCCTGTTTTTCAAAAAACTCACATAAGTTTTAGTGCTCACAGGTGCCGGACGCACATCACTCAAATTCCTTGGAAGGACACATACAAAACTATCAGTTCCATTTTCGACTGATCGAACAAATGGAGTTGGACGAAGTAGAAAACACGTGGTAACACATAAAAAATATACACAAAACATAAAAAGTTGTGCGAATAGAGTTTTCCTTCCATAAGCTGTCCATTTCTGATGAACTAATTGTTCCAATAAATGCGGTAAAAGTGATAAATGTTCTGCTTTTTCTCCATAAACTGCAATTGTTAACACTGATTTCACATTGATTTTTCCAGTTGTTGGTTCAATTGAATCAACATGTTCAAGTGGATATGCAGCTGATTGTGTTCGACCATATGTCCAATTTACTGTTCTTTCTTCCTCAACAATTTTTTGCATCATCTCTTTCTTGGCTAAAAATGCTGCGAGAGTCAAAGGTGTGAGGCCTTGTCGATTCAAAATATGAAGATCTGCCGAAGTTTGTAACGCTAGCTTGAACATCTCCTAAACATAATCTCTTTTTAGAATTTTTTGGAGAAAAATATTGACTGACCCAGTTCTCATGAATCGTACAGATGTGTAGAACAGTATTACCATTGGAATCTTGCGCATTAACATCTGCTCCGTGAGCAACTAACATTCGAAAACATTCTGGTTGACTCAAACAAGCGGCAAAAGATAAAGGATATTCACCCCAATATATATGACCAGGATATTTTGTATGCTTACTTATAATAGCATGTTCAACTTCTTGATGATCAGTTCGAGAGCTTTTCTGATCATCACATGTGAAAAAGTTGCCAGAGCATCGAGAATTTACATCAGCACCATTTTTCAGCAAATATCTAACGATTTCTGCATTCTCCGAAACAATTCCCATATGCAAAACAGTTTCCCCATAATATTCATCACTCAAATAAAAATCATTGATAATTTTTGGAAAAATGTAGATCAATCTTTCAGCTAATAATTTCATATGTTTCGGTAAACCAGCCAGAAAACATGTGTGCAATAAAGTCTCGCCAACTGCTCCGCGACAATTCAAATCCCAACAGACAAATCGAGTTTCGATTGACGGACTTTCATAAACAAATTTGTTTCCAGTTCTTTCTTTATGTCTTTGTGCAATTATTTCTGATAATGGAAGCATTGTTCCTTCTCCATTATTGTATAACATTGGTTGAACCTTCTGCAAAAAAATGAGTTTTTTTTTCAAACTTTAAATTACTCATTATTAACTGAAGAACAACGTTGATCAGATTCTTCGTAATTGTTTTGAAAATCTCATTTTCAGAAATTTCCACGACATTGTTCACTGTTCAAACTTATTGATTACAAACCAACTCTATAAAAACTTAATCGTGTATATTTTTCTCCAATTTCAACTGACCTCCATAATCATCCGATCCAACTCTTCCGTATTTCCACTTCTCACAGCTTCATTCGCCAAATCCGCCAAAAAACCTTTTCCCGTAACATCTCCCAATTGATTAATAGCATTTCCTTTTGCATTTACTTGATCCTTTATTCCAGCAGTTACCGTACTAGAAGCATTTCCCATAATTCCGAAAAATGAAGTGAAAATAAATGTACACATTTCAACAAATTCCTGACACCAGATTTTTAAGAAACGGAAATTTCAATTTCATGCATCGTCAAACGTTTTTCTTCTCCTCGCGTTTTTCTTGTTCGAGTTTTTTCCGTCGTCAAAAGGGGTCATAAAATAAAATACAGAAAGAAAAAGCATCGCACATGTTACTGATAACATTTTCACATTTTGAACCATGTGGAAAAGCATATTCTCTATTTATTATGTTCTTTTATTGTTTTGTGTTATATATTTTAGTTGTGTTCAAGGCAAGTTCCGGGAACTTTTTCATCAAATATGAGGATAATTTACAGGAGTAAATGCATCTGACTGCACAACAAAAACCGTGAAAACTGGAACTGTTTGTGTTTGCGATGTGAAATCTTGTGATGAAGTTCCGGCTTTGGATGTGACAATGGGACAAGGTGCATTGTATACAACTTCACATTCTGGATATCGATTACATCGCGACGTTGTTTATCCAACTGATAATGAACCTTGTAAGTGGGAAAGAAAAGGGTGTGATTTTTTGCACATGGGAAACTTTCAGATAATCATTTCAATTTTTTTTATTTTAGAAATCATAAAAACCATTTTTTTTAAAGCGAAAAAACCATTTTTCAGTTGGAACCCTTCACGTCACCATTGATAGTTCGAAAAAATATCAAGAAATGGTCGGATTTGGAGCAACATTTTCCGATGCAACTGGCGCCAATTTGAAATCTCTGCCGGATAAACTTGCTGATACAGTAATCCGTCAATATTTCTCTCCTGGTGGCCTTGGTTTCACGTTGGGAAGAGTTCCAATTGCAAGTAGTGATTTTTCAACAAATGTTTATAGTTATAATGATGTTAGTGAAGACTTCTCAATGCAAAATTTCAATTTGACAACCGAAGATTCATCTTGGAAAATTCCATATATAAAAAGTGCGATGAGTTATTCAAATAATCGATTGAAATTAATTGGTGTTCCATGGAGTGCACCTGGTTGGATGAAAACAACAAAACAAATGGCTGGATATGGTGCATTGAATGGTAAAGCTGGCGATAATTATCATCAAGCTTATGCTTTGTATATTCAAAAGTTCTTGCAAGCTTATAATCAACAAGGATTACCATTTTGGACTGTTAGTGTGCAAAATGAACCAACAAATGGGTCGAATAAAAAATATAAGCCTCAAACAACATTGTTCACAGCCGAAACTCAACGGTAACAAACTATTATTTTTTTATTTCTTCAATAATTTTGTTGTAGCGACTTCATTCGATCTGATCTTGGGCCAATTCTTAGATCATCACCAGACACGAAAAATGTTAGCATTTTAATTTTGGACGACAATCGCAATAATTTGCCAGGTTGGGCGGATACAGTTTTGAAAGATGAAGTTGCGGCTGAATTTGTCTCTGTAATTGGTGTTCATTCTTATGATGATTCCGCATCGGATGGGCATTTGGATAAAACACACACAAAACATCCGGGTGTTTTCATTTTGGGAACTGAGGTACAGTAGAAATTTTTGATTGAGGGATTTTAGAGCAAGATTTTGATTTCAAAATGACCTTCTAAAGATGTTTTCTTGGAAAATATTTCTCATCTTTTTCTATAATAATAAAGTTCCGAAAACATTTCTGAGAAATATGAACGTTGTCACATCGGTCAGAAATCATATTTTCTGTGCTTTGCTTATCTGATTACAAAACATCACAAATTAGCATCAATTTATTTTAAAAAAATAGTTGACTCCTTTGAACTCGGTATAAAATTTGAATAATTTGAATGATGAGGAAATGAATTTTGCTATTTCATAGCTATTTTCCGTTGAGAAATGTGTCTTGAGATAGCTATGACGTTTAATTATTCAGAACTGATTCACAAGGGAACCTTTTTCACTCAACACTTCAAACCTTGATGAAATTTTGTCCAGAGACAGCTTTTTGGGGTCATAAGAACACCCTAAAAATTTAAGTTACCCAATGGACCTATGAGCCAAGTTCTGGGCTCTCAAAAACTCAAAAAAGGCCTAAAAATGGTCATAAAAGGCATCATAGCTCCATTTCAAAAATTTTTTTGGGAGAAATAAAGTTTCAGATATTGATCAGCATAGTCGATTACCTAAAAGTAAATCAATAAAAAACATTTTTTCGAAAAATTTTGAAGTTTTTTATTTTTTGAGCTGAGAATTCATGAAAATTCATATGTGCCCCTGCTCATTCTTTTTTTTCAAAATCAAAATTTTTTTCTGAAAATTTGATTTATTGATGGTTTTTGGGTAAATCGACCACGGTGATCATCATCTGCTACTCAGTTTTTCATAAAATTGATCGAGAATTGAGTTATGACGTGTTTTATGAGCCAATTTTGGCAATTTTTGAACTTTTGAGAGCCCAGAACTTGGCTCAGAGGTCCATTGGGTAACTAAGATTTTTAGGGTGTTCTTATGGTCCCAAAAGCTGTCTCTGGACAAAATTTCATCATGATTTGAAGTGTTGAGTAAAAAAGGTTCCCTTGTCAGATTAGTTCTCTATTGCATTATCAATTCATTTATAATTATTTTCAGGCCAGTCAAGGATACAAGGAAAAAGACAGTCATGTTGTGGTTGGTTCCTGGGATCGAGCTCAATCTTATGCCTCTGATATAATTGATGATATGAATAATTGGGTTAGCGGTTGGATGGAACGAAATTTGATTCTTGATCAGGAAGGTGGCCCAAGTTGGGTTCCGGATTATACAGATGCTCCTATAATCGCAGTTCCAAGTACCGCTTCAATTTATAAACAACCAATGTGGTATGCAATCGGACAATTCAGTAAATTTATTCAACCTGGAGCATATCGCATTGATCATTCTTATAATGTTATTGAACTCGAAGTCAAATGCACTGCATTTTTGAATCCAGATGGAAGCAAGGTTTTGATTTTATTGAATACTGGAAGTATTACAGCACATACAATTGTATTGCGAGATTCGGCTGATAGTTATAATCATTATCAATTCCATCTTCCAACTAAATCAATTACCACTTTATATATCCAAAATTGAATAAAGTTATTGTAAATTGTTTTTTTCTCGAATAATATTATTTTTGTGATATCATTCGGACAAAAACCAGATTTTTATCAAATATCGAAACAAAGAAAGTGGCCAAATCAGTTCAGTTCAGTTCAAAAATGAAGTTTCTCATAGTCGCGGCTGTTTCTCTCGTTTTGGTCAACCATGTTTTTTGCATTTCTAGACAAGAATTATTGGATCATCTGAAATATCAACAAGATACTAGAAATACTTTTGATTCAAGAATTCGACAGGGTGATTTTATGAAACCAATTGGATATGTCGGGAATAAGTATGGAAATATTTTCAAGTTTTTTTTCTCACTAGTTCAATTTTTGTAGACCAATTTGGCCGAGAACTTTGGAGCGCGTCAGATCGACTGGTGAACTCTTTTTCGATGATAACAATGTAGGATATATCGTAAGTTCGGATTTTTGAGGAAGCTTGGTGAATAGCTATGATGAGCTATGATGGCAACTTTCGAGAATTTTTTTCAAAGAAAATTTTGATCATTAGCATAATTTTCTGAAAATTTGAGAAAAATAGTTCATGTTTCAGTATTAAAATTAGTTTTAAAAAAGTTCCAAACAAAATCCAAATTGCCACGAAGGTTGGTCACGTTTTTTTCCTCAAAATTGTTCGGAAATAAATAAATAAAAACAAGGAACTTCCGGGTCTATTTTCACAATTGTTTTGGAAGTTTTCTTGTTTTTTTTTCAGAAACTCGCGGAAATTTTTTACTCTGAAAACTAATAAAGTGTTTTGAATTGGGGTGGTTTTCTCGCTTTATTAACTGCTGAAATTAAATTATCTTTGGTTTTTCAAGAAAAAAACTGATTAACGGATTTTCGAATCAAAAATCAACGTATTTTTGATGTTTCAGAAATCTTCAGAAATTCACAAAAACACGCCTCGTGGTCTAATCAATCCGTCCTGAAAAATAGATCCAAATCAGGAGTCTGGTCGAAATCTCGACAATCAGATAAAAACTTTCAAATTTCTTAATTTTTCTAGGTACACGATCGAAATGCGGCCGGAATGATTCGAAAAATGGACAGAGATCGAAATTATGAAACAGTCATGAAGTTCCTCAGAAAATATACACTTTAAAAGATCGTGTCGAGAAAAAAAAACATTTATTAAATGTATTAATATTTCCGAATACCCGTAATAATATCAAATTAATTAATTAATCAAAAATTATAATAAATAGTTATTAATCATCATATCGTGTCGCATTCACCGATTCTTCTCGCATAAATAAACTTGGTTTCAAAAACTCAAATGCCATTACAATGCAAGCGACGGCAAATATATAAAATATCACAAAAAATCCGAGTTCACGCCCTTTCAAAGTGTTCACCAATTCCTCTTTGTTATATGGATCTTGGTCAGTGCCAAGGGTGATTTCTGAAAAATGAAATCATTTTTGAGAAAGCACGTTCAGAATTAAATAAACCTTTCATCATCCACAGCTAAATATTTTGGAAATGAAAATGAAAAATTTTCCCATATGTTTTTGGATCTCAAAAAATTTACAATCAACAAACAATTAAAGAGAACCATATGAAAAACTTACGAGTCGGTCTTCTTGCAGCATTCATCAAGTGGCAAAAAACTAATAAAAAAGTATGCCGAAGCGGCGAGAAAATATATTTCGAGAAAGAAAAAAAAAGTGTTTTTCTCTGCTTTTTCAGCCTATATGTCACTGCTAATCTTTTTTGATGTGTGCTTGGTTATTTTTATGATGAAAATGAAAATGATGAAGATTATAAGAAGAGATTAGCGGGGCGAAAATGAATATAAAGAGGAGAAAAGTACAGGATTAGTAATCTGCTTGTATTCGAGAATTCGGATTTTTTGAAAAAAAAAACCAACGCCCACTAAATAATTAATCGAAGTGTTTTCTTGATCAAGAAAATATCAAAATTTCTAAATTTGGATAATAAATAACAATGATTTTTCACTTAAATTTTTCACAAAATTAATTTCCTATCACACGAATGTTCTCTTTGATATATGGATTTTTAAAATGTATTTTAGAACGTTTTGATATTTAGTAAAACTGAATTCTATCCAAAATTCTAAGATTTCTAATTTTTGAAAAAAACTCAAAAACATTTTCTTTTTTGTTGATGTCATGATCAACACAGTAATCCTAGATTACTGTAGATTTCAAATATTTAATATTTACGGTGTTGTTTTAAAGGTTTTGATGTTTTTATAAACTGAGCTATATATTACTCAAAACTTACAGATTTCTCGGACAAATTCCAGCTCTAAATTCAAATCAATTTTTGATCTTTCCGAAACCAAGAAAAAGTTTTTTTTTTCCCAACAAATATCCAAAAAAAATTCTAAAATTTTCCCACACATTCAATCCCGAAAAATCTCTCTCTCTCTCTCTTTCACATATTTTTCTCATAATTCAAATTATTCAACAACTCACTTCGTTTTGCAGTTGTCATTCTCGATTGGTTTTTGTTATGTGTGTTTTTATAGATCTCGCCGAACACAAAAAATAACCCAACAATATAATGCTTCTTTTCTTCTTTCTCACAGAAGAAAAATGAACGAGGAATATAAAAAATAAAAAAATATGTTTTGGTGGCGGCGCCGGCTCAGAGGAAAAATTGAGAAAAAATATATATATTGAAGGAGCACACAAGATAAATTGGTTTTGGGTTCGGAGCTCGAAAATAGATCAGGAGGAACCAGCAAAAACTAGTTTCAAAATATAAATAATTCAAGTATCTCTCTAATGAATGTATGTCACGCACACGATAAGGTTCAAAATGACGTGCAGAACCCAATTTTTCTCACAGACGAATTCAATTCAATTACCCAAGAGACACAAAAACAATCAAAAATAGTCATTTTCTGATAAAAACACCTAGCTATTTTCGTCATAAATCAAAAGCAGATTTTTTTTTCAAGAAAAAATCCGGATTTCCGGAACGCCCGCACTTTTTCACACTTGCTCCGATGTTTCCGCCTGATTTGCTAGAAAATAGATAGAATTATGTTTCACTTCAATGTGGGTGTTCAGTTCTCTTTGTTGATTTATCAAAAACTTTTTAAGGAGTTTGAATATTTTTGCACTTTTTTGAGTTTAACATTTTCTGATATTTTTTGATATTTTCTAAAGTTTACAGAATTCCGAAAAAAAATCAATAAACATTGGAAAGTCGAAATTAATGCTTACATTTTTATTTTTCAGGCATATAACATTTCATTTCGGAATAATTATTGAATTAACATTCAAAAGCCTTGAGAAGCCATCAAAATACTGTACTTATTTTGAAAAAGTGAAATTCTAATTCAGAGGCCAGCTTCAGAGCTTCTGAAGTACTTTATTATGTTTTGAAAAGTAATATTAGAAAAAATATTTTATTCCAAATTCCACATCATAGTTCATGTTGAAAAAAACAAAATTTGAAATTCTAATTTCGTGTTCACTATTTTTTTCGAAAATGAAAAATCGAAATTGAGGTCACGTTTTAATTAAAACCAGACATTTTCTTGTTTTGTTCAACAAACCAAATATTCGAAATCCTTTGTTTTTTTCTGATTTTTTTCGTGATTTTTTGACAGCATTCTGAATGGTATGATTTAATTTCTTCAGAACTTTTTTGAAATCACAGAACTTTTTTAAATATTATTTGTGGTATATGTTGTTAACTATCTCTTTTTTCATTAAAAAATCATGTTTCAAACATCATCTACTATTTTCCAAATACCTAATAATCTTACGTAGTTTTACAACAAAATTATTTGTCTAATATCTATTTTTCACTCGCGGTCAAGGTTTTCAAAGTTCCAACTAGATTTGGAAAGATCCGAAAAATTCTATAAACGATTTTTAGAGTCTTCAAACTTCAAACATATCATATGAGTTCGAAATATTCATAAATGGTTCAATTTTTTTCACAGAAAAATCTCACCTGGGATAACTCTTTCCGCCATTTTCAGCACTCAACAAAGTTTTCAAGTTCAAGAAATAAGCTCTCTAAAAAGTTCGCTTTTCCCAAAAAAAAACATCGACTCAAATTAAATTCTCGTCTCTCTATCTCAATTTTTCAATCCCTTGGGATTCCTTAGCACTTTTTCTATTCGAAAGTGTTCTATGTTCTCATTTATTTTCTTTCAATAATAATAAATTTACCTTATGGGGCTATTCATGTTATTTTTCAACGCTGAGAAAACGGGAGAAAAGCGGAGAAAACCTATTCAGGTAGGCTGAGAAAATACGAAAAAAGCGGAGAAAATGTATTTCCTCCGCATTTCTCCTGTTTTCTCAACATGCTGAGAAAATACATGAATAGCCCCATTACTGATTGTGAAAAATTGAGTTATGAAAATCAGAAAAAAAAAAGAATAATTTACCTTTCGAATTGTTATTTCCATTCCGCACCAATTCAATCTGATCGCCCATATTTTTCTAGAAAAAAACAATCAACATCAATTTTTCTTTTTATTTTCGAACGTAAAAAATACTACGAAATATATAGAATCTGAAAAATTATTTGGTTGCTATTGGTTATAGCCAAATAAAATGGGAATAATTGATTTTGAGTGAAAAATTTATTATTGAATTGAGTTGAATTGAATTTGTAGTCGACCGACAACAAATATTTTTATATAACTTTTTTGTGCGAAAAAATGGAAGACAGACAAAAAAGCGACTCAAAAAAGGATTGACGACCAACCAAAAAAAAAACGCGAAGAGAAGAAGAAGAAGCGAAAAAAATAAGTGAAAATCCCAAGAAAAGGAAAAAATAGAGGACGAAGAACGGAAGGAAGGAAGCTGGAAAATATAAAACGGATGTGGATGTTGAAAATAGAAATAGGTATGAAAAAATACACTAAACAAAAAAACACTGTGAAAATGGGGACCTTTTGAGCTCATCTCTCAAAAAAAAACTTGTTTATGCTACGATTTCTCATCGAATCGAGAAGAATAATTAGTTTGCAAAACCGAAACATGGAGATTCATTGGTTCTTCAAAAAATGATGAGTTGTCGTCCAACTTATTTTTGTTTTATTTTACACATAACAGTACTTTTTCATATATCATAACAAATTATTGTTTTCTTATCTCAGTTCTGGTTCCCAGAACAATTCAATTTTCTAGATATTTTTCTGGAAGTAATTTGCTACAGCGGAAGTTTTCGAGCTATGCAAAAAGTTGTTTGACATTTTATAATAAACTTTCAATTTCACTTCCACCTGATAAGATTCGAAAAAATAAATTTTTTGTCAAACTTAACATTTATGTTATTGCTTGACGAGCATTGTTTCAGAAAAAATTTCACATTTTCATTTGTTTAATTTAAAAAAATTTCCGACAGGAGAATTCTTCAGCCCAAATCTGTTATCCCTGCGTCTGAATGGAGGCAGAAACCGGTGAAACGAATTTTTTTGAAAAAATATCTGAATAGCTATGATATTAGCCTTTCACTTCATACGATAATTTAAAAAATTTTTGAATCCCAAGAAGATATACCATTTTTATGAGGTCTAATTCGAAACCTATTTTGTATTACGATCTACTTTTAATTTTGTAACCACATTCCGAAATTGTGACAATCGGAAATGACCTTCGAAATGTATCGTACACCGGCATACGGTAATTCTAGAACATGACCTCCAGTGTTCTGAACCTATACATGTATTTGAAACTACAAAGTTCAGAAGAGCATTTATAAAAATACCATGTTAGATTCAATGCAAAATAATTTCAGATCATTATTTTCCGGTTTATATTTTTCACACTGTCCATTATTAGAAAAATATCAAAACACATCACAAATCTTCTGTTCTATCGAAATAACCGAAATAAAAACGTTGAAAACAAGATCATCCTTTTTTCTTTCATTTTTCAATAAAGATTACCAAATTATTCCACTCGTTCTTGTGAAAAAATCACAAGATAATCTGATCTAAAAATTTTCACATAATCATTTTTTCCAGAAATAAAATAATAACTAGTGACGGAAAGAACTTCAAATTGCTCTTTTTTATTTTATGGTTAGTAGATAATCCGGAATTCCGAAATCTTGTCTACAAAAAATTCACGAGCAGCGAAAAAAAGATGATTGACATGGTGAATGTGTTCGTGCCGGAAATCGAAATGTTTCGCTTCGCTTCGTGTATTTTTTGCACCAAACCTAACAATTATCTGCATTTCGCCTAGAACAAAATCCTATTTTATTCATCTCATTCTTATTCCTAGCCTACACACGTCTAGGACATTCCTATCTACGGAAATATCTACTTAAGATTATCCCCCCTTTTTCATTTATTTACATACTTTCAGAAATTCATCAATCATTCACTTTTTTCTAGACCACCCAAACTTTTTAAATTAAAAAAGGTTGGAGTTCACTACATCAAAAAAGCAAAAAAGAAAAAAAATGAGAAATCAAAAATCTTCCAATTTACATATACTTATCTTTTTCTCTCATTCTCCAAATATTTGCCCTCGTCCTTGATTGAAAAATATTTGAGGACAATTTGTTTGGATGCAACTAGGATATTTGAAAATCAAAACCACGTGGGGTTGGGGAAAACAATTTAGGCTTTGGTACCTCAAAAACCACACGTATTTTCGATCTGTTGATCTGGTTCTTGAAATTATCAAATATTTTATTTTCATCTTATGATCAGCTTTCTTTTAATCATGTCGTGGAATTCTAAATAACAAAATCGAAATATTTCCTCATGAATTATTCGCAATGTGAAACTTTTTTGCAATATCTAATTTTTCACAGTACACCGAACTTTCATATTTTCTAACCCAACTCCATTCTTTTTTAGTCTCCTCATATTCGTCATTTTCAACTTCACTATGCATTGTTTTTCTATCACATATTTTACTTCCTTTATTTTTCTACAAACACTCATTTTTAAAAAAAATAACTTTTAAAGGTTATGTTCCGCGCATTTTTGATCTCACTTTTGGTTGCCTTGACATTTGGTCAAACTTATCGAAGTTATCGAAGTGCACGATCATTTGGTGGAGGAAGTGACGCATTTCTGCGTTTTTCAGATGCATCACCAATGAGGTAAGCAAAAAAATAATGCAACGAATTGGAAAACCATTAAATGTTTGTGTTCAGAGATTACCAATATTCGCAATACTCTCGCCTTCGATCTGGAACAAATTCACCATTGTATGTTTTCGATGGACGACTATACAACTTGGCATCAAAACGTGTGTCAAAATAAGAAAATTAAAACATTGTATTTTGAAAGAATATGATGATATTAATAAAATGTATAGTTTGTTATTAAATTCAATTACATTAATGCAAGAGTTTCACTTCTTCTGAATTGCCGATATAATGCTTCTGATTCATCATTGATTTTCTTCAAATTACTTTCGACAATTGGACTAACAGATCTTTTTGACATTGTTGGCGATCCATCTCTTGGTGTTGTTGGCCTTCTTTGCCTAATTGGAGGAGTTTGTTCAGGTTTTAAATCGGGAGGAGTTTGTGGATGTTGTTTAGCTTCTTCAATATATTCTCCAGTTCTCCCATGCACCCAAAATGTCTCCATAACACCTTTTCCCTTTATAATCACATCACCTCTTGATTGTGTTTCATATTGATTTCTATAATGTGTTAACAACAAAGTATGTGCAGCTGCCGACATGTGAATATGTGAAGCTTTTCCATTACTTTCCATACGAGATGCTGTATTAACAGTGTCACCAAAAAGACAATATCTGGGCATACTCAAACCAACAACACCAGCAACACATGGTCCACTATTCACACCAATTCGGAGCTCAACTTTTTCTCTAGGTAAATGTGGAACTTTGAATGATTTGCAGTAACTCATAAAATCCAGTGACAATTCAACAATTTGTCTGGAAACATTTAGACTATATTTGAACTTTCTGAAGTTTCGAACTAACTTTATATGCTGAAATCCATTTCTGGCTGGAAGTCCTGAAACACATAAATACCCATCACCAATTGATTCAACCTTATAAACACCGTGTTCTTCGATAATTGAGTCAAAGTTACCATAGAGATCGTTGAGCAAATTAACAACCTAGATATTTTCTTGTTTATCCATGTGAAAACTTATTCAACTTACCTGGAATGGTGAACATTTTGCAGCAAGTTGTGTGAATTTTACAACATCTGAAAACAAGACAGTGACGGAATCAAATCCTTCCGGTTCAACTGTTTGACCAGCCTTCAATCTTTCGGCAACTTGTCTGAAAAATATTGAATTTTTTCTAACGTGTGTATAGTTTACAACAAACTTTGGTAACATTCTTCCAAGTAGAACATCAGCCTTTTTCTTTTCTGCTGACAATTCTTTAGTTCTTTCTTCGACTTCCAATTCTAATGTTGTTGTGTACTCTTCGAGAATATTGAATACGTGATCCATCAGATTTGTTTTCTTACTGTAAGTGTACTATTATAATTTCTAATCCTAGTATTTTTGTTTTCTCTTTTACCTCGGCATCATATTTCTTAGAAGATTAGAGATTGCGTCGGCGGTTGGCCTATCCTGTGGTTCATCGTTCCAACAATCTCTTACCAAGTGCAATAAATTATTACTAACTTCCACGCCATCAAGATCTAATTCCGGTCTCACCGGATTATGTCCTCCTTTTTTCACCAAATAAATTAATTCGTCCACACTTTCTTTTCTTTCAGCCATATTCCAAGCTGGTTTTCTTGTCAAAATTTCAGAACAGATAATTGCGAACGAGTAGATATCAGCTGGTTTCTCGATTTGATGTGGCAACAATCCACCTCTCAAAACTTCTGGTGCATGCCACATTTGTCTTTTTTTCATCGGCTTATTTTCTTCCATCAAAAATCCAATTCCATAATCGGTTATTTTTGCCTGCCAACTTTCATTAACTAGACAAGTCGCAGATCGTAAATTTCCATGAACGTGCAAAAAACTCGAATGGATATATTTCAAACCTTCGGCAATGTCTCGAATTATACAAAACATAAAAAATGGATCAATTGAAAAATTTCCTTGAACAATAATGTCCTGAAAAATGTTGAGCGTTCAGAAATTATGATTTCCAAATTTTCACCTGTAAACTTCCTCTCATACACATTTTCCAAACCGCAATATAATCAGCTCCATCAATTGATAGTCCAATGAACTTGTTCACATTATCATGATCCAATTTTCTCAACTTCACAAATACATCATATTCCTGTTTTGTAAGAGTTGAAGCCGGATGTTTTGTTGATAAAACAGCATCCTTATCCAAATAAAAAACAGTATAGTTACTGAATTCACTGTCAAATGTGAATTTGCTAGTTTCAGTTATCGTAGAAGGGCCAGATTGAAGTGATCGTTTACTTTGACGTTCTTTGTCTTTTTTCGGAGGCTTTTGAAGTTTCATGTATGGTATTTGCCATTCAGCATTTATACGATCTTGCTCAAGTTTCCGTTGTCTGCAAAACTTCGTATTCGTATTTTTCCAATTAGTATATCTCACCTTAAAATGATAAGTCCACAGCAAAGTATAATAATCAGAGCCGCACCCAAAACTGCACCAAGTGCTATAACCAATGCACCATATTGGCTCATGAAAGTTTGTGGGCAACTTGTTCCCAAAAATCCGCAAACAGGAGTTGCTAATGGTCTCGATCCACTATACCATGTCCAAATTACCGATTCATCCGAGAAACCTTTCGACAAGCTCTGAAATCAATGTGTTATGTCACTGTTTATCAACTTGCAAACATCCCACCGCACCAGTACTCAAAGAGTACGTAAGATTCATGTAAGATGTTTCATCATAATTTTTGTCCAAACCATAAAACATTAGTTTCGGAACTCTTGTATTATTAGAATTCATGAGAACTTCTCCTGTTAGCCCGTTGAAATTAGTTTGCATAGCAGTCATCATAGTTTCAACATCGTGTATACCAGACGGATTACTGTTATAAACATTAGTAAGTGCCATTCCATAAAGATAAATCAGATCGTGCAAACTTCTGGCAAATGCGGATGGAGTCTACGAAAAAAATTATTTGAAATTCAGGAAATCAGAACTAACAGATGATGAAGCGGCCTGACAAGCTGCTGTTTGACAAGAAATCGGAGGATTCACAATATCGGATGTCTCATTAGCAGTGAATGAACTCAGATATGTCTTATCCATCACATCGGTCGACAAATCGAGCACAAATACTCTTTTTGCAGCTTCTTTGAGCTTTGCATTATAACCATCATCTACATCTAGTTCCCAGAAAGGCGACAATCCACTCGACACTGAATTAGAGAACAGAAAAATTGATCAGTGCGAGTGGGTAAGATGCAAAAATGAAAAATTGGAAAATTAAACCACAAAACTCACAGCAATTCAACTCACATTTCGTCTGACTTGTTGCTTGTTTACCTAAAATTTGCAATCAGTTAAGTTTTACAGAAAGAGAATAGACTATACCGAATCCGACACTTCTCAATGAGAGCATAATATGAACATATTCCGAAGAAACCATATCATTATTCAACATCATTTTGAGATATTTTCGTCTAGATGTTGCACTGATAACACTCGATACAACAACTGATGTAACTCATACGATTTTTAATTATAAGATGTAACTTACTTCTTGCAGATCTTTTCACTCTATTCAAAATAGTGGTATATTGGGAATCATTTGTGTCGGAAGAAGGAAGTTCCTGTTTTACGACAACATCCGAAGAATATGAATTTACATCATTCAACGCAGTTTCGACATCATTCATAATTGATAACGGATAACCCTGATCACTTGCCTCGTAAAGCAAAGCGATACGATCCCAACTCATAAGTTCCAACAATTTGACGAGAGAATAACCCATACTCAATGAATTAGGAACAATGTTAGTCAAATAGGGATATCTGGTAGAATCAGTATATTTCGAAGCAGTTACCATTCCCCATCCAAGAAGTGGAACATTGTAATAAGTCGACATCGGCGCAATAATATCCATTGCTGAACTTATTTTTGTTGCCAGAAAAACCGTGTAAACTTACGATCTGCACAAGGTGGTCCCACAACAGCATTCACTTTTTGAGTTCTCATAAATTCGATACCAACTTGAACTCCGAGAGCACGATCACATTCAGTATAGTTAATAATAAATCTGATTATATGAATAGAAAATGATTCAGGTTAAATTTATCGGTCAACTTACTCAAAATCAAACATGCTGATATAACCATCTTCAGCAAGTCGTTTGAGCGCAAAATTAACAGCCCCTCCAGAAGTCGGCCATCCAATCACATCAAGCTCAATCGTCTGCACAGCACATACTCCTACTCGAATCTTCAAACATCAATTTATTGAATCTGTCATCTATTGTATTTTTGATCTTACCTTCGTTTTAACTCCAGAAATCGCTGTTGTAGTGAATGTTGTTGAATTTTGTCCATCGGAAAAACTATTGAAAAACAATAGAAAAAATAGAAGAGGTAGCAAAATCATGAAGCCTTTTCAGAAAAAAATGAAAATGAAAATTGAAAAAAAAAACATGAAAAAATTGAAGAAACCATATTTTGAAGTGAAACGGGGCTTCAATCCATTAAAATTTTAATCCTTTCGTATATATAGTTTTAAATTCGGAAAAAAATGAATCACTGAAACCTTGTAATCTCATCTCACATGACACCCTGTCAAAATTTCAAATTTTCAATGAGAAAAAGTCTGATGTGATTGTTTTATTCACAAAATTATGCATCGTTATTACACTAAAAAACATCGTACATAATAGAAAAACCCAACCGAATCACAGAAATGACTATAAACATGTATCTAGAAATTGCAAAAAAATAGAGAGAGAAAACCAAGCAAAAAACACTTGACAATTAAAAAATGGTTACCCGAAAATCTTTGACCATCGAAATAAAAATGGAATAAAATTTGAATAAAAGAATCATCGTCATCAGACAAAAAAAGACACAATTATTACCTGTTCGGTAGATTTTTGAAATGAAATGAACAAACAAGGAAAAGATAAATTAACAATGTGGTGAATTGTCGGATGATAATAATCGAGCCGTATCAGATGATTGTCGAGAATGACTTGGAGATCTAATAATTCGTTTTTCATTTAAGAAATATCAAACCTATGTGAAAAACTCACTTTCTAAAATATTTGCTAAACCCAGGTGTTTGCGGTAATGCTGAATTGATCAAAAGAGCAAATAACACCATAACAGCGCCAATTAAAAATGGAGGACCAGGTATGAACTGCCAATCGAAAGCCGCTCTTTCAACCCATGTTGATTCATTTCTACTTGGCGACAAAATCTTCTCATTACTTTTTCGACCCAAAGCAGCTGGTAATCCAACACTTTTCTCATCTTCAAGATCAACATCGAACAAATAGAAAACGAAACCAAAAAGAGCTGGACCAAATCCACTACAAAGTCCACGAATTCCAGTGATAACACCTTGAACTGTTCCTTGTTTATCTTTATCGGATAAAATTGAGACGAAAGCGGAAATTGATGGATATGTGATTGAACTCATTGCAGCCAAAACACCCGCTGCCCACATCATCCAATATCTGAGTTATTCACATTTTTGAATGGGAAAAAATGAAGATTTTTTGTAGTTAAAAAATTAAAAGAAAAAAAAAAGAAAAAAAACTTTGAAATCAAACATTTCATCGGAATCCTCATTTTCTTCTATATTTTAACTAATTTTCTTCTTTTTTAACTTCAAGATTTTTCGGTGAGCCCTGATTTTATAGTTTTTTTTTCAAATATCGAATATCTTGAATTTGGCTGCAAACGTTAATATTCTCAGAATTTCATCAGAAACATCTCAATATTTCAATCTGAATTCGTGTTGCAAAATTTTCGAAGTCAAATTTACAACCAGAAATGAACAAAAAATAAAAAGTAAAAAAAAAACCAAGTTTCAAAGCTTAGCGGTGTTTAAAATATTAACACCCAAATAAGCAATATTTCAGAATTATATTTTCAAATCAGTTTTTCTCCAACCCTTTTTCATCCCAAAAAAACTCACTGTGTTCCGAGACCATACCAAGTCAATTGAATAAGTTGGAAAATGAGACCAAGTGTAATCGTGTGCTTTGTACCAAATCGATTCGTTAAAATCAATAATAGTCCAGTTTGTGCGACAACTGACAAAATACCAACTAATCCAATATACATGGCAACAGCTTCTGGTGAAAATCCGACTACCTGAAACAAACTTGATATTTGTAACACTTTAAGGATAGACTCACTAATTTCAAATAGACAAAAAAGCAAGAAAATTGTCCGGATTCTGGCAAATATGATAGAAAAACGATGGTGGCAAGTTGTAGGACTAATTTATCTTCCCAAACAATTCGAAGCGAACCGAATGGATCTGCAGATTGCCAATTGAAAACATCGTGTGGTGATGGAATTTGATTAGATGTTCCAGGTGAAGATGAAGAAGTTGTTGAAGAACGACGAGATGGTAGAGATTCAGGAACAAATAATATAATGAAGATTACATCAATTATTGAAACTGCCGTCGCCTAAAGAAAAACAAAATCAATGAAATAAATAAGGAAACGGTTTAGGTTAGAACGAAGATCGTCAAAGATTTGTATCATTTATCTGATTCTAATTTTCATAGGATTTTCGTATTTCTGATCATTTCAGAGGACTGATTCTCTTAAAATATTTTTGAGAATAATTAGAGTTAAAAAAGAAGGACATTTTTCTTTCATTTTCCCAAATTAAAATAAGCAAATTTGAGAATTATTTAAGAAATGAATGAGTACAACCACTAGGAAAGCGAATTTGAAATTTCACGTCAGAATTCACGTTTTATCTTTTGAAATATTTTTATTGGTCTTTTCTCTCTCTCCACATTTTCAATATTTTTCCTGCCCAAAAAACTCACCAACAAAACCACAAAATTATCGCCATAGGTTTCCGAAATATAAGCTCCCAAAGCAGGTGATGTCACCAAAGATGCAGCAAATGTAGCTGAAACTAATCCATACGCCGAAGATCGTTCCTAAAAAATATAAATGAAACACTAATCATCATTATTATTCTCCACTTCCTTGAAACATACCTGTTTATCAGTGATATCGGCAACATATGCCAAAATTACACTAAAAGTCACAGAAAATAATCCGCTGAGACTGAAAAGGGCAAAATACCACCATGGACTGATTTTTAGGCACGGTATTGGCATACATGTGCAAAATACTGTGAGAATTAGAAATGTTTTTCGGCCCCAAACATCCGAAAGTGCACCGACTAATGGAGCAGAAAGAAATGATAGAAGACCCTGAAATGATTTGTTGGAAATAAATTAATAACTTCATCAAAATTAAACTTACCTTAACTCCGAGAACTAATCCATTCATGAGAAATTTATTGGTGGGAAATGTTTCAGCGAGCACATTAATAACTGGCACAGTTAAAAGTCCCCATGCAAAATATTCCAAAAATATCACAACTAATGCATGAGAAACAGATGCCTGAAACATATTCATTTGACTGATTATTTTATGTTTATTTTCTCGATTGGAATGGGTTTCCAATTACAACTCGAAAAAAAAGTGATAAAATTAACAAACCTCTCGATAAGGATGTCCTTTTTCAACTCGATCTTTCACTTTTTTCCGTCCGAACATCAATGACATTATCGAACGACTTTTTCTGAGCATACTATGCTCAAGTTTTGTAACAAGTATTCGAGTATGTGGAGATAATCGATCAGAAGGTCTCACTTTTGGAATATTCAAATTATTATTAGAATTGTTATTAATATTTGTTGGTGTGCTTCTTGATGACATCTAATAAGGCATTATAATACCTAAATCAATAAAAAATCGTTATTTTTTTATAATGTTCAATATAACATAAATAAATTTATGTGAGAAAAATTGAATAGAATGGAAACAGGACAAAAAACAGTAGAGAAGAGAGAAAAGAATGATTCATGTGCTCGTGAAAATTTGGTATATTCGGCCATTTCTTGTCGGATTCTCGGCCACACACTTCCAACTAGACAAAAAAATGAAACAGGCTTACAAGAGAAATAATTAAAATTTATGACAAAATTTATATTTTCTACTATATTTTAACTCGCTGATCACGTTCTCGTTGCCAATAAGAGGTTACATTACTTTGGGAATGAGTTATGACGCGGCAAAGCTAAACAATTATCCTGGAAATCTTATAGTACAGCGCCAGATCGTTTATATAATTAAACTTTTTAAACTAATCGACATATTTCAAACGATTCTTGCTGTTAAACTTTAATAAAAAATTATTTTAAGACAATATGATTCGTATGATCCTAAACATTCCCTAAAACTGAAACCACTCAAGCTTTTTACTTCACTCAAAATAATAATAATTTATGACGACACGGTGTTCGCAGCAAAAAACAAAGGAATATATCTATAAAACATGGCAGATAAAAATTAAAAATGAGTTGGGTTTGAATTTTTTAAAAACGTGATTTTCACGCGATTAGAGCACGCATGATCATTACAATTTAGGAATGCCTCAAAAGCTTTTTTGACAGGTCTTACGATCGATGAAATAGTTCAAAAGGTATGCGATTTGACAGAAAGATTTGAATCTATTAGGATACAACAGATAGAATGAGGTCATTCTCAAAATATGTATATTATTTGTATTTTTCAAATAATATAATGAAGGAAGTTATGAAAGTAGATCTGTTGAACAGGAACAAAAAAAAAGAAACAAAACAAATGAAAAGTTTGGTTTGGCAACAGGAGGATAGACGACCGCATCATTGCTTGTATCAAGTTCTTCTAAATGGCCAACAGCAGCGGCAAAAAAGGAGAAGGAGAAGAAGCGAAAACGAGTTCATTTCTTCGAGGATGAGAGATGAAAAAAGCGGCGAAGAAGAAGATGACAGAGAAAAAGAAATGACCATATATCGATTAATATTATTATTGTTTTTATTTTTATTCGCTTCACATCTATGTATGAATATTCACAGAGTGCATTCTCATAAATGAAAAATGACAGATTTTGAAAGATTTGCTAAAATATGAAATCTGAATCGATTGACAGACAATGATGATATATCTTATTTAGATCATCAAACCTATTTGTGAAAATGTTGAAATCTATGCGTGAAATCGCACTTTTTCTAGTTTTTCTGATTCGGACAGTGAAAAAAACAGATTATTTCAATATTCAAAATCTGGCCAAGGCTTCAATAATAAATGACAAGTATTTTACACTTAATCGGAGAAATTTTTTAGAGAAAATCTTCATTTTGTAGCTACAAATTGAATACCCTCGAAAACTCACTGAACGTCCAAATGTTTTCAATCGAATCAACTCAATTTCCAGGAAAAAACACGCGAGAAACGTAAAATGGAAAAACTGAAAATAAAAATAATTAAAATATTGTGTGTGTTCAGTGGAGCACGTTTGCAAAGGTCACGCCGCGAAATTGAATGTTTTGAAAACAGTTTTTTATTATTTTTTTCCTTTCTTTATTTGAGACAATCTGGACCGGATATGATGTTCATATATCGTTGTGAAATGATACATGAATCAAACTCCTCCGACTTTCATTGAATTCACACAATAGGACCTATTTATGAAAGCGAAAAACATGAAGAGAAAAAAAACTAAAATTATATGAGGCCGCGCAGAAAAAGAAGACATTATAATAAAATAACATTGGTATTGTATTTTGTCGGAAAAATATGTTACTACTTCTTCTATTTTTCTCCTACTTTTCAGTTTCAGTGCAAGGTTTTATTCATTTTTTTGTGTTAAATTAATGAAAAAATAACATTTTTGTCAGATCCGTTCCGAGATAAGGTTACGGCAGCGTTCAATGAAGCTTTTCATGAGATTCGAAGTGATTTTTATATTTCCGAAACGAGTCAGGCGCAAAATTTCAGCATTGCTGCACTTACAGCTATAAAACTCACGAGGTATTATAAGAACTTTTTTGAATTGAAATATTTGATGTAAACCTTTGCAGATTGAATTCAAATACTCGACGTCAACTTCCTCGGAATCTATGTCCTTTGAAAGATTTCCGATGTAATTATGATGTTTATAGATCAACTGATGGAACATGTAATAATGCGTCTCGACCTCTGTCTGGAAGTCGATACACCTCATTTTCTAGAAGAATTCATGCAACTTATGATGATGGTTGGTAAAAGATTCTGAACATTTGGGTTACGACAATCTGAACTAACATATTTTGAGGATATTTTTCTCTAGGTTTCGTCTTATGCGAAACAATATGTATGCACTAATTTTTTTGGGTTACTGTAGGTTTTCCAAATGAAAAATAAGAGTAATCTAAAAAATTTGGAACTTTTTCTGAAAACACGAAAAAAAATCCCCTGTTCCAAAAAACAATTTGTAAAAAAAAATGAAATTTTCCTCTCCTCATTTACCAAACCTCCAAAAATAATTCTAGACATCAACACACCGAAATTCTCGAATCGTCGTGGTCGCCCACTTCCACCAGCTGATATCATAGCAGAAACCATCGACAAAAAACTACGTCATCATGCTGTACCATTAACGCGATATTTTATAGAATTTGCAGATTTCTTATACAGGGATCTAGCTGAAATTGTGACTTTTCAAGATCCGATTTCTTGTTGTCAATCAAATAATAAAGAGTGTTTCTCAATCGGTGATCAGTATGTCAAACTAAATATCTGAATAGTTTTCCAAAATTGTTTTTTTTTACAGCGGAATAGATTGTTATATTCGATCAGCCGCTGCTCCACTTCCTTATTGCTCTTTTGGTCGACGTGAACAAATGAATGCAGCTACATCTTTTCTTGATGCTGGCCCTATTTATCATCTCAAACATGTCTCTGATGGATTGCTCCAATTGAATTCTTTATTCGGTGATAAAAATTCACTCATCTCGATTTTTTCAAAAGAGCATAATTATGTTGTTGAACATTTGAGACATCTTTATCCTCGCTTAGATTCTCAAACTTTATTTGAAGAAGCAAAGAAATTTGTGATTGCTGAAATTCAACATATCACTTATGAACACTTTCTACCAATTTTGCTTGGTGATGAAACAATGCAAAAATATCATTTAACTTCGGAATCTATGGATGAATTACATAATCCAAATACTTTAAATGAGTTTGGCGCGGTTGTTGGACAGTTCTACAAATTTATGATTCATGGGTCAATTGACGATGTTTCCGAGTAAGACTATTCTAGAGAATTTTTTGAAGATTTCCCAAAAAAACTTTTTCTAGAAACACATTTATATTCCGTCACGCGCTTTTCGAAAAACATTCCCTTCTTTCCAATTTGATTCTACGTGGTCGTGATCATGGATTAGCTACTTACTCTCAATGGGTTGAAGAATGTGGTGGTGGATATATCAAATCATGGGATGATATTTTCGAACTCAAACATCTCACAAAAATCAAAAAACTTTTTCCAAATGTAAAATCCTACTTTTTAAATTTTATTGTATTCTATTCACAAAAAAAGACTATTTCCAGGTTCGAGACGTTGATTTGATACTTCTCGGATTAGCTGAAAATCCAGTTTATGGTTCAATTATTGGGCCAACTTTTGGTTGTATTTTGGCTTTACAATATCAAAAAACCCGCTTTGGAGATGCATATTTTTATGATCGACATTTGAATGAAGATCAACTTTCTTTGATAAAATCATCAGCTTCATTGAGTTCAATTCTATGTCGAAATGGAATAGTTTCTCAACAACAATCAAATTCTTTTATTGCCCCCGATGGTTTTAGAAACTTTCCAATTATTTGTAATTCAACAAATTATGCCAATTTTATTGATTTTTCCAAGTGGCTACCGTACTCCGCAGATCGAGATATAACTTATAAATATCAAAAGATTCTTGATATTTGTATTGATGAAGTTAATTCTGCCAGACAACAACAATCAACTGATAACTTTAGAAGTGCGTTTTCCTGGGGAATATTGTAAAACCTAATTAATGAATTTTTTCCAGCTGGGTTCTCTCATTATGCTGCTCTAAACTCTTATGGTAGAATGATGTTAGCAAAAGATGAAGCTGTAGCTGAAGCCAACATTTCATTCATTTTGATTGAGGCAACAAAGAAAATAGTTAGAGATAAAGATGTGGATCTAAATACAATTCAAGGAATAAATATTGGAACAGATTTCGGAAAAGCTCCCGATGAAACTTGTAATCCAAAACCTCTCCCATGCGATCCAACAAATCCTTATCGAACTTATACAGGATGGTGCAATAATTTGAAAAATCCTTCAAAAGCCAACACATTTACTGAATTGAAAAGAGTATTCTCTCCACAATACACAGACTCTATTGATTTTCCAAGATCTCGATCTTCAAATGGAAATCCATTACCATCTCCACGAACAATTTCGAATGTTGTTCATCACGCAAGAAAAATTGAGCATAAACAATATTCACATCTTCTTATGGAGTTTGGACAATTTATAGATCACGACATAACACATTCTCCAGTTGATCAAAATACAGATGGAACTCCTTTGAATTGCACAGCGTGTGATTCATTTAATACAGTATCTCCATCGTGTTTCCCAATACCTGTTCCTAGAGATGATTTGATGTTTCCACCTGGATCTTGTCTATCATTTGTGAGGTCACTGCCAGCTCAGAAAACGTTGGGATATCGCAACCAAATGAATCAGGTAAAGGGTTGTTTTTTTTTTAAAGAGTTTGAGACAAACAAAAATAAGTTTTGAGTTTTGAAAAGTTCGAATTCCAAATATTTCGGAACCCCTAGATTTTCCAAACTTTTAGATAACTGCATATTTGGATGGTTCAGTAATGTACGGCTCGACAAAATGTGAAGGTGATCGTCTCCGAACTTTTGAAAATGGCAAACTCAAAGTCACTCGTCTAACATCTAGTTCCTCGCATTATGGTTTGACACTCTCTCAATCAAACGCTGCCGAACAAGATGGTTGTGTATCATCCCCTGATTTCCCTTGTTTCATCGCCGGCGATGATCGTAATTCTCAACAGACTTTGTTAATCGCAGTTCATTCTGTTTTTCATCGTGAACATGAAAGAGTATCCACAATTTTATCAAATATAAATCCACATTGGGGAGATGAGAAAGTCTATCAAGAAACTCGAAAATTCATATCAGCACAATTCTCAAACATTGTTTATTCTCATTATCTTCCAATTGTTATTGGTGAAACTTATACGGATAAATATGACCTTCGACCATTGATCAAAGGATATTACAAGGGTAACTTTTGTTTGTTTTTTTGTGTTTTCATAACCTCGTGATATCAATTTTTTGATTGATAAAGAAAACAGGTAAGTTCAAAAATATTTGAACCCTTTTATAATAAAATGTGACTTTTTGATCAGCAAAAATAATTGACCTGGAATAATCCCATCAATTAAATAATCAAATAATCAAAGATGAATAGGAAAGAAAAATTTCTGCTGTGTTTTTATGAAATGGGAACATAATTTTGGAATTTCTTAAATATATGTTTTTTCTAATTTTTCTATCTGATCAATTTTCCAACCCCATAAAATTTTAGGTTATGATGAAAATTGTGATGCTTCAATTCTTCAACCATTTGCAACATCAGCTTTCCGACTTCATTCAACAATCACAAGATTTACACCAATGCATGAAAATATTCTGAAACCGGCAACAATGGTTGTTGATTTGGCTAGCGAATTTATAAATATGACAAAAATCTATCAGCCTAACTGTTAGTCGATCTACAAGAAATCTGAATTTTGTTTAATTCCAAAAAAATTGTTTCAGCTGTCGAAAAAATAATTGGTGGATTATCTGGAAAACGACAAATGCAAACCGATCGACATGTCGATGATTCAGTTAGAAATTTCTTATTCTCAGATCGTGGAAGACCGGGAACAGGTCTCGATCTCATTTCAATCAATATTCAACGTGGAAGAGATCATGGAATAGCGCCTTATAATTATTATCGAGAATATTGTAAACTTGAACCTTTACTTTCCTTCCACTCATTTTTTGCCGATATCAATCCAGAAGGTTTAGAAGTGTTGGCAAAAGTTTATGAATCTCCAGAGGATATTGATTTATTCACTGGAATATTTTCTGAGATTTTGATACCTGGTGCAATTGTTGGTCCAACAGCTGCATGTATTATTGCTGAACAATTCAAACGTCTCAAAAATTGTGATCGATTCTATTATGAGAATGGGGATAATCCGGATACCCGATTCACTGAGGCACAACTCAACGAAATTCGAAAAACTACTTTGAGTTCATTGATTTGTGCAAACACAAAACTCACGAAAATTGCCAAGGATGTATTTTCAGTCCCCGATCAATTTTTGAATGCTTTAACAAGTTGCGATCTTCTTCCTCAAGTTGATTTTTCAAAATGGAAAGATATCGAAGATTGCAATTATCATGGCGAAAAAATCATTCTCCATTCAACAACTTTGGTTACACCGTGTAAATCTTGTACATGCACTAAAAATGGATTGAAATGCACATCGAAGTGTAACTTTTTTGAAAATCAAATATATTCAAAATGTTGCTAAAAAATTTATTATACAATGAATAATTACACAATTCAATGTTTAGAAACTAATATCTGGATTATTTTTCTTGAGAGCAGCTTGATCTTCAGCTGGAAGTTTCTTGAATTCCTGATGTAACCGATTAGCTTCAGTGTCATCAATTTGTTTTCCAAGTGTCAAACTAGTCAAGGTATTAGTAACCATGTGAATAATTTGAATAGCAAAAGTTTTAGCAGCTGGTGACAAACCACTCAATCGTTTATTGTTTTCGGATAGAACATGGGCCAATCTTTTTCCAAGATCTGGATTTTTTTTCGACACTTCTTCAATCATTTCACCGCATTGACTGAAGCATGAGTGTTTTTCAAAAACTCCTCGAAGAACCGGAGCTTCGTCGGAGGTTATTGTAGAAGAAAATTCCAATTGTTCTTTTGGGAACAATGCTGAACATATTGAAATTTGTTTTTATTTTTTTACTTTCAAAGATTAACAAAAACTCACTTCTAACACTATCTGGAATTGTTGTCACACTCATCTTTTCCAATGAAAAAAAATGACCGATGTGTTTTCAAAATTTTTGTTTTTATTCCTGTGAAAAGGGGGAGGTCAATTGAATTCAAATCGAATTATTTACTATCATCAATTTTCATGTGACGATTAGAGAGAACTTGTTTCGTTTTATTTTTCCAAAAACAGACAGCAAAAAATGATAGAAATGCGGTGAAAAAAGAAAAAAATGTTTCATTTTTTATGTCACTAAATCAATTCAATAAGTAGAAAAATCAAGTGGACGACAGCGGATCCTGAAGTAACATATGTGGTAAACATTGTTTCATATGTTTTTGCTTCTGATATTAGTTGAGTGAACAATTGGAAAACGGTTGTGACGAAAATGTGAGAAAGTGGATAGCTGAAAAAATGTTTGTCAAGTGTCAAAAAGATTGCCAGAGAATAGTCCTTATTTTTATATATATATGAATCAGAAGCTTCAAAAAACGGTTTTTTTCTGAAAATATGAGCTATAATTTTTTCTCCCTTCATTTTCCCAAACCTACAGTCTTCTAAACCTCGGATGTTCAATTTCCATTTTCCAAATAATCGCAATGAGAACCAACGATAAAATAATATACACCTCAATTATAGCCGATGCAATAACTGGAAAAAAACAACTTTTTTTGGTTTGAAATTTATTTTTTCCCTACTTCTCGATGTTTTGTCATGAAGTTGATCATTCAATTGAACAACAGCCAAATAAATGAATAAAAGCATGTGAATAATTGCAGAAACAATATGAGCATGGATTAAAGTTTTTTTGTTTTTATTTCTGAAAAAATTCGGATTTGAAATTTCAAAATAAAATTGGAGTAAACTTACGATCCAATCATTTTCCAGGATGAGAACAACAACTAATTCATAAATTGATAACTCCAAACATTATAAGATAACGGTGTTTTTGTTTATATAAACTTATCATTTTCCAATACAAACATGCCCCCAGGCCCGACCAGGTTCAAAAAAGTGTTCCACTTGAAAAAGTCACAGCGAAAGTTGATTATAATTATATAGTTAGTTAAATGAAAAAAAAATACAAAAGCAATTATTATTATTACATATCCGAGTTTCACTTTTTCACACAAGTTTTTTTTTGAAATCTCAAGTGTCCGGATTCTCTTTTTCTACTACAGTATACAATTTCATATGCATATATAAATATGAAGTAATTGAATAACATTTCTCATTCACATTCACTCATTCTGGGAGAATGTTTCTAGTCTCTCCCTCTAAACTTTCAATTCAAAATGTGGTTAAAGTGGCATTTGTATTTTCATCTTTCCTACTTTCCCTTTGTATTTTGATGATTTTCACTACAACTCGACAAATCGAAGAGTTTCGAGAAAAAACACTCGATGATTTGAAAGAATGGAAATATTTCTCCGAAGAAGCTTGGAAGGAGATAACATCAATGACGATTGTAAGATCGAGAAGAGCGGCTAAAACTGCGAATAAAAGACATACAAATAGTTATGCAACTTCCTATAACAAGTTTGTTTTAACTGGTTTTTTGAATATTCTTCAATTGTTTTCAGTGAATATCCAACAGCCCCACAACAACAAAACTCGTATGCTCAAGTGAATAGCTATGCTGCTAGTCAAAATGTAGATCAGTGCAGTACGTTCCGTTTTTTTCAAGATCACAAGTGATTAATAGTTTTTAGATTGCGCTGCTCGCTCTAACAATTGCCCCCTGGACCTCCAGGTCCTCAAGGAAATCCAGGATATGATGGAGAACCTGGACAACGTGGATTGGACGGACGTCCTGGAGCTAATGGTGTAGCTTTGATTGCTTATGATCAAGAAGTTCCTGGATGCATTGTTTGTCCACAAGGTCCTCCAGGTTTTCCAGGACCAGTTGGCCCACCAGGTTGTCAAGGTAACAAGGGGCTACCTGGTCCACCAGGTTATAACCCACCGCCAGGACTACCAGGACCAGCAGGACCTTGCGGAGATAAAGGAGCGCCAGGTGGCGATGGAACTCCAGGGCTTCCAGGAGAACCTGGAGAGGATACGATTCGACCAATATCACAACCTGGAAGAAAAGGACCGCCTGGAGGAGTTGGGCCATGCGGACCTCCCGGACCACCAGGATACACACCACCACCTGGACCACCAGGGCCACCAGGATTTGCCGGGGAGCCAGGACAGAATGGTGTTCAAGGAGAACCTGGGTTGCGAGGTTTTCCAGGAGCAAAAGGAGCACCAGGACAAGATGCAGAATATTGCCCATGTCCTCCAAAAAATAGTGCAGTCAACAAACCAAGCAACTACGCACAACCTCCTCCACGTGAGTTCAGTTTTTGAGAAAGCTTCATAGTTATCCTAACTCTTTTTCCAGAAAACTATGATGTATCTCAGAATGCTTATATTGCTGGTGGTGCTCCAATTGACTATGGAAAACAAGATGACGATTATCGCAAACGTTTATTGGCGCGAGTTTTGAAAAAACAGAGAAAACTAGTTCTTGCGACACGCGCACGTAATGTTCGCAGAAAACCGGTCAACCCAAATACAACTGTAAAAGCGAATGAATAATAAAATGGTTTGATGAATTTATTACGAACCCAAAAAAATGAATGAATTTATTTTTGTGTTGATTTCAAAAACTCAATGACTTTTGTTGAGAACCATTTTGGATACTTGAGATAGAAATCATGTCCACCTTGCGCATGAACTTCAAGTTTCATAAGATCTTTGAGCACTGGAATGAAGTTTGTAGTTGGATCACCGCAAAATCTATCCATTCCACCATTCAGAATCAATGTTTTACATTTGACTTGTGTTAGAGCAAGATCCGATGGAAATCGACCACCACAAAAATCGTGAACTCTGCAAAAGTTCAACATTTCAGGTAATTTCGGAAAATGCTTACTGTTGAACAACATCACATAAAGCGGCCCATTGTGTTCTCAAATACGATTCAGGATAGAAATCCAAATATGGTTGTCTAGCATTTGGTAACCAGTGATTAGTTTCTCGCATTCCTTTGAATGCCAGTGCTCCTAATTTATTGACTTTTGTTGCGCCAGCCAAAAGAATCATTCGATTTACTTTTTCTTTTCCTTTCGCAGCTACATGAACAGATGTTCGGGCTCCTTCAGACCAACCCATTATTGTGAACGGTACGAGGTTCAAAGCCTAAACAAAAAATAGATATCTAAATATCTGAGAAAATACGTTTCGTGCGAATATGACACAGTGGATTAAAATTAGATTTTTGATTAGCAGTCGTATAACATTTGTATGATCATTTTTTCAAAGTCGAAAAAACAAAAACTAATTAATTTTGGCACAACATTTCATTCTCGTAAAGAGACATTTCTTCACATATCGCTAAATTCGAGTAAAAATTTCGAGAAATCAATTTCAAAAAAAAAACTCCTGTAGGGTTTAGTTCTCGTGTTATGGAAAAAATCGAAATGATCTGTAAGTTTTTGTATGTTTAATACCTGCATCAATCCCAAACAATATTCCGAATCTTTCATACATCGATTAATTTCCTGAACTCGATCTGGTGGTCTCGATGTTCCATAACCCGGTGGATCAATTGCCACAATCGTCACATAATCTGCCGGAAAATGTTTCATCAACTTCAATGGCCAATCTTTTGCATAACAACCAACAGCCCCACAAACACATAATATATAATTAGGTCCATTTCCATATTTTGAATAACCAATATTTATATCATTCACAAGTTGAAATCCTTCTTCATAATCTGATTCAGTCATAATTTTAGACTAAAATATTCAATTGGAAAAAAAGATAGGAAAATATGGGAACAGAAAACAAAGGACAAGAAAAGAAATGTATGTTAATTCAAGATTCAATCTTTCTATCTTTCTATCACAAACGGGTTTCTCGCAATGTTCTTTTTTTCTTTCTCTTGTTTTTTTCACATTTCCATTACCTCAATTGCGAGTACAAGGTCAGTCACACTAGAAAATGTAAACCATTGTTGTTGTTTCTCTGTGGTTATTGTAATATTTTCTATAGATCTCCGATTCCTTTTTTTGTTTCTCCAGGTTGCTATGAAACATCCTCGCGCAAAAATTAAAGATGCACACCACATATCCTACTACTTAGCCAGTTGCTCTTTTTTCTTCGAAAATAAATATGGCAGCTCGTAAATCGCATGTTGGTTATGGAGTTTTGGTTATAATTGCGCTGATTTTAACAGTTGTCGCATTGTTCACACCTGGTTGGAGAAGTTATAAAGGAAGTGGAGCACCGGATATTGGATTAGTTAGTCGAAATTGTGGAAATGGGAATCGACAAGTTCTCGAGTATGATTGTGCACTCTATCAGAAGGTTTGCCTATTTTTCTGAACTCCTAAATATCAGAAGATCAAAAAATGTTGAATTTTACTCATGCAATCTTATGATCAAAAATTGATCAGATCATATTAGATTCTACAAAAAGTTTGAGACCCTATTCGATATAACTATATCTTCTTTCAGCACCAACTTCCATTCGAAAAAACCACGTTGGCATTTATGATAATCGCATTAATTCTTGAAATTCTCTCAGTTTTCGTTTTTTGCGGAATGTTCAAAGCTGGTCCATCTTTGGGATCACCCGCATTGGTTTTGAACACATTGGCGTTTGTCAGTTTATTTATTGCGGTTTTGGTGTATGGCGTCAGAATTCAATATAAATATGGTGAGAACTGAGAGGGATTACTGTAGTTCTGGTCCAGAAATTCAAAAAAAAGATATTGACACATTTGTAGGAAAGCTTGAAAAATTAGAATGAAAATTTGGTAAAAAACAATTACTGTAGATTTATTTAACCTCACAAACCTGCCATTTTCAAAAAAAAATTCAACAGACGGAACTTAGATCATGAAAAATGAGCCTTTTCAGATGTTTCTGAAAAAACAAAAATGAATGTCTTCAGTTTGAAAAAATTTATTTTCAATTTGGTCAGAGATTGTGGATATCGAAAAGACGCAGAGATTTTTAATTTAAAAAAATCAAAAATCAGAAGATCACAAAGTGAGGAATTTTGTAGACCACATTGTGTAACACAATTCTCAGAAAAAAACTGAATTTTACAAAAAAGTTCTCGGAACAAGAAAATGTTAAATTAATTTTCCTCCCTGATTTTCAGCATATATGCAATCAACAACCTATGAACTCCTTGCCAATGTTTATCTCGGTTATTCCTATTGGATCACTGTAATTGCAACGTTTTTAATGTTTTTCGCGACCGCAACTTCAGGCGGACTTGTCAAACCAGAAGAACGTATACATTAAATTGTAAACATTTTATTATAGTTTTGAATAATACATACAAAAAAACACATAAATTGATAAAATAAAGCATTTTACATTTACAATAGGCAAGGCTGGCACTAATGAAAACCAAGAAATAAGTATCACAGAAAGTTTAGAAGAAGTCGAATTCATGCTAATTATCATGCAATTAGAAGACGAGAACCACAAACACGACGATTATTTGCTACCGATAAGCGGTGAACTCATCTGCAAAGAAAAGGGCATAATTATTTTACATATCAAATTATGGATTATCAATTGATCGAAAAGTACTACTACCACTATCCATGTGTCGTAAACCAGCAATTGTAAATGAACCATCGTGTTCTCCTTCTTCTTGTGAATTTCGAACGATTCCCTGTGAAAATAAAATTAGAAATTTTAATGTAAAAACGAAATGTGAGAAAAAATCAAGAACAAATCGATCGAAAAATAATTGAAAAATAATAGAAAAAAAAGAAGTTTATTTTGGATTCATTTTATGAATATTTTATGAACGATTTGAAAAGGTCGTGTTATTTCAGTGTGTTTTGTTCAAATGCATTTACAAAATTTACATTTTTTGAAAGAACATTAAGAACATGACGTGGCAAAGATAAAGCTTTCAACGTGGCAAAGTTTTTCAACCAATTTTTTGTATTCTACTTTCCCCATTTTTTCTTAAATCTCACCTTCGCGACCAATTCTTTCTGATAATCATGCTCAACAATTGTCGCATCTCTCAATCGTCTTTCCAAATCATCGCTATTCAAAACAATATCTTTTTCTGCAGTTGATTCAACCTCTGAAGACGAGAATTCAGCACCCAAAGGTTTTTCCTCTTTGATTGGTTGAAGCTCGGTCTGAAAGTTAAAAAAATAATTTAAATTTTGAACAATGCTTTTTTCACGTGACTGCCACGTTTCCTGTCAATTTCGAGTTTTTTAAAATTATTTTCATAACAAACCTCTTCATGTTCCACACTTTTCCTTCTTCGATGAATTTTGTGATGCAAACCGATTCCGACAACTTTTTTCTTCAAGTCGTGTAAATGATCCATTCCTAAAAATTCCCTTGTTTTTTTTCTTCTCAAAAAATCCACGAGAAAAAAAAGACAAACCTTCTTCCATTAGCTCGCCAAGTTTTGAGTGCTCTTTTTCTTTGATTTGCTCTTGTACTGGTATATCTTCTGGCATTCTTTTCATACGCAGAGATGCATTAGTCACCATGTCTTTTCGTTTTTCCTGGATAGAAAAAATTTGTCTTCTAAAAATCAAGAAAAAATGTAAACCTTATATTGTCTTGTCCACATCAATTCGCCACGTTTTTCCTTTGATAAAGGATTATCCAAAAGAGAGTTCCGAATCGAATTAACAACTAACAATACTTCGGGAAGCATTTCATATTGTGCTCTTAAATGAATTGAATCAATTGCACGAAGAGCCAAATCAGCACAACCATTGAAAAGTGCCAAATATGAACCGGTCAAAAATTCTAATAATAAATTACTGGCTACATGTTGCCTTGGTTTTCTCGTAAAATCTTCAATCACTTCCTGACTTTGTTCATTTTCCAAAACTTTATTATTGAAACCCGTGTCTGGAAAACTGAAACCCGATCGACAAATCGATAATGTTGCTAAACAAATGTGGCGAGATACGACTTCGGATGAAACCACAAATAATGATTGATTTATTGATTTTAGAATTCGGCTGAGAACCACAAATTTGTTACTTGCAGTTATCAAAGGATATGTTGGAAATGGACCAATTCGAACAGTAGTCTGAAAAATAAAAATAAAAGATTTTAGATGAATATTTCAAAATAAAAGTTACTAACCAATACTGACGCAATTGATCCTGGTCGAATTGTTGAAACTTCAGAATGTGATTGCATTTTTGAAGGATCGTGATAGATACTTGGATAACGAATCGATGGAATTCGAACTTCTTCAACCTTTTTCACATCCGAATTCGGATCAACAACAATTTCCTCATTATAAACGGCAACGAAAAACGTCTCGAAAAGTGTCGCACTTTTTTGTTGCTTTTTCGATAAAGCTAACAAATATAGCGCAATAAATCCAGGAACATATTGAAGAGCATAAAGTCGCAAAATTCCACCTTTATAATAAAGCGAGAGAATTTGACCAATAATCGATTGCACCAAATCAATATCAGTGTAATTCGAATTGATATAATTGATGACGTATAAAGTATTTGGCGCAGATTTCGTCAAAAACTTTCGAAATAGCTCCAAATCTTCTTTTTTCTCATTTCCATTCGATGGTTGTTGTTGTTCTTGCGGCTTTGGCTGAGAAAACGATGTTCCAACGGTTCTTTCCAAATCCAAGAGAAATTCGGATATTTGCTCCGAATTCATTTCTTTTTCTGGAATCATGATTGTTAAATGATTTGTTTATGTTTATTAGTTCCAAAGGCAAAGCAAAAAAACTAGAAAAATATAAAAAAGTAAAAATCGACACGTCTGCTAAACAGCAGGCAGCCGCGGAGTGTTGTTGTTTTCTTTTGTTTTCTTTTGGTTGAAAAAAATGGTTTTCATATTTTAAGTAAAACTAATGCATTGAAGAGAAAATGAGTGAAATTTCTTTATTTGTCATTGAAAAAGAAATTGAATGATACCAAATACATATTTCTAATCTAAACCTTGAACATATTTATTTCTTTTCATCTGGGTTGAAATTGGCAACACTGTCTTTAGCGATTGGTGCCTGTTTTTCCTCAGTGGCTGAAGTTTCTCCATTGCTCAGAACTGGTGTTGGATCAGTATCAGTTCCCTGAAACATGTTTCTATTTCATTTTGAGGCATTTATAGACAACTTGCCATTGTCATTTGACTATCCTTGGCAACCGGAGCAAACAAATCGGAAGGTGCCATGGTTTCACCGTGTGATAAATGAGAATTGGACTGAAAAATGATTATTTCATACATTTTTTTTTTCTTTAAAAAAATGGGTCACGTTTTGACGCGCGAAAAATTACTAACCACTGGAGCTTCGTCTATTTGAACTCTTGGCGAAGAAGTGGCAAGATTCGGAGAAGATTCAAAACGAGAAAGTTTTCCAGGGTGTGTCTGAAATATCGTGCTATCTTGAGTTTGAAAAGAATAGAAATTTCTACCTCTTTCTCAAATTGTTTTAAAAAGCTGACAAGTTTTTCGTAAATCTTGCGCAAAGTTTCAAAATAAGATGGACAAGTTTTTGCATCATACATTAATGTGAGCAATAAAGCCGGTAGAATATAAACACATCTTAGCGGATCATCAAATTGCGAACATTTTGCAATCATTTTCACCACTTTTAATTCCGCCTGTCTTTCTCGAACCTCATCAACTTTTTTCATCAAAAAATCAAATTCCGCTCTTCTCAATTCCAATTCCTCAAAAATAAAAACTGAAAATCCTCTCAATCTTTCAATATCTTCCAATTGTCTTGACATCAGATTCAATTTTTTATTCACTTCATAATATCCATATTTTGAAGGAGTATTTGGTTGTTTCTCGTTTTTTGTTGGTGTTATCGGTATGGTTGTTGTTGATTTACTCAAAACTTGTCCAATTTCTTTTTCCACAATATTCAATTTATTTTCCATTTTATGGCAGAGTCCCGTCAAGTTTTCATTGTTTTCAATGACACGATCTTCGAGCTGAAAATTAACTTTAGCTTTTGACGCTAGAAAATTACCCTAAACTTTTTAAAAACATTTTCCAAATTTTTGATCCACAAAAAATCAGAATTTTGAATAAAATAAACCAGTCAAGTCCGAAAAAAGTTCCCCAATTAGAAAACCCGGAACGAAAAAATCGGGTTAAGTTCAGAATTTTTTTTAAATTTCAGAACAGTGATCCTATGTCATTAAAATCCTTCCACTTTCATTTCCCCTTAATTTTTTCTCACTTGCTCAACAATTTCTCCATCTCCATCTCTTAATTGAATAACCGCATCTTTGAACATCTCAATATGTTTCAAAGAACTACAATACTCCGATAACACAGCATTCAATTGATTCGTTGATTTTTCCAATCTTTGCCATTCATCGTTCCCAACTTCGGTGTAATCCATTTCGATTGAAATTAATATTCAGAAATGAAGATGATTTTTGACTGGAATTTTTTTTCAAATTTAAAATTTAAATAGATCACGTTTATAAACAAAATTTTATTAGGAACATTTTTAATTACCAGCAAAAACAAAGAGGGCGACCAGTAGACAGAAAAATGAGTATCATCAGGAAAAAATACATAAGAAAAACAATGAAATATAGGAAAGGAAAAGTTAGACTAAAGTTGGTGGTGGTAATTTCTTCTGCATTTCTTTTGCAATTCGTCGACGTTCTCCATGATATCGTAACCACGATTCAACACGTATTAACATGTGACCAAAAGTTTGACGATATCGGGAACTCATCACGCAATATAGTACAAATCCGACGCTGTAAAAGTTCACAGATTGTTTTGATAACTTTTCATTTTGAAGAGGATTTGAGCCACTTTTTAATTTTTTTTTGAAATTGTGAACGACCGTTCTGCTCTAATTTTTGTTGAAATCCTGGTTTTTCTAGTTACCTGCAATTAACGAGTGACATAAAATCCAGCAATTCTCCAACATTTTGATAAATATACATATTCATTTCCACAGTATACAACGCATTCAAAAGTGCCATAAAACCTTGAGGAAGTTCAGTTACCAAAAACACAACCAACATTATAATTAGCATATAAGTAGTTTTATCAGGAACTGTTGTTTTTTTGATGTGCTTTCGAAAACTTTTTGAATACAAATAATTTCTTTTTTCATCAGTTTGTCGAAGTTTATAAACCAATGCGACTGTGAACCAAAGTAAAAGTGCACATGGAATTGATTTCATTACAATTGCAATCATCCATAAATTGAATTTGAAAAATGCGCAAGAATCAGTTGAAAAGTTCAATGTGTATTTGATTTGATTTATTGTTTTATATTGTGTTGGAATTATATTGGGTTGGATTTGAGTGGAATTTTTGGTTTTTAAAATACCAAGCATTTCTGTAGTTGTTTCGACAGCTGAAAAATAGTATTTATGAATTCGGTTCAGAACGCAGATTGTCCCTAAAATATCTTTGACTTACCATCTCCAGGATTCATTCTAAAAATATCATGAGCAAAAATAATGGGACTGCAAGCAATCAGCATAGATATCGAAACAATCCCGAATAATTTCCAAGAATTTTTTGGTTGCAACCATTTGCTATGAATATTTCCCAAAGCTTGCCATCGAATAAATGCGAGAACAGCTCCAAGATATAAAGTTATTGCATGTAATGTCATCGAAGCTCCAATGTGGAATTTCAGAAATACAATCCAGATGTAAGAATAACCATCTTCGCTCTGAAGAGAGAAAATTTCGGGAATTTTTGGACACATTTTAAATGGGTTATCGAATAATCGGTAGTTACCTGATAAATTCGAAATCTGAACAAATATATTGAATACGAAAACATCGTAACAACATCGCACATTGCAATCGCCGCCAAAACACAATTCACCGCACATCTTCGCATCCGCGGTCGAGATAAAACCAAAATATGAATGATATTTGAAAATACGCCCAAAACACATATCACCAAACACGCGTATCGATGGAATATTGTGTAAACACTGAAAAAAAATTAATTTTGAGTTATTTCCTTTCTAATTATGCTAATTAGAATCTTTAAAAATGCTGACGAAAATTACAGAATATTTATGAGCTTTTCCTTTTTTCTGGAAGTTGATTGAGTAAAAATAAATTCCCTTCCTTGTAGTTTGGTTTTTTTTAGAATTGGATTTTTAAGAGGAAAAGGAAGAAAAGATTTGTTGTTTTTTGTGTTTTTCAAGTGGTCAGTCAAGGAAGTGTAGTTATAAGTTCATTTTTAGAAGAAGGCTACATAATTCTATTTCAGGACAAAGATTACTGTAGATTGGAAAATCTTGATCGAGATTGAATATTCGGAATTTGGTTTCATTCGAATACATGAATGAAATAAAAGTTTATTTGGATTTTCAGATTTTCAGCTTAATTTTTAAATTCTGCAAGATATTTATGGAACAAAACACGATGAAAACCAGACCATAATACTAAATTATCCGAAAAATATTTCTGGAAACTGTTGAAATTTGAAATTGCTTTTTAAAATGGATTTCATTGTTTTTTTCCTGCATGCAGTTTAGTAGATTTTTAATGAAACTTTTTGGACTCTAAAAAAACGAGTACTATTTTTAAATTTTTAATTGAACTTCCTCTTAAATATGAAAACTGCAAAAACATTTTAAATGTTCAAAGTTCCAAAACTTCTAGATTTTTTCAGGTAGTTTTTTTTGGAATCAGAATCTTCGATGCCAAAACATTTCTCTGAATTACTGTATGTTTCTGTGTAAAAAAAAACGTCTTTTTTAAAAAAATCCCTGAATCAAAACTGTTCTCTATTTTGCAGAAATGTCAGAAGCCTTGCAAAAACTTTTCCAACATTTTCAATAATAAATCCAAGAACTACTTTGTTTATCTACGATTTCCTCGTATCAATTAACAGTTTATTATTTATTATTCCTATTATTTTTCAGACAAGAAAAAAATATTATCCGTCATCTATCCAAACTCCCACGTGTTTTCCAAGAATATTTTCTCTTGTTATTTTTTCTACAAACAAAAACGAACGAACCTATTAAAATCCTCTAGTGTCGCAATGAATCCTTGAAATCGTGGATCATTTGAATCGAATAATGTTCCAACTTCATCCTTACACATAGCACCTGAAAAAAATTGGAAAATGAAGGAAACTATTTTTTCTGGATGAAACTTTTGACCCCGCCCTTTTCTTGGCTCAAAAAGGAAACACCTTGTGGAAGAAGAAAAAGAAGAGGACAGATTTGAATAATTATTCGATGAGAAAAAAAAGGAAGAAAAAATGAATGAAAGAGAAATGAGGAATAAATCAGAGCAAAAAAAAAACAAAAAAAAGAACACTAAAATACTCGTCGGCACGTTTTCCAACCAATTATAAATAATAGGAAGAATAAGAAGAAAAAGATCTACATAAAAATCTGCGGCAAAAAATGATGATGATGATATAAAAAGGCGGTTTATTATTAGCCCAGCAAGAAGGGCCCCTGAAGAAAAAAAAAGAAGAAAAAGTGCCCATATGTGAAAAATTGTTCTTAAAGAAAGAAGAACTACAAAAAGAAGCTAAAAAATAGAGAGGAGTAAGTAAGTAAGTAAGTAGTGTTAGAAAAAAAGGTGAAAAATATTGGGTGGTCCTTGGGGATTTCGAGTTAGGGAACACAATTGAATTTTGTGACGAGAAAGTATCTTTGGACGAATTTTTTAGATGGAAAACTGAAGTTGAAGCTGAACATTTCTACTCAAATAATTATTCACTCAAGTTCAAAAGGGTCACTATCAAAAAAAAAAGAGTTCTTTATTTTGGACTTAGGCTAAATGAAATCAAATCAAATGAAAAAGTTTTATTTAATTTAAGCACAATTGATTAAATTTCCAGCATGTTTACTTGAATAGGCAAATTTTCTTTCCATTCAATCAGAACTATTTGTCATTGTGACGAATAACCTTTTTTGTAAACTAGAAAAAATATGATGGATGATTTAGGCAGGTATTAAAAAATGGAAAAAGACACAAACATTCTGGAAATGTCAAGAAGATTTTGTCCCAAAATAAGTTCAAAATAATTCCTTGAAATTTTGTAGTATTTTTATCTGAAAAAAATCATCCTATTAAAATTCAAAAAAATCCTAACAAACAACAAACACTCGGATAAAATTTCTAAAAAATGTGCATACTTGGAATTATGAATACATTTTATTTTGTGGTCAGATATCAGTTTTTTTCGGTTTAATCCTATTCTTTGGGGATATTCACGTATTCAGAAAAAAATTTTGAATGTTTTTTGATTGGAAACAATAAGATTTTTTGGAACAGTGAGAAAATTTGAAATACTATTGAAATGATATTTTCAAAAAAAATGTAGTTAGAAAATGTATGCAGATATTAAAGCGAGAGAGAATAGATTCGAAAAATTGGCACTTGCGGATTTATTAAACTTGAATCAAAATTTCAGAAAAGGAAGTCTTAGGCTCAAAAAATGTTTTTGAACATTTGTAACTATGAAAAACCGAGTTTCAAATTTGAAACTCAGTAAATAGCGAATTATCATGAAAGTAACATGTCAGAAAAAATCAGTTTTTTTTTCACAAAAATACGAAACGTATTTTTCACAGGTTGAAGAAATAGGAATATTTTTCTTCATTTTCTCACAACAAAATCCCTAACAAGAAATCATAAATCACGAATCGTTTCAAAGAAAAAAAAATAGAAGAATTGAATAGAATAAATAAGATTTCACTTGAAAAATTTTTGAACTCTTATTTTTCTTGTTTTTCAAAAGCCAAGAACCCCAGGAACGGAAATGAATTGAATTTTTTAAAAACCAATGACTTCTCAATTTTTTGCAAGAAAGAAAAAAATAAAATGAATTTTGATCGCCAGAAAAAAGAAAATTTTACAACCGGTGTTTTTTTTTCATCTAAATTTGAAAGAACAAAAAAACAAGAACTCACCATCTTTTTCGCCCATTTGTCACCAATAAAAAAGGAGAAAATGTGGCAGGCACACACAAAATCGGCTCCTGGAAAAATTGAAAAAATTCGATTAAAAATCGTTCGTTTTTTTGTTTAACCAAAAAAAAAGGAAGAAGAATTGTTTTTTGTTGTTTTTTCTGACTCGGGGGTGGACTCTTTTTGTTCATGGAGTAAAATTGAGGACAAAACTATAAATTATAAATTGTGTTTTCTGAAATTTGAGATGAGTGCGGTCAAAATAACTGCACGTAGCTATTTTTAAATGCGTGAGTGAGAACAAAAATAAATTTGAACTGTCAAAATTTAGAATTCTGAAAAAAATAGATCACAGTGGCCCAATTTCGACATCCTCGAAAACGGATCCGATAAATCTGACACGATCCAATTTTGAAATTCTAAATGAAAAACATCCTCTTATTTTTGACACGAATCTCTAGGGAGATGAATGAAAAGCGAAAATTGGTATTATTTATGGTCCTCTTTTCCTGTGTTGGTCACACAGAAACACAAACGAAAAATTGTTTTTTTTTTTACTCCTGTGTGATGAAAAACCAAGAAGGAACCAAAAATCAGAAAGAACATCTTTTTTAGAATTTGTATATGTAAATAAATACACTGCCCCTGGAAGAAAAAATATTTTTAGATGACAACGAGATGATTTTTTGGATTGTCTTGGGAAAGGAAAACCAGATTATTTGACCACTTTCGGAAATTGTCAGAAGAGTTCAAAAAATGAGAGATCGGAAAGAAGTATAAGAAGAAGAAGTTCGAAAATTTTTACGTATTTTCGAAAGTGCGTAGGATCAGGAAGGGATTTTTTCAAATCCTATATTCTATTATTTCTGAGCCAGACTGCTAAGTATTTTGTGACTTGAGAAGTTCGAAAAATTCAATCAAGCTAACACTTTTGAAATTGAAGTATTCAAAATGTTTTCAAGTTTTTTTTTCAAATATATTATTTTCTACGAAGCTTCTTCTGAAACTACACTAATTTTTGTTGTTTCCGAAATATTATTTTAGTGATTGTATACCGCGAAAAAAAACACATAATGTTAAAACAGGTTCAGAAGTTTAGATAATATTTTAGAAAATTAGAACCAGATCCTATAAACCAAGCAGAAACTCAAACCTTTGAGACAAGTTCTGGTTAGCCAGAAAAAAAATTCAAAATTCAAAAACCAATGAAAATTCTCATCAAAACAAGCGCGTTGAACTACGATCTCAAAGCTTTTTTGCATCTGCTCCAAGTTTCTTGAAGAAAAACCGAACTACACTTTTTCTCTCTTTTCAAGAAAGAATACGTTGGTCTTTTAATTGATCCTCTAATTTATGCATTGAACCATTTTTCTGGGTTTCAAAAAAAGTAGGCAATGAAAAAGTTAGCTAAAAAATAGATACCAAAGGCGGGAGGAAAAAATATTCAAAAATATATATTCGAAAGAAAATAAAATAAGATTTCAATGATCAAACAGAAATTCTTGCTATGCTACGAAAAAATCCTAAATAATTAATCATGAGAGAACTTTGAAATTCGGACCACCTCGAGGTTTTTTTTCGTACAAATATTTGTCAAGAGAAGGCTCGGAAAAACTCCAAAACAATTCGAAAGAAAGAATAGAAAAGCTTGTACTTACATTAGATTCCAAGAAAAATGTGGGTGAGTTGAAATTTCAATGATCAAGTTTTTCAATGATTAATTAAAAGAAGAAGAACTCAAGGATCCAAAACTTTCTTTTTTCCGAGTAAATTTCCAAAAACCAAAAAAAGAATTTATTTATTTACTTTGCACATCACACATCCCACGAAAAAATGCTTGAGACGAAACAAATTTGAAAAAAAAAGTATAAATAACCTAAGAAAGCAATATTGGATAGCTCAAGAGCTCATCTTTTTTTAGGTTCAAAAAAATGAAAGAGCAATGATAGGCTAAAAAAACAAATTAATTGGATCTTTTTTTCAATCGACAGGACAGCTGCTCGATTTTTGATTTGGTCCCAACTTATTTCAAACAGAAAAAAATAGAGAAGAAAAATCACGTGTAAAATAAGATAAATATAAAAATGAGAAAAAAAATACAAATTTCCTGTTATTTGGAAGGTACAAAGAAAGTAGTTACTGTAACTTTCTTTTTATTTATTTTTCTACGTGCGTAAATTAATTTTTCTCATGGACTTTTTGATAATTAAAAATTTTCTGAATTAAAAGTTTGAACGAATTCCTCCCTCGAAAATTACAATTATAAATTCCTATCTTTGAATATTTTATAAATCGGAACAAAATCAGAGTCTGAAAAATTCGAAAGATCAGAAACAAGTTTCAAATTAGTGAGCATTAAAAAAAACTGATTCACAGCTCACAAAATTAGGAATTCTAGGCTTGGAATATTTCATGAGTTGGAAAATCAAAGAAAAAGTCTGGGAAGAGGATAAACTTTGACCAAGAGTCTTGGCCCAAGATCAAATTCAGAACTTTTTTTATAAAAAAAGAAAAGTAATGATAATTAGCGGAATTAGGATAGAATGTAGTTTGAAACACTATATTAACATAACGTTTTCAAAAAAAAAAAGATCAAGAAGAAGTAAAATTGAGCCATTGAGCCAGCAAAAATGCGTGGGAAATCATGGAGTGTTTTTTTTTTCGAAAATTAGAATAAATTGTCAAAGAGTGTATTTTATTACCCAAACATTTTCGCGCATTTTTTTGAGACCTGACACAATTTTACGGGTGGGACTAAAAATCGACTAAATTCTATGCAAAAGTGAGAGATCTAGAGAAAAATATTTTTGATCTACCACGAACATTTTTGAAAAAAAATTGGAAGTCTATCTAGAGATTTGGGGTAGTAAATCTTACGAACATTTTTTTAAATTGTATCCTAAAATAATAATTTGAAAACTTCAAAAATAAAAAGTGTTCGAGCAACATTTACCACGTAGAATTAATATTCTTTCTATCTTTCTGAAAAATCGAATATAACGTAACTTCAAACCGTAAGTAAGTACTACCAAAATAAAAATGAAAACGGCATAATCCACATTTCATTTCATTTCATATTTAAAACCATAATTTGTTATTTTGCTCGTCATAATACATATTAACAATAAGACGATAACAACTCAATCAGAAACATGAAAAATCGGGACGAGGAAAAAATAAAAACAGCAAAAATCAACAAGTTTCCGTGTTCAACATATGTTCTTTTCTTTTTTTTCTTATTCTCATTTTAACCTTTCGTCCTTTTTTCTACAAGATGAAAAAACGGATCAAGAAGGATACATTTTTTGTCTTCCTAGAAGTTCAGTCTCAACGGATTACGAATCTAATTATCTCTTCTACACATTTTGCATCAAAGAACTGCAAGTAAACAAAAAGAGAATTTGGGGGGAAAATAAGAAAAATAATAAAAAACATAAAGTTTGGGAAAGCTAATTGAATTAAAAGTACAGTATACCACGATAAATAAAGAATAATTTATGACAAAAAACAAAAACAACCGAGGAATGAATGAAAAGTTGGGGTTTTTGGCAAAGGTAAATAAAATTGGGAAAAATACTGTTTTTTCTATAAAAAAATGAAGAATACAAGTTATGCACATATTATATTAAAACCTATTAATTTTGAAAAGAAAAACTTTACATTGGATTAATTTGTTTGAAGAACAAAAATCCGGCGGCTGCTCCAACAGTTCCAGCGACAAACATAAATTGAAGAGCATATCTGGGAATTGCTTTGACTGAAGTTCGCGGGGGTTTTGAGACCTGAAAAAGGGAGATCATGAGGAGCATAATTAATCTATGGATTAAAATAAAACAAAGATCTGGGATTGGATAATGAGAATTTATAATCTTTTTATTTTTAAAGTTCATAGAAACCTAGAATTAGTACATTTCTGATTGTTTGTTGTTACAAAATTATGAAACGGATGACATCGGAAAAAAATGCAAATTTCCTGTTATTTGGAAGGTACAAGGAAATAGTTACTGTAACTTGATTTATTTTCTACGTTAATGAGTTAATTTCCTTGTCAATGAGAACATGAACTTTTCAGATTCTTGAACAAATTCCTCCCACGAAAATGACAATTAAAAATTCCTAGCATTGAATATTTTATAACACGAAATAAAATCAAAGTCTAGGAGAAGTAAAAAAAATCCTAACTGAAAAGAATTAGGATTTCAATGGATCAAAAAATTTTAAATATTTGAAAATTGAAAGTCTCCTCGGTCAGAAAACGGCGGGGTCGCTACCGATCGGGGCGAAGTCGCTACACTTTTTTGTTCCCCGAAACGTGTAGCGACTCCGCCCCGATTGGTAGCGACCCCGCCGTTTTCTGACCGAGTCGAAGATGTGGATCTACATTTTTAAATAGTTCAAAAATTCCCAAATTTCCATATGACCTCTTTTCCAAAGTTCCCAAAAAAATAACTCACAAATTTCCTATATTCGTTCAAATACCGTGTTTTCAATAAACATGGCGGTATTAATTTTGATAAATATACAGCGTCTTTGATAATCGCATCAATTGGTAATTCTCGTGGCATTTCAGTTAATAATCGATGAATAAATGGCATTTCCCTGAAATCAAAAAATATGTGTTTTCAAAATTTCAAGAGAAAAAAGCGCACCTCTCACACGACAAAATACTTGCTCTTCGATAAACTACAATTGCAGATGATAAATAAATTGGTAAAAGTGGAGAAGAAGCGAGAAGACAATCGAAGAATCGAACTATTTGTTGATATTTTTGAAGACTATGACTGAACCAAGTCAAAGGCCATGAAAGTGCAAACATTGTTCCTAATTCCACGGATCGCATTACTTTTTCTAATTGAGGTTCTACTCGAGATAATATCACATATCTGCAAAAAATGAGAATTGAAAGACGGGATTTAGAATTTACTAATTACATTTTGAAATTATCTTTTTTTTTTATTAATACACCTCAACATTTCGTTTTCAAATATCAAATTCCTTTTTGTGCAAAACTATTTGTTTATGCAAAATTCAAAAGTTCTCACATTCATGTAATATTTATTGAATTTTCCAAAATGAGATTTCTCATGAAATTCTAATGAATTTTTTAAACTTCTGATTTTTTGAATTTTTGTTCGCGAAAATTCCAAAATTTTTTAATTACTTCAATATGGAAAATTTGATTAGTTTCCTGACTGACCCCACATTTTGCCCTCAAAAAACTCACAATAAATCCAATTCCCTAACCACACTTTTCTCCAGTGTTTTCAGCAAATAATTATTAAATGATCCATTTTTCGCCAAATTAATACAAACTGGCAAAGCATCTTTCAATCCACAAACTAGCAAAACTGTCAGACAAATGTCATGGAATCCTGCATAAAAAATTTTGAAACTATTTCAACATCAAAAATGAAACTAACCCTGATAATAATTGAACCTGGGATTTGCACTCAAAACCCGTACAATCATTGGAATTAATTCATTTTGTAGAATTTCTCGATGGACATCTGTAATATTCGGTGGAAACCTGGCCAAAGTTCGATTCACATCCAGTTCCACTTGATGCCATTCTTTATGATTCATCAGATCTTCTCGTGTTAATTCGACCTCATGGAATTGATCTTGTACAGGAGTTTCATCAAAATCTGATTGTGCGGATTCAAAATCAGAATCATAGGAAGAGGAAACGTCATCTAAATCATCATTATTTACAAGATTTGAGGATAGAATTGGCCAAATTATCGCTCGAAATTCATCGTCAACTAATCCACCGGGCGAAATTGCAAAGTCTCGTAATTCCTCTGAAAAAATTAAGTGTTGTTTTTTTTATATATCTCAAAAAAGTATATCAAAATTTCGATTAAAACTAGCTTGAAAACATATTTCATTTTTCAGTTCAAAAATCATTTTTGGAGCATTTCTCGAACTTTAATTTCGAACATTATTGTGAAATTAAAAAAAGGAAATCTTCGATTTTTTTCTGATAAATATTGACTTTGGGTTCAAAAATCCAACTTTTCTCCAAATTCAACCTTGAATTACCCATTTTCTACCCCAAAAACTGACCAATATAAATCGCCAAATTCTCATTTTTATGCTTCTTCAAAAATCGATCAATAGCTTCTCTTTTATGTCGAAGTGCCGTGAATTTCGCTCTTGCCAGCGGACAACTTTCACTCTGAAAATACTATAAAATGTTTTGTGGATTACTTTCTGTTCTGAAAAAATAATCAAACCTTCAAATAATTCATGAAAAATCAGAAATGACAAAGTGATGAAATTATATAATGAGCGTGAGAAAAAATAAACAAATTTTGATTTTATCAAATGATTTTTATCGAAAAAATTTCATCATTTTTTTGTTGTTTTTTTCAGAAAAAAATTGATTAATTCATTTTGAAAAAAATAAGTTTACCTTGAAAACATCTTTTCCAATATCACTGCAAGAAGCAGTTTGCCATTTTTCACCCAATCCTTCTCTCAATGGTGTATTTGGTTCGGAAAACGAAGAATTCATGGAAAGTAGAAAAACACAATGAGTTTTTCCTTGAATAATCTCTAATAATAAAATGTGTGTCAACACAACGACGAAAAAATACACATTGCGAAATCGATGTGAAAAAAAGAGGAACAAATAAAACATGTGTGGAAAAAACGACAAAATTTTAAAATCCATCAAGTACTTTTTCATATAAATAACATTTTTATTTTGTCAAAAAAAGAGAAAACAACCCAAAATGTATCTAATATTTTTGAAATTATTAGATACCTTTTCCAAAATGGCATCATTAAATTGAACCGACCAAATAAAACGGCATCGGTTAATTTAACCAATGTCATTTTGTTTAATTTCGCCCCAGAAACTTCACCAGGATAATAATTAACAAAACAAAAATAGAAATAACAAGTATATCAGTAGAAGAAGACAAGACAAAAAGTCACCCTAAAAACTGACAAATTTTTGGGGAAACTTTACAAGAAGAAGAAGACGGACCTTGATATCTATTATGAACTAATCGAAGTCGTCTTCTTCGCTGATTGGAGCGGCAGTTCTGGAGGTGCTAAGGGCAATTGTAATTTCTTCTTCAACAAATTCATCAGGGTTCAAGGTTGCATCGGTGTCTATGCCGCTGCGAAGAGCAATTCGAGCATCTCGTTGAGCAGCGACAAGTTCTTTGTTGCGGTTTCGGATGACATCGAAAGCCGACATGATTTTGCGGCGTTTCTCAACGACTTCTTGACTGGCTCTGCATTTTTCGTCGTCGTCTTGTTTGATGAATCGAGCAGAGATCTTTTTGAGGTTCTTCTTGATTTCTTTTTGTTTTTGTTCGGATAATTTAACTGGCGGCCGTGGTCGCCATTTGAATTGGGCTAATCGTTCCATGCTTTTTCGACATAATTCACGTCCTTGGAAAGTGTAAACACGGAAACCAAGATCGGCTCCATTTCTACCACCAAGTGAAGAACAGGTAACGAAATAACGACCAGTTGGATCCCAATAACCCTGAAACAATATAACAAATGCAGGTAAACCTTTAAATTTCCGAAAAACTCACATTATTGAAAAGTGGGTGTTCGATAACATTAGTTCTCTTGGCTTCAGCTAATGTTGTGTCAACAAACATGACATTTCCACCAGCAGAAACTTTAGCCAAAATAGCTAACCATCCTCCTTTTGGTGCAAATTGAACTTCATTGTATTGAACTCCGGCGTCAAGTTTGCTAATCAATTTTGGAGCGTGGCTGTTTGGCTCAATCTTGTAAACATGTGGAGCAGCTTTTGTTTGATTTCCAGTCAAAACACAGAATTTATCACCTTCTGGATCCCAACCGAAATGAATGAAAGCTTCTGGAAGTGGAAGATTCATCAATGAAACATCTTTCTTATCAATTTCGAAAATATCAACATGATAAGTGCATCCACCCTGAAAATAATTGTATTTTTGAGAACTTAGGTAAGCTAAAAAAAACTTACAACATATTTGATTTCTCCAGTTTCACGGAAAGCTTTTTTGTTGTATCGCATTGTGTAGAAAGCCAAACGTTTACCGCTTTTTTGCCAGAACATTTGAGCATCAGCAACATTGTAAATACGAGCAGAACGAAGTCGTTGAAGTGATGGAATTTGAAGAAGACCAAATTCAGCTGGACTCATATCAGTACACTGAAATATCGAGAAAGTTAAAAATTGTTATTAAATGAAGAAAAATAGATACCTCTGAATAATAAGCCAAAAGATTTGAAGCTGGTGACCAATCGATTTGTTTGATGTTTTCGATAATCACAGGCCGTTTATTCAAAAGTTCGAAAGTTTCAGTTTCATAAATTGAAATTCCGTCAATTTTCTTTTCTTTTTCCAATTTATCTTTTTCTGGAGCCTTGAGGCAAGCGAAATATTTTTCATCGAAAGACCATTTGAAGAAAGGCCAATTTGGAAGTTGGGTTTTGTTGGTGAGTTCGAAGGCAGAGAAAGATTTCTTGAGTTCTCCTGTTCGAACATCCCAGATTTTCAAACAATCCTTTTCTCCTTCCCACCATTTTCCACGATCTTCTGGAGCAGCATAAGTGACAAGATATCTGAAAAATTATAAGTAATTGAAAATTACGAAATATTTCAGAAGATATGACTTACGTTTCACACGGTGAGAAATCAATACATTGAACACCATCGTGAGCAAAACGATGAGCTCTTTTGAATTCGACTCCTCCCCACAAAATGATACCACGTTGATGGATGGTGGATAAATATGAACCATGTGGTGACCATGTGAATACGGTCTCTGTCCAGTTCTGTAAAGAAAATCAGAGTCAAATTTTGGTATAAAATATTTGAATCTTACAGCTCTTTCAGCAATATCGTTATCTCCAGCCAATTCCGGATCATGACCTTTCATGTGTGTATAAACACCAACAGTTGGAACACCATTTTTATCATACGAGACAGCAAATTGATCTCGACAACGATCATTTTGCATCCACCACCACAAATCTCCAACATCGGTGTAAGGTTGTTTGGTTGGTTCTTTCCAATCATCATTTGGTGGGCGCATAAGTTTCATTTCGGAGAAAAGTTTGGCGGAGAAGGTGTGGTTCTTATCAAAAGCATAACCATCCAAACTTTCTACGGCGAATTTCGCAACTTTTTTGTCTGGCCATTCAGAAAGAAGAACTCCAAGACTTGCACCATCTGGACCAACTGGGATGAAAAGTTTGACTTTCTTCTCAATTTTTTCGAGTACTTTTGTGAGGACATTTTGCAATTTTCCAACACGCTCGGAGCCAATTACAGGAACTCCTGTGATAACAACAGCACACTCTTCGAACTCATCAATGACTGGCTTTTGGTGGAGAACATCAGGAACAAGAACTGAAAAAATTTCATTATGATTTGGATTTTTGGAGAATTTGGAACTAACCTTCATCCTTGATATCATCGACAAATCCAATTGGATCAGAGAAATCCTCTTCATTTTCTTTGTTCAGATCAATTTCGACCATTTTTCGTTTCTAGCGAAATGACACTTTTCTGTATCGTGTAACCCAGATGTCCTAAAAACAAAAACTAATTTTTCAATACGCTCTGAACAATGGAAAATGCTAAAAATGGTGGGGACGCCTGAAAACACGCGAAAAACTGAAAATTAGGACAATTTGGACGAAAATGAGTTGACCCGCTAAACAACAGGCAAACCAAAAAGCGGAGTGTTGTTCCTGTTTTTATTTTTTGTGTCAAGAACCTGTTTTGCGTCAATGCTGAAAACATTGAGCCATAAAATTTAGCTCGCGCAATATTTTTTGAAAAAAAAAGTTCAGAGAACTCACGTGGGCTCATCGTGCATTTTTACAACAGAAAAAGAGTTGCAAAATGTGCTTTGATCGTTTTTTAAGTTCAACGAAATCACTCCACCCATTTCTTCCCGATAAAACGTTTATTTGTTGCGTTCTCTTATCATTCGTTGTTTTCTTGTTTTTCACTTTGGAGTTTGTGATGACTTAAATTTTCACTTTGAAACAAAATAGTTTTATTTTATTTCAGAACATGGCATCTAAAGAAGCAACTATTCCAAACAGTGTGAAATTCGCATTCGGTGGAACAGCTGGGTAAGGTTTTCATCAAACATTTTTTCTATATTTCGAATATTTTTAGTATGGGCGCAACATTAGTTGTTCAACCTCTTGATTTGGTTAAAAATCGCATGCAACTTTCGGGAACAACAGGAAAAAAGGAATATAGATCAAGTTTACACTGCATTCAACAAATCATCAAGAATGAGGGATTTTTCCAATTGTACAATGGTTTATCAGCTGGACTTCTCCGACAAGCAACTTATACCACAACACGTCTAGGAACCTATACTTTCCTCCTCGAACAATTTTCTGATAAGTTAGTTTTAAAAATCGCACAAGATTTCCTAGAATCCAATAACTTTTCAGAAATACAGCTCCATCTTTCGCAACAAAAGCAATTTTCGGTATGGCAGCTGGTGGTATTGGATCATTCGTTGGAACTCCCGCTGAAATTGCATTGATTCGAATGACTGGAGATGGTCGACTTCCACCAGAACAACGAAGAAATTACAAAGGAGTTGTCAATGCTTTAACCCGAATTGCTAAAGAAGAAGGAGTTTTAACATTATGGAGAGGTTGTACACCTACAGTAATTCGAGCAATGGTTGTAAATGCTGCACAATTAGCAACATATTCCCAGGCAAAACAAACTATTTTGGAGTCAAAACTCATTTCCGATGGTATTTTCTGTCATTTTGTTGCCTCGATGATTTCCGGACTTGCCACAACTATTGCTTCAATGCCTGTTGATATCGCTAAAACTCGAATTCAATCAATGAAAGTTATCGATGGAAAGCCAGAATACAAAAATGCATTTGATGTTTGGGGAAAAGTTATCAAAAATGAGGGAGTTTTTGCACTCTGGAAAGGATTTACTCCATATTATATGCGTCTTGGACCACACACTGTTCTCACTTTCATTATTCTCGAACAAATGAACGCCTCATATTTCAAATTTGTTCTCAAAACTGAAAACAAAGGAGGTCTCTAGAAGTCTGTAATCGAGCTTATTAATGAAATATAATAATGTGATGGGTAGAATAGAAAATTCTTTGCCATAGATGCATTAATGTAATTAACCTTATTATTTAGTAATAAACTTTTTTTCCGTTCTAAGTTGAATCTAAATGTTTGTGTTTTATTTGAGGGTTGTTTTTCCCAAGTTAATTATTTATTTCTTCAAGAAGTTAATTTCTCCATATAAAAATTGATCTCTAAAAAATTTCAGAAAATCATGAACCGGGTACCAAACCTGATTCAAACCCGAAGTGTTCGATCTCTGAATCCAACAAATTTCCGAGCTCCTTGGCCATTTGTGAAAAAAGGTGCAACTGGTCAACGAAAAATTGGACCATACAATGTGGAAAAATTGCAATATCCTGGACAGAATCGCGAATTCGAGTTATTGAATCCTAAATTCCAAAAATTGAATCCAAAAGAACTACACAGATATACTGGTGTTCAAGAGGAAGGATTTAATGATGCAGTGACTGGAGAATTTGTGCCGGTAAAAGAAATGAGAAATCAACTTGTTGTTCCGAATTTGGATGGATTTAAGTGAGTTTTTATAGGGGGATAAAAAATTACCTATAAATATGAGACTCCGAAATAAAATTATTGTTGTTTTTTCTAGATTGAAACCATATGTATCATACCGAACTGATGTTCAAATTGAAAAACGAAGAGCTGCTTATGAGAAAAAAGTTTTGGAAAAAGGATCAGAAAGATTAGCTGATTTACACACTGTTGAAGATGAACGGTTTGTTTTTTTTTTAACGATAGAAATCGAAATCAATGTATTTTTGTAGTTGGCCACCACCGAAAATGACACCCGAAACTCTTTTCGAACTTCAATATGGTGAAACAATACGATCTGCTTATAAAGAAGGACATTATGGTCCCGTGAAATCCAAGGAAAATTAATTTTTTGTTATTTATCAATTTTGTTGTTATTTAGCTTTTAGATTTTTGGACAAAAAATTTGTTTTCAAATTCTTCTAATTTTCTTAAAACAAAAATTGTCAAAATTTCAACACAGACTATCTCCAGTTTTTTGAAAAAAATAGTACAGTAATCCATTTCCAGAAAAATGTCTGGAAAAACTGCGATAATTTTGTTGGCACCAGAAGGAGCTGAAGAAATGGAAGCAGTTATTACTGGTGATGTTTTAGTTCGCGCTGGAGTTCAAGTTCAATATGTTGGTCTTGAAGCAAATGTGAAATGTTCGCGAGGAATTCGAGTTATTCCAGATGTTTTGATTGATGATGTTAAGGAGAAATTGTTCGATTTGGTTGTTCTTCCAGGCGGACAACCCGGAAGCAATTTATTGGCTGCTGTGAGTTTATTTTTAATTTTTTTGTTAAAAATGACATTGGAAAAAGATTACGTTGAATTATTTTCAAAACAAATTTTTTAAATGAAATTTCCACGACATAGTTCACAGTCGAAAACTTGAAGTTATACACAAAAAATCGGATCACTGTTGAAAATTGGATTTTTTTTAAAGTTTCTGGCTTCAGAAAAACTATGAAGTCATGCAAAATTTTCTAAAATATCTATTCTTCTAAAACATTGTCCAATATTGTTCAGAATGAAACAGTTGGATCAATTTTGAAATCTCATATTGCTGCTGGTAAATATGTAGCAGCTATTTGCGCGGCTCCTCTTGCTCTCAAAGCACATGGAATTAAAGTTGAATTATTGACAAGTCATCCATCGGTCAAGAAAACTCTTGAAGAAGCTGGCTATAAATATTCGGAAGATCGTGTTGTTGTCTCGAATAATGTGATAACTTCAAGAGGACCTGGAACATCTTTTGAGTTTGCTTTGAAACTTGTTGAATTGTTAGTTGGAGAAGAGAAATCGAAAAGTTTGATTGATCCAATGGTTCTCAAATTGTAACTTTATTTATTCATTTTCAAAATCTAATTGATCTAATCTATCAATATTGAGCGAAGTTTGTATAAAATTGATATAATATTCTGCTACTAAATCTACAGTTTCTGAATCTGGAGATGTTCCAAGATAACCATCCACTTCTGTGAAGAATTTTTCTTTTGATTTTTCATCAGGTGTTGCTGTTGAATTAGCAAGTTTTGATAAAATTCCATTACCATAACATAGCCAAACTCGACCACAAACAAGAACTGGGGGAGTTCTTTGAAGATAAACTGCCAGAAGCTGGAAAATATTTTGAGATTATAAGTATCGAAATAAAACCAGAAGACTTACATCAATTCCAGCACCACAAAGAATATGTGGAACTGTTGGAATTGGCAAAATTCTGCCAACAACAATTGTACAAACACTGACAAGCGCTTGTTTTGTATATTTATTTTTGGTCAGAATAGTCAGAACTGCACTGCCCTTTTGACACGGATTACAGACTTTGTGAAGAGGGTTTTTCTTGCTATCAAGTTTTCCCTGAAAATCTGATATTTAGGGAAGTCTGAACGTGTTATAATGTTCTTGAGGTTGTTTTTTGGTATCCAGGTAATATTTGAAGATTTTAGACACCCATATTTATACACTTTTTGAAAGTTTCGAAATGGTACTAGTTTATGACCTTAATAGAATCCTAATCCACGTGATAATATCCTGACTCGAGTTCTCAACTCACATGTGTCAATGTCTTTTCTCCAGAATCATAGACTGTCGTAGAATTCTTCTTTTTCTTCTTTGATAATTCAATCCAATCCTGTTCATCTCCAAAAACAAGAGGAATCAAAAAAAGAACAAGAATAATCCACTTCATAATTTTTGACACTATCAAAAAAATCGAAACTATTTATTTGGCTCATCAGACTACCGAAAATCAAAAAAACACAAAAAACATATTATTGTTTGTTGATTTGTTGTTGTTGAAGATAGTCGATTTGATAAGAAACAGCGGCGACGAAGTTTCGAATTGCGTGTCTGAGTCCAATCTCATCTGAAAACCTTTTTTTGTATGATAACACTTTTAGAACTTTGAATTAGTTAGTTTTTTTCTGAAAATATAAGTCTTACACTGTGTTCCACTGATTCCTTTTGGTGCAACATTGTCGAATAAATAATCATTGAAATTCTCCATTTCTTTCGATAGATTTGCAGTGTCTTCAGATTCGAGAATCGCAATCATTCGATCTTCGTGATCAAGTTTAGCAAATTCCGAGACGAGATGAGTTGGTGCTTTATTTTTGGGGCAGAGGAAAAGAACTTGACAAAGACCATTTCCCTTTGCTTTTTTCTTGGCAATTATTCCAATTGTCTGAATTTTTTCAATAATTTTCCGCAAAAAGTTTAAATCTGGGTTACTGTATATTTTATTTTGGTTCACAAATTTAAAGATTTTTCTGTTCATTTTGAAAAATGAAAATTCAGAAAATTTCACTCTGGTACTTTTTTTTCCTAAAAAACAATTCTAGAAAAAGTTATCTACGAAAATGTAGAGAATTCATTTTCAGAAATTTTTGAATAATCTGAAAACTCATAGATTAACTCTTTAGTTAGATTTCCCAGGTATTCATTTTTATAAAGTCTACAGTAACCTCTCCTAGTTATGTTGAGAAGCAGAGATATAGTAACGAAGTTATGAGCATTTCAATAGAACATCTACAGTAATCCTAAGAGATTCCGCCCTTCTCTCAAGTTTACCCTAACTCACATCAAAAACTGCAACACAAATCAAATTGGGAACAAATGGGAATCTCAACGGCAAACTCAAGACATATGAGCATCCGAAAATTCCCAATTGTTTGATCAAATTTGGTCCCAACAATCCACCCAATAATCCACCTAATAAATAAACCAAAAATTTGCATGGATAACACAACAAATGAAGTGGATTCCAATCGAATTTGCGAGTTCCATTTTTATGTGTTTTTGGAGCTTTTGGTGTTTTCTCCTTTTTCTTCAATTCGATTTCATCAGCATGTTGAGAAAAGACACTTCGAATTCCGGCTGGATCAACAATCAGAAATAGGAAAAATATAAATGTTCGTTGCGAGAACATGTTTTTGGTGGATTGATAAGGGATGGAGCAAAATATACTGATTTTTATAATAGTCGAGAGCTTTTTTGATCTTTGAATGTTTTTGTTTTGTCGAGACAGAAATTGTTTGATTGATATCAATTAAACTACTTTTACAACTACTGTTATGCTTGTTTTGAATCAGAACAAAAAACAATGAGTTGAAAATATTGAAAATGAAGAGGTAGATGGTAAAATATAGTAAAATAATACAATTATAAAATTCAGAAAGCTCCTATTTTTCTCAAATTACAAATGCAGTAGAAATCAACCGAAATTAAGAAAAGTTTCAATTTTGAGATATTTTTTGAATTTGAATTTTGAGAATTTCATTCATAATTTCAGAAAACTCAAATTTTGTTTGAATTCTGGAATTAAAAATATTGAAATTTGATAGAAATTTTTAAAGGGTACATTTCATTGTTGAACTATTTCAAAGAAAAATATTCAAAAAGATTGGCTTATTACTTTGAATATGAAAATTTTAAAATATTTTGAGAAAATTGCAGACTTTTAGCGAGTTTTTTTTCGAGAAAAATTTAATCTCCGAGTGAATTCGGTTTTGAATTCGACCACTCAAAACGGATATTCAAGTTTGTTTCAAACTGAAAAACATTCAGCTTCTTGGAGTATCTTATCTTATTTTTATCTTCTGAGAACCATATAATTCACGGTGTTTAACATAACATTTCAGAAAAAATCATTTATATACACACAAAATAAAAAATCAAGCATATGGTTGTCGATGTTCAACAATCAATGGAAAACCAATCGATGGTTTCAAAATAATTTCAGGTTGCGCATGATTCGCTTCAAATGGAATATTAGATCGCAATCGATATTTCCGGAAAAACCAAGAGATCACAGTCTTTTCCTCCATCATCGCAAATTTCTGTCCAATACAATTCCGAGGTCCAGCACTAAAAGGAACATCTGCGTAAGCGTGTCGATTTCCCATTTTATCTTCCGAAAAATTTTCCGGGTTGAATTCATTTGGATTTTCCCACCAATTAGGATTTCGATGCAAAATCAAAGGAACAACAACAATTCGAACTCCTTTCGGGAATAAATCACCATCTGAAGTTTCATAATTCGGAAATTAATTTTGTTCGAAAACTTACTGATTACTGTATCTTTTTCAACATTTCTTGCAAAAAATGGGACAGATGGAAATAGTCGCAATGATTCTTTGAGACATTTTTCGAGATATTTCATTTGTTTTAAATCATCATTTGTGCAATCTCTATCTGAACCTTGGAAAATGCTATCGATTTCTTCGATAACTTTTTCTTGAACTTCTGGATAATGTGCTAATGACCAAAGTGTCCAACCCATTGATGCTGATGTTGTATCATGTCCTTCAAACATAAAAGTATCAACTTCTTCTCGAATATCTTCCTCATCCAATAATCCTTCTTGTCGAAGTTCCAAAAGAAGATCCAAAAATGCCATACTTCTTTTATCCTTGGTTTCTCGCTGATCAACTTGGAATTTTTGGAATTCGTCCCATTTTTCGCGAATCACACTTTTAGTAAAATCAGTGACAACTTTTAAATGATGATCATATTCTCCACCATAACCAGTCAAATACCAAATTGGTTTTATTTTTAACCACGGCATTCTTTGCCAAGCAAATACAACTTCATTGAGTCGAGTTACACTTCGAACATAAGTATGATCATGATTATGTTGGGCATCAACAGTTGTTCCCATCGAAGTCTCACAAATTATATCCAACGCCATTCTTTTTAAAAATGGAAATAGGTCAGTTTCACGCCCGCTGTCTGCCACGGGTTTTAATTGTTCGATGAGGACCTGGAAAAATCAAGCATTTCTCTATTTTTTCACGCCTATAAATAACAGTTAAATTCAATGGCTCTTGTGATAAACCAATCGAGATCCGCGATTTTGGAATCAAACTCTTATCAACCGCAATCAAATTTTTTGCCTTCGACTAGCGGATTTTTCAAAACTCTAACAACTTATCTAACTGCCGCTCCTAAGACATCGCCGAAAAAAGAACAAATAGAAAAAGAAACAAAACTTATCGAAAATTGGGATGATGTCAATTTCAGCACAATTAATTCAGTTGTTTGCAATTATTTGTACAGAGATTGCGAATATCAACGATTGTAAGTCAATTTTCTTTCGAAAAAAAATGATCAGATTTTTTTAGGTTTGTGGAACTGGAAAATGCAATCGGACCTCGTCGAGAAGAACAACTTTATATTCTGACAGCCATCACTCTTGCTCTTATTTTTGTTCAAGATCCAGTTGGATCTACAACATCTTTTATGGTAACCTTTTCAGCTCTACACAGCAGTTTTCAATCTAATGAAAATTTTAGACAATTGTGATCCCAGCATTTTTCACTGCAATCGCATTACTTCAAGATTCTGATCCTCAAATAATTGCAAATCGACAAGAATTTGCTCTCAAATATTGGACAGTTTATGGTTTTTTCATTGTTTTCGAATCGTTTCTCACATCGATTATCAAATTTGATCTACGTCTTTTTAGACTTGGATTTTTGTCGTTGTGTTTGACATCGAGAGTTCCAATTTTATCAATGACTTATAGTAAGTTGAGCAAAAAGGCATTTTCAGCGAAAGTTTTGAAATTTCAGATAAAATACAGAATCGTATAATTGCTCTCAAAAATTGTTTTGACCGAAATAATCTGATGATCAAAGAACAAACTAATATTAAATAAAGATTTCCAGATTTTTTTTTTAGAATTTAACATAACACATTTCTGTAAAAAAAGTGGTAACAATACTATTTTTAGAAAGTTGGAATATATACGTACTTCTGTCACTCAAACTCACTTTTGCTTGATAATCATGAACAATCAAAAAATCCTTGAGAACTTTAAAATGAAATGCGGGTGTCAACATCTTCCGTCTCGCTCTCCATTTATCACCAGTTGATGTCAATAATCCAGTTCCAAGCCACGGAAACAAAATATCATATTCAGTTGCTTTTGTAATAACTTCATTTGATTCTAGAATCTCTTTTGCATAAACCGGATGAATAACACCTAACATTGCAACTGGACCAACCCATAATTGAATAACACCACTTCCATCTTTTGAATAATAATTTCCCCAATCAAATAATTGTTGTGTTAATGCAACGATATTTGTTTTGAATTGAAATGCCGTGCCAATTATTGGCAATGCAACTGGACCCGGGAACTTACGCATTGCTCTAAAAATTTTGACATAAAATTATTCAATATTTCATAAGTTATGCTAACCTGTAAAGTCTTATTCGATCTCGAGCCATTTCATATAATTGTTTATAATAGTAAACAACGAACAGTGTTAGAAATCCCAAAATTAGAGTAGTCCATTGCATTTTTCGGTAAACTGAAAAACAAAACAAAAAACAAGAAACTCAAAACTATATATAATCTTTAGTAGCACGTGGTTCAAATATTGCCGTTATCATAGACTACATAATTTTGCTTGTTATTTCGCGATTAGAAACATTTTTTGATGGTTAGTTGTTTTGGTGTATGTACTTTGAAATATCAAAAACATCATTGCACTTTGAGCAAAATAATAATTTCGAAGAGTTGAAGACTACTGTACTTTGATACAAAATTCTGATCTACATTGTTCATTTGGAAAAAAAACATATCGTTTTTGGCACAAAATTGATCACTTTTACTTTTTCATTTTTTGGTGTTAAAATTTTTAAATTTGAAAAAGATTATCGAAACATGATGAAAGTACAAAAAAATTAATTTTTCTCTATAAATCGATTTGAAAAAGAAGTTGTTTATAAAAACCAATTTGAGTAATTTCCCTCAGCGATTTTTGCACTTTTCTTATCAAATTTGGAAAAACAACAACAATCGGCAAAATTACTTTATTACGAAATTGTCAAAAAAATTAAAACAAGTTAGTTGCATTTAAATTTTCGAAATTTTCATACGTTCTGCTGCATGATTTATCGCACTCAAATCATTGCTCAAACGACTGAAGGCTTTTTCAAGATCTTCACTTGATTTTATTGTTTCAATCGATTTTGTGAACGGATCATAAATAACAGAAAATGGTCTTGCCATTGAACTTGCAAATTTCCGAAGTTTTGAAAGAGCATCGTGTATACTATCAGCTACAAAATAAAGAGGTTGATAATCCGAATCTTCATATTTCTGAACCGCCGTAACCATCGGATCAAAATCCTTATGTTGTGGAGCATCGGAGCATGCATGAATTAATTCACCATAAGCTGAGAGAAGGCCAGCTCCAATTGCTTTCAATTTTCCATCTTCTTTACAAAGTCCAAATTCTACAATAAACCAATAAACTGTAGCTAATTTTTCGATATTTTCATCACTTGCTCCTAAACTCATTAATCCAATATCTTGACTCATTTGAGCTAACAAAGGATCAGAAAACATTGGAACGTGTCCCAATAATTCATGGATTAGATCAGGTTCAGGAGAATGATGTGGACTTTTATGATGTCGGAGATAAGTTGTTGTTTGAAAAACTCGGAAAGCCAATGAGGCCAGGAAATCTCGCGCAGAAAGTAAACCACTACAAGGCCGAAGTTCGAAACCAGTTTTCTCTAAAAATAATACTGATTTTTTTTAGAATTACAAGAAGACACAACAAAATTGGCTTTAAAGCTCACTTTGCAAAAACTTGTTGACATCTCGAATTTGTGGAATTTCGTCTGGCCCTAAAACATTCTCCTGTTGTAGAATCTTCAGATTTTGTCGATAAACTGCGCATGTGTGTGACTCGTGTAAATCTCCAAGTTTTTCATAAACAGCTTTCCACGTGTCATGTTCTTCTTGGGTATATTTGACATAGCCAATCTCATCGCCACTGGAAAAATTGTTTTCAGGATTCCTTTTCTGGTTAGTTTTGTCTCCGACCAAGACAATTTTTCTCTGACCCCAAAGAGAAAGGCTCAATTCGGTTATTATAAAAATCGTGGACTTACTGTTTGTACTCAAGTGCCTGATCATTCAAAAATTTCCGTCTTGCAATATATTCCTGATCTCCAAATCCAGGATGTCTTGGATCAGTTGTTGGTTCATATTTTGTGATACACAATGAACATTTATCCAAATCACTGATATGTCGCGGAAACCATAATTCCTCTTCTTCCTCTTCAGCTTTCTTTTTATAAATCGAGATTTTTGTCAAAGCGGAGTGTCGTTTAGTCAAACTATTAGCAGCTTCAATCAATTGTTGTTTGGTAGCAACACAATCCGCCAGCACATCAAATCCTATTTTCTTTCTTCCAGTTCTTGATTCAAGATGAATTATTTCAACATTCGAAGATTGGAAAGAGTTAACAATATCCGCTGTGAAAACTGGAAGAGGTGAAGTCGATGACATAATTGCTGAGAATGTAATCGCTCCTTCATTTGCAGACCAAATAATCTCGACCCCTTCATCATTCAATTGTTGTAAGATCTAAAAAATACTTTAATTCAGAATCATGTTGTAAATTTCAGATAAACCTTTTGGCCACGCATCTCGTCGTTTAGAGCTTTTCTTTGCTGAATTGTGTTTTGCCGCTTTACACCAATTCTATGTTGTGTTTCACAACTCGCTTGATGCACCAAACTGTAACGCCGCGGGTTTTTAGGCTTGGATTCTTGCTGAAAAATTAATGCTCCTCTTTTGAATTAAAAAATATTTTGTTAAATACCATAGGGTTAGCTGGGTTAGTTGAAGCCATTGTTAAAGGAAGGGCGCTGGCGATTTCAATCGCCGCTGCAAGTTTTGCCAAAGAAGAAGTCACTTCTGAAACTGAGAACATACAACAAATGATCTGACGACATCGAAAATTTGACAAGTTTTTATACTCCTAATAATAATCATCTAAAAAATGACATACAATGCAAATAAAAATGAATGTGAAGAGAGAAAAAGTGGTAGTGGTCTACGCCGAAAAATGAATATGAAAAAGAAGATAATTGTTCTTTTTCGGGGATCTGTTACTCTTTTTTCTCAACTGCACATTTCCTTCCTGACAACATCATCATTATTATGAGCAAGAGATTGAGAATATGCTTATATAAATAGACATTGGTAAAGAAAACGATGATGATGAAGAAAAAACAAATGGATGTTGTTGATCCGCAAATCGGTGAAGCATGAATTAAATCGAGTGGGATGATGACATGTGCAAAAAAAGGGAATTGCGAGGGTCGGGTTACGGTAGTTCAGGTGGTGAATAATAAACAGCAGAACACACAATATTATTTCTTGTTTTGAGTTTCAAAGTTTTATGATGTCTAGACTTTTTCTTCGTGGTATTTCCAACAAATTTCTTCAATCTCATTCTCAATTTTTATCATGTTGATATCAATTTTTATTTTCTCAATATTTCCCATCTGCAGTTCAAATGAACTAGTCAAACAATTGAACAGATTACCAAAGGTTGAAAAATACTCAGGAATTTTTGTCAAAAATGGTTCGAATAATTCGTGGATCAGACAATTGGATAGTCCAATAGTTTGGACATTGCTCAAATTCCAATTTGCAATTCTAAATGGATCATTTCATCTGGATTTTGATCGAGAATACGATACTGAGGAATTTTGGTTCACCGCTGATTATCATCGTGGACGTGAATGTCAACAATTCAAAATGTTAGGGAGAAATGGATTAATATATGATTGGAAACCGATAAGCAGATGTTCTCCTTTTCCTCCTCCGCCAAAAGTTCACCGTAATACTTTCAATTTCACAATGGGAAAAACTATATTGAAAACATTTGTGGATTCTTTAAATTTAAAAACTTTTGAAGAGCTCAGTCAGTATTACGATGTTGATGTATCTTTCGCGGCGAAAACTCCACTTACAACAAAAGAGTACTTTATGCGAGATTGGTCAACGGAAAGGTATACTAGAGAACAACTTAAACTACAAGATTGTTTTCCGCATCAACAGTATGTACGAATAGTAAAATGGTCTCTTAAACATTTTGTAGAAAACGAGAAAACAAAAGATTTTGAAATATATGATCCTATTCTTGAAGAAGTTTGTCAACCGTGGGAGAATATAAATGGTCTCAACAAAAAATTAGCTTATTTGGTAGTTAGACACAAAATTAGATATTATTGGATTATCCCTAAAACATTCAAATCAAAAATTTGGTTCAGAATAAATTCAACAACTAATGCCTATCGATTTACTACGATAACCAGAGAATGTGCAGTCGATGATTATCCATCTTGTGATGTAGACCCTCTTGATTGTCATTTTATCACACCTGTAACCGATCCACCACGTGATAGATTTGAAGAATTAAATCAGGATTATTCAAATATATCTCCAAATTGTGAAAAAGAATGATTTAATGATAATAAAATATTTGATTATTAAAAAGGCAGAAACATTTTGGTTTCCAGAGTTAAATTCAATTAAATTTCATCTCGTTAAAAACCATGAGATTTGAATTTAAATATTTCCCAAAAATTCAAGAACTCCTTTTCAGAACCATACAATATTCTTCTGTTAGTTAGAATCTAGAATTTTTCGAGTTATTTGAATTGGCCCTATTTCATCCTCAATCCAAATGTCTTTCATTTAAAAAAAAGTATCTAGACGAGTCATCCGTGCGCGGATATTACACCGTGAAAATGGTTGCGCCAGACATCAAAATATTTAGACAAGCCCAATCCTTTCAACTTCTGCCGCTTTTTCCGTTCAAATATTTTCCCAAAATCCAATACGATTTCCTGATTTTGATCTTTCTTATAAAACATTCCCAAAGACGAAAAAAGAATTGTGTGCTCGAAACATTTTTGTTGGGACAAGGCTAATAATATATAAAAATAATGCATCTGTTTTACGACTTCTTCTTTTTCCAATCCAAATCGTTGTGTCCCCATCTTGTCCCGCCGCCACTAAATCATCGTGTTTTATGGGTTTTCGTGCGCTCTGTGTTGCCTATATCACAGATGACACATTCTTTCTTTATTTTTCTTTCTACATTCATTCGTTGCTCATTTTCTTCCCACTTCTATTATATTCTGTTCAAAAAAAATTTCGGCTAATTTCTGAAATTTCCTCCAATTTTGGTAGGTGTTGAACAAAATTGAAAAATAACTGTTCGGTTTCATTTTTCAGATCAATGACTCGTTTATATTTATTTTTCATTGTATTACTCATCGCCGCACAAGTTTGCAATTCTTTATCATGGCTGTAAGTTTATTTATGAAAACTTGAAATGTGTAGTGGGGAGAACAATGAATGCACTTCTTACAATTAGAAACTGGTTCTGGAATATTCTTTGAAAATTTCAAATTCTCACGTTTGTTTTGTTGATCGTTCGAAAATTTCGAAATTTTTCTGAAAGTTTAAAATTCTCAAAATTAAAAAGAACTCGATGAAAAATTTCGAAAATCAATTTTAATTTAGTTTCAGAAAATATATTTCATTGAAAAAAATCTGAAATTCTGAATTGAAATGCTTTAATTAAAATTTCAAAAGTTGAAACTTTGAAAAAAAAAACCTTTTGAACTTATAATTTTTCAAAAAATAATTCTTGATTCTATGAGATATTTTTCTCAGAAGTCCATTTTCCAATGTTTTAGAGCACACAAAATGTTCCACCTACAGTAATTTTCATCCAATTTTTTGGAGCCCATTTTTGAGATTGATTTTACATCTTGAAGATCAAAACTCAAAATTTTGGAAATGCACAGTCTGTATTGATCTACAGTACTCATTTTCTTTCAGATCTCTTGCTCTCGCTTCAAATAACATTGAAAAAGAGAAACCTGGAAACACATGTAAATCCATAAAAGGTTTAACTCGTCGACAAATTCGCTTTTGTAAAAAGAACATTGATTTAATGGAAAGTGTCAAAAATGGAGCATTGGCTGCTCACGGCGAATGTCAATTCCAATTTCATAAAAGACGATGGAATTGTACTCTAATTGACCCATTAACTCATGAAGTGATAACTGATGTATTTTTGAATGAAAATACTCGCGAATCCGCATTTGTTCATGCAATTTCATCAGCCGCGGTTGCTTATAAAGTAACTCGAGATTGTGCAAGAGGAGTTAGCGAAAGATGTGGATGTGATTATTCAAAAACTGAAACATCATCTTCAGCGACTTCAAGATCTTCATATATGTATCAAGGATGTTCGGACAATATTAAATACGGTATTGGTGTTTCGAAAGAATTTGTCGATGCGGCCGATCGTCGACCGGTCAAAAATGATACTAATAAAACAATTGAGGAGAATGTTCATGTGATCAATTTGCACAATAATCAGGCGGGAAGAAAAGTTCTCGAAAATTCGTTGAGAAGAGAATGTAAATGTCACGGAATGAGTGGATCTTGTGAAATGAAAACGTGTTGGGACGCTTTACCATCATTCAGGTAAAATAATTTGAAAATATTGCACAAAAATCCACGTGGCATAAGTGTTTTCGAATTATGATTTTTTGTAAAACGTGGAATAATTTTCCGTAATCAAAATTTTTCCAAAAAAAACTTCGAAAATTTTAAAATTAAAATCCACGTCTTTTTTAAAATTCAAATGTTTTATGCCAAAAATCGAAGAAGGATTCACCGTTCACGTCGATTCAAAAATTTCCATGTTTTGTCACGAAACTAAGAAATTCTAATTTTTCAGAGAAATCGGTATGAACATCAAGGATAAATTCGACGGTGCAGCTGAAGTCAAAGTCATTCAAGAAGACGAAAAATCGAAAATAATCCAGAAAAATTCGCAATTCAAACGTCACACGAGCGCAGATTTGGTATACATGACACCATCTCCCGATTTTTGCGAAGCTGATATAAAACGTGGCATTTTGGGAACTAAAGGAAGACAATGCACACAATCACCAAATGCGATTGATGATTGCACTTTAGTGAGTTTTTTTCTAATAATTTATTTCTTCATAATATTCAATTTTTAGCTATGCTGTGGTCGTGGATTCATCAAAAAAGTGGAAATCATTGAAGATAAATGCAATTGCAAATTCCATTATTGTTGTCGTGTTGAATGTGAACCGTGTCGAAAACGAATCGAGAAATTTTTCTGTCTCTAACAATTCGAAAAACAATAACACCAAAATGCCTCAATTTTTATGGGTTTCCATCGTTTCCTAGTCAACCGACAAAATTGACTAAATTCAAATGCAATAAATAAATAAACAATTTTTCTTAATTATTATAATGATATGTGCAAAAAATATCTAGGCACTGTGAACCGGGCCTGATTTTTTGGGCTCATAACCGTATAGGAAAGTTGCGAAGATAACAATCGAGGCACCGATTGTGAATGTTCTGAAACATATAAACACTCGTTTTGATGACTTTCAGACGTTTCATATTTTTCTGTTTATTTTTAATTTCAATTTCAATTTCAAATAAATGTATTTGGTGCAAAATTCCGCCGTCGAAAACAAATGAAATTTTGACAACGGAAGAGCCCGAAGTCGTTTCTCAAAAAATCGAAGCACCTAATTTTTGGGACATTATAGCAATGACTATTCGGAATATTGGGGAAAACTTGGGAAAAATCAATAATCCTCATATGGAATGATACAAGTTTTAAATTTTTAAGAATACATTTTCAGATTTATAATAATATTATTTTAGTGCGGTTGGGAATATATTAATATATATTCTTGGAAAATAAATAGTTTCAAAATTAATTTTTTTTAAATGTTGAATTTCCACGTCACTGTTCCCTTTTTTGGGGTCATCAAATGTTTTTAAAAAAGGCATTCCATTTTTTAAAAAAACTTACGTTGTAATAGTCAAATCTCCCAAAATCAACCAAGAAGTCAACGACGATAAAATAATTGAGAGCGAAACAGCGAATCCTTTCAAAATATTATCCGCATATTTGACAACAAGTGCAATAACCAATCCACCATAAGCTTGAAGTAAAACAACAAACCAAATTATATTGTTATAACCTCTGAAGAATCCATCATTGCTAATTGCTTCCCAATCATAAACCCAGCAAACAAAAAGACTTCCGAACACCGAAAAGAATGCTGAAAAATATTTCTGAAGGTTTTTCTCAATAAACCAGAATGATTAACTTACCTAATTGAATGTTTCTAATCCAAAGTGATACTTTCGAAGTTTTCAAAATCTTTTCAAAATAAACTCCGGCGAATCCACTTGAAAAACAAGCAGCAAGAACTGCGCAAAGTCCCAAAAAGTTATCCGAAGTATCATGTTCAACTTTTGGCTCATAACTTGATTTATCACCACTTGGATATTGAACCAAAGCAACTCCACCGGTCAATAAAATCAAAGCAATCCAATTATATCGATTCAATGATTTTCCAAGCATTGAAACCGAGAAAAAGGCAGTTGTAAGGATTTTGAGTTGATATGTGACTTGATAAGTTGCCGCATCGAGCATTTTCAGAGCAAAGAAAAGAAGATTATTTTGAACAACATACATGATTGCGGGAACTGCAACTTTCAGTGAATCTGCGCGAGTTTGTGGTGTGGCAAAAATCTCGCTATCGAGTTCTTCCAACATTCCAGAAAATCTGAAGCCTATAACAGAATTTTAAGTTCTAACTTCGAAGGAAATATAATGAAAATCTCACCATTGTTTTTGAAAATAACAAATATACAAGTGATCAATTTCACAACTTCGGCACAAACGACAGCGGTGGACGATAAATATTTAGGTCCGACGGTTTTCTGAAAACAAAGGTAAACATCAAATCAAATTAAATTAAAAATACCTGTGTCTGACTATATCGCAAAGTCAAAACCAATGCTGTGGTTTGAACAATCAAAACCACTAGCGAAATTAATTTCAAATTATTGTTTGGTCGATTCATTGCGTTCAAATACCCTGAAAGATTTTATCTTTTTCAATATTTTAATTTAAAAATGAAAACGAAGAGTTTTTCAATTGCCACGCGTCAAAGAGCGTTGTGCAAACAGACGAAACTACGTTTCAAAAAAACAAAAAATTCACACACGAACAAAAAAAACAGCTTTTCCGAGAGAAATACACAAATGTTCTTTTCGTACGATCGTGCCGAAATATTTTTCAAATTTTTATTTTTATTTGCAAAAAAACAGCAGAAAACTTTATTATTTTATTTGAAATCAAAACGAAAATAACCTTGAAAAGTATTTGGTTCTAGGTCGTACGAGGATGGGGACACTTTAACTGGACTTTCGGTTCTGGATACTTCGCCCAACATTCGACTAATTTCCGATCACAATCGCATAAACCCGATCCGCAATCGTGAGGTAAAATCTGATAGCCAAAGGTGCCTATAATTTTTTTTCAAAAACTTCCTCGTTCAATATAATAATATCAAAAACTAACTCAATCCCGTGCATTGCACGTTTCGATTATCACATTTCCACGTATAAACTGGTAAATATTCCAAAGGAACATTCCAACAAGTATTATTTAAGTACAGTTGATTATAACACTCGTCGTGATTTGCGCAACATTGATCAACTTCATCTAAAACTTCGCCACTTCCTCCAATCCCACAATAACATCCATAACCATTGTAGATCTATAAATATTCAAAATTCCACGCAAAAAAAGAAAATGTGCGATAGATCGAAATTGCTTTTCTACATTATTCCTTTGAAAATCAGCCATTTTTTTGTTTTTTTTTTTGGAACTTACCCATGCATCATGACGTGTCATACAAAGTGTCATAAACTCAATCTCGATCACAGTTCCATTCACAAAAACAACCAAAGCAACAAAAAATATCGAAAACAAAAAACCGATTGAGTAGTACGAATTGCTCGACATTTTTCTAAAAACAATGATAAAGTTTTGTTTTTCAACAAAAAAACCACACTCAAAAAAAGTACAAATGTTTATTCAAAAAACCCGTAAAAATCAAAATACTATTCTTATATACATACATTATTTTCTAATTTTTCCGCCGATTCCGAATTTTTTCGGCATCGTGTCTAACAATGAAAATATGACCGGCATTACAAGCATACCATGAATCATACCAATAACAACAACAAGAAGCATACATTTGGCGAAAATCTGAAATTTTTTGGTTGGAAAAAACTGGAAAACATTATTTCTCACCTGTGCCATATTGAGATCAACAAAGAATAATGAGATCACACAAAGTGATGTTGATAATGATGCTTCGAAAATTGGGAATCCTACACTTCTAATTGTCAATTCTAAACGCTCTCGAAGATCATTCGTCACTTTTGCTGGAAATCTCAGTTTTTTTTTTGAAATATTTCAATTATATTCCCTGTAAAACTAACCAGTTTGGAAGAAATGATAGCTAACATGCGATGGAATATCTACACTGAAACCAATTGACATTACTGTAGCTGACATCATAATTGGTTCTAAATCTGCTCCCCACCAAGACATTATCCCAAAAACTCCGAGAGATGTTGAAAGAATCGAAAATGTTGCGACAAATAATGTTGGAGGGTGGGAAATGAAAAGTGCAGCAACAACGAACATTGAAATAAATGTCCAAAGAGCCGATTGACTTGCAACTGGGGCCATAGTTTCAATCAAATCCAAGAATTTGGCATCCTCTTCATAAATACTCACATTTAAACTAGAAAACTGATCAGCAACTCTTCGCCATTCATTCAATAGTTTCGCTCTTTTCGACCATTCAATAAGTTCTGTTCCGTGAAAAGCTGTTGTTGCCAAAAACTTCGTTAAAATAAAATTATTTTTAGTTTCATTGAATTGAATGAATCCCTTCCAAAATGAAAATTCAGGCCATTCAAGGAATTGTTGTAACTCATTTCCTTCACCAATAATTTGTCCAGGTGTAACAGCTTGACTTCCATTTATACTAAATTCAATTGCTGATTCATCTTCCTCTTCATCTTCTGGTAGATCAATATCTTCACTTTGTTTCAAAAAATCTTCATAATCTCTCAACCAAAACTTTGTTGAATATCTGCCATTCGAACTTGGCAAACTTTCAAATGCTCTCATCATAGATTCTAATTTTGCTCTTTGAAGTGGATCACTCAAATCACCTGGATTTTCAACAAGAATCCAACATGCTGAATAAAACGGAGTGATGTGATTTTTTCTTTCTTCAAAAATCTTCACAATATTGGAATCTTTCAGGAAAAGTTTATCCGGACTTAATTCCGATTTGATGTTTAGAGCTCCAACGATACAAATATACCAATAAACAGCGAGAATTCCAAGAACTAATGATGAAATCCATTTGTTAGTAAGCAACGAGCAAACCTTAGTGACAAGGATGCTAAAAAATTGTTTTTTTTTAAACCACGCTTTTTAAAATTTACCTAGGTTTTTCTTCTTTGTTTTCTGTTGTCTCAACATGATTTTCTTCCAAACATCTGCAAGTTCTTTCCGAATTGATTTCATACTTTCCAATAGCGGCCATCAGTGCTCCGTACATTGTGATTGTGAAAATAAAATCTGTCAGCACAGCTAGAGCATTTCCAATACTAAATAGCTGAATTTCAGCAGCTGGAGTGGTTGCACCAATTCCGAATGCTAGAACATTGGTGATTGTAGTGATTGTAATCTAAAAAATTCTTTGTTTACAAATTTGTACAAGCATAAAAAGTTTTTTTCTCGTATGTCAAATCCTACCGAAGGTCCAATCTCGATAAACATCTCTTTCATTCGATGAACCAGTTCATCTTGAACACTCAACAAACTTTTGACTTTTCTCCTTTCACTCGTTATTCTTTGCCAAGCATTAACCATCAGATAAGCATCATCAACACCTATTGCCAAAACAAGAAACGGGGTGACACATAAAATTGAGCCAAATCGGAAACCGGCTAGGAACATTGCACCAAGAGTTGCGCCACATGCCATAAATGGGCAGACACATGCCATAATTGCGAGCGTGATTTTATGGATGTGCATTTGTCCCAAATATTTTGCGCTGAGTGAGAATGTTACAGATGAGAATATTGCCATAATTGAAAATCCGATGACTAAAAATGGTAGAAGAGTTAGGCCAGCTCGAACAATCTCTTCGGTGATATAGGAATCAGTAAGAATACAAACATTCACATGATCAGATGTAAAGTCCCTTGAAATTTTCTTCTGTTTTTATTAATAGTTTATGTAAAACTCACTTCTCAAAATAATCTACAATACTCCGTTCATAATTTCTCAAATCAACATCCTTAACTTCATCTCCTAACTCTGCTCTAAACTGTAAAACAACCAACGAAACTTCTCGAATATTATTCGCCACTTGTTTGGTATCTGATTTTTCGGAAACTGCCAGGATACCTCTACCTGTTTCAACTTTGACACCAAAGAAATTTGGGTCCATGTAAAGTTTTGTTCCTAAAACTGTTGTGATAGGATATCCCAAATCAAGATGATTGAAATCGTTCCCGTGAGTTCCAGATATTATCATACCGCTCTGAAAAAGTATATGGTCACTGTATTTTAAAATTGGCTTTTTCCATTTAAGGAAAATAGTTTTTTCTGTAATTCTACCGTAATCTTGTAGTACTGTAGTTCATTATCGAAATTTTCCCGTTTAATCAAACTCACTCGAAAATGTCGAACAGGTTCATTAAGAAGACAAAATCCACTACAGTACTCTTCAAAATTTTTGCTTCCATGTTTTGTGTTCAAATAGAAATCGCTCGATATTTTATCCAATACTTTCACCGTATCATTTAATTGTGGCAATCCAAGCATGTTATCACTATTTTTCGAGGTGACAAATGCGTAAATGACCTTGGGCATACCGTGACTCTCGAAAAAGTTTCGATAAGTTTCCTGTTCAATGCGCGACCTCGCTCCGAACGGTGTGAAATCACTTATATCATTTTTCATAGGTGTGAACGGAATAAATAAACTCAACGCAATTGTAAGGATTGTCGTAAGAATCATACATGTCCAAGGGCAAAAACTGGAATTATTTGGCAATTTGGGATAGTCAGAGATTTGAAAAATATTAAACTCACCAAACAAAAACTGCGCATTTATCAAAAAACCAATGCAAACTTCTCACAAACCACGTGTTATCGTCGCTTCTCATAATAATTGAATAAAAGTTTAGTCACCCTCACTTTTCGATAAATATATATATACCTCAAAAAACACTTGTGTTTTGATACTTGAAAATTTGAAAATGAGAAAACAAAATAGAATAAATTTTGATTTCGAAAAAAGGAGGGGTCAGTTACTTGTTATTGAGAACTACAACAAGAACAATAGAAAAAAATAACAATAGTTTTTGTTTTTATGTTTTCAAGATGACCAATAGTTTCTATGATAGGGTAATCAAAAATTGAAAAAAAACTAGAAACTTTTCAAGTATAGTTCATTCGAAAACAAGTTGATTGAACCTGTTGTTCAAGAGCTCGCAGTTGGAAATCATTGAGATGTTTTTATTCATTTTCTCAAAAAAAATTTTGAAATAAGTGAAAATGTGAAAGTGTAAATGGTTTCGGCCAAAAAACGAATGCGATCAGCAAAAAAAGAGAAACAAAAACACAGTTTTATCTTCTTTTTGCAAAATAAGCGAGGTTAGGAAGAATGGTTTTTGTCGTGTCTCGGAGGACAGGAAACGAGTCGCTTTAAAAAGATTTCGTCTGTTCCTCGGGGTGGAAAAATGGCATATACTTGAAAGGACAATACTTGAGAGAACAAGACAGGAAAAAAACGAGAAGTTTGGAATGTTTCCGAATCAAAGTTTGGAAGATCAAAAACAACTTGAGTTTTGGTGTCACAGAAGATTAATTTGACTTTTATTTTTGAAAATTTACAATAACATTCATGAATTTTTCAATCCTCAGAAAATTGTAACTACATTAATCCTAGACTGTTTCAAAAATATGTGAACTTTTGAATTTTTAAAAAATCATTTACAGTAATCCTAAGGTTTTGAGAAATTGGAAAAACGATAAATAAGCTGCTTTGCTGGTCCAGTCCAATAGGTTAATAAAAATGTGAAGAGCTGTTGGTTGAAAAAATATGATACAGTAATCCAAAGTGAACACAAAGTTCTAAACTACAGTAATCCTAAGAAACTGTTCAGCCCAAAACGTCTTCTCTAAATCCGGTAAGTCTACAGTAATACTTCATAATAATTCAATCTAGATTCTAATAATTCAAAATTTTCTAAATACAAAAACTTCTAAATCATTAATCTGCCAAGTTTTCTAACAGATCATTTTCCCTTCAACGAATTCCAGTCATGACGTCACATCTTATCTAAACCGCCTGACCTAAATCATTCCACAAAAACATCAAATCTAGATAAATCCAATAAACTAAAAAAGAGAAAAGTAACTAATTTGTAAATAATATCTATGATAACTGTTTAAAGAGAAAAATAAGAAGAAACACAATTTTCAGATAGCTTCTACTTTTTCTTACACTTTGTTAACTTGTTCCCTCCTCCTCCTCCTTTATTTTTTCCTTGCTTACCAAAGCAATTCTCGAATCGACCTTGACTATTTTCTATCTCATATGCATACTCATTGTGTCTGTTACACCTTTTTTTGATACACTGTTAAAATACCATTATTTACTGCTTTCGATTCTTGTTTCAAAAAACAAGAATATATATAATTTGGAGAACAAGAAATGAAAAGCCGTATTTATGACCAATACCATTTAAGAAAAAGGAAAAAACAGACATTGAAGAAGAAGAAATAGGGGAAACCAGTAAAACTCTCAAAAATAAATAATTGTTGAATTCATATTCACAGAATATTTGACTAATTGTTTAGTTGGCTGGAAGTCCACACATTGAACAATCTTGTCGTCCAGCATCATTTTCGAATGTACAATGACCGCATGCCCATTTTCCGCCGGATGAAGCCGATTCGCCAGGAATTGCGGCAACGTCTTCAAAAAAAAACAGTTGAGAATAATAAGACGGGTTTTGACAAACTTAATAATCAGAGATCAACAGATAAACACCTATTATGTAATAGATACCAAAGAAGGTGAAGTTATTTGATTCGAATTTGAATTTCATTTTTGATTGTTGTGAAAATTAAGAAGTTTTTTTGGAAAAAAAAATTTCTATAAATTAGGAAAAAAAGGCTCAATAGATGCTAATTTCTAATTTTCATATTTTTCAAGGAACTTTAAAAAATTCATGAATAATTGAAAATTATATATTTTATCCCAAAAACACACCTTCTGAATGAGCATGTGACAATGCAACAAGTTGATGCCAATCCTCACAATCTCTCGCCCAATCTTGCGCATCTCCTCGATTTTGTGTTATCACTGCATCACACAACAATTTCATCCAAATATCATTGATTTGCACCACATCATTAGTCATCAAAAACAACAAGAAATGGAAATTAGTGGCTTGCTCCAAAAATTGATTCATTGAAAATGCGGCACAATATTGTGCCAAATTTTGGCCTCCTTGAATATGACCAACATCTTGTCGATTTTCAATATAAAATTGAGCATTTTTATTGACATTGAAAGTGTAATGTGGATCTTTTGGCATACCAGCGGGAACATCAACTAATAAATATTCCACTGGTAATGGACGACCATTTTTCATCACTTCTGCGCCATATTCATTTTTTTCCTAAAAGATTTTAAAAATAATTCTTCAGAATTTTCGTAAAATTGATACTAGTAAACATACAGTGTATTGAACATCTGTGATATAATGTTTATCGCTCAATGGAGTTTCTCTAACATATGCCAATTCTGGTGTGTATAAAGTTGGGCATAAAATATCAGCCTCGACCATCGCTGAACATTGATTCGAAACTTGATAACCGTGGAAATTGACATGCAACGATTCATCACCGGAAGCAACAACACTAACAAATTTCGATCCGAATTTTCGCTCCATACAATAATCAGTTACATTTTTATATTTGTTTTGCAATGAAGCAGCAGTAATACATTCCTCCGCAGAAAGGAAAAATGAATCCTTATGACGTGTATAATGTACAGTACCTTCGGCACGATTAGCAGTCCACAAATCCGTAAATATCCAACCAACACGTTGAAGACCAAGCCATCCCAAAAGTTTATTCACAGTTTCTTCATGTTTCTCCTCTAAAAATTCAATACCATCTTCTTTACAATATTGTGGTGGTTCATAAATTGCTGCTACTGTAGCTTTGATACCAAGTGGAACTTCCAAAAATGGTTGATATCTGAAATTTCGCAATAAATAGAAAAAAAATATTTAATTAAGTTTCACCTTCCGATAAGATAGCCAACGCGTTGATGACCAGAAATTCTCCAATAATCCAAGAACGAATTGACCAAATCTTGATTTTCAATTTGAATATTATCCACGTGTCGATATTTTTGGCGATTTAAAGTGACAACTGGTGGCTTGCATTTGGTACAAATTCCCTTTGGAAATGGTTTATGCGAATTACATTCCAACTTTATAGAACATCTGATATTTTCCAAAGGTTTCTTCAAACTTGTTCCTTTTCCTTGTGATCCATTTAGTTTTCTTACATAAGAATGGAAACTCATATGCTTGATATCTTTCTCTTTCAAATATTCTTCATCAAATGGCTAAAATAAAGCATACATTTTTACATGACAAACCAATTAAAGGACTTACATCAACAGGCAAACAGTTTGTACACTTTTGACGAGCTGGATGACGACAATTTGGTCCTTTTGGTCGTTGAACTTGACCATCTTGTGATGCAAGAAACGTGTCAACTTCGTCAACTCTTTCGTCGAGAGGAACCTCGAGAACCATGCTGAAATTTGAAGATTTCGATTTCGTTCGGATCGAAAAATTAAAATCATCATGGCGTCAAATTAAATGTGGCATCTGCAAACACTTTTGTCGAAAACCATGCGATGGTTGCAAACAAACATGCCGCACCTTGCAAAATAATTTGGAATTTTATTTTTTTCAGTTTTTTTGTGTTTGTTTCTCACCAAGTCCACCCTAAACCAATGTTGTTTTTCAGGTAATAAAATATGGCTAAAAGAGTAGAATTTGATCTTAACACCGAAGATCTTTCGGAACGTCGTCGTGCTACGACTTACACAGGTATGTTTTGTTTTTGTGATGTGTCATAAATTTTCTCCAATAAATTATTATTATAATTCAAATATTCTCTATTTTAGTCGATGAAGATGGTGTTCCAAACGAGGTTGCTGATTATTTGGCATATTTCGCAAGAATGATCGAAGAACAAAATGTTCCTGAAATCTTGACTCTTTATGATCAAGCTTTCCCTGATCTTACTGAACGATTTTTCCGCGAGAAGATGTGGCCTGATGAGACTGTTGTTGAGAGAATAATTGGACCAGGAAACAAAATCTTCATCATTCTCTACAAAGAATTGTACTATCGTCAATTGTACGCAAGAAATGCTAGAGGCCCACTCCTTGTTCATAGATATGAATCGTTCATGAACTATCAAGAGCTTTTCTCCGAACTTCTTTCAAGCAAAGATCCACTTCCAATCAGCTTGCCAAATATCTGGATTTGGGATATCATTGATGAATTCGTTTATCAATTCCAGGCTTTCTGTTTGTACAAAGCCAATCCAGGAAAGAGAAGTGCTGATGAAGTCGATGAATTGATTAACATTGAAGAGAATCAAAATGCATGGAATATCTATCCAGTTTTGAATATTTTATATTCTCTTCTCTCAAAGAGTCAAATCAACGAACAATTGCAAGCATTGAGAGAAAAAAGTAAGTTTTCCCGTTGGTGTATTCAAAGAAATGCATTTCATGACATAAAAGTAAATAGGAATGAAATGAAATCCGATAATTTTTCTGTCAATATATCAGTCATTTATCACGTGATCCTGGATCTTTCTACTTAGAAATGTTATTATCTTTTCATTCTCAGGAAAAATCAACAGAAATAGTGAAAATGCTAGACGGAAGAGATGATTAAATGTTTTTCAGGAAACCCAGACTCAGTCTCTGATGAATTTGGACAATCTGATCTTTACTTCAAACTCGGATACTTCGCACTCATCGGTCTTTTGAGAACTCACGTTCTTTTGGGAGATTATCATCAAGCTTTGAAGACTGTTCAATACGTTGATATTGATCCAAAAGGAATCTACAACACAGTTCCAACATGTCTTGTTACTCTTCATTATTTTGTCGGATTCTCGCATTTGATGATGAGAAATTATGGAGAAGCTACTAAATTGTTTGTTAACTGTCTTCTCTACATCCAAAGAACCAAGAGTATCCAAACACAACAACCAGCAAAGAAAAACTTCCAATACGATGTCGTAAGTTTTATAAGATTCTAAAAATATTTGCATAACATCTGTTTTTATTTTCAGATCGGAAAAACATGGGATCAATTGTTCTATCTTCTCGGAATTTGTCTTGCTGTTCAACCACAAAGAATTGACGAAAGCATCGCTTCTCAGCTCTCGGAACGTTGTGGAGAAAGAATTATGCATATGGCAAATGGAAATATCGATGAATTCAGAAACGCCTTTTCCACCGGATGCCCAAAATTCTTGTCACCAACAACAGTCGTTTATGAAGGAACAAATCAATCAAAAGAACCACTTCTCAGACAACTTCAATCTTTCCTCGAAGGAATTGAATCGCAAATGGCATTACCGGTTTTGAGAGGTTATTTGAAGTTGTACACAACATTGCCAACCAAGAAACTCGCATCTTTCATGGATGTTGATAATGATCATTATGATTCATTCCTTGGAAAATTGTTGACATATAAAGTAAGCTTTTTCGAAGAATTTTCATCTAATTAAAATATTGTTTCAGATGATCGTAAATGAATTGGGTAAAGATGGAGTTCTTGCTAACAACGATGATGACGAACCACAAACTGATATTGATTTCTACGTGGATCGCGACATGATTTGCATTGCTGACACAAAAGTTGCCCGACACGTTGGTGAACATTTCATTCGACACATTCAAAAGTTACACGAAGTTCAACAAGTGTTAGCTCGATTGGAAAACAAAGCCTAATTTTTTGGGGGGATTTCTATGTTTCAGTCTTTACTTGTTATTTAATTTTTGTTGTTGGCAAAATTTCTGTCTAATATTATAAAATCATTTTTTCTAAAAAAAATTTTCACGAAAAAATGAATCAAGAAAGTGTGTTTTCGGAACCATTTTTCGAATATTTTTGTTGCTGTTATTATGATAACAAGAAAAGTGTACCTTGTTCTCTTTTTTCTTATCTGTAGTCTCCTCGTAAATATCTGTTCATCTCTAGTTTTTCTCCCGCCATTCTCTTCATTTGTTACCAACAACAAAAATACTAAACAACGTGTTTTCTCATTTTCCGTCTGCTTTTTTATCGATTCCACGTGACCCATCTGATTATTTCATTTTCAGATGATTTTGAGTCGTTTTGGTAGCCGGTTAGGCCTTCGAGCATTTTCGAGTGGAACTTCGAGCGATGTTATTTCTGTTGTTCAGGAAAATGAACATGTTGCACATATTAAATTGAATCGACCGAATAAATTGAACACATTTACGCTGGATATGTGGACGTAGGTTTTTGTGAACTTCTCAATGAAAATACGATTTGGAAAATTTTAATTCAGATTTTGATTGTCATAATTAAAATAAGCTCCAAAAATGTGGGCGTAGAAAAGAAAACTCTATTTGTAAATATTAATTTTTAAATTTGAAAAATACTACAATGTAGCTTTGTTTTTTTTCATCACATTTCTGCACTTTTGTTTTCAACTGTTTGAAAATAATCAACACTTTATAGATCTCTGAAATCGGAATTGGAAAGATTGGGAGATGATCCAAAATGTCGTGCAATTGTATTATCTGGAGAGGGAAAAGTATTCTGTGCTGGAATCGATTTAGCTGGAGGAATGGGTGAAATCATCAAAGTTATTCAAAATGATGATATTGAGATTGGAAGAAAAGCGAGACTATTAAGAAGATTTATTGGACATGTTCAGGATTGTTTTACGGCTGTTGAGGTAATTTTTTTTATTTGAGATATAATCACTCATTGATATTTTTTTTTAGAAATGTCCAAAACCGGTGATCGCCGCAGTTCATTCGCATTGCATTGGAGCGGGGATTGATTTGATAACAGCTTGCGATATTCGATTCGCATCACAATGTTCGAATTTTTCGATAAAAGAAGTTGATGTTGGTTTGGCGGCTGATGTTGGAACTTTGAATCGAATTCAAAAAGTTGTTGGAAATGATAGTTGGACTAGAGAAATTGCAATGACTGCGAGAGATTTTGGAGTTGACGAGGCTTTGAAATTCGGATTAATTAGTCGAATTTATCCATCAAAAAAAGAAACAGTAGCAGGAGCTGTTTCTCTAGCCAAAACTATTGCCGAAAAATCACCGATTGCTGTTCAAGGAACAAAAATAAATTTGAATTATTCAAGAGATCATACAATCGATGAATCTTTGGAATATATCAAAACATGGAATATGTCACAACTTTTATCAACAGATCTGATAAATAGTGCAACTGCTGTGATGAGCAAGCAAAAAGCAACTTTTGAGGATGTTTAAAAATATACTGTAAAATATTTATTAGTTTCGGGTGTAAATGAATGTATTTAGAAATTTACTTTTTATTTATTTTTCGATTTTTACCTTTAAAAAATTGGTTTCACCCCATCTTGATGATATCTCTTTCACTAAAAAAGTACAAATACAACAAAATCTCATTTTTCAGATGTTTAACACTGGAAAGTTCGCAGGAAAAACGGTTTTCATCACTGGAGCCTCGAGAGGAATCGGAAAAGAAATTGGATTGAAATTGGCGAAAGATGGAGCCAACATTGTTGTCGCCGCCAAAACCACCACACCACATCCAAAACTCCCGGGAACAATTTATACAGCGGCTGAAGAAATGGAAAAAGCTGGTGGAAAATCATTGGCTTGTGTTGTTGATGTGAGAGATGAAGGATCGATTAAGGATGCTGTTGATCAAACTGTTAAGGTATGTTGATTTATGGTGAATGGAAGAGTGAGCTGTAATTTTTCTGTGTATGTAAACTAGAACAGTTTTCAAAAATATTACATCAATGCGAAATCCCCTAGAAAAAAACAACTTTTCTTTTTTCCAGAAATTCGGAGGAATTGATATCCTCATCAACAATGCTTCAGCTATTTCTTTAACCGGAACAGAAGCAACAGAAATGAAAAGATACGATTTGATGCATTCAATTAACACTCGTGGAACTTTCCTAATGACCAAAAGTTGTCTGCCATATCTCAAACAAGGAAAAAATTCACACGTTCTCAATATTTCTCCACCACTTTTGATGGAACCAAGATGGTTTTCAAATCATGTTGCTTATACAATGGCCAAATATGGAATGTCAATGTGTGTTTTGGGACAACATGAAGAATTCAGACAGTTTGGAGTTGGTGTGAATGCTTTGTGGCCATTGACTTCAATTTGGACATCAGCCATGGAAATGTTATCGGATAAAGGTGGAGAATCTGCTAGTAGAAAGGTATTCTTTTCTTTTGAATTTGCAGATTATTTTCCTAATTTTAGCCAGCTATTATGGCGGATGCTGCTTATGCGATTTTATCGAAAAATAGCAAGGATTTCACTGGAAACTTCTGCATTGATGAAGATGTTTTGAAAGGCGAAGGAGTTACTGATTTCGATCAATATGCATGTGCTCCAGGAAATGAATTGATGCCTGATTTCTTTATCCCAGATGGAAAATATGATGCATCTCTTGGATTCAAAAAACCATCTGAAGGTTTCAAAAAAGACGTGGTTGATGCTGAAATCAAACAAGTTCTTCAATCTGCCGGATCTTTGTTGACATCAGATATTGTGAAGAAAATCGGAATTGTCTACGAGTTCACATTGACAGGAAATCCTGAGAGAAAAATTACAATGGATTTGAAAAATGGAAATGGATCGATTCAAGAAGGACCAAGTGATTCGGCCACTGTCAGGTGAATCTTTTTTTTGATTTTGGATGAATTTTGAATTGTTTCTCCAAAAAAATAATCCAAAATTTTAAGATTCTCTTTGGCACCACATGATTTTGCACCACTTTTCACTGGAAAACTCAAACCAACAGCTGCTTTTATCTCAAAGAAACTCAAGATTAGTGGAGATATTAATGGAGCAATGAAATTGGAAAATTTGTTGAAGAAAATCGCGAAGCATTAAATTATAGATGAATGTATAAACTTCGAGCGTGTTTTATTATGTGTATTTACGGAAATAAACAATTTTATGTTTTGAGAAACGAACCAAAGTTCTTATATACTATCAATTGCCAAATCTACAGTACCAGACGACTACGATCATACTGTAGATTTTGAAGTCTCAATTCACGTGGATAGGTGGATCTACATACTGTCTGCTAAATAACATCATTTTCCAGATGTGCTCTGCGGCTAATGAGTCGAATCTCATCGACTTTGAAAATCGGCCCAAATCATGTCATTTCAAGTGAGTTGTCCTTTTCCGTTTTTCAAATAACCGAGTTTTGGAAATTCTACCGTAATCCATGTTCAAATGTAGAATTACAGTTATCTCCTACGATGAAGAACATTAGTATACTTCTGGCTGAATTTCAGCAAGTATACTGTAATAAAAAAATTGTCATGGTGAATTTGGCAACTCAGAAAATGTGTCGTCAACCGTCCGCGAGCCGGCAGACGGCCTTCGAATTCTGATACCAATTTGCCAGTTTGCTAGACGGCGCCTGCTACAGTAACCTTGAAAACCACGAGCTGGAAATTCTACAGTAATCCACAATCAATATGTTTCAAAATCGAAATTCCACACGTGCCACATATTGTAAATTTTTTCAGCTTTCCGGATTACTGTTGAACTACAGTAACTTTCTACATGTTTCTAGTTCTGAAAGGAAATTCAACGCGTCAACTTCAAAGATCTTTTTTTTTCATAATTATTATGAATTTTAACTGATAGGTTAAAGTAGACTTGATTTCTCGCATAACAAGTAAATCTATAACCTGTAGTATAACACTACACTATAGCCAATGTCAATTTATTTATCAACGCCAAAAAAAACGGCAGATAACATTTGTTCTCTCCAAAACCAAAAAGGTTTTTTGTTTTTCTTTATTTTCCATCAGATATGTCTGACGCTATTCCAAATACAGGGTAAGTCGAAATTCTCTCATATTCATTCAGTAATCTCTAATTCCAGAAAATTCCGCGGTAAAACTGTGTTTATCACTGGAGCATCGAGAGGAATCGGAAAAGAAATTGGATTGAAATTGGCAAAAGACGGAGCAAATATTGTGATTGCTGCAAAAACCGTCACAGCGCATCCAAAACTTCCGGGAACAATTTATACAGCAGCAGAGGAGATTGAAAAAGCTGGAGGAAAGGCGTTGGCTTGCGTGGTTGATGTCAGAGATGAAAAATCGATAAAAGATGCTGTTGAGGCAGCAGTCAAGGTGAGCTTAGATCAGAAACTTGAAATTTGATTGGTTTGTTCTATAGAAATTTGGTGGAATTGATATTTTGATCAACAATGCATCTGCAATTTCTCTAACTAACACCGAAGAAACCGAAATGAAAAGATACGATTTGATGCATTCAATTAACACTCGTGGAACATATTTGGTCACAAAAACATGTCTGCCATACCTCAAAAAATCCACTCATGCACATGTTCTCAATATTTCTCCACCACTTTTGATGGAACCAAGATGGTTTTCCAATCATGTTGCTTATACAATGGCCAAATATGGAATGTCAATGTGTGTTTTGGGACAACATGAAGAATTCAAACAATATGGAATTGCTGTAAATGCTTTGTGGCCAATGACATCAGTTTGGACATCAGCTATGGAAATGTTATCAAGTAATGAGGGAAAAGCTGGAAGCAGAGAGGTATGATCTTTTAATTTTGGGTTTTTATATTTTCATTCAAAAATTTCCAGCCAGCAATTATGGCTGATGCAGCTTATGCAATTTTATCGAAAGGAAAGGAGTTCACCGGAAATTTCACAATCGATGAATATTTGTTGAAAGATGAAGGAGTCACTGATTTTGAAAGATATGCTTGTTCCCCAGGAACTGAATTAATTCCTGATTTCTTTATTCCAAGTAAATTGTAAATTGTTTATGAATTTGAAAAAAATAACGGAAAAAAAAAATAAAATCTCGAAAAAAAATCATCCATGAGGATCTGGTTTAATTTGTCGAGCTAATCCATAAGGTGACATTCCTTTCTGCGACGCACATTTATTTGTTCCATATTGAAGTGGAATTACCATTTCACCTCTTCTCATAACAGCTTCTGGGAATTGTCGTGGAGCTGATTGAGCAATCTTGACAACCCACGCTGGATGATCCAAATGAGGTTTTCGAGATTGTGCGACTGCGGCGAGTAATCGGAGACACTCAATAACTTTGTAACATTGTTTATTTTCATAGAGATCGACGGTTTGGAAACAACTAATCTCCATAACTCCAAAACGTTTAGCAGCTTCCAAAAAGTTTGAGATATTTTCCATCTGGAAATTGGGAATTTTAAAATGGGTAATTATTACTATTTAAAAAGTTACCATGTGAAAAGGCATTTTTGGTTTTTTATTATAAACTACACGACAACCAGGATCCAATTTCTCAATAAGTTTACATAACATAACACCATCTTTAAGAAGTGCTGTAACATCATTCGATGTTTCACAATTTCCAACATCGCATGGAAAACGCTCTCCAGTCACATTCTCAATCCAATATAAAACTTCGATTGCTTCCTCGAGCACAAATCTAGCGTCATTCTGAAGAAAACGAAATTAAAAAAAAAACATTCCAATGTGTTTCATACCTTTCTTTGTAATTCTCTGCTCAAACCATAACTTGGTCCATGATTTGCCATTCTGTGAACAACAAAAAATCGATAAATGAATAAATATCAAAAAAGGAAAAGAAATCCAGAAAATTATGTGTATAGATAGGGGGATATTCTTGTTTTGAGGAGGAATGAAAACGAAAATGGGTATCTATCTTTTCTGTTTCTCTCCTAAATTCTTTCGATCTATCTATCTTATTATCGCCCAAAAACGAACGCAAATTCCATTATTAATATTATTATTGTTTATGTGAATGAATGAATGAATAATAATTTCGAAATGAATTGGGGTGAAACTAAATGAAATCACTAATCAATTAACAACATTTTTACAAAACAATGAAAAAAGAAAGTTGAGACAAGATGATACATGGGAAAAAATGGTTGAAAAAAGTTTTTTGTTTGCACCACGGATAATGACGAAGAATGGTGTTTGACAGATGGAAACATAAATACAATTGTGACAATCGGAAAAAAAGAGGAGCAACGAAAAACTTGATCTGGAATAAAACATGAAACAAATAAAACTGTTTAGAAAACTCTAAAGTTTAGGTTTGAAAAATTAAAAAAACAAAAAATCAGGTCTCAATTTTCACGTTAAACTCTCTGAAAATTATAGACAATGTATTACTGTAGCTTGAAAAAATATTACTGTAATAAATCATGGTTTTCAATTTGGATTTGACTTATGGTGATTACTGTAGCTTCACAAATTACAAAACAGCAAACTATGAATTTTTCATCCATAAGATCCACTGAAAAATTTTTCTCAACGAAAAAAATATTTGCGAAATACAATGTTTGAACTTCTGAACTTCCTTTTCACATTTCAAAAACTGATATTTTTTTACATTCGGAAAACAATTTGAAAAAAAACTACTTTAAACTGCTTTTTCGAAATATATTTTGAAACCACAGAAACTCCCAGATTCACGTGAAAAATGCATGGGATTTTTTTTGACAAAATAGTACTACGGTAGCTTTGCAAAGTCCAAGAATCCAAATGTATGGTTTCTGAATTTTTGAACATCTATGACGTATCCGATTTTATGACGTTTGATGTTCATTTTCTTTATATTTTCTTCTTATTCTTTTTTTCCTAATTATAATATTTTTGGTTTTTTCATACTTCCCGGTATTCTTTCTTGTCTCATGATCGTTATTCCTTCTTTTCTCATTTTTTTTCAAAAAAAAGCCTTGAGCACGCAATAATTCAACAAACACATATTTTGATGGATGAATAAAGAATTGATGATGCTGTGGTTCTTAAAGTTTATAAAAATTTTCCAATCCTCATTTTATTTTTTGAATATAAAATAAAATGAAATGAAATAAATTACATGTTTACCTTGACATATTCTATACAAAAATCCTCAATTCCTTAAAATAGAAGGAGTGTGGAGAAAAAAATATGACTAGTTTTTACTATTATTATAATTGTAATTATTATGTATTCAGAGAAAGAAGAGATTTATATGGAATAGATGTATAAACCTATTAATTTTACTTTACTCTTCAGTCTTTTTTTTTCTCGACAATCAATATCTATTATTTAAGGCTACTAGAGATACTCTATAATTCAACATAATTGTACATCGTTTTTTTTGTTTCTTTCGAAGCTAGCTTCTTCTAATTCTTATTATTTTTCCTCCATCAAAAATATCTTTTGATTTCCAAAAACCAGTCCTCAAAATTAATCGGGAATGATAAAAGCATTCCCAATCCAAATACATACATATTTATTGTCTATCAAATTGAACAACATGAAAATAAATATCTCAATCAGTAACCATTCATCATTTGCTAGAAATGGGTCATTTGATAACTTTCACTTATCTGCCCAAAAGCTTTGATGAAAAAACGGGATATCATTTTTTTTTCTTTTCGCAGTTATGTATAAGTTTTGAGCTTTTCCCTTTGCCTTTTTTGCGTCATCGAATTGAATACAACTTTTTGTACTTTCCCATGATTTTTTGTGATATGTAATTTTCTTTTTTCCGTTATTTTGTGACTCATATTCCTATTTCAGGTATGCGTATATTTTGCGCGCTTTTTTTATTTGTGAGTCTTTGTCAAACACATCCAATTCAATCAGGTAAATTTTTAGAAACTAAAACTCTGATGGCTTTTTTTAATAAAAAAGTAAAAAGGATCAGTATGAAATGATCAGAAGATATTCCCAATTTATAAACTTTTTATCGATTATTCAATTTTTCATTCCAGATTCTGAAAATGAACCAATTATCACCGAATCTCAACCAATTGATTCTACAGTAACCGAAGAATTAACAGTCCCTCCTCCACGTCAAATTTCTCCGCAAGTTGACACATCTGTTGATACAAATGGAGATGGTGAATTAGATTTATCAGAAGTTCAATATGCCGCATTTGTTCATCATGGATTATCTGGATCAGTTGTTGAAGATATGTTCAAACAAGTTGATACAAATAATGACAATCTACTCGATGCTCGTGAATTTGATGCAATTCGAATGTTGGTTCTTGAAAAAGCTGAAAACGCGGCTCTTCGTTATCTTCAAAACGTCGATATTGATCGAGATGGTTTGCTATCTCTTCAAGAAGCCCAGGCTTATTTACTAAAAGAATACGGTATTGGAAATCGCGATGTTGTTCGATTATGGAAACTTGTGACTCCATCAATTGCAGAGAGAATGAATTCGACATTATTCAGTAAACTTCGTCGACGAGTTCGAGGAATGACAATTCGATTGGCAAGACAATTAATGAAAACAGCTGATGTGAATGGAGATGGACATATTTCGGTTGATGAAGCACAAGCAATTGCATTTGAGCAAGAAGGAATCGGAGCTGGTGATGTGGCAAGTATGGTTGGAAGTGTTGATGAAAACTTGGATGGAGAGTTAAATGCACCAGAATTTGCTGATTTTGAAAGAATTGTTAGAGCTAGGGCAATTGAAAACAGCAAGTGAGTCTTTCAAAAATATTTTTAATGGAAATGGGAATTTTTAATGAAACAACGGAAATTAAAGAAAAACACGAAAATCCAAATCCTATCCTATTCTATGTAAAAAAATTATTCCAAAGTTCAGATCCAAAACATCTTCTCACTTCTTATTTCATCACATTTTCTTTTTTTTCAGAAAAGCTATGCGTGTTGTTGACACTGACAATAGTGGAACTCTAACTCTTGATGAAGCCAAAAGAGTTGCCTTTGAACATTATGGATTTGATGAAGAAACTTTGTCACCATTTTTTGGACAAGCTGATGAAAATGAGGATGGCCAATTGGATCCTGTTGAATTTGCCGGATTCCGATCAGTTATTCGAGCAAGATCAGTGAAAGATGCAATGGAAAAAATGAAGAAAATTGATAAAAATGGGGATGGATTAATCAGCACAGGAGAAGCAACTGAATCAACGAGTAAAGAAGATGATATGGATGAAGCTGAATCATTGGCATTGTTCCATATTGCTGATCAAAATAAAAGTGGAAAATTGGACAAAGTTGAACTCGCTGACTTCAACAGATTAGTTCGACTGAGTTCCATCAAATTCGCTACTGATCATTTCAAAGAATTCGATCTTGATGGAAATGATCTAGTAACATTCGAAGAAATTGCGCTACTCATTGAACAGAAATACGGTATTCCAATGAGTATTATTCAAACATTCTTTGACAAAATCGATGTTGATGGTTCAGCTGATTTGAATCCAGCTGAAATCGTCGATTTCCGACATTTGATTCGATCCTATGTCGCTAAACAAAAGGTCTACTACTTGTAAAACATGACACTCTTTTTGACTCCTAATAAATTATTTTGACATAAATAATTTGATTTTTTCAGAAGCTTGCACCAACCACGAGCACTACCACGAGCACGAGCACAATCACCACAGAGAAACCTACCACTACTGAAAAATTAAGCACAACTGAAAAGTTAACCACCACAAGCATGAAACCTAGTAGCACTACAGAAGAAATCGAAATGATTCCAAATGATGTGATTGCTCAAGATATTATGCCAATGAAATCTATCCCAATCACCTCCACTACAACAAAAGTCACAGAACTTCCAACTACAGAAACATCAACTGAACCTCCCACTACCGAATTATCAACCACTACTACTTCCAGCCCCACAACAAGCACTCCATCAACAATAAGAACCACAAAACCTGCACCAGTAACTAGAAAACAACCCAAAAGCACAACCACCACTTCTAGCACGAGCACAACAAAAAAAGTTACAGATGAAGTATTTGTCGAAGAAATCATCTATGAAGATGAGAATGGAAATCGAATGATGCCCAAAAAACGAAAAGCTCAAGATCAAGATGTTTCGTATGAAGAAGTTATCGAATATGTAGATGAACCAGCAACTTGAGACTTTTCAAGAGAAATAAGTGATGAATTAATTAATACCTCAACAACACAAATATTCAGTTACGGTTATCCATGATTTAATAAAACTATATATATTTATACTAATTGTTGGTTATTTTGGTTTTATAGATCAAGTTTAGAAAAACAGATTAATGATGACAATTGGAAAATGTTGTGTTTATGTTTGCATAGCAACGCGCGCTTGTTTTTGAAAGTAGTAGCAAAAATTAATCGAGAGCGAGCAGAACAAAACTCTCACGTGCATTTATAATTATAGACATGCTATAATTTTAGCCAAGGTTTGAGCAGAAGCCATGTTTCAACACAGACCACGATTCATTACTATGGAGAAAATCTTCCATAAACCACGAATGCTGAAAATAAAAAGGCGGAGTTGTCTGAATCTTCAAAAAATCTGGGTATTTAAAAGAGCCGATCGGGCTCATTTTTCATCTGAAATATTCAAGATGGTAAACTACAAACTGACCTACTTCGATACTCGTGGACTTGCTGAAGCATCACGTCAAGTTTTTCATTTGGCTGGAGTTAAATTCGAAGATGTCAGAATTCCATTCGGCGATCCATCGTGGGAAAAATTGAAGAAAAGTAAGTTGAAAACGGTATTATCTACCTCTGATATTTGTTGATTTTCAGAAACACCATTTGGACAAATTCCGGTTTTGAGTGTTGATGGATTCGAGATTCCACAATCAATGGCGATTCTCAGATATCTTTCAAGAAAATTTGGATTTGCTGGAAAAACACCAGAAGAAGAAGCATGGGTTGATGCAATTGTTGATCAATTCAAAGATTACATAGTTTCCTTCAGACAACTTATTGTCGCAGTTCGTGAAAAGAAATCAGTTGATGAAATCGAGAAAATCAGAAAAGAAATCAGTGATCCAGCAAAAGAAAGCTACTTCAAAATTTTGAATGGTATCTTGACCAAATCAAAATCTGGATTCTTGGTTGGAGACAGTGTTACTTTTGCCGACTTAGTCGTTGCTGACAATTTGGTGACTTTGGAGAAAAATGGAGAATTCAACAGATCCGAACAACCAAAGCTCACTGCTCTTTTGGAAAAAGTCCACAACTTGCCAAAACTCAAAAAATACATTGGATCACGCCCAGATACTCAATTTTAATTTTATACTTTTGAAAAATATTTTTTGTGAATTATATTTGATAATAAAACATTTATTTGGATTGTTGAAAACGTTTTTCAGAAAAAACCGTTATTAAACAAATTAGGCAATTCAGATAGGGTTACCCACGATTCAAAAAAAAATAATATTTCACAATAAATGATTCAAAAATCATGTTCGAAAAACAGATTAATGATGACAATTCGAAAATGTTGAGTTTATGTTTGCATAGCAACGCGCGTTTGTTTTGGGAAGTATTAACAAAAATAGTCGAGATCTATCAGAGCAGAACCAAATCTCCTCACGTGAGTGTATAATTATAGACATGCTATAATTTCAGCCAACGTTTGAGCAGAAGCCATGTTCCATCAGAGACCACGAATTATTACAAAAAAAATCTGCCAAAAATGATGACAATTAAATCAAAAAAGGGTGTGGCTTTCTAGAGTCTTCTATAAAGTTTAGTATTTAACAGGACTGAACGAGCTCATTTTTCATCTGATAGATTCAAGATGGTTAACTACAAACTCACCTATTTCGAAGTTCGCGGTCTTGCTGAACCAACTCGTCAAGTATTCCATTTGGCTGGAGTTGAATTCGAAGATGTAAGACTTCCACAAGGAGACAAAAAATGGGAAGATTTGAAGACAAGTGAGTTAATAATAAACGTCTCCAGAGTGTTTATTCAAAAAATTTCAGAAGTTCCATTCGGACAACTTCCTGTTTTGAGCGTTGATGGATTCGAAATCCCACAATCCGCTGCTATCTTGAGATATGTTTCAAGAAAATTTGGATTTGCGGGAAAAACACCAGAAGAAGAAGCCTGGGCTGATGCGATTGTTGATCAATTCAAAGATTTTGTTGCATCTTTCAGACAAGTCATTATAGCTGTTCGTGAAAATAAGCCAGCTGAGGAAATTGAGAGAATTAAGAAAGAAATCAGTGATCCAGCGAAAGAAAGCTACTTCAAAATTTTGAATGGTATTTTGGCCAAATCAAAATCTGGATTTTTGGTTGGAGACAGTGTTACTTTTGCCGATTTGGTCGTTGCTGACAATTTGGTGACCTTGGAGAAAAATGGAGCATTCAACAGATCAGAACAACCGAAGCTCACAGCTCTTTTGGAAAAAGTCCACAATTTGCCAAAACTCCGTAACTACATTGCATCTCGCCCAGATACTCAATTCTAATCTGATTTGAATCTATAAATGTACTTTGTATGATGATAAATATTTATTTGGAATACTTTGTTTTTTCTAACATGTGGAATTCTCGAAATTTTCAAAACCTGTCGTTGAAAATAAGAAAACAATAAAAAATTATTCATGCGTGACATGTTCAATTTCATTTCTATGATTTATACGATTTCAATTATTTTCATTGCCTCATAACTTTTCTTCGATATCACGAGATGCACAAATTATGAATCATTGAAAAAATCAAACATCGTGTTGTTTGGGCACCGAAATCAAACTTTAAAAAATCGAACAATTTCAGAATGGTTTTGAATTTTTCGAATGGGATTTTTGTAAGAAACGTACATTGAAACTGGAAACGGCAGTATCTACTGAATAAAAATTGAAATATTCCTGAATTTTAAATTGGAAATGACCAATACAGAATTTGATACTCAAAAATTCATGGGTCTTCGTAAAAATCACAAAAAAATCGGAGTTCTTAAATCGACCAAACCATAGAGTGTATCCGATTTCGCAATCAAATTTCCATTTTTTTTTCTTCTAGAAGAGTTCAAACAATTGATGCAATGGGCGGAGCTTATTGGTCAGTGTATATAAATATTTGCGAAAAGCGAGCGCTTGATATTTCTGCTGTCAGCTAGGAAACAATTATGGTTCACTACAAATTGACTTATTTCGATGGCCGCGGATTTGCTGAAGCATCTCGTCAAGTTTTCAAATTGGCTGGCATCGAGTTCGAAGATGTCAGACTTCCAATTGCTTCTCCAGAATGGGAAGCTTTGAAACCATGTAAGCTACTATTTTTTGAAAACTGAGTCTATGCAATTGTTCACATTTTCAGCGACACCATTCGGGCAACTTCCAGTGTTATCTGTTGATGGATTCGAAATCCCACAATCCGCCGCTATCTTGAGATATCTTGCCAGAAAATTCGGATTTGCTGGAAAAACACCAGAAGAGGAAGCTTGGGTTGATGCGATCGTGGATCAATTCAAAGATTTTATGGGACAATATCGTCAATATATTTATGCAGTTTTCTTAAAGAAACCGGTCGAAGAAGTAGAAAAGGCGAAAACTGAAGTAGCTATTCCAGCACGTGATGCTTATTTCAAAATTTTGAATGGCATTTTGGAAAAATCAAAATCCGGATTTTTGGTTGGAGACAGTGTTACTTTTGCCGACTTAGTCGTTGCTGACAATTTGGTGACTTTGGAGAAAAATGGATTCGTTTCAAATGAGGAACACTTGAAAATTGTCGAATTCAAGGCCAAAATTCAAAACTTGCCAAAACTCAAGGAATGGATCGAAACTCGTCCAGATACTCCATTCTAACTTTTCTGTATATAATTAATTTTTTCACTTTGAGAATGAATTTTAAGTACGTTTGTTGAAAATAAAAACATGTCTTTTCTAGAAATAATTATCGAAACAAAATACAAATGATCAAATAATTGTGGGTTCCAAATAGTCTGAAGATCGGCAAAAATGATGACAAAACAAATGAGGCGGGGCAAAATTGACTATTTATTTGCGCGCGAAAATAAAATTGTCACTCAACAATCTATTGTAATAATGGTTCATTATAAATTGACCTATTTTGATTTTCGTGGACTTGGAGATTGTATTCGTCAAGTTTTCTATTTGGCTAACGTTGAATTCGAGGATGAAAGAATCGTAATGAAATCGGATGAATGGAAGAATTTGAAACCAAGTGAGTTGAAAGTCCGAAGATTTCAATGAAATATTCATTTCCAGAGACACCTTTTGGTCATCTTCCTGTTTTAACTGTTGATGGATTGGAAATCCCTCAATCTATGGCTATTGTGAGATATCTCTCGAAAAAATTCGGATTTGCTGGAAAAACTCCCGAAGAAGAAGCATGGGTTGATGCAATTGTTGATCAATTCAAAGATTTTGGAGTCTCATTGAGACCATATATTTATACAATTTTCGAGAATAAACCAGCTGATGTGGTAGAAAAAACCAAAAAAGAAGTTGCTATTCCAGCTTGTGAGAACTATTTGAGAATTATCAACAAAATTTTGGAAAAATCAAAATCAGGATTTTTGGTCGGAGATAGTTTGACATTTGCTGATTTGGTTGTTGCTGACAATTTATTATCTCTTCATAACGATGGATTTATCAAAAAAGGACAACATCCAAAACTCGACGAATTCCAAGCGAAAATTCATAATCTACCAGAACTCAAAGATTACATTGCTAGTCGTCCATCCACAACTTTTTAAGCTTTTCATAAATTGGTTTTTCTATTTCTTTTTTCCCTCTGTTCAAACACAAAAAAAAACAACTAGACCTTCAAAAACCAAATGATGACAAATGCAGTGAAATGGGCGGAGACTTGGTTTTTGTTCTCACACATAAATACATATTTGCCTAGCAACCAAAACTCAAATCATATCATAAAATAAATCAAAATGGTGCACTATAAGCTAACATATTTTGCTAGTCGTGGATTTGCTGAAGCATCTCGCCAAATTTTCAAATTGGCTGGAGTTGAATTCGAAGATATTAGAATTATTCACGGAGATGGAACTTGGGATGAATTGAAATCCAGTTAGTTTTTTTTGTGCCAACAATTTTGGAAAGTTTCAAACATTTTTAGAGACACCATTCGGACAAATCCCTGTTTTGAGTGTTGACGGATTCGAAATCCCACAATCATCAGCAATTTTGAGATATCTTGCAAGAAAATATGGTTTTGTTGGACAAACACCAGAAGAAGAAGCTTGGGTTGATGCGATCGTTGATCAATTCAAGGATTTTATCGAGGCGTTCAGACAATATGCAACAGCAAATCGTCTCAACAAACCAGCTGAAGAAATCGATCGCGTCAAAACAGAAATTGCAATTCCAGCTCGTGATGCATATTTCAAAATTTTGAATACAATTCTCGAGAGATCAAAATCTGGATTCCTTGTTGGAAACAACGTGACTTTTGCGGATTTGGTTGTAGTCGACAATTTAGTGACCTTGGAAAAGAACGGTTTTCTCAACAAAGGAGAACAACCAAAACTTGATGCACTTCGCCAAAAAATTCACAATCTTCCAAAACTCAAAGAATGGATTGCAACTCGTCCAGATACACAATACTAAATAATATTTCTTTTTCAATGCTTTTCAAAATAAACATTTTTCATTTCTCTTCTTTTCATTTTTCTCAAAAGATCACAGATCTCTCGAAAATGATGACAAATACACGTGTGAGAGGCGGAGTTTGTTTTGGAAGACAAGATTATATTTAAACATGTTGGTTTATTTGATCAAATTGACCAACAAAACAAAATGGTTCATTATAAACTAATATATTTTAATGTTCGCGCACTTGCTGAAGCATCTCGACAAATATTTCATTTAGCTGGAGTTCCATTCGAAGATGTTCGAATTCAAAGAAACGATCCAACTTGGGAAACAGATATCAAAAAAAGTTGGTTGATAACTTATTACTTTTTGAAAATAGAAAACGATTTTTAGGTACACCATTTGGAAAAATGCCAGTTTTGTCTGTCGATGGATTCGATATCCCACAATCTGCAGCCATTGCCAGATATCTCTCTAGAAAATTCGGATTTGCTGGAAAAACACCAGAAGAAGAAGCATGGGTTGATGCAATTGTTGATCAATTTAAAGATTTTTTCGAGGATTTGAGAAAGTTTATAATTGCTAATCGACTTGGAAAACCGGCTGAAGAAATCGAGAAAATTCGAAATGAGATCGTGAACCCATCAAGAGACAATTATTTGAGAATTATTACTGGTATTCTGCAAAAATCGAAATCTGGTTTCCTCGTTGGGGATAATGTTACTTTTGCTGACCTGGTTATTGCTGACAGTTTAGTTACACTGGAGAAAAATGGATTTTTCAAAAAAGAAGATTATCCTATTGCCGCTAATCATCAACTAAAAATACACAACTTGCCAAAATTGAAGGAATGGATTGAAACACGACCCGACACACAATTGTAAAATATTTTTAATAGAATGAATAAATAAAGTTCAGTCACAAAATGTCTTTTTGTGGTTTCATAAAAAATGATGATAACCGATGAGTATATAAACTGTTTTCCACACGTGCATTTTTAGTTTGAAAAAAAAATGGTTCATTATAAATTGACATATTTTGAAGCTCGTGGATATGCTGAAGCATCTAGACAAGTTCTTCATCTCGCTGGTGTTGAATTTGAAGATGTTCGAATTCCAATGGGATCTTCACCACAATGGGATGAGTTGAAACCAAGTATGTAAGTAAAAAACTTGATTATATATAATTTGAATTATTTTAGAAACACCCTTTGGACAAATTCCGGTTTTGAGTGTTGATGGATTCGAGATTCCACAATCAATGGCGATTCTCAGATATGTTTCAAGAAAATTTGGATTTGCTGGAAAAACACCAGAAGAAGAAGCATGGGTTGATGCAATTGTTGATCAATTCAAAGACTACGCTATCCCATTCAGACAATATTTGATTGCTTTACGAAATGGAGATACTGACGCTGTATGTCAACGTTTCATTATAGAGAAAAAATCAAAAAATATTTTTTAGGAAAAGATCAAGAACGAAGTTTCATTCCCTGCTCGTGATGCTTATTTCAAAATTCTTACTGGAATTCTTGAAAAATCAAAATCGGGTTTCCTTGTAGGAGACAGTGTCACTTTTGCTGATCTCGTTGTTGCTGACAATTTGGTGACTTTGCAGAAAAATGGATTCTTCACAAGTGATGAATATCCAAAACTTGTAGAACACCAATCAAAAATTCAAAACTTGCCGAAACTCAAAGAATGGATTGAAACTCGCCCAGATACTCAATTCTAATTTTTATATGCATGAATAAATGAATAAATGGTCTTTTTAATCAAACAAACTGTACAAACACAAAATTGTCGACCACAAAAGTTCAAACATTTGTCATCATTTTATCAGTTTATATAGTTTTTGAGAAACTGATTGTTCATCATAACATTATTAGTGATGGTGTCTTACAAATTGACATATTTTCAAAGTCGCGGACTAGCTGAAGTATCTCGCCAACTATTCCATTTGGCTGATGTTCAATTTGAGAATCACGTGGTTGACCGCGATGAGTTTTTACGTCTCAAACCATCTTTGCCATTTGGCCAAGTTCCATTACTGACTGTTGATGGAGTTGAAATCCCACAATCTTTGGCAGTTGCTAGATATTTGGCAAGAAAGTTCGGATTTGCTGGAAAGACTGCGGAAGAAGAGGCTATTGTGGATGCATTAGGTGATCAATTCAAAGATTTCTATAAGGAGATTCATGATTACTTTTATGCCAAACTTGGAATAATTGATGTTCAAGTCAACGAAGATACTCATCTTATTCCGGCGCGTAACAATTTTTTGACTATTCTAACAAACTTCCTTCAAAAATCACAATCTGAATTTCTGGTTGATAGTGGTCTAACATATGCTGACTTGATCATAATCGATAACATGACTACACTTATTGGATGGTATCCTGATTATCTCGACGGTTTTGACAAAGTAAGTTTAACGAGAGATATTGTGAAGGAAGATTCTTGATTTATAGATTCAAAAATGGCGCGCAAGTGTTCTCAACTTCCCGAAACTCAAAGAATATCTCGAGAAACGTCCACTCACTCCTGCTTAACTTCATTTTTGAAAAGTTGTTTGTCATAAAACAGAATCAGTAAATAAAAAATGTTTCGGACTCCTCCCATTTTTTCTTCATCTTTTCGAAATCATTCGTCTTGTTTCCATAGTGAACTACTTATTTTCTTAGAAAAGAATCATGGTTAAATATATCCTTACTTATTTCGAAGTTCGCGGATATGCTGAAGCCGCAAGACAAGTCTTCCATTTGGCGGGTGTTGAATTCGAAGACCGTCGTGTTACTCATGATCAATGGAATGCAGAAATCAAAGAAGGTTAGTTGAAAACATTGGAAAATCGGAAAAATAAACCAAGTGCCCAAACATTTGAAATTGTTAAAAAAACAAAATTAAATTTGAAAAAAAAAAAGAAAAACGCTGCAGCACTACAGTACCCACTGAACTCGTTGTTTTTTCTATTTTCAGATATTTTTCAAGCACAACCCAATAAAACCCTAACAAAATCACCCCAAAAAACAAAATGCAGATTTTTTTTTCGAAAAATTTATCGATTTGCAAACATTAAATCTTTTAATCTGGCGGGTAGATCAAATAATTTATACGTATTTTTTGGAGTCTACTTTCTCACGATTTTTTTCCAGGAACAACTCTAGGAAAATTGCCAATTCTTCAAGTCGATGGATTCGAAATTCCACAATCGCAAGCCATAACTAGATATCTTGCTAGAAAATTTGGATTCGCTGGAAAAACACCAGAAGAACAAGCCTGGGTTGATGCAATCGCGGATCAGTTCAAAGATTTTGCTGGACCATTCAGAGAGTATATAGTGGCTGAAAGACTTGGAAAACCAACTGAGGAAGTTGTAAGTTTTCAAAAAGTTTGAGAATGGAACTAAATTTCTTGAAAAAATAGGCTCGAATCCGCGCTGAAGTTTCCGTCCCGGCTGTTGAAAGCTTTGTTGCTCTTTTGACAAATATTCTGTCCAAATCAAAATCTGGATTCCTTGTTGGCGATAATGTCACATTCGCCGATCTCATTTTGGCCGATATTCTAGTCACTTTGCAGAAAAATGGATTCATCAACAATGAGTCGAAATACGAAAAAGTTCTCGAACATCAAAAACGTGTTCATAATCTTCCAGGTTTGAAGAATTATATCGAAACTCGTCCAGACACACAATTTTAATCCTATTTCAATTTTTCAATGAAAAAACTACAATGCAAACATAAACTATTTCGCAATAAAAAAGATCAAGTGTACGAAAAAAATGATGCTAGAGACCACATAATATCATTTTCATTTTTCTGCTAGAGACCACGTTTTTTTTTCTTCTTCGCTTTGAGATTGGTTTTGTTTGTTTCAAAAAGAAAAATTGAGGGAACATTTTCAAATATTTATTATTATTATTATTGTTGTTTTCTATTCAACATTCTCATTCTTTGTCGAGCAATTTCCAATTCCTCTTTCAGAATATTTTCGCGCAAAACTAAATTTGTATATTGTCCCTCGCCATTTTTGATACGATCATTTAATTCATTAACAAGTTGAGTTTGACGATCAAGATCCACTTCAATCGATTTTATCTCATTTACAACCTTCACCATTTCATTTGTCAAGTTTGATTTTTCTTCCGCAGATTTTCTAACTTTTGCAGTCAATTCTTCAATGGCCTCACTTTTTTGGGGACTAGATTTTGCTGAAGAATCATTTGGATTTGATGGTGCGGTATGAACATCGGAAGTAGAAGACGCTGCTGAAGAAGAGATTGAAGTAGTTGTAGAACTTGCAATATTGAGAGGTTGAACTGCAGGTCTCCTGAAAAAAAGAAATCATATATGAAAAATACATTTTTTAACTAACATTGTTCTAACTCTCGTATTTGTCATAATTCCCAAAATATTATATTGTTGGGGATTCATCCAAACTGCTTTTCGATCTGCGAAATCACCAGGAGCAGGCATAGCTTGAACAATAAATGCATGATTTGATTGATATTTCAAAGTGTCAAGAAGAGTAATTTTTATTGTGATTTTTTCGGCGATTCCTATGAATCCTTTATTTGGAAAAATAACATATCGAGTTGGACCATTGCAAAGAATTCGATAAGCAACGCGGCACGGATAGACATTTCTATTAAAATTAGAATTTTCATAGAAGTAGATTTTGCCGAACTCACTTTATTTCCATGGTTTTGACAGTTTCTCCCGTTCCATGTTCAATGATAATATTCAACGGATTCAAAGTTATCAATTTTGTTTGAGTTGATAGATTTTGTGTTGAAGATTTTGGATTAATTAACAAACAATCGAAAGATTCTTTCGGCATTTTTAGGAACTAGAAATGATTTATAAATGAACATTTTTTGAAAAATAAAAAAAAATTAGACCACGTCAAAATTTATGTGAATTCGAAATCTCGATTGAGTCCGTGAACTCGATGAAGTCGCATTTCACTAGCATCCATCTCATCTTCAACTGCATCAATTAAATGATTTGATTGATTTCGGAGAATGAAAGCGAACTGAAATTAATTAATTTTAATTATATATTTTGAAATGAGAAAAAAAACGAGTTACAGCGTTCATATCATTGTAGAACTTTTGTCTGGTGAGAGCTACAATTAATTCCATTCTTGTTCGATGTCGAATTGCCTCAAAAATTCGAATTTGCTCATTGAGACCAAGAATTTCGAAGGTTTCATTGGTTATTGTATAAATTGCAAAAATCCAAACAAGGCAAACGGAATTATGCAACATTGTTCGAATTTCATAATATTCATTCATTCTCAGCTCGTCGACTTCGTAAAATTCTGAAAAATTGTATTTTTTTTGTTTTATTCAGAACCATGCGACGAGAAAACTTCAACATTTCAGTTATGTTTTCAAAACCTGGTTGGTTTCAAACATTCCAATTCCACCAAATCCCGGTTCCCGAACCCTTTTTTCTTACTGTAAATATTATTTATAGTTTTTCCAGCCATCACCAAAAGCATATTCGTAGATAACAAACAAATTGCAACAACCAATGCTTTCAAAGCAACTCTCAAATGAACTCTCAATTTTGAAACACTAAAAGTTTTCATTTCTGGAATTTTATAATCATTCTGAAAATCAAAACTACAGTAATCCTCAAGTCTTTCTAATAATTTCTTACTAATCTAATGATATCATCTGCCGTCGGTGTTTCCATTGTTTTTCCAATTTCTCAAAACACGAAAATGAAATTTAAAATGAATGCAATTTTTATTCACGCAAGCACACGTCGTTATATTATTATTCATTCATCTTCATATTTTTTGCCTTTCCAATTTTTGCCAGACTATTTGAAGCGTATAAAGCTGATCTAATTAAAAAAGGTCAGAGCAGCAAATTTTTTGACATTGTTCTTCTCGGAAAATTAGAAAAAGTATGTATAGCTTCTTTTTTCTGTGAATGAATTAATATTTTATGATCGGACCAGACGAAGAATTGGAAAGTTACAGTAGTTATGTTTTTGGTGTTTTCTCAAATTTTTATTTAGAGAAGTAGTAAGATGATCATAAAAACAAAAAAGGTCAAGTGTTTTCAGAAAAATTATGGGTTTTTGAAAACGTTTTAGAAGTTTGGAGAAAACAATCGAGTTTTTGAGCTTTACGTTGACTATGATATTTTAATAAATCATTCTCAAAACAATTACCAGGATTACTGTAGCTCAATTTTATATTATATATTTCTGCACAAAAAAACGAGTATCAAAAAATGTTTAACTATGATTTTCATTTACCTTCAAGTCAGATTTGTCTTGAGCTACAGTAACCCATTTTTCTCTTTCTCTTCAACTCTCTCTTTTCTTTCAACCTAACTCTTTTCTTTTTAATAAAATTATGAGTCGGTCTCCTGTCTTCCGAAGATAATGTGCACTGATGCGTTTCGCGCAAACTTATTTCCCCGGAGACTCGACATTTCTCCTTATTTTCCTCATTTTCTTAAACACGAATCATTGATTCACTTTCATTTTTTCCATTTTCTGAAAGTCGGTGAACCCTATTTTTTCTGAAAAAAATTCCGATGGGCGGGTTTGGTTTTCAGATTTTTTAGTTCCTTCTATTTTGGTTTCCCAATGTCTCCCCAACACAAAAAAAACATCAAAACCCCACATTATTGCGCGCAAAACATATAAATTGATATTTTTCAGATTATTCATAATTATTATTTTCCACGAAAAAAACCGCAACACAAATTAGACACTTTTCCACTTTTGTAACGACTTTTTTGTTGCTTTCCAAATCACCTCGCCGCCCCAAAAAAGTGCTTGTTTTTTCAATCCACACACTCCTTTGGGGTTATAATAATTTTTCACTTTTTTTCCCAAAAATCTGGAAAAACATCTATATCCCTCTACGTTTTTCTCCTCGTTGAAAATGAAAATAACAATAAAATAAATTCATATTTTTCAGAATTCGTTATGTTGTTCAACATTAAATCTCTCTTGGTTTTGGTTCTTTCAGTCGCATTTTCAGTGGCTTTTGTTCTTCAAGATCTTCCATTGGAACGTTTCGAGAGAAGCAGTAGTTTCGAATTGTCGCCGGCCAACTCGTTTGAACGACAAAATCGAGCAAATATGTTGTTCCGTCCGTATTTGGGTCAATATGCAAAGTGAGTTCTGCTAACTTTTAAAACTTAAAATTTGGAAACTTCATTGGTTTTTTTCAGATATCTTCAACACATTCAACAGCAATAAATAAATCAACAACTTCTTTGTCGTCATTTAATTTACTCTAACTTTATATTTTTGCGGAATGAAGAGTCATGTTAAATTAAGTTCTGTAAAAAGGTTTTGACACTTTAAAAAATATTACGAGATTTTGTGCATTTTTTGATCAACGAGTAATTTTTCTTCAAAAAATTAAATTGAAAAATCTCTTTTTGAAATGTTTAGACAGAAAAACTGGGATTTTGTATGTTCAAAAAAAAGTTCCAAAGAATTGCGAAGTGTGCTCAGTTTATGGAATTCTAAAAAATGGCACCTCATTGAATCATTGTTTTTCTCAAAGTTAATTAATATTTATAAACATGTATAAAATTAATTTTTCTCTCTAGTTTCGCAAAAAAAACTTCCTGGATAACAATTTTTAGATATTTCTTTTCTCTATTTTTGCTATATTTTTTTTTCTCTAATTTTCAAAAAATCACGAAATAATTTAATTTAAAGTTAATCATATTAAAACTACCAACAAACAACAAAAAACTTGTATTTCACAAAAAAATCTTTTTTTTTAAATCGTGACAGAACATTCTTAAATAAATATACTCTCAATTTTTCTCACTCGTTAAATTTATTTCGGAAACCAAAAAATATTCCGGAATTTTTTCGATTTTTCGAACCTTCTCACTTTCCATTCTTTTTTCTTTTTCTATAATTTGATTAGCGCAAAACTTGGTTTAAAAGTACTCTTCAGTTTACACATTTTGGTCATTTCATTTTTACAGTTCAACAAAAATAAAATATTTAGAATATGTTGTTACAAGTTTTGACTTTTATCGTGATTCTTTCTTTTGATGTTGCACTTTCCGGATCTGCAGGAAGTAGGTTGAAAAATTATATCAATTTGAAAATTATGTTGTTAATTATCCAGAATGTCGATCTGAATGCGTCGAACGAGGTGAAGGATTTATTGTTCGAGCTCATTTGAAAGATGATTCAGCAATGGTTGGAGTATGTAGAAATACAACTTCAGGATCTTCATCAAAATCAATTGTTACACCATATGTTTGTGATCGAAATATTGGAGCATGGAGTTTTCACGAAGATGTGAGTTTGAATGAAAAATATATTGAGTTATGACGTGGAAATGTTGGTTTTCAAAAACTGTGTACATATCGTAAAAATGAAAGATCCACCCCTCCCTGAATTTAGAAATCTATTTTTTTCAACCGAAAGATAATTTCTGGTTTTTAAAATATCAGATACTGTAGATAAATTTTTGTGCAAAAAAAAAACTTCTTCTTCTTCTTCTTTAGATAAATTTTTGTGCAAAAAAAACAACCTCAGATTTTTCAATGTGTTTAAAAACTATGTTCTAAAAGGGGATTAATTAGAAAAATTTTTAGATTATTTATGAAAATATGAGTACTGTAATCATGAAATTTCAATTTCCTCTGCAATCTTTGTAAAAAATATTCTCACGTAATAACCTAATTTGCACGATAATAACTAATAAAAAATCAAGTTCCTTGTTCAAAATTCAGAATCAAACAGATTCAGTACAACATAACATAAAATTTTACGATACATATTTTAGCAGGTGAAAAAATAAATATCAAGAATATTTCCGGAAAAGGGTATTTCAGCGATCTTTCATAGTTTTTTGAATTCTATATTTTCCAGGACGAGGAAGGAATTGTTAGATTTGACGTAGTTTGTCCAACTGCCAAACAATACACTCAAGAAGAACTCGCCGATTGTCCACCAACAATTGTCGCGAATCTCGATGAGATTCTCGAATCATCTGGACAATTGCCATCACAATAAATGCTTTATTTTAAAATTAAATTTCGATTTGATTAAAATAATAAATAAAGAAAAAGAAAAAAAAATATATCACCACAGGAGAAAAGAAACGGATCACAATTGAAGAAAAAGAGATTTTTCCAGTTAAAAATAGAAAGCTTTTGTTAATTTGCTCTTGTACCGAAAACCTTCCATTGACTTCGAGGAATCTTTTGAAGATATTTGATTTTGTTAAAGAATATTTTGTACCAAATAATACCGATAACGGAACATGCGGCGACTGAAATGAAATATCCATCAATTGCAACTTCACAAACATCTCCACCAGCTGCGCATTGATCAGCGAGTTCTTTCGTGTTGCAAGCATACGAAACGCTGAAAAATATTATGCATAATTTTTGAGCAATCTGATTCGGTGAAGAAAAAACATTATCGGTCGAAATAATTTTTTTCGCTCAAATTCAAAAATCATATTTTTTTGATAAAAAATTTCAAACTCACGTTTTAGTTCCCTTCACAACACAATCTTTATATGTAAACATATCGGTCACCGACAAAACCACAGTAACCGGCCAATTTCCACCCAAGTTATTCAAAGTGTTCAAAAGTGTCATATAAGTTCCTCCAATTCTTGGATCCGAAATCTGTGCAATAAACGCCATCATCGATACAAACATGCAATAAGTAGCCAATTGATGGAATAAATATCCACCAATCCATACCAAATATACACCATATTCAAATGATCCATCAGTATTTCTGAAATGTGGTGTCCACCAAACCAAAGCAGCAAAAACTCCACCAACGAAAATACGATATGGGAAAGCGAGGAGGAAAATATTGAGAGGTCTTGGACCAGCTGTCCATTTTCCAATCATCCATGGCAATAAAATTTGCATCGGTGTTAAGAATACACCAATACTTGCTAATCGATCTTTCGGTATTCCCATTCCAATCAATTTCAAACTTGTCATTCCATCAGTTGCGGCAAATGCCAATTTTCCAGTCAACAAAATTGCAACCATATAATGAATTGGTCGAAGTCTCAAAATTTTCCATAGCACAAGATATGATTCAGTTACACCAAGTTCGAGTTCTTCGTCTTCCTCGTGTTTTTCAACACCTTCTTGAGCTGGCACAGATTTGTCGACTTCACGTTTCAAAATCAAGACCAATGTTGTTGTGACAATGAATACCCATCCCCAGAAGAACACATAGCCTGCAAAAGTTTGATGTGGATGTTGTTTATTATTTTTGAAATTTTTAAAATAGTGAGTGACCAATTGGCATCAAATTTCAAATACATAATAAACAAAAGTCGTTTATTTATTATTATGTTTAGACCCGCGGGGAATCTCTGAATTTTGGACTTTTCTATTTTAGTTTTGTTTCATTGTAGTCTCAGTTATAAATTGAGAAGAATTCCCATTTTTGTAAAAAAGAACAATAATAGAGTATTCAGAGGCGATAATTGTTAAAATATAGAAAAAAATTGAAATTTTCAGTACCCAAAAACATCTAGATTTTGACACGTCATAACTTCATTCTTTGATTCTACGACTTTCATTTTTTCATTTTTCTGTCTGTAGTCAGTCAGTTAAAAGTACACCCCCGCCACTAAAAAATCCGAACACTTTTTATTCTTTTCTCATATTTCCCCAGACACTTCCATTTGAAACATCATTCGAAACTCCAACTCAACTCAAAGTTAGCTTCAACTCCGCCTTCTTTTCTCGATTTTTCGTCACTTTTTTTTGCTCCAAAACCATTTTCAGCGAGCCAGCCAGTCAAAAAATGACAATCCTCCGATTTCTTATCGCTTTCGCCCTAATTTTCGTTTGCTGTTTGGCGAATTATTCGCAAGCAGGTGAGAATTTAGAATTTTGAAGTCTAACTAGAATTAACTTGTTTCTTTTTAGGTAATCAGATCAATTGCAAGTCAGAAAAATTGAAAGAGTTAATTTTGGAAACCGTCGGATTGTATCCACATCAATACAGTTATCAGGCAAAGTAGGTGTTTTAAGAAAAAATAATTCCTTGTCTATAAATAAAACTGTCAGATTCAGAGAAAAATGTTCTGGACTTTTGAAAAGAATTGACATGTTCTGTTCAAAATATACTTGAATAAGTCCAATTTTTTAATGAAAGAACTTAGCGAAAATTACAACTGGGATGAAGTTCCGGATGAAGTTCAAGAACTTATATGAAAAAAGAACTACGAAGTAGCAAAAAATTTAAATTAGATTATAAATTTTCAGACAAGAACAAATAAATAAAACTTTCAACTTTGCCACGTCTTTCTTTTCAAATCTGACCAAACTTCGAGAAAAAGGTGATCTCCCATTTTCAAAAAAAAAAACAACACCCATTTTTCACCCAAATCCTATTGAACCAAAATGTTCAAAAACCTCTCTCTAAAATTACAGCCCAATTTTTTCTGGTTGGAAAAAAAGCGGGTCGAGATTTACGACTTTTTCAACACGTCATTTTTTTTTCAATTTCACTATCTATTTTCAGATACCTCAAACAACAAGCTGAAGAGCGTTTTGGTTTTTGGTGGAGTAGTGTAATTGTGAGCGAACGAGGTGGTTATGGAATGAGTGCAGTTTATGATCAATACAAAAATACGAGTTGTGAAATGCATTTGTTTGACACATTTTATTGGATCGGAAGAACCAACTGAATCATTTTCCCCATTTTTTTTCTAAAATTTCTCTAAGGATGATATTTTTTTTTTTGCTAAATCGCTAAACAAAAAGTTGCGTTTCTCTGTTGTTTTATGGGTTGATGAGTGAAGTGAGTAAAAGAGTTTTTTGTTTTATTGTTTTTTTGGTGTCCCTTGGGGTAAACTATATACTTTTTTCAACCATAAGGGTCCCACTATACGTTTTTTAGAAGGGAAGATTTTGATGAAAAATTGAAGAAACTATTTCAGAAAAAAATTTGGAATATCAAAATAGACATGTACATTTCAGATAGAGAGAAGTTCACAGGTTAAATCTAATCACTCAATTTTGTCTTGGCGACTTTAACATTAATTTCTTTTAAAAATTCCTTCCTTGTCACTAATTGTAAGAAAAATAAAAATCTCTATCAATCTTACCCGATAAATCAACAATTCCAGTATCTTTTTGATTATCAGCCGATCTTAAAAAGTCATTGCAAAATGAGGCGGATTCAAGAGCCAAGAACACAATATTTCCCAAAAAGTATCCTGCAGTTTGACCAACGGCATTACAAGTTGAAGCGTAGCCGACATTCTTCCTAAAACCAATTAACGTTTTTAATTAGTCATCATTTTTATTGCCCTTGAAAGGGGTTTTAAAAAACAACAGAAGGTCATTCTGTAATTCGACGAATTCTTGCTTACTTTGACAACATTGTTAATGCCCATCCATCTACAGCAATGTCTTGAGTGGCTGCCAAGAAATTTAATGGCAAAAACACCAACATCAGAAAAACAACATCCGGTGAACCTCCTGCAAATTATTTAATTAATTAATTAATCGATTAAATAGTTAGTAGAACTCAAGGACAGATTTTCTAATATCACACTATCCAAAAACCTTACCGTTATCACCCATTATATCTTTAACTCGATAGGAAAGAAGTAACATAAAAGCACCAATCAAATATTGACATGGGACCATCCATGATTTCCTTCGTCCCAATTTTTTCGAGTAAAGAGAATCGACAATTGGCGCCCATAATAATTTCAAACTGAATGGCCAATAGGCAAATGAGAAAATCGCCTGCGATCCATATGATACATGTTTACTTGAAAGTAAAAGAGGAATTGCTCCTATTAAACCTAGCGGTATTCCCTGAAAAAATAATTGATTTAAAAACATTTACGGTAAAAAAAGTATGAAACTTACTTGCAATAAGTATAAAAATAGAAGTAATAAAATCGAAGATATATCACCTTTCAAAGCGCTATGTGTTCTTTTGAACCAATTATCATTGGGATTAACGTTCTGTAAAATATATTTGTCATTGAATTTTTCAACACAAAAGGGTTCTAATCTTTTTTTCAGATTCGATAATCTGAACAAATTTAAGTACTAACAGGATCGGGAATTAAATGCGCTATATAATCATCATCTTCATCATCACTAGATTTTGTAACTTGAGTTGGATAAATATTTGGAACGAAAACGCCTGCGGAAGGTTCGACTTCCGGCTCACGGGCCATCAAAAATTCAGAAGTTCTGCTATCATCGTGTCGTTTTTGCTTTTTCTGCCGTGCTCTTACTTGATTCTCCATCGCTAAATATTAAATCATATAATTATTTGAGAAAGAAACCACTGAAGAAAAATTCCCGAAGAAGTATTTACCCAAGAACTCAGACTCTGGATCAATATCGACGAACGTATAACTCATCAAGATCAATAGAATGACATGCGAAACATACCCGTTATCTTTCGAGAATAGAAGAAACGCGATTTAGAGAGGAATTTGCGCCTATAACGACACGTTGACAAAACACGCATTTTTTTTTCTGAAGAAAAGACCACACCCGTTCAAGCCACGCAATGAGTGTTTTCTACTGTAAAACGAAACAAAAAACTGTGCAAACACTTTTGTCTAATTCTCTCTGTTCGCCGTTATATTTCGCACTACAGTATTAAAGGTGCATGAAAAATTTCATGCGTTGGGTCTTGTCGCGATTGCTAACTTTCTTCGCAGGACCCTAAAAATTTCGAAATGCGTAGTCTCACACAGATCTCGATGCGCTGATTCTAATGGTATATTTATTTTTGCCACTTAGTTAGCTAATTCCTTTGCAAATTGTGGCGCAGTGTGAATGAAAGAAATTTCTAATTTTTTCATTGTTTGAACGGGTGTGAGACGGCAACGCCAGTTTAAAGGGACATGAACCGTTTGTAATGGAAAAACTCAGATTGGCTGAACCATATGAAAAGTTATATACATCATTAGAATCTACGTAAAAAACTGCATCGAAATAAGGTTCGAGTGGTGGATTTAGTGTAACTTTTTTCTCGCGGTATTCGTGACGGGACCCTATTGCTTTTTCGAAAAAATTTCCTTTAAGAGAGAGCGTGCGAAAAAGAGAGACGCTATTGCGCAGAGACATTTTGCGTGCAAACACGCTGACGCACAAATGCACCACACACGTAGGGGTTCGCACCGTAGTTTTTTCAGCAATTTCCTCGCTTGAAAATACGTGAAAAAAAGAAAAATTAATACTGATGTAGGATTACTATAAACAACAGGCAGGGCGGCATTATGCGGAGTCTCGTTGCAAACATTTTTGTTGTTGCAATTAAATTTTGTTCATTTTTTCCCATTCCAATGGAATAAATGTCGACCGGTTGAGAAATAAGATAGGCATGCATTGATAAAGGTCATGTTTTTCGAAAGTGCGAATTTTCCCTAATGATGGAAGACTATAGATTCATAAAATCGTAGCCTTAGTCACAAAGTGCAGAATTTTTTTTCGATTAAATCGAAATCCAAAAATTTTCCAACGAAGAACATTCACTCAAGGCCAGATGATAAATATTCTCATACTTATCATTAGAACGTTTTTTCTCTTTGTTAATTATTTTCAAAGAAGAAAACATGATGATCGTTCGAAATAAGTATCTCATGATTTGGGTGTGTTCAATAGGAATATAGGGTAGAATTTTTAGTTTTTTATGTATGTAAAAATAGTTTTGTTTTCGAGGTGAAAATGAATAAAAACAAAAAAATAGTTCAAATTACACCATTACCAAATTAAAATAAGTTACAATAACTCACCTTTTTCTTTTTCTTCTTTTTACTTTCTTGTGCTTCAATATTATAACTATTTTCATTTTTCAAATTAGTAATAGTTGGTGAAATTGTGTTACACGATGATGGAATTTGCGAATCATAAGTCGATGTTTCAGACAAATCAAATGGCCCAATAGTAGCTGTCATTCAGGGGCAAGCACGACAAAAAACTATCTGTTTTCTTACTCAAAAAAATCGTATGGGCGGGTCGGGGGTCGGATTGTTAAGAAAAATGATGTGTTTTTGTCTCGAAATAAATCAATATTCGAATAAGGTAGAAATCAATCAAGCTAGATAGATATATAGTTGTTTATTCCATTATAAATGGAAGTGGAAGAAATATTTTGTTATATGATGATGTTGATAATAATAATAATCATAGGCAGCAGCATTGAAATGTACGATATATCTTCTTTTTTTCGCGCTTTTTGGAAGATTGAATGAATCTTTGGCGTTGATTAGTGATCAGGTTGAAATATTATTCATTTTTTCATGACATGGATATTTATTGTGGAAACCATTTCTCATTCACGGAAGTTCGTGATCAAGGCAGATTTTGAAACTCCCAATGAAAACCCACGAAAAAATTCAAAATCAAATATGAACTACAAAATACGAATGTTTCGTTTTATAACATCTGAGCCATCAGCGTTGCATTGAATAAATAAAATAAAAACCCAGAAAACAACCTGATCGAAATTAGAAATCTGGCCAAATAGTGAAATAGTTCTGATATGCTCACATTTTTGAGTAGCAAACTGAGCATGTCCGGGAGTTGTCAGAAAATTATTTTTTCAAAATATTTTTTGCGAAAATAAAATTTAAAATTTCCAGTTCACGTTACACTCCCAAAATACTCAGGAATTTTTTTTGTACCCGTTCAGCACGCTTTGTGCATTTGTACGCGTTCAGTCCTATTGAGTACGCTTTCAAACTGATGCGTGTCCACGTTCAGTCTTTTTTAGCTGTCTTATATCAGGAACTGAACACGTACGAATGCAAAAAAGGTGCTGAACGGGTACAAAAAAATTCCTGAGTATAAATTCTATTCAAAAGTTATTTTCTAAAAATACCGCATTCCCAAGAAACCATGTCATAAATATCTTCTAATCAACCAATCAAAATAAAAACACAAAGTCTATTTTTGGAAAACTAACCTGTACAACGATCAAATTCTCATTATTCCCATGAGTACTTTTTCGACTAGCCGCAATTAAAAGCGGTCCATCAACATTTAACGCATTCGATGGTTCATCCATTTTCAAGTCACAAATTTTCAAAATTCACTTCTTCCTTTTTTTCTAATTCTTCGAATTCATTTCACCTCAAAATCAGCAGAGAAAAGTGTCTTCAAATAAATATTATTGAAAAAAAATGTTAAAGAGATAAAATAAAAAAATATATAAATTGAGGTGAGAAAAATGACAGAAATGCGCAAAAAAGGAGAAAATCAATGATGAAGATATTTTTCTTGTATCATATCAAACAATTCTATTTCAAATGACAAATCGTTTTTTGATGATATTTCAAAGCGAATTTGATTTGGATTAAATACTCCAAAGATTCGTTCGAAATCTATCCAAGAGTGAAATAATTTTTGTCATCATTCAGAAGAAAATACAGAAGGTCACATAAAATTCAACAATTTTTCAAGATTTAATCAGAACAAGTCATATGAGAATGATTGAAAATAGTCTAGCAACTTTCCAAATTCAACAAAACTATTATAATAAATAATAATAGTCTGCCATGCCAATTCATATTAATACAGTACTTTTTTTTTTGAAAAATAATCTGATCAGATTATCGAATCAACTCATACTTACTTTCTTTCACATAAAATTTTGAAAAAAACTAACCTCTTCCTGTTTTTTCGTTTCTTTTGTTGTTATTGTCATTTCTTTCATCTCTATCTTTTCAAAATTTCCACCACCATTTTCAATGTTTTCAGAGGTTTTTGGTGGAGGCGGCGGAGGAAAATTCTGAAAAAATTCAAAAGTTTTCTGAAAAAAAAAAACAAATCGAAAATTGTCGGAATATAAAAATGTAAATTTTGCAAAACACATTCGGCGATCAAATTTTTTCTCATATAAAATGGATTTTTCAAATATTTGACAAATTAAAAATTAATACTTGGTTCATATTTTGAAAAAAACTGTAGAAAAGGTTTAAACAAAAATTCCCGTAATAATTCAGAATTTTTGTGAATTGAACATGAGAACCAATCTATATTTGTGAATTTAAAGTTGGAACTTTTTATCAAATGAAAACAGGATTTTCAAATTAAAATTTTTGTGGTAACAAATAACTTTTTTTGAAATCAAACTTTCTGAAATTGAATTTTACAGAATTCAATTGTTTGTTATTAAACTTTTGTTGTGAAAATAAAATTACCTTTTTTTATTTGATTTTTTACCATTTTCAATTTCACATAGAACTAGACCCCATCCAAACTAGAAACCAAATTACACGAAAACTTTTATGGAAAGTGTTTTGAGATTCAAAAAATAGTTGCCACCTCAAAATCTTACCTCATCAGAAACATCAGCGACCTTATTAGTCATATTTTTATCAAATAATGAATGAAATCTATCTTTTACCGAAATTATTTCCCGCCTATTCTTCTCTTCTTCCAATTTTTTGGGCTCCTTCTGTATGCACAAAAGATGATCGGCTCCAAATCGAGTTGCGCTAATTCGGCCACCGGTCATTTTTCGAATTCGCCGGCAGAAAAAACGCAAATAAGCGAGTTTTTTGGAAGCGAACTCCGGGTTGATAATCGGATAAACGTCTTTTATGGCAAAAAGGTTGATTCCGTTTCAAAATGTGCACCGTTTGATCTTCCAAACATTTCATTTTTTGAGAAGTAAAATTTATTATGACTGATCTGATCATTATTATTATTATTATTATCAAATTATTACAAAAAATACAAAAAATAATAAATACAATGAAAAAATAAACTATTTGAAATAGTCTATGGCACCTGTTCAACTCATTTTTTCAAAATTTAAAAATTTACATTATTTCATACTCTCTTGACTCTTCTGACTCTTTTGATCTTTCTCACTTTTTTCTTCAATTTTTTCGGTTTCATAGTCACAACTTCAACATTTCTTCCCTCAATTTCTGCAGAGTTTGAAGTAGATGTGCATCCGTTTTCAAAGTATAAATATTTTTGGAATTCATCGTATTTGAAATCATCTGGGCTGCTCAATGAATCTTCGGAAAGAAGTCGACATTGGCCAGTAATTGGGTTGAATGTGGCGGACTGTAAAAAATCAAGAATTATTTATTTTCAAAAAACAAAACTCAAAAAAACTCACCCGACAAGTGTATTTTGTAGAAAGAACACAGAGCTCGATGCAAAGTTGCATACCATCATAACTTTTTGGAAGTCCATCAAATTCTTCAGCCGCTGACAAGCGAACAGAATAATCACGAAAAGCAACGAAGTTTGAACAGCCTTCGAATACACTGAACGAGCTTGGATAACAGAATTTGGTGGATGAACTGGCTGAGAAGTCTCCACCAACTGGTGATTTAAGAGAAACACCATCTGAAGATGTTGAAAGATGGCAAGTTCTAGATTTTTCAAAATATGTGAATGATCTACAATTTTGTTCATCACAAAGCCGTTGACAATCTTTTTTCGAGTGAACATTTGAATCATCATTTGATTCTTTCTCATCTTGTTCACTGTTCTCAAATGCAACCCAAACACTAACATCATCTTGCGAACATTCGGTTTGAATTGGATCAACTGATCTTACTCGAGACATTGGAGTTGTTGTAAAATCATCATCTTCTTGTTCTTCCTCTCCATTTAACTCATCCAAAAATGATTTGGCTTTTTGAATGTAAGAAGTTGACGAGATAGTAACCACTTTCAAATTTGGTCGAACTGTTGATTTTCTTGTTGGCTCTGGAGCTCTTCTCAATTCAGATTGTTTTCTGAATGCGGCTTCCTCATCAAATTTGATGATTTTTGCCCCATATCTGGTTTTTGGAGTCTCCTCGTTTTTCTCAAACTTTTCTTCAGCAGCCGAGGTTTTCTGGAACAAAAGATAAAAAAAGTTGTTTCAAACTATTTTCGAACATTTTGTAAAACAAAACCAGTCTCATTTGAAACCTGATCATTGTTCTGTGATTTTCTTAATTTCACTGCTTGTTTCAATAAATAAAAATCAAACCTTTTCAAGAGTATGCATCTTTTCAGCTGAGTCTAGCCATTGTGCTTCATTTGTCAATTTATCTCTAAAGATACCATTTCTATCAGTTTGCGAAGCTTCTGAACTATCATCAAATGATCCTGTGAATTTAGCCATTTCCTTATCCAAATCTTCCTCAACAATCAAAGTTTCAGTTGTTGTTGGAATAGTTGTTGGTTCTTCAGTTGCCGGCTCAAAGGTGATAACTTCTTGTGTAGTTGTCTCAATTTCTTGTTCTGGTTCCACAGGTGGTTGTTCAATTGTCAACTCATCAATGTGATTATTTCCAGTAAGAAGGATTGGAGGAGAAGCTGGTGGTGTTAGAGAATTTGGATCAGCTGCAACATCGACTCCATCATCAAGACATTCTTTAGAAACAACTCGTAGATATGTCATTTTTGCTGCAATTACAGCTTGATCTACTCCTTCGTCTGTGAAATAATGACAAATATGTTGAACGGTATCATAGACAACTGATTTACATCGAGACTGAAAATTTGCATTTTTTTATTGGATTCCGGTTGTTGGATTCCGGTGGATTCCGGATTGTCTTTGAGGTACTGTACAAATTTTTCCTTTTCATTATTTTTGGGAATTTTTAACTACAATCAAGCTATCAAATCAAAAATATAGTTTTTTCACAAAAGTTACAGTACCCCTCCTTGATCCGAAAATTAAAACCAACCGCTGATTGTGCGCAGAAAAGTAAACAATTATCTTCGGTTCTCATTCGCCATTCACTATGATATGGTCGAACATTTACTAGTCTATGATTTGCATATCTTTCAAAACATGGTCGAAGAACTGCAATGTCTCCCAAGGAATAACCAATTACCGCAAAGATAAGCAAGAGAAACTTCATGTTTCTGAAAATAAAAGTTGAAAGTTCGATAGAATTAGAAACAAAAAAAATAAAATATCTCTCAATCAAAAAAAAGATACAAAAATGATTGAGAATGAAATGCGAGATGAAGAAAGGGAAAATGAGAAGCTGTGGCTACCTTTTTTTGATCCTGTCGTTCTAACAAAGAAGCCCTGTATCTTGTCTCTCCCGACATTCCATAATCTCTTAGCATTTTGACCCAAATTCGAAGAAGCTCTGATAATTCGAAAGTAAAAACAAGAGAGAGAGAAGTGCAAAACGGGAAACAATTCACAATTCGGTGATATATTATCTTCATAGATAACATGTTTATTTTTTGTTTGGAAAATGAAACGAACGAAAGAAGATCAAGCGGATGAACTTTTCTCAAAAAAGCAAATAAAAAAAAAATAAAAGTTATTTTTTTTAGAAACGTGTTAACACACTTTTTTGGTTTTTTTTCACAAAGAGACAAATTCAGTCATTCCTTATTACGCTAAATATTGAAATTCATTTTTTGTGCTAACGAAAATATTTTTATAAAAATGACCGATTCTACATCTCAATCTCAATTCGAAAATAGAAAAGATACAAAGGTAAATAAAACAGTTTTAGGGAAAACTCTGAACTTTTAAATTTTTGTGAGGTTGGATTTGGAAATAACGTAAGAGAATACAAATTTCCAGAACCACCATCAAAATCAGTATAAATTTCTCATTTTTCAGTTCAACATTCGGAAAATCATTCCATCATATTTGAGTCATTTCAAAATGCTCGCAACCACTGCTGAATTTCGTGTCAGCTACGATGCTCCAACTGATCAATCAACTTATACTTATACTCTTACTTGGGAAGATGCTACTGAAACTGAAAAGGATAAGAAGCAAAAAAGATCTGCTTCGACTCCACCTCCAGTCAAAAAGAATTCATCTACTTCAACTAATTTATCAAAAAAAGAATCAAAACATCGAACAACAATTAATCGAGTATCGGAAAATTCAATCGAACCAGTGATTGCTGTTTGTGATGGACCATGTAAAAAATCGGTGACATCAAATAAATTGAATACTTTGGGAAGATGTGGACATTATTTGTGTGAAGCTTGTTATGGAATTGTTATCAATTCAGATGGTACAAAAGGTTGTAGTTCATTTGCTTGTAATTGGAAAGGAGATACAAAAACTGAAGCAATGAAATCATATGAAAGAGAGGTTGGCTAATGATATAAGATGGGATTAATCTAATTTAAATTTGTCGCTTGGCTTGGTGTTTTATGATTTTTAAGGATTGTTAAAAGATTGGGATGTAAAGGTTTACTGTTTCTTTGCACGAGGAAACACATTTTCAAAAATTCTTGTTCGAAGTTTTGAAATTTTTTATTCTTTCAAAAAAGTCTACAGTAACCAAAAATTGTGATACAGTACCTAAAAGTCCAAATTCGGAAAGCCGTACAGTTTTTTCTATTTATAACTTTTCTTCTAATTTCCGTGTTCAAGTTTTTTCCCTTTTTCCAGATCGTTCAAAAGCAACGAAAACGAGCAGAAGAAATGAAACATCGAGGTGTCGATGTCAAAATTGCAAGCACTTTTGATAATTCATCTTTCTTATCAGCAAAATCATCTTCAACAATGTTGTCAACAACAAATCAAACTGAACCATCTGAATATACAGATTTCCAATCAGCAACACCTTGTGAAACATCTCAAACATTGAGTCAACCATCTGAAGATTCCACCAAAATCATCAAAAAATATCCAAATAAAAACGAGATGGTTATTGTCAAATTTGTTCTCATCGAAAAAACACCATTTGATGCAACACTTCGTGTTTATAATACGATTGAATCAGCAACTTCGACATATGCATCCGAAATTATTGATCAGTTTTTATCAAATGCTAACAAAGATCCATATGAGTATTTGAAAAAGGGAAAATTGTATTTTGTCGATTGTGGAAATGATGGAACACAATTAATGAAAAGACTCAGGAAGAATGAGTTACCTTCAAAAAGATTGATTGATTTCCCGCTGATTCGTGAGAACATCTTATTTATTTTGGATACAATTAATTATTTGAAAAAGGAAGATGTTAAAATATCATTAACATCACTTGAAAGATGAGTCTATTTTTCCCTCTCAAAAATATTCGTTTTATTTTATTTTATTCTATTTTCAATTCAATAATGATTGTCGTTCATGTCCACCGAAAAGTAAATAAAACTTTTTTGTCGAAATGAAACATTTTTATTTATAATAATGTAATGTATTGTGACATTTCAAAAACCAACAAACATAAATAGTAATAAAAATGTATTTTTTTTTTACCAACCAGTTCAACGAAAAAAAAACGTTGCCCCGGTCCAGGTAATTAAAAAATTGAAGATGGTTGTTTTTCTTGATCATTTGTTCATTCCACACATTTACACACACACAAACAAAAAAACAAAATGATACAATTTCTGGTTGTAAATTTTATATTTGTGTTTGGTCGCAACAACAATGATCGATAAATCATTCGAGTTTGTGACAGCATATGCAAATTTTTACAGTTGTTGTAAATCTATGAAATAAACATATAATGTGCATCAGGTTGTATGGGAGTTTGGTTATTATTTGAATATCTCAACAGATGGCATGAGGAATGTGAAGATGTGAAGAGTTTGAAAATGTTTTTTTTTTAGAATTTCGAAAACCAGAGTGAAAAGCTTCAAAATCTTTTCAATATTGAACTTTCAAAAAAAAATTGATCACATTTCTAGAGAACTACAGTAAAACAAAATCTCAGTTTTCAAGTAGAACAAAATTTGAAACATTTTTCCCATATTGAAATAATGTTTTATGGGGCAATTCATTGCTGTGAAAGTGGAGAAACCATATTCAGAAAGGCTGAGAAAACATTCTTCCGTTGTTGTTCTCACCGTTGTTAACAAATATGTGAACAATTATAAAGATGTTTTTTTCAAGAAATGAGAATGGAATTTTGAGTCACGTGATAGATAAGTAATTTATCTTTTTTCTCTTTTAACAAAAACTAAGTAGTTTTCGTTAAAAATTCTAAAATTCTTTCAAAAATTCTTATTCTCAACCCGAAAAGTAAATAAACTAACTATTCTGCAATTGTCCTCGTCCTCCTAGTTGTCGTCGATTTGTGGCTTCCGAGTGGTGCAATTGGTGGTAGTGTTGAGCAGTCCTAGTGGAGAAGATTGTGGGGGACGATGACTGAAAAGTGGCAGCTCGATATTGGCAATCTTCCCTATAAAAAACGCAAAAAGTAAATTCTCTCCTAGAACAAAAAACATAGTAAACAGTAAACATAAAATAGAAAATTAACTTTTACAACGACGCTCCGCTTACCCGCTGTTTAGCGCAACACGAGAATATTTTCATTTTTCGTTTTTTTTCGCTGTGTTTTCAGGTTTCCGGGGAAAATCAGTGGATTTCAGTCAAAAATTGAATTTTCAGATGTTCTACAATGCTGGAATCATCGCTTCCAACGGAAATTCTGGATTTCTTACTCAAAAATCGATGGAAAATGGGTTTGGGTAAGATTTTGCTGTAAACCTCTGAAAAATAGCTAGAAAATTGTTGCGAGTTCCAGAAAGTCCTCAGAAATCTATAGAAACAGAAATGGCAGAACTGAATGGCACATGAAAAATTCAAGTTTTCTGATTTTCAGCTTGAAACATTGATGGACAATTGGATTTCAATGTAAACAACGTGGAAAACTCGGAGGATTACGGGATTTTCGAACTTTCGATGATTTTTGTGTGATTTGAGTACTAGAAGCGATTGGTGAGTTTTTTGGGGAAGGATTTCGTAAAGATTGAAAAAATCGGTAAACATTCTGTAAAATTTGAACAATATATGAAAATTATGAAAAATCTTTAAAAATTGAAAAAAGTTACACTAACTCACCCAAAAATCTATTCCGATCAAAAAAAAAAACAAATTTATTTTTGTGTCCACACGGCGCATTTTCCGTCGTCGCTTTTTATTTTCTTAATTTTTTGAATTTGTTTCTGGTTTTCAGCTGTTTTCAGCGGTTTTTTTGTGTTTTTCATATTCAAAAAACGAAGAGTTTTTTTTTTTCAGTGATTTTGTTTTTTATAAGGGAAAGATTTCAATGATCAGAAATTATTTTGTGAAGTTCCAAATATTTATCCCCAAACTTTCAACTCTTCCCATCTTTATACTGATATCAATCTTTCTCGCGCCAAACCCTGATCATAAAATGACTTGCGATAAAATCATCATCGGAAATCTCTTTGACACCCTTTCTACCAAACCTTTTTATGATATATTTATTTAGATTTTATCTTTCATTTCATCTGAAATTTTTACAACGTTCCTCAAGAATATCAATTTTCCAACTTCATTATCAAAATAAAACAGGAAAAATGTTTGGGGGGACAGATGTAATTTTTTCTTATTATGTATTGTTGTTATTACAAAAAACTTTTCGCTGGAGGTATTTTTGGTGTTCTTCAAAAAATGGGGGAAAGAAAGAAAGAAAGCTAAATGGGATGAATGAATTAAAAACGATAGACGGTTAAAGAATTGGAAAATAACAGACATAAAATCAGCGGCAGCGATTAATTCGAGATGGTTTTTAGTTGTTGTTTATGCAGTCTCTTCGGCGCTGAAAAAATAGATTGGTTGTTTTTTGCATTCGAGAAATTGAGTAAAAAAGGAAGAAATATGATAGCATGCAATACTATTCTATTTATTACTATCTATATATCTATCTATGTATGGTTATGCATAAAAATAGAAAGAAGACTCTTACGTTTATTGTTTTTTAGTTGATTCCGCTGTAAAATAAAATACAACTCAAATTCATTTCACCCCAAAAAACTCACTCTTTTCCGGTCAATGGTTTCAATTCTTGGTTGCCGGTCAAAACAACGTATTTCTCTTCAGCGTCTTGTGGAGTGTGGAATCCGATGAAGAAGTAGTACAACCAGATTCCGACGATTCCTCCGACGAATGGACCAACAATTGGAACCCAGAACCATTTACTGCAAAATAAAAATTCTAGATGACTTCGAGAAGACCCAGATGAACAGTGCATTCAAAATGTTTCTTAACTTCCCGCTTTTCTTCTTGTTTTAGGCCTATTTAATATTGTTTTTAGATATTTATGAATGTCCGAATTCCTAATGCGCATCGAGGCGAATTAAATAAATGATGATGTACTCTCGTTATATGATCAAACAACAAAAATGAGTCCCGACCGCATATTTTTGATTTTTCAATAGAAATGACCTCTCTCTCTCTCTCTCTAAATTGGTATGAAACAATAGTGTGTCAATTTGAAACCGTCCTTCAAATAAAAAAGGCAAGAAATGACCGCGAAATGAGTTTATGGCTGTCGTTTTCCTCCTTTCCCCATCATCGTCAAGAAAAAAACACCCCTCCTTTTCTTTCCCCATGTCTCATTTGAAACTTACGTGAAAACATTTCCTCCGTAGAAGATAGCGGTGAAGAGTCTTGGTCCGAAGTCACGAGCTGGGTTGACTGGATATCCGGCGTTGAGTCCGAAGGCGGCTCCGATTCCGACGAAAGCAGTTCCGACAAGGATTGGTTGAAGCCATGTTGGGTAGGAGTTGCGTTTGTCGACGATGTGAGCAATCAAGAAAACGAAGACAGCGGTGGCAATAAGCTGAAATTAGAAAATTATTTATAGGAACATATGGACTTTTGCATTTTAAATTCATTTTCACTAAATGCATTTAAATGCATTCTAAATGCACCTAATTTGCACCCATATGTTTTCTCCAAAAACTCACTTGATCCAAGAATCCGTTGCAGAGGGAAAGATGAGCAGCTGGGTATGAAGCGAAGATTCCGGCGGTGGCCTTGGCTCCAACGATAGTACGGTCCTTATCGAAAGCATGGATGGCATCATTGTAGATAACATAGGTGACAGCGGCTCCCAAGAAAGCTCCGAAGAATTGGGCAATAACGTAGAGAACGAACTTGACTGGTTTCAATTGTCCAACAGACAAGAAAGCAAGGGAAACAGCTGGATTGATATGTCCTCCGGAGAGTTTGGCTGAAATGGCAACACCGAAAACGATAGCAATTCCGAAACCAATATTTACTCCGATCATTTCATTCTTGTTGCCGTTTGGCAAAACGCTTTGAGCGACAACCGACAAACCGATCAACTGCAAAAAAAGTTTTGAAATTCTCTAATTTTAAGTCCATTCTATGTACATATTTCGGGTGTTCAAGTCAAACAAAAACGATGAAGCGGATGTCATTATTCCCCAGTGACTTCTTCTTTTTGCGTGACACTCGATGGCTTTCTTATCTTTTTTCTGCTTTTTAGTGTGAACGATTGGAAAAAAAATAACAACAAGGGTATCAATCTCACACTTGTTTATTTGTTTTTTCTCAATCCAAATAATAAAAAATCAACGAAAATCTGATTGTATGTCAACAACAATAATGTCATGAAAACTGAGAAAAGAGAGAGAAAACAAGCTGTATTTGGACAAATATGTTTTCGTTTTTTTTGTGAAAGTTGCACTTTTCAAAAATGTTTTTGGGTAACTTACGCAAAGCAAGAATGTTCCGGCGAACTCGGCCAACGCGGCGCGCAAAAGTTCATTACGAATATGAAGCTTGGCGCGAAGTTTGTCCAACACCATTGTTCTTCTGAAAAATTGTTAGGTACTGTGGATTTTGAAAGGAAAAAAGCTCCGGAAGAAGAAGATAGAAGTTAGAAGATCAAAATTCAAAAGAGAGAGAAAAATTAATCGCAACATCGACATCAAGAGAAAAGGGTAAAGAGAGATATATAATTCGGGGGTTGTTGTTTACTACTACCAGTAGACCTCTTTCTCTCTGTCCCCCTGTCTTCTACACTCCCCCTTTAACATCACAACAACAAAAAAATTGGAGGCGGGGCGAAGCGAAAAGAGAAGGCAATGACCACGCCTATAAATTGTGCTGCTGCTGCCGTCGCTGCCTCTTCTGCCTCTTCTGCCAACCATCGGTGAAAAACAACAACAACACAAAAACGATGAAGAAAAGACGGAATTTTTGGATGAATGCCAAGGTCATTGAGGAGGAATGGAAAAAAGGGGGGAAGGGGGACAGAGGGACTGACAAAGACAATATGAAGAAGGATTGAAATTGAAATGGGAATGTGATAAGTGTGTATCGAGTTTGATCGATGAGAGACGTGTGTGACAATTGTTTGACGGAACAAAAAAGAACAAGAAGATGTATGAGTCAATGTGATTATTGAGCTTCTGGGTGGGAGAAGCACAGATAATTGAAGGAATGAAATTGCACGAGGTCATGGTTGGGATGTTGCGTGCTTTTCAAAAGATTCAGGAGAATCTAGATCTTACACAGTGAATTAGCAATTAGATAATCATTGGATACGGTAGAGATTTGTTGGGACCTGTTCAAAGTGTACTGTAGCTCACAAATTTTTATACTTTCTTTGAGTCTTCTAGAATAGGTATGAACAACATTTTCAAAAAATTATCCTGAAATCACAACTGCTAGGTTATGCATGAAACAAATTCTAAAATTTCAGAAAATCTTAGAATTAGTGCTTTATAATTCTCACTTCTCAAAAATCTTCCTTCCGAACACTAAACAAAAGTTCAAAACTCTCCATCTCGAACTAAACCGTTTTGTCTTGTCTTGTCTCTCTCTATAATCCGTAAATGTCCTTCTTCTCATATTTTCTCCACTTCTCTTTTTTATATTTTCCAGCAGCTGGATTAGTAAACACATACACACACTTCTCCTATATTCTACTCACGAAAAAAACCCATAAAAAAGAGAGTCATAGCAACCCGGCCTAGGCATACTGTAACTATGTAGCGAAAAAAAATATGATACAAATGTTCTTCTTATGTAATAATATATATTTCAAAAAAAAGAAGGCATCTGGCGGTAATCAAAAAAATGGCAGACACCCAAAATTGAGGTCGATCGACAAAAAAATGTGACAGGCATTTCGAAAGGGGAGAGGGATTATTATAATTTTGGAGCGGAAAGATAGATTGATGGTATAAAGTTTAGTACGATTATGCATGGGTCAGTTAATTGTATTCAATGATTCGTGCCGAATTTGTAATTACACTTTTTGTGTTTATTATTTTGAAGGGTCGAGAACAAGAGAAAAGGGATTCGAATTTCGTGTTAGCCGGCACAAAAACAAGCCGATACCATGGTAACCGCCCCAACTAAATAGGGGGATTATTAATAATCGTAGTGCTCGTAGTAGTGGCAGTTAATTAACAGGTAAAAATGGAAAATATATTTGAGAGCCACACCACCATAACAAATTCAATATAAAAATAATAATTATTATCTGGGGACCGGGGTAGATATGAGTGAGAGGAATGGATAAATGAATGACTAACTGAATGAGATGCAGATGTGCCAGATGGCAACATTTCATGCCGAGGCCCCCCCAATGTTCGTGAATGAAGAGAGCCGCACACAGCTCAGCTCGCACAAAAAAATACGACAATTTATCACAGCCGTGTGGCGCTTTTTGTGTCGCTCCTCGCCTACTTTTTGGTTTTGTGTCGTTAGAGTGAAGATGAAGTTTTGGATCTATCCAGACAGAAAGAATGATGATTGAAAACACGTGGATTTTTAGAGGGAGCAAGTTTGTTTATCTAAACAAGATGAGATTTTGAACTTTCATTCTTTGATCCAAAAAAAATTATTTTAGAAGTTCGAAGAAAAAATGAGGAAATTATTTGAATTTCTGATTTTCAAAAGTCACTTAAGTGTTTGAGGTTTCTTGTTATAATCAAAAATTCGGAGGAAAAAGTTTGACGCATCCAATTTCCGTATCAAAACTTGATCGGTTACTGTAGGCATGTGAAAAAACCAATATCAAAATTGTTGGTTCAAAAAATTGATATAACTTCCATGTTTTCGTCGTTACAAAAATGCTAAAATTTTCACCAGCAAATATTACTGTAGTTTAACAATTCCACCTAAACAATTCTGAAAATATTATTCAGCTTAGTCGGTTTTTTGAACAAGAAGAGGTTGTTTTTTCTGAATATTTTTCTCGGATTCCCGAAACTAACTAAAAATACCCATTGATCTTTAACCACTCCAAACTTTTTCCAATTTCCTCCAGCTTTTCCTCTTCAAAAATAGATCAACCACGATGATAGCAAAGTGTTTCTTTTTTTTACCACGGAAGCCGTTAATTATTCCGCCAGACTCTGAACAAAAGCTAGCCCAAAACAAAAAAACAACAACAACAAACACATTTTACCCGTTTTATTTCTATTTTTTGTTGTCCCCAGTTGATTCTGTTTTTTCATTCATTCATTCATTTGAAAAAACAACACATGTCACCCTTTTTGCCGGTGAGCACAACGAAAAAAAGTGGAGGGATTTGATACTTTTTGACGACGGTGGGAGAAAAGAAAAAACAACAAAGCACTTAAAGATATTTCTTGATGTCTAACTTTGGTTTTTTTTCGAATAAAACTTGTATATATATATATAGATACTTAGTTGGTAAATGCATTAATAATGAACACACAATAGTATTCATAATAATAATAACACAATAATAATAATAATCATGAGTGAAGGTCAAACAAAGGTGTAAAGAGGGAAAAAATAGAGAGGGCGCAAATCCGGATAAAATTGAAGGGGAAAAAGAAATGAATATGAATATATGAATACAATGGGTCAAGTAATCAAAAGTGGTATACCATAACTAACAATATGCATAAAAATAAATAAAAATAGAACATAGTAGTTTCGTGCAAGAGTTCAGACATTCGGGGGAGAAATTAGTGCATGTGCACTTTTTTTTTCGAAAAAAAACAACATGATTTCAGAAAAGCAGACAGGCGTGCGGATATTGTGTTTTGACCAAACTATGATTATTTTGAAGAGTTTTGAATTGAGAAAGACGGGGGGTTCTGAAACAATTTTTTGGGAAAAAATAGGTACACTCAGTGTTTTGGAGCAGTGGAAGAGGAACCCACATGAACTTTAGACTTAAGTCAATCATTTGCATTGAAAGAATTTCAATTTTCAAAAAAAAAGTTCCTGAATCTCAATGATCTCAGCTCTGCAATTGACACATTCTGAATATACTAAAAGCCTGGGTTTCTGCCTCACAGATTGATCTATTTAAATAAGATGTTTTTCCGAAAATGAAGTTTGATTTTGAAAACAAGGACATTTTTGCAACTAATTGATAAAAATCGCAAAAAATATCCTTGTATTAAAATTTCAGAGATCATCCAGATTACGATTTGAGATATTTCCATAATAATCCCTTGCTTCCTAAATGTTATCCAACTTACAAAAATTAATTTGTTTCCTGATCTCTTATTCTTTTTGACCTTATAAACTCTTCTCAAGCGAGACATTCTATAAGAATGTGATGAAAAATTGTATCATGCGAAAATTGCTATAATTTTTAAAATTACTCATCTACAAAACAAAAATGTTTTTTCAAATATTTTTTGAATTTCATTTTTTTCCGGAAATAAACAATCGTATATCCGCCTTTTTCATGAATTATTTGTATTTTTCAAACTCGTGTGAGTTTTGATTTTTCATGAAAAGAAATATGTTTAATAGATTTTTCGAAATTTTTCTTTTCATGGGATTTTATTTCGGAAACAGAAAAAAACAAGGAAAAATAATGAAATTTCTAGTGCATTTTTCCAAGAAATTTCTTTTTTTCATAGATGAAAACATTTTTAGCCAGAGCAGAACCGCCTACTCTGTCAAATGCACAAAATTTTATGTTTTCTGGAGAGAATCCCTTGCATTACCAAATATATCACAAAATTTTATAAATATTTTTGTCAGGTTTTTAGATTTTTTTTCCCTTGAACTCATAAAAATATTAATTCATTTTAAGAGAAAAATGTCATTATCTATGGAACGTATGTTTTTCTGGTGGAATTCTATAATTTTCGGAACAACGGGAATAATTGGAAATATTTTATCAATCATTTTGATAGTTGTTGTCCAAAATTCAGAGATGAAACACTTCCGAGCATTGCTCATATTATATTGCTGTGTTGACATTTTATATTGTATTTTTCATATAATTGTGCAACCTGGGTTTGCAATTGTTGATAATGTTTATTTATATTTTTCGTATCGAAATTGGGATGACGCGATTGTTGGAAAAATATTATTGGCAATTTTTGCATTTTTATTTATTGAGGTTAGCTTTTTTAAATGTTATGTTTGTAGAAAACAAATTTTCAGTCAATAACAGTGTTGATGATTTTATTCGCAGTTCGATTTTATTCGATAAAAAAGTCTCCAGTACAAATCACTCAATAAATGGAGATTTATGAAGGTTTTTTCTGTTTTTTCATTGGTCATTTTACCAACTTTCTACTGCATGTCTTTATTTGTACTTTGGGAACAAAAAGGTGTGACAAATGAAGAACTTAGTCAGATTAGTAATAAATTATTGGACCGAGATGTTATTGTTGGATATATTGTTCGGGTTAGTTTGAACTACATAATCTAATTATAATAATCATTTTTTCTAGACAAACTCGACGGATACGGAAGTTATTGAAGCTAGAAAAACTTTTTCAATATCACTTGTTATTATTATTTTGGAGGTTGGTTTTCATCAATATAACGTCATAAAATTTCAATTTTGGTCTTTTTCGGACTCATCTATAAAAATTATTCGTGTTGAATACAATTTATAATTTTAAAAGTCAATTGACAAAAAAATGGACATCTAACCCGATATGTAAATAAAAACTTTTAAAAAGTCAGTTTTCAGATAAGTGTTATAATATTCTGTGGTTCATATGTTAGCCGAGCTGTGAATCGTGTATCAGTTAGTGATCGAACTCGAAAACTCCAAAAACAAATCTTGATCTACCACATAACTCAAACCGCCGTCGTATTTTTCTGCTGCGGAACCCATGTGACACTTTTCACAATAAGCTCTGCACTTCACAAAAGTACAAATTTTCTGGGAACGATCGCATCTGCAGCTTTAATATGGTTTCCCACATTCGATTTTATCATCCTCTGCACTTGTCTGAAATCCTATCGGTATTTTAACATTTTTGAACTCTAAAGAAATCCCTCATTTTTTTCAGAAAAACATTAAAGCGAATCTATCAAAAATTGCAAGGACCTGGAATTTTTTGTTTTTCAAACAAGTAGTCGTATAACAAATGCATCCAGATAATTTGTATTTTTGTTTTCTTATAATCATAAAATATTTCTGTTTTCAATTCATTATTATTTCATTCCGAAAACAATGGTTTTTGAAAAATTCATGCGGATCAACTCAATTATTTCAAATTTTATCGGTATTTTCATGAATTTTGTATGTATTACTGTAGTTTTCAAAACTAGAAACTCAAATATGAGAATGTTTCATAATTTGGTTGTGTTATATTGTTTGTGTGAAATTATTTATTGTATAATTCATATGATTGTTATTCCATCTTTGGTATATTTTGAGGGAATTTACCTTTTTTATAGTTATAAACCATGGAAAAATGAAACTATTGGAAAATGGTTTTTATCTATTTTTACGTTTTTCTTTGTTCAGGTTAGTTTGAAAGCTATATAGAATTTTTTTGTTTCTATTTCAAAAATCATTTTTCAAATTCTTCTTGAAAAATTACTTAGTTTTCTAATGTTATTCATACCAAATATCTAAAAATTGTAGATCATCACAATTTTAATGATTCAATTCATTTATCGGTTTTGGATTATATCGCAATATAGCCAAACTTATAGTCTTCAAGGAATTTGGATTTTTATCAGCATTTTTTTCACAATTATTGGATTTCCTTTATCTTATACTTTTCCGCCAATTCATTGTCTTTGGAATAGTCCAACTATGAATTTAAATGATTGGAAAATTATTGAGAATTTTTTATTTGGAGAATACAAAGAGAGTTTTGCAGGAATTGGAATAAATTTAAGACCAAATACATCTGAAATAGGAGAAAATGAACTTCAAAAAGAAAGATTGTCTGTGTTATTCGCTTGTTTTGTAATAACAATAATAATATCAATAATATTTGGCTGTGCTTGGTTTATCAGTGGCCATTTGAATAAAAGTTCATACAGTGATTGCACTCGAAAACTACAGAAACAATTTTTCATTTATATTCTATCACAAATGTTTGTTTATATTATGTTTATAACAATTCCTCTTCTAATTCTGATGTCTGGAATAATCCTGAAACTTGAACTCGGTTATATTTTTGTTCAATCTACTTCTCTATTTTCTTGGTTTCCATTTTTAGATTCAATAATTCTACTAACTTGTGTATCGGCCTATCGGTAAATGACGTCATTGTTTGTATTTTGTTAGTTCACATTTTTTCAGAAGAGTATTAATCAGTATGGTTGGCTTTGGATCAAAAAAATATGAATCAACTTCCCGTGTACTTCCAACAACCACGGCCTCTTTTAGTCAATAAATTTGTTTTGAACTTTGTGTTTTCTTTGAATTTTAAATCCCAAAGAGAATATTTATATTCTAAATAATGAGTTCTAATTCATTTAATTTCATCAAAATACCAAACAACAAAATGATGGAAACCGTTTTTGGAATGTATTATTCATTCTATTTCTACTTTGGAATGTTATTCCAAGTAGGTTTACTATTCTTTGTGATCAAGAAAAGTCCTCCAGCTCTTGGAGATATTCGATATTTTCTGATAAACACTAGTTGCATCCAAATCACACTCATAAATATCTCAAGTTTTCTGCAAATGAGATATATTCCAAATAGCACAACACTTGCGCTAATTTCAAATGGATTGTGTGCATTTTTTGAGATTGAAGTTTGTTTTTCTGGATATCATATTCATATGATGACAACATTGGCAACTGGGTTAGCAATTTCTAATACAATGTTATTTCGATATCTTATTCTTGCACGATTCAAAATATCGAAACGAATGGTTAAATTAATGATGTTTATTGCATACATTCCACCAATAATTGTTTTGGTAAGTTGGTCACCAAATTTTTTTTTAAAGAAGACGAACAAAGGATATTTTTGCATTGAAAACGGATTGACTTTAAAAAAAAGTTAGTGTTCTAAGTTTTTCAGATAATCCCATTCACTGATACATGGGACTTCTCATCTGTCAAATCTCAAACTGTTGTGGAACACCCAAATTACATAATCTCCGAACCAATGGTTGGGTTCTCGAATGTTCATAGTGCGCAATTCATAGCGGCAACTTTTATATTATCTCTCGGTGTTTATGGAATCCCATCATTTTGTTTGATTTTGACAAGAAAAGTTTTGAAACTCATCCAAACACATAACAATATGTCAGAGAAAACAAAATCGCATTCCCGAATGTTAATCAAAGGTTTAATGTTTCAAACAGCCCTTCCAATGTTGTCATATATTCCAATTTTTACATGCTATTGCTATATGCAAATAAGTGAAAAAGAGTTGCTTCTTCCTCGTGAGTTACTTGGTTTTAAAATTTTTACGATAATATTTTTCTCAGAATATTTATTGATGCCTTTGATATCAGTGCCTGGTTTGATTGATCCTCTGATTTCATTTTATTTTATAATTCCCTATCGAAAATTAATTAACGACATGTTATTCAAAGGTCCACGAACTGATGTCATTTTTGTAACAAATTTCAGAGCATAGGTGGTTTTTTTTTGACATTTGCAACATTTAATTAAATAAATTTTTTTCAATTTGAACTCGATTAATCATCGAACGCGTGTTCTAGTAAAAAAAATGTCAGAGAAATTGATAAATTTAGGTACTGACGCATGAAGTGAATAATGCTTTGGGATTTATTGTAATTCTATGTAAGTACAAATTCCCAAATGAATTTATAACAGCCTCCTACTACTTAATAACAAAATTTGCCCTCCATTTTCATTTTGAAAAAATGTCGATGCCAAATTATTTCGCAGTTATACAGTACTCAGCTTTCATAATCTCCTTGATTATGAATATTTTTTTGCTTTATCTTTTGATAATAAAATCATGTAAATCATTTGGAAGATACCGTATTCTTATGATAATTTTTTGTTTTTGTTCCATTTGGTATTCTACAATTGAAATCGTTTCTCAACCAGTTATGCATATCGAAGGTCCCAGTATTTTATTCTTTCTTCAGGAAGAGTTTTTGAAATATCATATGATATATGGCTATTTAGCATCCGGACTTTTTTGTGGATCATTTGCTTTTTGTATTATGGCATTTGCAATCCATTTTATTTATCGATATTTGAGTGTTTGTCGTCCAAACTTACTTCATGTTTTTAATGGTCCCAAACTATTTTTATGGTATTTGATACCAAGTATAAGTATGATACTCTGGGGCTCATTGAATGTTTGGCTATACCATGCTGATAACTTCAGAAGAAATTATTTTCGAGAAGTTATGAATAAAACATACAATGAAGATGTGGATCGAATTATATTCCTGGGCCCAATTTACTATTTAGTAGATGGGAAAAACAATCGACATTGGTTATATAAAGATGTTGCTGGAATAGTTATCTTATGTTCTTTGTTATCATTATCAATTAATTTTTGCTTGACTTGTGCATTTTTGACTTATCGAAACTTGAAAAATTTGTCATCGATCACAAGTACCCAAAATCTTGCACTCAATCGACAATTATTTATTTCCTTACTTCTTCAAACCGTCTTTCCCATTATAACTCAATATATTCCAGCCGCTCTTTTATATATTTTTCCATTTGTTGGAGTAAACGCAGGAAGATTGGCCAATTGGGTTGGACTATCTTGTTCAATTTATCCTGCCCTTGAACCAATTATTGCTATTTTGATCATTGAAAGATTTAGAAAATTCGTTTTCTGTGAGTTTTTGTTTCTAAATTTGTGTATTTTTTCATTAATTATTTTTCACAGGCCAAGCCAAACTTGCTTCAAATGGCACAATATCAACAACAAATATCGAGACAAATATACACAATATGCGAGAAATATCAGTTCGCCGAAGTATATCTCAATCCCCGGTGCATTCAAATAATTAGTTTTAAAATAATATTTTTTATTTTATATGAAAACAAATAAAAATTCAAAAACTTTGCACTTTGAATACTTTGAACACGTGTAGACTATAAACAAGAAATGAGACAAAAAATGAGAGATGAGAAAATGTGATAATAATAGGTACAAAGTCCATTTTACCGACCCGCGTGGAGTGAAAAAATCTTTTCAATGTTTATCATTTTTCGTTTTTCCTCGAGGAAGAAGGTGTGTTTTCTATTTTTCTATCTATTAGCCTCATTTCGGTTTAAAGTTTTCTTTGTGAAAAATAATATCATTTTGCGGCATTATCTGAAAGAGTTTTCCAAAAAAAACGTCTATTTAAGAATCTCTTTCAAATAGTCTCTGCCATTCCCCAAGACAGCCCTGACATATCTAGTACTGTAGAAAAAGTTGGAAAATTGTTTTCAAAAAATTTAGTTCGCGCGGTGCACACAAGTTGTGTGACACAACACATTTAATTGTACGCGCATTTATTTTTGTTTTTTTTCCTTGGCAAAAAACTTTCGGTGTTCGTTGGCCACCAACAAACAAACAAAACAGCCATTTTCTTCTTTTCGTCTATCATTTTTCCAATGTTCTCTTCTATCTCGTCATTCGTTCTTATCTTCACATTCAATATTATTTGTAATAGTACTACTTACTCAAAAATTGTTTTGTTTTTAATCAAAAAAAAGTTATATTTCAGAGATCTGCCAAAATGTTGTCAACTCTGGGAAAAAGTGCAACACGTTTGGCGAGCTCCAAGAAAGCCGCTGTTGAATCATCGTCGTTTGTGATGAATTTGTTCAGAGGAAAATCGGTCACCGAACAAGTTTTTCCATATCCATTGAGACTTGATGCTGAACGAAAGGAAACTTTGGGAATGGTTATGGGACCATTAGAGAAGATGCTTCAAGATGTAAATAATGTCACAAAGTGAGTAAAATTTTAAATTTAGAAGCAATACTTTTTCAACAATAATGGTTTTGTTCAGAAATGATGAAACCTCTGACATCCCAAAGGCAGTTCTTGATCAATTTGCGGAATTGGGAACTTTCGGAGTTCTCGTGCCACCAGAGTTGGAAGGATCTGGTTTCAATAACAGTCAACTTGCTCGAGTTGCTGAAATTGTTGGAGCTTATGATTTGGGATTCGGTGTTGTTATGGGAGCTCATCAAAGTATCGGATACAAGGGAATTTTGATTGAAGGAACTGAAGCTCAAAAACAAAAATATTTACCAGACTTGGCTACTGGAAGAAAATTCGCTGCTTTTGCACTCACTGAACCAACAACTGGATCTGATGCCAGCGTAAGTTCGGAGTTATTTTTGAAGTTACCAAAAATAGCATCATGATTTTTCTAGTCTGTCCGCTCTCGCGCCGTTCTTTCCGACGATGGTAAACATTATGTTTTGAATGGTGGAAAAATTTGGATCTCAAACGGAGGGTTTGCCGATGTTTTCACTGTTTTTGCCCAAACTCCAATCAAGCAAGCTGATGGTTCGACTAAAGATAAAATGTCAGCTTTCATTGTTGAACGCGCTTTCGGTGGAATTACCAGTGGACCACAAGAAAAGAAAATGGGAATCAAGGGATCGAATACAACTGAAGTTCATTTTGAAAATGTCAAGATTCCAGTTGAAAATCTGCTTGGAAAAGAGGGAGAAGGATTCAAAGTTGCCATGAATATTTTGAATAATGGAAGATTTGGAATTCCAGCTGCTTGTACTGGAGCAATGAAACATTGTATTCAAAAAACCGTTGATCATGTCACGACTCGTGTTCAATTCGGAAAGAAAATCAGTGAATTCGGAAATGTTCAAGAAAAGTTAATTGATATGGTTGCAAAATGTTATGCAACTGAATCAATTGTATACATGCTTTCTGCTAATATGGATGCTGGAATTAAAGAATATCAATTAGAGGCAGCAATCGGAAAAGTATTTGCATCTGAAAACGCGTGGAATGTTTGTGATGATGCTATTCAATTACACGGTGGTATGGGATTCATGAGAGAAACTGGATTGGAAAGAGTTCTCAGAGATTTGAGAATCTTCAGAATTTTCGAAGGAGCTAATGATGTACTCAGATTGTTTATTGCATTGACCGGTGCTCAACACGCCGGAAAACATTTGGCTCAACAAGCATCAAGTGGTGTTGGAGGAATGTTGGGATTAGCTATGGCTAGAGTTACTGGAGGACCAGCTACTGGAAGTAATTTTGATTCAGTTGTTGATTCGAGTTTGAAAGATTCTGCAAATCTTCTCGATGGACAAATCAAACTTTTTGGACAAACTGTTCAAAACTTGTTGATCAAACATAAAAAAGGAATTATTGATCGTCAATATGAACTTGTTCGCGTCGCTAATTCAGCAATCGATATTTATAGTTCGATCTCTGTTCTTTCTCGTGCAACATATGCGATCAAAAATAAGTCAACAAGTGCAGATTTTGAAAGAGATGTTGCAAATTATTATATCACTAAGGTGCGTTGAATAATTTTATTTAAAAATATCATAATGATATTTCTAGGCTCTTCGCAACTCTCAACTAAGCCTTGAGCAAGCTGGAAAAGGCGTCGAAAACGCGACAACTGTTTCAACAATCGAATCACTCGCCAAACAAATTTATTCAAACGGTGGTTCACCTCTTCAACATCCAGTCGAATTGTAGATATCTTTATTTTCATTGCAAAGTGCCTTTTTTATCGGGTGATTTTTATGTATACTAGAGCATTTTTCATATTCACAAAATTAAAGAATGAAATATTCTGTCAAACCGCTGATGTGGAAACTGAAACTGATATTACTGTAGATTTTCTCGCAGCACTTTTTGTTCCACGACTGAAAATTTGGATGATTGCAGAACGGTATGGAACTATGAAATAGAATGAGATCAAAGGATCAAGAAGTGATGGAGATGAAGCTGATATCAAGATGAGATGCTCTGAAAACAGGTATTTTTTAGACTAATTTCAGAAAATTATAATCTAACCTGACAACAAAATTTCGATATTATAAGTTTGTGTTATAAGATAACACGTAAAACTTGGAATATAGGCCAAAACTGGTAGAATTGTTTGAAAAGTTAGTCCATTTATCAAAGTTCTTGCTTGCTTTTTAGTCTTTTCGGACATATTTTGATGATATTTAATTAGTGTTAAAACTCTTCTTGTTAATAAAAAACAACAAGTCGGTATTCCATATACTCCAATTGCTAAAATTCCAGTTGCACTAACAAATTGGATATTTGTGATATCAGCAAACCCTGGGAATGATTCGTAAATTGAAAGATCATAGGTTGGATGTTCATTATAGGTCAAGTTCCGGACTTTTTCGAAGTCCCATTTCGCAGTGAATGGGATTATCTGAAAATTAGGTTAAATACTTTATTTTTTTCTTTTCCCAAAATGTTTTTTTCAAATTCACTAGTAAAATGAGTGGTCCGATATGTGATATTCCAATCATTGAAAAAATTTGAGTTTCACTAATAGAATCCCGAATCAAAACTAAATATCGAAAAAGTACGGTACACGAAATTCCGAGAGCCGCTGCCTCAGCAAAAGCTGTATAAAAATGATAACCAATAAAACAATACTCGGGACCAAAATATTTGCATGGTCCCATTGGCAAAACTGCCACACTTGTGCTATTTGGCAAAACTCGTTGTTGCACAAAAAATGCGAAGAAAATCATAAGAATTTGAATGAAACTTGTGTTGTAGAGAAAATATTTGAGATGATCCAACGTGGCTGGTGATTTTTTGGTGATTAGAAATAATAGGAAAAATTGGAAAATTGAACCGATTATTGTATAGGTGAGAAGATAGACTTGGAAATATGGAACATAGATGTTTGAAGAAATCATAGGTAAATAAACAAACTGGACAATTTTTACTTTTTGAAAATCGTTCAGAATTTTCACACCAATTATCTTTATGTTTATTTTTGATCAAAAATCATTGAAACATAATTTCCTCAAGAAACTACTGTAGTTACTTTTGTTTATTATATCAACGGAAAATCACTAACGCTTCCTAAAATCTGATGAGCATTTGTTTATTTCAGCTTCAGAATCTTCATTTCTACCTTTTTAATAAATAACTGATTTTCTTTTCGTAAATCATGTTCCGTTTAATTTTTTTCAAAATATAATTGTCTAACTTCAAAGTTGTGTAACAAAATATGTGAAAATCAGTTTTGAAAGAGTAACTACACAAAATGTGAAATTTTTTTCTGAACATTGAACGGGATTTTCACACCAATTATGTTTTTTCCGTCAAAAATTTATAAGACATCATTTCCTTGATACTATGTATACTGTAGTTGAAATTTCATAAACTGAACGTTAATTGAAATAAGTAAAAAAAATTACATTTCCCAATGCTCCTCTCTTGTCTGAACTTTCAGTTTACAAGTTCGAATAACTAATTTTTATTTCTATTTCTAATGAAAGTTATAAACTTTTCAATAATGACATCAGATTGAAAAAAAACCAACATTTGGAAGACAAATTGAACGCAGTTCATGAATTCTTCAATAATCTCGAATGAAAAACATGATTTTGTAATGTGAGAACTGTTCCAGAAAATTTTTCAGAAAAAAAAACAACAAAAACTAATTTGTTTTGTTTTGTTACTCAAAAAATCACTAGTGCAAACAAAAATATATTGTTCTCTCGTCTTTTTGGCTGACAAATTAATAATTTTTATGACTGTGTTATGTTTTTGGCTGTTTTGACTCAGTTATCTATAATGTATTTTTTTTGTTTTTTTCCATCTTTTAAGATAATTAAAAAAAAATTTTTTGAGAAATTCTAGTTTTTCAAGTTCATGATTTTGTTCGAATTTGTGATTTATTTTTCAAAAAAATTTCACACCACAACATGCCGCAGCATTTTTTTATTTTGATTTATTTACAACTTTTTGTATACTTACTGTGATCTAGCGATCTCTTGATTTCAAATACTCTCTCGATGTACCTAACAAATTACCGGTCGTGGGGATAATCGTTTTTGAAACGATTCAAACACTTTATTTTATTATTATTATTATTATTTTTTGTATATTTACTAATAATAAATTTTGACATTGTTATTATTAGATAATATTTTATTATCAAAGTCATTATTATTTACAAACATTTCACATCAAGAGATCAAAAATGGGTGGATTTGAGGTAATTAAGGGAGGATTTAAAAAGTAAACATCGTGGACTCGGAATATGAACTTCTAGAAAATATTCTCTGAATTTCAGAATCACACCTCGGCCAAAATCATAGTGTCCACAATAAAAAATTGTACGCTAATTTTTTACAGTACAAAAATTGTGAATTTTTCAGTTTTTGACCTCAAAAAATTGTTATTTTTCAATTTTTGACCTCTAAAAACTGAAATTCAGATTTTTCATAAAATTGTACTCTGGCCAGCCACGGCTTGGCCGAGGTCTGTTCAGAATTTTCTAGAAAATTCGTCATAAATTTTGACCCAACATTTTTTGGACTTCTTTTATAGCATAGTAACTAATACTTTCTAAAAATTTTGGTAATCATAATTATTCAAAAAAAAAATTATAATTTAACAATAACACTTCTCGCTGAAACCGTTGAAGCTGGAACACTACTTTTAACCTCATCCTCTTTTCTCATAATAGCTTTCACAATTGCATTTCGATAAGGAACCACAAAATAAAAATTCAAAAATGGATCCAATATTCCTGGAAGGGATAGCATTATAATTAGCAAATGTTCAATGGCAAGCATTTCAGTTTTTGTAGTTTGAGAATATGTATAAAGTGTGAAAATAGGAATATAACAAATTACCGGAGTTATTATTTGACATGCCAGGCCCTGTAATTTTTTTTTAAGTTTTTAGGAAATGTTTGAAATCACTCACCCTAACTAGTGTCTTTGCCTGTTCTTTTGTTCTTTTTGACATACTTCTATGCTCATTTATAATACTCAAAATTTTTCTTGTTAGAAAAAAGCAGCCAACTGGAATACCGTAGGCTCCAATTGCTAAAATTGTTGTAGCTAATAAGAATGGAATAGAATTTACATTTGCAAATCCTGAATACGGATAATAAATTGATAAATCATAATGTGAATGTTCTTCCGATGTTTGATTCCAAACACTTGGAAAATCCCATTTATCAGTGAATGGAATGATCTGAAAAATTATGTGATTGGTTTTTAGATTCTTATTATTTTATTGTCCGATTTGAATAGAAACAAAAATTAATTGAAAAATGACTAACAATCTTTTTTTTATTTTGCGAAAGAATTGTTAGCATTTTTCATCTCATTTTTCTCCCAATGTTTTTTTGAACTCACAGTTGATATTAGCGGTAATATATTAGCTGCCAATAATATGACAATAATCCGATTTTTTGTTATTTCATGTTGCTTCAAAACTAGATATCTGAAGAGTACGGTATTTGAGACGGAGAGTGCGCCAGAAAATGTGGCGCCCTGAAAAACTAGATTTAGGAATTTTCAAATTACATCTGAGAAGCAGGGCCGGCTTTTCAAGATTTCAAATTCTGAATTTTTTTCAAGACCATTTTACTTTTGAACTCACCAGAAAAATATGATAAGTTGCAAAACAAACATTGGGCCCAAGTCTTCTACAAGGCCCATATGCCAAAATTGCTAAACTTGCTGCATTTGGCAAAACTCGATGTTGAATAAAAAACGCGCAACAAATCATGAAAGTTTGTATGAAACATGTATTCATTAGAAAATATTTCATATTCGCTAACGATTTTGGAGATTTTGTTAGGATTAGATAGAGTAGAATGCATTGAAAGAATATTCCACCAACGAAATAAATATTGAAATATAAATTGACGAGGGTAACAAAGCGATTTGAATTTTGATATTCCGCCATTCTGATTTGTTAGCTATTTTTGAAAAATTAGGATTAATCAGTGACAAAAAATCCAATCTTAAGGGAGTTGGAGCCAAAAACACAACAAAACAAAAATAAATGTAGACTTCCTTAAATCAAGTTCTCACGTATCGTCACCAAAGAAAAACAATCAGAAATTGATCTCAATGTGAACCATATTTTATTGCATATTTTAATGAAACAAGTCAATTTTTTCGAAAAAAAAGGGCAGGTTGATAGTTAGTTAATCCATGTTTTATGTCATCCCATTAATGTTTATTCATAAAACAACTGTATTCGATCAAATTTTGTTGTTTTTGTTTGTTTGTTCATTTGAAATGTATCTAGTTTTTTTTTGGTTGTTTTGATATCTAAATTACTCGAAAATATTGCAATTGTAACGCGAACATTTTGATTCGTGATACTTTGCATTCCTTTTTTAGTGAATTTTTTCTAAATTTTTTGTGAAAGTTACACATTTTTCTGAATAGAAGTTTTTTGTCTTGAGGTTGTGGCTTACCATTTGAAATTATCATTGAAAAAAGAAACATTAATAAAAACTAAATTAAATACCAAAATTAATTATCTGTTGTATTGGTCTAAATGCTCTTGAAACCCCCGCTATCAAAAAATAATTCCAATTAACGAAAAATGACTAAAAATAATGACTAGAATTCCACTTTTTCTGAGAAATCTTAATTTTGAGATATGAAGATAGATTCTCAAAAAATATCTTATTTCTAAAAAATAACAAAAAAAGTCAATTTTTGCTGCAAAAATGAAATAGATCCTCTTTTTGCCCCTCCATCAAGAAAAAAACAATAAATTTAATATTCACTTTCTCATACTCCTGTTTTTCCTGGTTTTTTTCAACAAAAAAAAACAAGAAAAAAGTACCGACTATTCATCAATGAAACATAATTCACATAATCAGCCTATGAATAGAATAAGGAATTACATAAGAAAAGATATGATTATTATGGTATACAAAAATACAAAAATAAACAAATAAATAAAGGCTCTTTTGTGTTGCAAATCAAATCATACAGTTTCTTTTTTGCGGTGATTTTTTGTTGTCATATTTTTGATTTTTACAGGACCTACGCAGACGAGTCATGTCGAATGCTGGGTAAGTTTATCTTTTTTGAGTAGGGGATAACTGTAAAGTTATATGAACTTATGAAAAATGTTGAACTATCTGAACTTCAAAAAACGCAAGTTTCGAAAAAAAAAAACAATAAGATTTCTAAACATTATTGATGAAAGATAATATGGGCAAATATCTATCATATTCAAAAAATCATATATCAAATACCAAATCAAAAATACATGACTAATTTTTATCCCGCCTGGATTTCTAAAAACCAAACCAGTAACTATTTAGAAAAATTAATTTGATATTTATTTAATAAAGGAGATATATTCACGTGACACATGTTTCGGAACCATTTCTAGAAAAAATTCAAGTTTTCACAATATAATTCAACACTAAAAAATCTGTGACTCATTTTAACCCGTCTGGGTTTTCGAAAACTACAATGACTAGTTGTGAGGTTGTTCTAAAATAATCCAATCATTTTTATAAAAAATTTTCTCTCACCTATAGGTGAGAGAAAAATGAAAATAAAATTTTTTAAAGTCGAGAAGTTTTCAAGAATATATTGATTTCACGATTACAAGAAACTCTGTTGTTAATCTAGAAAATTATTAGTACCGCCTTATTAAAAACAGATCTGAAATTATATAATTTAATAATTTTCAGAAAATGAAAATGCATAGTTCAGGTGCCATTTTCATAATTATTTTGGAAGTTAATTTCGATTTTTCTCGTGTTGAAAGTGATAAAAGTTGGAAAGATTTCCAAAATTCATTTTTTCCTATTTTTTTCACGTGGCATTCCTGAGAATTTTAAAAAAAATTAATAAATAAATTTATTTATTTTCTCAATAAAATGTGTTTTTCCTGAAATAGTTCAAGAAAATTTTCAGCTTAACTTTTATCACGAGAAATTTCGTAATTTTCAAAAATATTTTTGTGAGCGATTTTTGAAGAAGCAAAAATCATTAATTCGATTTATTATTGTTTTTGCCTTTTCTGCTTCTTCTCGCACATTTATTGCCATTTTTCCATCTGATTTTTCCAATATTTTTCTGATTTTTTTTTTTGGAAAAATGAATTTTTTGTTACTCAAAAAACGTAAAAAACAGTGAGTCTTTCAAAAATTCCCCCAAAATATCATGCAATTATTTATATATTTTGTGTCTGTGTTGAAAATGACACCTTTTTGGATAACTTTCGAGGTATGAGGTAATATTTAAAACAGAAGTGAAACGAAGTTCAGCCAATTATCAATTTTGTGTCGATTCGATGCATTCAAAAAACATTAAAAATATAGAGATTTAGAGATTTAGAGAAAAATATAATAGGGATAACTTTTTGTGAGCGCGAAAATATTTGTACTTGTTTTGTGTTGGACATCATTTTGAAGTGTACTTTGGTACTACATGCTTAGAGGTTGGTTAAGAAATATTAGAGATAGAATTTTGAACAAAACCAGTTAAATATTTTTAAATCCGATAAATCGTATACATCAGTAATTTTTTGGATGAAGATTTCAAAATCAGATGACTGTAGATTAGTAGTTCAGAAATTTGGCTTGAAAGTTATTATCGATTTTCCAATCAGCTCTCAAAAAAGGTTATATTGTCAATAAAATATTATAAAAGTTGGTAAATAATGATTATATTTCTTTTCTACCAAAACATCTCAAAAGTTTTCCTCACATTTTTGAATACCCACCAATTAAAAGTGCTTTGATTTTGAGAAAAATAAGATATAAACAAGATTTACCACTATATTTCTGATGAGGGATATTTTCAGCTTCCAAATATGTTACAAATTGTTTTTACAGGCGCCGTTTCAGTACGGTGACACAAATCAATACAGACGGCCTACAAGCAATGGCCAAAGGAACAGGTAATAATATTCGTATTTTTTGAAAAAAAGACAGACAAAAATCAAAAAAAGATCAAATTGTTATCTTCGGTGTTTTTCAATATGCAAATATGTAATGAAAATACAAAATTATATATTTTTAAATTACAGGGAAAATGGAAACCGTTGGAGAAGACGGTGAATCGAGATCTCGAAAATTCACAACAAGTCTAGGACATTTGGCATTATATAAAGAAGATGAAGGAACTGGTGCACCAGCTTCATTTATTTCTGGATACACAACACCGGGACCAAAAGAAAGAGCAACATCAGAACATAAAAAGGCAAATCTTGGAATAATGTTGGGTGTTTATTTACCAACAATTCAACATATTTTGGGTGTAACTATGTTTATTCGATTATTTTGGGTGGTTGGAATGGCTGGAGTTGGAATGACTATGGTTCTTTTGGCGATTTGTTGTTTATCAACACTTTTAACATCAATATCTTTATCAGCTGTTGCTACAAATGGTGTAGTTGAAAGTGGTGGTGCATATTTCATTATTAGTCGGAATCTTGGAGTGGAATTTGGATCAGCTGTTGGAATATTGTTCTATCTCGCAAATACTGTAGCAGCATCAATGTACATTGTTGGAGGTGTTGAAGTTTTACTGGTTAGTTTCAAAGAAATATTGCAGATTGGCATCAACGTCAAATTGTGTGGCACCGAAACGAGATTAGAAAATAAAAATTTTGTGTGTCGCTACAGTAATCGTAATCAACACACAATACTATGTGGATTACTGTAATGACACCCAAAATTTTTATTTTTTAATCTCGTTTCGGTGGCACACAATTTGATGTTTTTGTCATATCAGCTCAACTGGTTCAAATTTTTTCTAGATGTACATTTATCCCGAAATGGCAATTGGCGGTTCTGAAGCTCTTCACGATACTGAACTATTCGGAACACTTTACAACAATCTTCGATTATACGGCACAATTTTCTTGATTATCCAAGCTTTAATTGTGGCAATGGGTGTGAAATTTGTTCAACTTCTTGCTCCAGTTTCTTTGATGTGTGTTATTTTGGCCGTTTTTGCGTGTATCGCTGGAGGAGTTGAAAAGGGTCTAACTGGATCTGGAACTTATGTTTGTTCGATTGATGATCATTTAATACAAACGCATGTTCTTCGAGAAGAATCACATAAAAATTTGACAAATGGAACAGTTATGGATATTTGTAGCTTGTGTGATAAATCTTCAAGGTAAGAAATTGGTTAGATTCTATAAATTGTTTATCAAATTATTTCAGTATTGAGAAAGTGTTTTGCGGTGATTTGAATGATGAAAAAAGAACCACTGAAGACGAACAATTTTGCACACATTTTACATCAAAGAAAATGACATGTGATATGGGATTTCCTGGTTTTAACATGAAGACACTTACAGATAATATGTGGGAAGAATATATGGAGAAAAATCAAGTTGTTCCAAATGTTATTGGAAAAGCCTCTGCTGAAGTTGTTCAAGATGAAAGTTCGCATTTCTTCCTTTTGATGGCTATTTATTTTCCTGCTGTGACTGGTATTTTTACCGGAACAAATATGAGTGGAGATTTGGCAGATCCTCAAAGAAGTATTCCGATTGGAACTATTGCAGCAACTCTGACAACATCAGCAATTTATTATATTCTAGCATTGTTATTTGGTGGTTCAATTGATCGAAGCATTCTTCGAGATAAATTTGGGCGATCGATTGATAATACAATGGTTGTTGCTGCACTCTCGTGGCCTCATCCAAGTATTGTTACGGTTGGAGCGTTTTTGTCGACTTTTGGTGCTGCTCTTCAATGCTTGTGCAGTGAGTTTGGAGTACTGTAGTTGAAGAAATTTTCTGAGATCGTGAATGAATTTCAGAATAGGAATATATCTATTGTTTTCACGTTAATAAGGCTTCAAAATTTCGGAAAAAAAACTTTTGCTTGAAAATTTAGATTTTTTTTGCTAAATTAAAAAGAACAGGTTACTCAACACATGAATTCTCAAAGTAAATTTCTAGTTTATTTTTCAAAATTTCAATGTTTGATTTAAGGTGCCCCAAGATTGCTTCAGTCAATTGCGAAAGATGATGTCATCCCAATTCTAGCTCCATTTGCTCGAGTCACAAAAAAGAATGAACCATTCCTCGGTCTTATTCTTACTGTAATCATAGCTGAAATGGGAATTCTTCTTGGCGCTGTCGATAAAATTGCCGAAGTTCTCGATTTCTTCTTTTTGATGTGTTATGCATTTGTGAATATGATTGCATTTCTTCATTCAATTTTGAAAGCTCCAAATTGGCGTCCTCGATTCAAATATTTCCATTGGTCACTTTCTCTTCTTGGTGCAGTTTTATGTTTTTTCATCATGTTTGCATCAGATATTCCAAAAGCTTGTATTGCTTGTATTCTAACTGCTGTTATTTACAAATATGTTGAATGGAAAGGTGCGAAAAAAGAATGGGGAGATGGAATGAGAGGATTAGCATTATCAACTGCGCAGTATAGTTTGTTGAAAGTTGAAGATAAAGATCCACATCCGAAAAATTGGCGACCACAAATTCTAATTTGCTTGACAAGTCAATGGTCAAAAGAGCTGATTGATCGACGAGCAATTTCAATGCTAAATCTTGGAGCACAACTAAAAGCTGGAAGAGGTCTTGCAATTGCATGCGCATTTTTAAAAGGAAGTGCAGATTCACAAAAAGATAAAGATCATGCAAAACGAATCAAACAAGGATTATTGAAAGATATGGCAACTATTCGACTTCGAGGATTTGCAAAAACAATGTTTTATAATAATCATCAAATAAATGGAACTATTTCCGGATTATATCAATCGATTGGAATTGGAGGATTAAAACCGAATACGGTATTATTAAATTGGCCAAATGATAAAAGTACAGATGAAATCATGCTTTTTGCAGGTAAACAAATCAGTTTTCAAAAAGCAAAGAACGTTTTCTTTCTGAAAAAAAACCGACAAAATAACTCTAACCAAAATAAAATATTTATATTGCAGAAGAGATAATCCATGGAGCTGCAAATGACAATTGTTTGATTGTTACAAAAGGAATAACTGATTTCCCCGAACATTCTGAAAGATTAACTGGATTTATTGATATTTGGTGGATTGTTCAAGATGGTGGAATACTTATGCTGATTGCTTATTTGTTGAAACAACATAAAGTTTGGAAAGGTTGCTCGCTTCGGATTTTTGCAGTCAGCGAACAAGATTCAGCGAAAAGTGCTGATATGAAAGCTGGACTTCAGAAATATATTTACATGCTAAGAATTGATGCCGAACTTTTTGTGAGTTTAAAAAATCGGAGAAAATATTCAGATTGATTTGAAAATTGAAACTACAGTAACCGTTGAATTAAAAAATAGTCAAGAAATTCTCTAATTACATATGTATGTTAATCGAAAAATGCTGATTCAAATAATTTAAAACTATGTACTCATAGAATCCATATTTTTTAGATCGTGGATCTTCTCGACATGGAAGTATCCGACGAAGTTGTTGACAAAACAGTCGAAGTCGAAAAGAAACAAAAAGAGCGCGAAGAATTACGAAGAAGTAAAAGTGGATATTTGAATGATGGATATATGGATGATATGGGAAGACCAAAAACAGCTGCATCAATCAGAAATAGTGATTCGACGAGAAGCTTCACACCAACACCAGCTCATGTTTCTATTAATTTGGATGAAAATGAAACATCATTTACTGAGTGAGTGCAGTTTCTCAATAATTATATAGTTAATTAATGTCTTTAGTAATATTCTCGATGAATTCTATCGTTCCGGAACTCCAACAGAAGATGTCGAATCTGCTACCAAATTGAATATTCATAAAATGAATACATCAGTTCGTCTAAATCGAGTAATTCGAGAAAACTCTCCAGATTCCCAACTTATTCTTTTGAACTTGCCGTCGCCTCCAAGAAATCGTGTCTCATTCAATAATTCTTACATGGTAAAAATCGAAAAATAGAAAAGTCATAAATACTAAAGTTTCAGACATACCTTGACGTTTTGACCGAAGAATTGCCGCGTGTTTTATTCATTGGTGGAAGTGGTAGAGAAGTTATCACAATAGATTCATAATGTTTTCCAATTTTTTAATATAATTGTTATCCAATTTTTTTCATGACTATTTTTTGACAAAAAATGACAGATTCACTTGATATTTACATGACACTTAATTACAATTTTTACGAAACTAATAAATAAATATTCACTTTTATTTTCATGGTCTCTGTTTAACTCAACTTATGGTCTCTGCATCTACATTTCAAACATCAACAAAACAAACTAATTTTGTTTGTTGTCTGTGTCTCTTCACCTTTTTCTTTCTTTCTATATAAATATATACGTGTTTTTATCGACAAGTTCTTGTCTTTTGAGAAAACCATGCCAATTCATAAATTAGTTCAATATTCGACTCCAGATGGAACTGTTTTCGAGGGAGAATTGTATACTCCAAGAAATCCAGAAAATGAGAAACTTCCAGCCGTATTGGTGTTGCCAGCTTTTCGAGGAATCACAGAATTTGAAAAAGAGAAAGCGTTAATTTTGGCAAAGAAGGTGAGTGATGAAATAAAAACATTTATACTTTTGAAATTTTGAAGAACGAAGTTTTCTAGATTTCTGAAACTTTGTAATTTGTTTTTTTCTTCAGCACCACTATATTGCATTTGCTGTTGATGTTTATGGAAAAGGAATTCGACCAACTGAAAGAGCTGAAGCCTTCGCAACTATGAAACCAATAGTTTCTTCGAGAACTGAAGTTTTGAAGCCACGTCTTCTGGCCGCTCTCGAAACTGTCAAAAATTTGCCAAACGTCGATGTCAATCGAATTGGTGCAATTGGGTTTTGTTTCGGCGGACTGTGTGTACTTGATTTGGCCAGACATCAAACTAACATTGCAGCCGTTGTTTCTTTCCATGGAACACTCTTACCAGTTCCTGATTTGCCTTTGGATTCAATTACAGAAACTTCAATTCAGGTTTGTGGTTTGTGTTTTTATCATGAAAAGGGAATGGAGAAAGATCAATCATTTGAGTTAATGATCATTATATTATCGGAAAACGATAATAGATTGTAAAAATTAGAAAATATTGTGTTCGATATATTTTTTTGAAAAATGAAAGAAATATGCAAATTTTATCAGAAAACATAATTTTGACGACACTAATTTTGAAAAATAAAAAGGATGAAAATATGGGAACAAATGTTGTTACTTGTTTCTGAAATTTGAAAAAATATTTTTCAGATTTTCTAAGATTCCACGCGTTTGAAAATGTGCATTTTCTTGAAAACCATAAATTCCATTTATTTCAAAACTTTTCTGAAAAAATTTTAAAATATTGAACTGAGATATAATTTCAAGTAATTTTTCTAGGTTCATCACGGCGATGCAGATACTCATATTTCAAAAGAACAAGTCGATGGGTTCCACGAGGAAATGCGTCAAAGAAATGCAGACTTTGTCTTCTCTTCACATGCTTTTGCCAAACATTCATTCACCGAACCAGAAGCTGATAGTTTCAATGCTCCTGGAGTTGGTTACAACAAAAATGCCGCTGAAAGATCGTGGAACTCAGCAATTCAATTGTTCAAAGAAAAATTCATTCAACATACATAAAAAATAACCATAGGCGAGAAATAATAAAAGCTTATAGCACTATACAAATAATTTAGACAGACCAGTAAGTAGAAAATCCCAAAAAATATTTAAGTAAGTAAAAGCCAAAAAAGTGTGTATTTATCGGGGGCACAAAAAGAAGAGAGAGATCAGATATATATGAGATCAAAATTGTAGAGAAGACACGTGTTGATAATTCTGCAGTCACATTTTTTCGATTGTTACCCCTAATTTATTGTTTTATTTAATTAATTAAATGCTGTTGTTGTTGATTATTGTTTTTTCGGCACATTACTGCACAGCGCATCTAACAACGAATTTTTTGAGCCCGAACTTTTTTGTCTGAAATTTTTAAATATGTACTTGAATATCTGGGGATGAATTTAACTCACCTATTTGCACATAAAATTGACATATCATTAAAAGCACTTTCAGCATCGGCTGGTGTATCATCATAATCAGAAAATAAATCTGAAAAAAGAGATATTTTCGAAATACCGGAAGTTTTGGGATTTTTGAAACCATGTTCCATTGTTTTCTGTTAAAATAATGGAACAAAAATTAGTCAGAATTTTGATTTCAGGATTTAAGAAAAAAATAAAATCGGATTTAGATACTACAATTCAATTATAACTAATGGATATTTTTCGAATTTTTCAATAAAAAAAATCAAACCTGCCAAATTGCTATTACTCCTTGAATGCCTTTGAAATGTATAATGTGATGTGGAATGAGCAATTGAAAATAAGCAAAAAATAAAACATATCCTCAAATGTTCTATACCTATCCTTTGTAAAAGCATCGATAGCAATTATTTTCGAAATGTTTAAAGATTTTTCTGTTTTTTCTTCAATTACAAATTACACTTCGTGTTCTTTTTTGATGATGATTTTCTTCTGAAAAAAAGCATTTTTTGAACAATAAAAACAAAGGAAGTACAGTAGTAGGGAACAGAGAAATTAATTTGCACAAAAAATTGTTTTGGTCTTTCATATTTTTGAAAATGGGCATAGAGCGGAGAATTTCTGAATTTATAGCACGGAAAAAGTTTGAAAAAAACAACTATTTTAAGAAACGTAGCATGTCTGGAAGAGATTAGCAACAAGAAAAAAAAATGATAAAAGAAACTGATTGGAACTTTTTTGCATTTATTTGTTAACGATGTAGTTAAGTTCCGGGAAAAATTGAAACTTTGAGAAAAACATGGCAATTAAATGACGTAATGAAAAATAGAAAATCTCTAAAAATAACTGATTTTAGGCTTCACTTGAAAAAAACAAGTTGATTCCAAAAATGAACCCGGAAAATGTTCGCATTGTAGAAATTTCGAAAAAAAAGATGCCAGCCCACTTTTAGCCTTCTCAAATGACGCACTGCTTTTTTGTTTCATTATTATAAACTTATTTAGAATTCTTCCAAATGGAGAACACATCATTAAATATTTATCTACTCTATACGTTTTTACAGCTGATTTCACGTGGGAGATTTTACGGGGGAGATGGGATATTTTGCTGGAAAAAATGAAAATAAAAACATTATTATTGGTGGAAAACAGTGATGAAATAAAAACATATGTTAGGTACTTTTTTTGATTTCCTCCTACTACATTGAAACTTACAAAAACATTTTATTCCGGAGAATCAGGAAGATAATTGGTAAATATAAGTTTTAAATTTTTCTCGGTGCGCTTGGACAAACTTATTGATTCTATCCAAAACATTTCTGCAACATCACTGTTCAACAGTGTTCTGTGGAACAAAGTTCAAAGCCCACAGTATAGTCATATAAAATCACAAAGTCTGTCAAAAAAAATGGGAAAAATATTTTAAATACTAAAAGTATTAGTTCTATAAAAATCGGATTTCTAAATGAAAACAAATTTATCTGATCTAATCTGATCTGAAATCAAAATGATTTGCTTGACCACAAAGTGACCACGTGCTAAAATAAACGCGGAACTATTTTAGCCCACAAAAAGGAATCCCTATTTCAATGACGCGATTTAGTCTCACATCAAGTTTATTGTTAGGTCAAAAAATATGGGATAAATAAATAAATAATCTCTTCTCGAATAAAAACTGCAAATCAAAAGAAGGATAAAATATTCTTTGACCTAATGAAAAAATCATTCGAAGTAGTGAACAATAAAGTTGATCTTTTTCTAGTAAAAAAATATATTTTTAATATCAATTTATAGTATTTTTAAGTGTCGTAAGACCAAAAACTGCACTGTACTTCTAAAAATAGCTAGAGAAAAATGATATGAAAGGGGGGGGGGATGATGGATATAAAAAAAAAAAGTAAAAACGTGTTCTTCTTCCGTTTTTTCTTCAAAAAAGTTCAAAGATATCTCGTTTTTCGGACTTTCTGCCCTCCCAGACACAAACTTTATGAATAAATCACTAAGGACCACCTTGCACGAACGAATACATTTTAGCATCCGATTTTATGTTTTTTCCCCTTTTGTAGAAAATATAAAACAAAAACAATAAAATAAATGTCGTTACCAAGCAGAAGAAAATCCCGTATAAAGAAATTTATCTTTGGTTTTTTTTTCTTTTTCAAAAAATTGTTATTTTGGGCAAAAACAATTTTGCAGGTCACTTCCTCAAATCTTTTTCAAGCCAGTTCAATCATCCGAACAATTCTAGTTTTCAGAAAAAAGCAAAAAAAAACTGGGAGAAAATATATGGAAAAAATGACGTGTTGTGAACAGAGCAACAAAATTATAGAAGTTTATGTGATTTGGTTTGCGCAAACAGTGTTTGAATCAAATTTTGACCCAAACACCCTCGCTTGAAAAAATGAGGGATATGAAGAAAAATGTGTTTTGGATCGAAATAAAATATGATTTAGTTGGAAAAATGTTGGTAAAAAAAATCAAATGAAATCAAATCAGGAACGAATATAATAATAACCAGAAATGTGGTTCAGTTACAGATATTTTCAGATAAAGAAATAATAAAAATCGGATTATGGAGGAGGAAAAGACATTGATGATATTAGAACTAAATAAAGAAATTACGTCGCACAAATCAGATAAACTTTTGAAATGGACTTCGTCTTATTTTTGGAAGTCTGGGAGCAGAAGAAGATGTGACGAAGCAAAGATACTATTAAATTTTTTGTGTCTATTTTCATTTCTTGAAAAGTGGGGTTGCAACTATTTTCTCAAAAACCTTTTTTTTTTTATTTTTTGAAAATTAAGAAGAAAATCTAAATTTAATGAAATCTGATCCTAATTTATTTTTGGAATTTTTTTTTTATTTTGGGAAAAATAGACCACTTGGCAATTTCTATCAAGTTTTGAATTTTCCTACAGTAACCGAAAAAAATTATGACGTGGCAAAGTTGAAGCGAAGTACTTAGGATGCGCTTCATTTTTTACAGATAAAATAATCAGAAAACGCCCTAAAAGATCAATTTTTGAACAGAAAATGTGGTCTCTTCATTTTTCTTCGAATTTTTCAAAAAAACCGGAAAAATTCCGAACAAATTTTCTTATCGATAAAATTCCACAAAAACTACTAGTGATCAAAATTCAAAAACGTGCGTAGTTTTTTGTAGAAAAAATAACGAGAAAAAAAGAATTTGAAAGAAATTTTTTGAAATTGTAAACTTTTTTAATAAGTTAAAAATATTTTAGTCGTAATCAAAACCTCAAAAACTTCTCACGAATTTTTGGAAAATTTCAAGAATCCGTCAATTTAAAAACAATTTCTCATCTTGTAATCCTTCTTCATTTTCATTCTTCAATTTCAGATTGAACATACTCTTAACTTTATCCGCTTAGAATTATTATCTCAAAAACACCCTCTTTCTTTGGCCTTTCTGATTTATTTTTATATTACTCATATTGAATAGTTTTTAAAACTTAACGGAAAAGTTTTGAAGATTCCTATTTTTATTAATTCATTTCGAGAGATAAAAATACGCTTCAGAGATAATTTTTGAAATAAAAAACCCCGATTATAGTCCTTTCTATGGAACATTTTGATCTGCAAGGGTGCGTATTGTCATAACAAAAATCGCACTTTTCACCCTTGTGATTACAGTCAAATATTGTCTCAATTGCATCATAAAAACAAAACACGCGCGCTGATAAACAACACCAGTTTCATTAAAAGTTCAATCAATCAATGTTATCATCTCATACTTAAACTATCTCCCATCACTTCATTTTCAAAAATATATAGATAAAATGCAAACTGCTAGTTTTGTTCTATTTTTTATTTTGATTCAAGGCAAGTTATACAATTTTAATTGAACAAATTATTTGTTTTCAATTAAAGGGTTGGTGCTTTCCTGGTGAAAAAAACGTCTGCAAAAAGGCGTCACAGTGTTGTGTTCAAAGTTGTGTGCAAACACACACACGAAAATTCAAAAACAAGTTGTGCGCTAGAGCGCATTTACATGCTTTATTTCGTAGGTTTTAACTTGTTTGTGATTTTGAGGAAAAACATGGGCTGAATTGATACTAGAATTTTTCTAAAACTGGAACCTTCCAGGAGCACCTTATTCCTATCTAAACCAAGCAAGATTCCCTGGCGGAGCACCAACCCTTTAAGGAAATATTTTGTAGGATCTGTTAGTCTTACATGGTTGGCTCTTCAACAACATCCAAAAGTAATCAAAAACGAAGACTTTTTCCCGGAATCAGAAGAAGCCCCAGATGATGGAATTGTTGGACATCTTGGAATGATTGGAACTCAAACTGTGAGCTTTTTTGAAAAAAAAAACAAAGTTTCAAAGAGATTTTCAGATTTACCCACGTCAATGGGAAGATGAATTATCAACAACAACAACAAAGCCGAGTACGATTGAAGATGAAGATGGAAAAGTCATAAAAATCAAAGAATCACCGTTAATTGCTAGATTATTAGCTAGTTCAAGACGGAACTAAATGAGAAATATGTTTTTTTTCTGTAAATATAAAGAAAATAGTTGACCTTTTGCTTTTTCTGCGAGGTCAGTCGAGTAGATATATAATACGTGACTTTTTCAGAGTCTATTCGAGTTATTTTTGCGAACATGTGGAGATTACTATATTATAGAGTTCATCAGGTTTTTATGAAGGATTAAGAGGATATAATTCTAGAATAATGAGAAGGAAAACAATTTTGTTTCGAGATGAAAAAAAATGATGTGGGGTGCAACAAAATCGAACTCGCAGAGAAAACTTTGTCTGAACTGACTGGAACAATGAGACTTTGATTTAAAATAAAAAAAATCTCCGAGGGCAAAAAAATACAGAATGTTGTTTAAGTAATGAACACTTCGAAACACAAAATGAAAAGCAGTAATTTTGAATTTAAAATTCAATTCAGTTCAGAATAAAGAATCATTTGTGGTTCATTCCAAAGAAACCTGTTACAAATTTTGGAAAAATCGTAAATCTAAAAAAAATAAATTTTGAAAACAGGTTTTCGTAAAATAATTTTTGAAAGAAATAGGAAAAATACTCGAATTTTTTATTCTAAAATTCAACTTGAAAAATTTACAAAAATTATCAGAAAAACTTAATTTTTTTCAAATAATTTTTCGAAAATTCGAATTATTTTTAATAAAAAAAAGAAATATCAAAGTTACAGAATTAACAACTTCAAAAATCGAAAAAGTAAACTATGACGTGAATCTACACCGTCTATTACCAGTTTTTCTTAATTGTTAAACAACAAAATTCCGATTCTAAAAAAAATCACAGCGACCAGCCCAATTTTAGTTGATTCTTTCTTCTCGTGATGACCTTCTTCTTTGAAAGTTCAATCAACAATCGATGCTATCAAATCGAGTCTATTTAAGGTTTCTGAACTTTCATTTTTCGTCTTTTCACAAAAAATGCGATTTCTTTATTTTGTTTTAGTTCAACTGTTCTTAATTGAAAATGTATATTCTCTAACTATGCTCGCGCTTCAGCAACGTCCGACAACAATTAATGAAAAAGCTATTTATTTCCCCGGTGATGTTATTGCACCAGAACCATCAATTGTTGCTAATATTGGATCAGTCGGGGGAGTTGAGGTAAAAAAAAAAACTTTTTTTTTTGACAATTTGGTCATAGTAATCGATCGCAATTTTTAGAAAGTCTGTATTTATAAAGTCAGACAATATCAAAAAATCGAACTTTAATTTGGTTTGTAAAAACTCTCCAACAAATTATCTCAGAAAAAAAACGTATAAATGTATTTCTAGATAGCACCACGTCAATGGGCAGTGGATCATCCTTCTTCACAAAACAAACCGGAACGACAGCCAAATGTACCTGTTATAATCCGACAATCTCCACTAATTTCCAGATTATTAGCAGAAAATAGAGGACTTCAAAAAGGAACTAATAATTAGTACACACTTCTTAAAATGAGAGTGAGATTTTAAAATGAAATTTGATATTTTATGATGTCACAACAATTTTCATTCGCCTAATAAAAATTCAAACTTTTATTTTGTTTTACCGTACTTCTTCTATACTTTAAAATAAAGAGTATATTTTTGCAGATGTCAGTCACATGGCAAAAGATATATCTTTTATTTTTCCGTTTTCTCAAAGTACACACAACCACTCTTAAAATAGATAGTTTGCGACCTACAGTAACCCATGGACTTGACGTGTTATTTACAAATAGCGAAAAACAAAAACTTGTTTTACTTTTGAAAATTCCGAAAAAATATAAAAGAAGAAAAACTGGAAAGTTCTGAAAAAAAGAGTAAGGTGAAATTCGACCTGTCTTGGTTAGTCGGACCCACAAAACCAGGTCAATCAATCATTTTTCGTGTCGACAACTGACAAGCGAAGAAATGATTGGGAAACGAAAGAAATGGGGGAGGAGGATGGAGCAGAACAAAAAATGAGGCAACAAAACATAACATATACACAAAGTTCTGGAAAAATCTGAAAAAAAAATGGGAGAATATGAATTAGAACGGAAGTATCGCGTCAGATCGAATTCATTGAATGTTTGAATTGAACTCTTCGAAAAAGTGGTTCTATTCAAATATCTTCAGACATAAATTTTTAAACATCAACATTTGAATCAAAAATTCCTACAAAAATCAAAGTTTTCTAGAAATAATTAAATTTCTGAAAACTGTTCTGAAACATCAGGAAACTATCGAAATAAAATTCTGTTCACCTCTTTTTCGGGATTTATATTTTCTTCACGAGATGATGTCAATCCCTTGAGATGTATATTTATTGCTATTTCGGGAAGAAGGACACAAAAAGAATAGAATAGCAACACAAGAAAAATGAGAAATTGCAGAAAAAAAAAGAATATAAGGAAGTTTGTCTCATCTTATGTTTTAAATGCCAGGTACTATTAATTAAATTTTCTAGTGCTTTCTGCAGAAAAAAACTTGACTCATTGAGAATTTTCGAACCTTTTTATAGGAAAAAAAAAATGAAAAAGTGAGATCAGCAAAGAATTATCGCCAGAAAAACCTCACAACTTTATTTTATTTCGAAAAAAAACAAGAATCATTTTTCTTAGAAATTAAAATAAAAAGCATTTTATAAAAAAAGAAAAAATTGGGAAAAATGGAGAATAATTAGAAGATTTTCTCTCAAGAAAACCTATTTTTAAAATTGTTTTTGTTCTGAAATAAAATTTTCAATTCACAGAGAAAGTACAGGTAATCTGCAAACTTGCGATATTTTCAGAAACCTCAATATGATCTCATTACAGTAACCCTGAATCTTACTTGACCCAACTACCGTAATCTTAAGCCTAACTCAAAACCACTAGAATAATCCTCTATCTGCCTATTTTTGGGTTCAAAATTTTCTTTCGAATTATCTCTACTTATATCTCGTACACATCATAACAACAAATGACGTAAAAAAGAAGATTTTTTTCAAAAAAAAAAGCAAAAAAGGAAATGGAGAACACCCATTCATAAATTCCACTCGATTAAACATAGTTCAACTTTTTCCAAAATGCTCTTCTAGAGTATAGAAAATAGGAGAAAATTATTTCTAGTGACTCATGTTTTGGAAGGAAACTTTTTGAATACATTTTGTCTTGTAAAATGATCGGAGTTTCGAATTACGTGAAAAAATAAACGAAGGGCGGAAATGTAAGAAGAAGAAGAAAGAAAAGAAGACAAAACCAAAAATAAACTCTAGCAAAAAAGTTCGTAGCCAAAAAAAACAAGACGTCGAACCGGATATTACGTCCAAACTTGAAAGTGTTTCGTTTTTCTTTTGTCCACCGATTATTTTTCCAACATAGACGTTTTTTAAAGATGACTCTCGCTTTAAATAGATGTCTATTTTTAGACTAAGAATGTTCCAAAAATATATAGCAAGTATTTATTTTGATTGAAGATTTGAAGACATTCATAATTGAATTATTCTGGAGGTCTGCTGAAGGACAAAGAACTGCAAATGACGTGTTTTCTTTTATTTTAAAAAGTCATATCTGATCAGAAAACTGGTAAAAATCCCATAAAACCCATATGGCTATTAAACTTTTTTCTTGTCAATTTATTTTCAGCTGGAAAAACATATGTGGATTACGGTAGATTTGAGATTGAGATTGAAAGATGAAAAACTGAAGAAAGAAAACACACTTTTAAAATATTTCGGAAAATTTAAAATTCTGAGCTCATTCGAATTTCTTCCTAGTACGAAAGGTGGGTGACTAAACTCACAGCTGATAGACTAACTATTTTAAAATTCTGACATAAAATTTGCAGAAGGAAATAACACGGAAACGAAAAATTCAAAACTTTTCAGACAGTTTTGAATTTTTCAACAAAACGTTAGTTTAACCCAAAAATGTGCCTTTGTACTTCTTGAATTAGAAATTTTGAACAATTGTGGTTCATAAAAAAATTGAATGAGCTGGAATTTGATTCAATTCGCCCAAAAATTCCTCTAAATAATTCATAATTTGATCTAAAAATACACCTGTAGCCGAAGAGGAGGAGGCAAAACATATAATGAATATTCTATCCGAAATTCGACCAACAATTCTTTCGAAAATGTCAAAAACAACAAGAAGGAACGAAGAAAATATAATCTTAAAGAGTAGCAACAAAAAAGTTCCATTATTCCAACGAATTTTTTTTTCAGTTTTCAGACATGACACAAAAAAGTGACGTGAAATGACAAAAACACTTTTTTTATGATCGAAATGGAAAAACACCCATTTCGTGGGACCAGATAAATAAATAAAAAAGGAAAATAAGGCAAATGGAAAACAAGTTCAAATATTTTCAGACATTTTCATTTTCGGTTTGGAGAAAAAAGCAATAGGCGGTAATCACGAGTGATACTCAATAAACAAACACGAGTTCGGTTGGAGAAACCAGGAAAATAGAGAATAAACCGCTCGAGTTAGATGAAATACATACGACTTTTAAAGTCACCAGCAACTGAGACACAATCTTGCAAAACTTGGTCCGAATTTCCATCGCCCATATTCAAGAATGCATCAGCTTCATTTTGATTCTTACCTTTCTTTCCAGGTTTTCCAAAATTCATCAAAGAAGCAAGTGAAGAAGTCATTGAATTTGCATCACATTCAATTGAATCAACAAGTCCAAGCTTTCTTTTAACATGACATCTGGCACGAGTTGCAACAAGATCAGCATAATAAACTGGTGTTGGAATTGATACTGAACGAGTACAACGACCATATGTATGACACATTCTATAAAAAATAAAGGTTTTAAAGAAATCATAGAGATATGTTTTTAGAACTTACCCATAAGTGATGTTTTGAATTTCATCAGCTGTGAACTTGCATTCATCTAGAAGAACATGATATCTTGCTGGACGAGATGTTCCTTGAACTCCATAATGTGAACATAAATAGAAATCAAAACCTTCTGGTGAAACAATTCCAGTATCAACAGTTGTACCAGGTGGAACATTTTTAGCACGTCCAACCATATCAGATGGAAATTTACAAAACATTCTTGCGTGATGACGTTTTTGAACAACAATATAAGTGATTGGTGGACGGAAATCATCAGAAATAGCCAAACAAGCAGTTCGAATTGATTGAATTTCTTCACGAAGAACTTCAGAAAATTGACCTTCTGAAACTCCATCACGATAAACAATAATTCGAGCTGGTTTTTGTTTTGTATGACGATAAAATGCAATTATTCTTTCACGGATTGCATCCAATAAATAAACAACTGATTCACGACATTTCTTTTGAACTTTAACATTTGCACCATAAGATTGTGGTAAAAGATCAACATTTGCAACAATTGCAGCAACAGATGGCATATTCATTCTCATTTCAGCTTGTGTTGGATGTGTTACATCAATTCCAACAACCATTGTTGGTTGATCAACCAAATATTTATTTGTTATTTGATCAGCAACAATTCGACTATTTATTCCACCCATTTTCATATTCAATTTCAAAACAATGTTAGCACAAGTTGCTGCTGTTGGACGAAGAACATTTTTCATCAAAACACATTGTGACATTATTCCATGAACTATATCAGATTGCTCTTTTACAGTCACTGCAAAAAATATAAAATTGTGAATCGGAAAAATAATTATGGGATGTGAAAAGAGCCGTATTCGACTCAAGAGTTTGTCAATTAATTTGGTGTCTGAAACTGAGGTTACTGTAAATTAATTTGAAATGGAAATTCGAATCTTTTCAATCTATCAAAACTCAAGGTTACTGTAGATTTTGGGCGCCAATTATTAATAACTTACTGTAAATGTCAGAGTTTTTAGATTGTAATACAACAATAACACAATCACAAACGGTATTTGTCAAACGATATTCATCAGCAATTTCAGTGAATAATACACAAACATCTTCTTTTGATCGACCATATTTAACCAAATCTGGCCAACGTGGAAAATTCATTCCCATTTGTGTTGCTTTTGCAGTCAATGATTGACAAAATGTTTGAAGTGTAGTTTGATCACGTGGATCAACAAGTGCAATCATTGAATATGAACGACATGTTGCTGGTAAATAAAGTATTTGATTATCCATTGACCATGAACCATCTTTTGGAAATACAACTGGATTTACAACTGATCGATTATTTTCACCAAACATAATTGGTGGTGGTTGAATAACACGAGCTGTTGTTTCAACCATTTGTGATGATACAGCAACACCAAATTCTTTCAAAAATGGATCAACATTAAATGCTGCTTGTGCTGCTAATGCTTTTATACGATCTTCTCGTTGAGTTGCATCAACTGCAGCTGCTTTTATAATTGCACTTGTTTGTTTTTCAGTCATTTTTTTGTTGTATTTTTGTGGTGAATCAATTAAACAATGTTCCATTGGTAAGAAAATATTACGATTTGGTGGACCAACATGAAGACATGGAAGTTTTGGATATTTTAATGGTCCATATTTTTCAGAAAAATAATCCGCAACTGAACAAATCACTTGTTTTCCATTTTCATCAACACCTTGGAACCTGCAATAAATATAATTTGGAAACATTTACGGCGAAAGTTATCAGAACTTACATCAATTTGTCGGCTGGTAATTGCAAACTGTTCACTTTATAAACACGAATTGCATTTGGACGATGAGTTGCGCGTATTTTCATTCCACGAATCGAATCACCAAAAACTCTTGCTTCAAAACTTGACAATTGTGTGTCACGGCTCAAATTCTCAATAGTGAAAATTGGACCCATTTGACCAAAATCATCACGAGATTGCGGACCACCACGTCCACCATAATTCACACATCCTCCACCTCGAGACATTCCTCCGCGTGAATTCATTCCACCTCTTTGATATCCTCCAACTCCACGCATTTGTCCACGATTTTGATTTCCACCAGATTTTCCGCTTCTCTCATTCAAAACATCACACATCAATTGTAAAACTGAAATTCTTGCTTTGTAAAATGCTGTATGAGCAACATCGATATTCAAAAGTGGTTTATAATTGCTAGCAATATGAGCACTTGAGAAGAATCCAGTCCACATTTCTTTTCCACCTTCCAAATCCAAAGCTTGTCCATTTGCAGTTGGAATACGGTAACAAGATGATTTCCAGGTGTAGAAGTTGGCAGAGTTTCTGAAATATGTTTTTAAATTTAAATCAATTTCAATAAACTCAATTTATCTTACTTCAATAATGGACACGTCAATGATTGTCTACAAATAATATCCAAAATTTGAATTGGTGTTAAAACTCTTTCATCCAAATTATTAGTTCGAGTTCTTTGCATTTCAAGCAAAACTGGACCAACATTTTGAATTGAAATTGCACAACGAGTTCGATCACGATTATCTTTTGGCAATGATGCATCACAATCTAAACGAACAGATCCTTTATCATCTGGAAATTCAAGACGAGAAACTGTATAAAGTTGATGTGCTCCATCATATGCCAATGCAAATTTATTATGGAATATTGTTGGATGATCAGAAACCGCTTTCCAGAAAATGATGCGCATTTCATCTCTGCAAATTAGTTAATTAATTATTGATTTCTTTCTTGAAAATAGTTTGTTACTTGTCTAATTTTCGACATCCTGGATGATGAACTTCAACATGATATTGAATAACAACCATTTTTGGATTCTTCAAATCAACAGCAAAAAAATTGGCTTTGACAGGAATTTGTCTTCCAATAGTTCCAAGTCCTGGTCTTGCAACAACTTCTCGCATATTCAAACATGCTAATTCGGCAAGTAAAAGTGGCGAAAGATCACGTGGTGATTCAGAATATTCAGCACCTCCTTGATCATCAACATATTGTGGGGGTGATAATGAACCATTTGAAATCAAAGGTGAAACTTGACCAGATGATGGACGTGTTGAAATTGGTGGTGACATTGATCCAGACCCTGAGATTCCTGGAATTTATGAGGCGTTGCGCCACAAACTACAGTACCCATTGAGCTACTGTGAATAACTAAGAAGCACATTGAATATTGTTGTGTAAACTCACCAGAACTCGTCAGATTTGTTGTGTCATCAACACGTGTTTCGTTGATTTGCGACATCTTTGTTGCTTTTACTTTCAGCTTCTTTGTACTGTAAAAAAGATAGTTGATTTGAGGATAATCTAGTTTAAAAGAGCTCTCACCTTTATTTGAATTTCAGTATTAGGAAAATCGGCAATGGCTGTCCTTCTCACCCGAATCTGTCACATCGACATTTTTCTGACCCAGATAAGATCTTCGACGTCATCTGGAACACGTGGAAATTAAATTCAAAATTTTAAAATTTTTTTGAGAAAAAATGAAATAAATTCCACGTATTTTTTAATGCGGTCACGGGAACAAATATTCCATTGAATGCTTTAGTCCGTGAGGTTCCAGTCAATAATTTTGAAGATGAGTGATTCAAAATGGAAAAAAAAACTAAGCAACCGGTTCAGCAAGAAAAACAAAACTGTTTCTTTCCTTTAACTTAAAAAAAAACCAAATAACCTCGCCCAATTGAATTTTTATATAAAAACTAGAAATTGTATCATGTTTTTTAGAATTATTCCCATCGGAAAATTCAGTAAAACTTCTCCGGGGAGGCTAGAAGCTCTATTGTAAAACGTGCAAGCGTGGAAAAAGTAAAAAAGTTACTCTGTCGTGCAATCGAGTGTTCGTGGTGTACACACTAGTGCACACAACATACGTGCCTACAGTACTCCAGTTTCTTTTTTTAAACTAGGGGGCCCTGCGCAGAAAGTGTTATTAAGTGTGTCCCTTTGAATCTGATGAATTTACTTTCATGGAGAGAAATTTTAAGGGTTCCCAGCTAAAATCCCAGATGAAACGCCCTACTTCAAATGACTGCGGTTCCTTAGCCAATTAATAACTTTTTAGGTTAGAAAAACTTAATCCGGGTCCCCAAAATCCCGATATCCAGGTTCCCAAGGAAAAAATTCCCAAGGAAAAAAAGGAAAAAATTAAACTCAGGCAAACGGGCCGACTAATCGGCGACCAACTGGCGATAAATCGCCTGTCAACTAGTAGTTGGTCGCACATTAGTCGGCGATTAATCGGCCTACATATAAATGAGCAGAAAAGTTGGTCGGCCGACAAAAAAAGTTGGTCGTCGATTAGTCGGCCCACAAAAGTTAGTCGGCGATTAGTCGCCCCAGGAGAAGTTGGTCAACGATTAGTCGCTCCACGTAAAGTTAGTCACCGATTAGTCGGCTAGTTTGCCTGAGAAGTAAAACAGCGACACTCGGCTTGCCTGTTGTTTAATTTTCTCACACTGTTTGAGCGGAGTGTCGTTGTTTTATTTTTACAAAATTGCGCGTAGGATTTTGTGTTTGCGGGCAGTCGGTGTTGACACACACTCTTTTTTTTCGTTATTTCTTTAGGTTTTGGATTAACATTTTTCAGAGTCCAATTTATTTATTTACTCATCTTTGATTGTCGATTTATCTGTTTTATCATATTTCTGCGGTGTTCCAGCATCTAATGCGCCTCTCATATCCTCCAATTTTTCTCTCAATTTTTCAGCATTCGGTCTTTTTTCCGGTTTATGATTCCAAGCTTCTTCCATTATTTCAGCTAATTCAGCAGGCATTGTTGGATGTGGAGGCATACGATAACCAGCGCGAACTTTTTGCTGAAATATTTTTATTTCGAAAATAGAACGTTTTCTGATCAAGAGAGAATCACCTTCACAGTATAAGCTTTCCATTCCGAATATGGTGATTTATATGGATTTTCAAACATTTCCCAAATCATCACACCAAATGCATAAATATCCGTGTTAAAACGAGTTTCCCCAATTTCCCAAACTTCGGGTGCTAACCATCGAACATTTAAAGGTTTTGATAAATCAACTTTATATACAGATGTTGCGCGACACATTCCAAAATCAGCCATTTTTACAGTTCCAAGATGTATTAAACAATTACGAGTTGCAATATCACGATGAATACAGCTAGAAAAATTGTTTTAAATCTTTAAGAAAACAAATATAAACCAACTTCTTTTTATGTAAATATTCTAATCCACAAGATGCTTGAACAACCATATCAATTCTATTTTGTACAGTTGTTTTATTTGGTCGATCTCTCAATCGATCTTCAACACTTCCACCATTACAATATTCCAAAACTAAAAGATATGGTATATCGTCCAAAATAAAACCATAAAACTTGACAATATTTGGATGATCATATAATTGCATAACGCGTGCTTCTTTCATCATTTCAGCCAAACCTTCTTCATCAGTTCCTTCTGTATCTAACTTTTTTACAGCAATTATAGTATTCGATTTAACTAATCTTCCTCGATATACAGTACCATATGCACCAGAACCAATTTTCTTTTTGAAATTAACATCTCTATGCATTAATTGGAATTTTCCTTTTGGAATCGCTCTTTTCAACAATATTTTTTCACCTTTTACTTCAATTGGTTCAACTTTCAATGAATCTATTAATTTTCCAATATTTGGCGCAGTTTTCGTCATTAATTTTGCATTATTTGCTGTTCTTTTTATTTCATATCTTCGTATTCCTTTTTTGGTTCGAACTGCCAAATAATATACATTTTTATTCATTTCTGATAACATTTTTGTCACAATCATATAATCTCCTTCATTCTGAAAAACATATGTTTGAATTAGAATAAGCCAATGTTCAATAGTCACTTACCACTAATAATTGATCCGAATCTTGATCCATGAGTGCTCCATGGAAATATGGAAGAACAACATCCTCCTCTGCTACTCTGAAGAAAAATAATTATTGGAAACAAATAGATTCACCAGATTACTGTACTTTTCAGCAGGTGCCATATTTGCAGTCTTGATTTCACGTTTTTGTTATTTGCAAACCAGAAAAAATTATTTAAAACTGAAAATTTCTAACACAATCCTTCGTTTTATATCCGAAATTAATAGGTCACGTAAGAATGTTTACGTGAAAAATGATTTCTCTCTCTTTGAATTTCATTTCCATTTTTTTCATGACGTGTCAAAAATCATTGTCTAGTTTATATCTCCTTATAAAAATTCAGTCAAGCGAACCACTCTGAAACTTGTCCTTTTTTTTATTTCGAAAAAAATAATGGTTGCTGATTCCAATTATTTGGTCAATTTTTTCGCAATTTATTATCATTTTTATTTTTTCTGTGGAATAACTTTACAGTTCAGTCTATTTTTTCTAATAATTTTTAAATCTCCCGAAAATTTAAACAAATTGAAAAGTTTCTTATACAATACAAATATCACTCAATTCTCGCTAATTTGTGTAGGTTATTTCACTCAAAACAGGTGAGAGGCATTAGTTTTTATTTTTGAAAAACTGAAAAATCTTACTTATCAGATTGTTGAATAACCCAACATCCACAGCAATTCTTTCGTATGGTCCTTGTTATTTATTTGGAGAATCCACGTGTTTCAATTTCTATTCGATATTTTTGAGCTTAACTCAAGTAGTAGGTTATTCAATTGTTTCTACTATTTTATTTCGTTATCTTCTAATTCGACATCGATCAATTCAAAATTATGTGGTTTTGATGATAAGCCTCTCATATGTTCCGGCAATTATTCAAATTTCACTTGTTTTTTTCGCAAGAAAAGATTTTGAAGAAGTTCGTCGACTGAGTATCATCTCACACCCATTTTTTGATTTCTCAATCTATCCATCAATAACTGGATTCCCTGATAAATCTCATTGGACTTATCAAACTTCAGATGCTTTGCTTGGATTTGGAGCATATGGTGTGCCAATATTTTCGATGATTTGTTGTATGAATATTTTAAAAACGATTCCAAAAAATAATTCGATGTCTACCAAAACCAAACAGATCACTAAAACACTCATCCACGTGAGATTTTTCTCGAAACAACTATTAATAATTTCCTCGTGACTTTTAGGGCTTGATATGTCAGACAGTTGTTCCAATGATTTCTTATATTCCACTCTTCACTGGTTACATCATTTCCCAGGTTACTGGACGAGAAATTATTATAATTGGTGAGTTTGAACTAAATATAGAAACCTGCTATATTTTGTTTTCTCAAAAATGATAAGTTTTGAAAGAGCTTAAAGCAACACCCTCGTATAATAAGGCCATTGCGAAATGCTTTCAAACACCAAAATAAATAAAATTAACCTATTCAGCTATACTCACAAGAAATATGAAGAAGAAATACTCAAAAACGATCAAGTTTGACCGATTTTGAAAAAAAAAATTATTTTTTTTGAAAATCGCCTGCAGATTGTGCAGATCCGCAATTTCATGACATTTGTGCAAACACTGTGACGACAATTGTGTACTACAGTACCCCTTTCAACTTTTTTTCAACAAAAAGTGAATTGTTTCACTGAAAACAATGAAATAAATTGTAACAATGATTTCTGAATGTCCTTAACCATCTCTACTTTCATTTTTGACAATGATAGTTCAGTTTTATATTGCATATTCCGGTCAAAAACTGAAAAAACACAATTTCCATTGGAAAATTGAGTTTTCGTCTGAAATATTGAATCTTAGTGTTTATACTTCTTCAATTTATTTTTTTCATACCCAGAAAACAGTTTTTTCCATGCAAATTGTCATTTTCCGAAAAAACGAAAAAATTTTGCGAAAAAATAAAAAGAAAACAACGAGACTCCGCGTTGACGCTAGCCCGCGTTGTTTGAATTCGAGTTTTTTCAATTTTTCAATGGGTTTCCATATTTCGGCTAATACTTATTGAAACGTTTTGAATTTTTTCTCCGAACTAGAAAACAGTAAAACTAAGCTAAATCTAAGATTTGAGAGCATTTGGGCTTTTTTCAAGAAAGTGCCTATTATACGAGGGTGTTGCTTTAACAATTTGTAGAACATCTTCTTATGGTTGCAGCCGGGTTTCCAGCAATAATTGATCCAATATTCTCATTTTATTTTGTAGTTCCATACCGAAATTATATCTTGACCATATTTAAATGCCGGCCAAAATTAACTCAAACGTCTTCTGTGGTCAACGTGTCTCTGGCAGCAAGTAAGATTACGATCATTCATTTAGTTTAATGAAAACTTTCTAATATTTAGAATGGATTCCAACTGCCTAATAGGTCACACAAATTTGTTTTTTTTTAATGGAAATTTAGAATTTCATTTTATGTTTATACATTGTAAATGTTCTTTCATAGCAAAATCATTCTTCACGTGAGAATTCTATTTTCTAGTTTATATCTCCTTATAAAAATTCAGTCAGGCGAACCACTCTGAAACTTGTGTTTTTTTTCGAAAAAAAATGGTCGCTGATTCCAATTATTTGGTCAATTTTTTCGCAATTTATTATCACTTTTATTTTTTCTGTGGAATAACTTTACAGTTCAGTCTATTTTTTCTAATATTCTTCAAATCTCCGGAAAATTTAAATAAATTGAAATATTTTTTATACAACACAAATATCACTCAATTTTCAATTATTTGTGTAGGATATTTCACTCAAAACAGGTGAGAGGCACTAGTTTTTATTTTTGAAAAAATGAAAAATCTTACTTTTCAGATTGTTGAATAACCCAACATCCACAGCAATTCTTTCGTATGGTCCTTGTTATTTATTTGGAGAATCCACGTGTTTCAATTTCTATTCGATATTTTTGGGATTAACACAAGCTGTTGGTTATTCAATTGCTTCTACTATTTTATTTCGTTATCTTCTTCTTCGACATCGATCATTTCAAAATCATGTGGTTTTAATGATAATCCTCTCATATTATCGAAAATCTCATCGGTACCACGCGCTCCGCCGAAATAAACACGCAACGCAGACCGCGTCGCGCCACAACACACACAAAAAAGGGAGGGAATTTGAATCGTTCCCTTATTTGTGTGTGTTGTGGCGACGCGGTCTGCGTTGCGTGTTTATTTCGGTGGAGCGCGTGTACCGATGAGATTTTCGATAATATATTCCAGCATTTCTTCAAGTTTCAATGGTATTTTTCGATGATAGAGATTTTGCAAGAGTTCGTCAATTGAGTATGATTTCACATCCATATTTTGATTTTTCGATTTATCAATCAATAACTGGATTTCCGAGTAATTCTGCATGGTCTTATAGATTTGCAGTATTCCTTCTAGGATTTGGAGCCTACGGTGTTCCGATTTTTTCAATGATATGCTGTAGAAATATTTTGAAGACTATACAAAATAATAACACAATGTCCGTCAAAACCAAACAAATCACAAAAACTTTGATGCATGTGAGCTTTCTTTTCTTAGGAATTTGATTTCGAAATTCTCGTGACTTTTAGGGTTTGATTTGCCAGACAGTTGTTCCAATGATCTCTTATATTCCATTATACACAGGCTACATTGTATCCCAAGTCACTGGAGAAGAACTGATTCTAATTGGTAAGTAAGTTTGAACTAAATATAGAAGCGCTTTGCAATATATATGCATGAGAAAATTTATTCACAATTTACGAAAAAATAATATTTGACAAAATACGAAAGTTATTTGTCATGGCATGCATTAAATAAATCGAATAATTGGGAGAAAGAATCAGATTTAAATTAAAAAGAGGATTTCTAGATAAAGAGATAGAATTTGAGAGGGAGAGAGAATGGAAGATAGGAGACTAGTGTTAGAAATATATTGCAATAAAACTATGCGGGGGTATTCTTTCTACTTATATATTAGTTTTGTTCTAAGCACTTGTCTAAAGCTTCGATAATTTTCTTGCCTGATGAGAATCTTTCGAGGCGTGGAGTATTGCGCAAAACACGATCCTTGATACGTTCCAACCAGGCGGCATACAATTCAACGTGGCTTGGATTGATATTCTCCGATGCTCCATTCTTTTGGAAAACAACAACCGAACAAATATGAATCATTTGTTGAATGATGTAATTGCCGTATTGATGGAACAAAAGAATATCCAATGCATCGCGATTGGTTTCACTGAAAACACGGAATAAAAATCATGAGAATTTGAAGTTGAAGATGATCAAAACTTACGGATGAGGAATGTATCCTTCGAAAATCTCCTCCATCATGTCAACGAGCAAATGATGTGGAGCATAGAGGAACGATATCTCAACAACGTGAGAAGCGTATTTCTCTTGAGCCATCGAGAGAAGATTGCGACTAGAAAATAGAAAAAAAATTAAATAATTTTCAAAACTCGAACCTCGATATCACTTACAGCAAACAGTTCTTGATTATTTGATCGCGATAAGCCTCCATAACTCCACCACTTTTGACGACATGTTGAACAACATAATTGGCGAATTCGTTAGACGCCAATTGTGCACAGTTTCTCGTGACACCATCCATAAGTTGACGAAGAAGAACAACACGTTTTGGATAACATGGAGCCAATGGGTTCTCGGTCAATTTTTCGATAGTTGATTGGATTACACGACAGCCATATTTGTCTTGACAAACCGAGATCAAATACTCATCGTTTTGGAAATAGTCGACGACAAAGTTCCAAGCGGAGATTGGAAGAGTTTTTATGATCTGAAAGGAAAATGACATTATAATGGATGTGAGTTAAAAATAGAGAAGGCTTGCCTTTTGAATGACGTGATTTCCATTTTGATCAATACTCAATTGAACCAAATCAGATCCTCTCAATTGCAAAGACAAACGCGAAGCGAGATGAGTATCCAATTTTTGAATTGCGAGTTGAATAACGCGACACGCACTTTTGTCCAAACACAATGAAAACATATCGGTGACAAGATGTTCCATCACAAATTCTTGTTCTTCGCAGCGCGAACATTCGACGATGCGTTGAATGAAGAAGTTGCCAAACATGTTACGACAAATTGCCAAAAACTTTTCGCGATTTTCAACAACTTTCTTGAAAACCTCATCGTGAATTCCATTGTCAGAGTGAGATGGATATTGTTCTTGGAGGAAACGGCATCCATTCTTATCAGCAGAGAATTCGAAGAGAGCGTTTTGATCGAGAACATCGCGAAGAGTAACATGTTCAGCAACATTTCCTTGATCATCAACAGCCCAAGCTGGCAGAGTGCTACGAATAACACCGCGGTTGCTGAAAATTATAAGGTTTTCTAGAGCTTACAAACTATTTATGATAAACCTGAAAGTTGAGTTGATTGTTGTGTTGAAAGTTGAATCATCAAAATCAACTAATCTTGGCCGATTCAAACTATAAACACTTCCTCTTTGTGGAGTATTTCCATTCGAAGAAGCAGCCGATGCTCCATTTCTCCATTTGTTCAATCTTCCAGGTGCTTTATTCTCGCTCCCATTTCCATTTCCATGACGAAAAGGTGTCCAAGCAGATGGAGTGAAATTCTTAAAACTTCCCAATGTGAGCGAATCACCAAAATTGCTGTTTTGCTGTGGCGAGTTGTAAATTGTCGACGAACGTCGGAATGGTGAATCTTGGGGATTCATTTTCGGCTAGTAAAAACGGCACAACAATCGATGAATTGATGAAACTGAATGGATCGCCGTGGAATCGGCATCAAACTATAAATTTAGGCGCGTAATTCCAAAAGTTCGCGGGGAAAATGAAAAAGACGCACACACTTTTTAAACTTTTCGTTGTGAGATAACAAACAAATGTGTGTGTTTCTTCAACTACCGTAGTGATTTATTTATTCATATATTTCTGTTTCAAAATTTTGAAGAAACTGGAGTGCATAATTTTTGTGTAATAATTTGTAGAACATCTTCTTATGGTTGCATCTGGATTTCCAGCAATAATTGATCCAATATTCTCTTTTTATTTTATCGTTCCTTACCGAAATTATATCTTGACCATATTTGAATGCCAGCCAAAATTAACTCATGCATCTTCTGTCGTCACCGTTTCTCTGGCAGCAAGTAAGGCTCCGCCCATTTATTTTTAGTTCTTTCTAATAATAATTTTTTCTAATATTTAGAATGGACTCCAACCGCTACGTAAAATGTTTTACTGTTTACTACTATATTTATATAATCTTCGGTTTATTATCCCAATCAATTTTGTTTCATTTAATCCGTCGAAAAAGTCCTCCAAGTTTATCAAGTTTGAAATATTATCTCTGGAATACTTGCCTGATCCAAATAATCGAAATTATTCTTGGGTTTTTCACACAAAATCGTAATTTACCAAATAAAACTTCTCTGGCAATTTTACCCGGCGGACCATGCAAATATTTTTCGGAATATGTTTGTTTCGCATGCTATCATATTTTTCTAGCAGTTTCAATGTTAGTTGCAATAAGTATTGCAAATACTGTTGCTTTTCGTTTTTTACTTCTTCGATATAACGGTTTATCAAAGCAAAGTATTATGAAAATGATTGCAGCTTCCTATATTCCATCAATCCTATTATCAGTAAGTTGGCATTTATTTGGAAAATTCTTTGTTTTTGTTAATTACATATTTTTCTAATAGATTCCAAGTTTCTATTAATAAATAGTAATTTTAAACAAAATTCAAAGATAAGAATTCTAGAAACTAATTTTTATACGCTTCAAAGAATTCGAGATCAAACTCTTATTACACTTTAATTATGGGAACTTTTCAACAAAAAAAGTAGATAATTGTCAGATAATTCCTTTCTTGGATACGTGGGATTTCTCCGAAGTCAGACGACTCACAGCAATTGAACATCCGACTTATGATCTCACAATTTATGGAAATTATCCGGGATTCGCAAATATTACAACAGTTCCATTTTTAAGTGCAACATTAATAGTTGCAATCGGAGCATATGGAATCCCACTTTTATCAGCGATTCTAACAAAATGGATACTTTCAATGATTTTGAGAAATGGAAGTATGTCAAGAAAAACAAAACATCACGCAATTATGCTTGTCTATGTACGTGAGAAAAATTGAAAATCTCATTTCGAAACAAAAATCTTATTTTAGGGTTTGGCTTGTCAAACTCTTCTTCCGCTCATTTCATATGTTCCAATTATAACTTTATATTTAATATCACAAATCACTGGAGAGGAAATGCTTTTGACCGAACACTTTCTTATGTTATGTTCAGGTTTTCCAGCATTAATTGATCCATTCATTTCATTTTATTTTATTGTTCCATTTCGAAATGCGTTGATTGGGTTTGTTCGGAGAAAACCAGTGATTGAAGAGACAACAATGGTTGTTTCAAGTGTTTCATTTGTCAAACGTAGTTTGTGATTATTAAAATTTATTGAACTTATTTATTGATAAAATTGAATAAAAGGAAACAGAAAAATCGAACTTTTTGAGTACTGTATTTTTTAAAGCGATCCTTGGACTTTTTTGGTAGATTTCAAAAATCTAAAATTTTAGCACAATTTTTTTCACCTCCTAAAGTTTCAGAAAAAGTTTATTCAACGATTCGTAAATAATTAATGTGTTACAAGGTGGTACTTCTAGTCACTGAAACCGCCACAACAATCCTTTTTGGTCTCTTATTTGGACATAAAAAGTACAAAATAGCTTCTCGATAAGGGACCACAAAATAGAAAGAAATCAATGGGTCCAAAAGTCCCGGAGAAGATGCAGTTGCCAAAATTAGATGTTCCGATAACAATATTTCTTCTCCAGTTGTCTGTGTGTATAAATAACAAGTGAAGGATGGAATATAAGCCAAAAGTGGATAAACAGTTTGCACCAATAAACCCCTGATAATATTTTATAATTTATTTAAGAAGTTCTTTAGTAGAATTTTAGAAACTTTGAAACTTACATAGATCAAAGTTCTTGATTGCTTTTTTGTTTTTTCTGACATATTTTGATGATATTTAATTAGAATCAAAACTTTTCTTGTTAAAACAGAAGTGAGGATTGGTAACCCATAGACACCGATAGCAAGAATAACAGTAGCTGTTAGAAATTGGATGTTTTGTGCATCATAAAATCCAGGATATTCGCCATAAACACTCAAATCATAAGTAGAATGGTCCAATCGAGTTAAATTTCGAAGAACTACAAAATCCCATTTTCCAGTAAATGGAATTATTGTGACAATAATTGGGAAAATGTAACCAATGAAAATTAATAGATAAATATGTGTAACCGTTATCATATGATTACTTATAATAACTAAATATCTGAAAACTATTGTATTTGCAATTGCAATTCCAGCTGCCATTGTAATTGCCATATGAAATTGATAAATTGTGAAACAAAAATATGGACCAATTAAATTACACGGTCCTCTTGTTAAAATCGCCAAACTGTTTTTACTTGGAAGTGATCGATGTTGAAGGAGAAATGAAGTTATTATAAGTGCTAATTGTGCAAAACATCTCAGAGATTCGCTGGCCATCTCGCCACTAGATCAGGACCAGGTGGCCGGAAAGTTCAAAACGAGCTGAATTTGATTCGGCCACCAGGTCGCCTTGAGTTTTCCGGCCACGTGGCCTGTGTGTTTGAAATCCTGGAAAGCTGGCAAGACCGTGGTTTGTACTCAAAATAGTGCATTTTTTACTGTTTTTTTCACTTCCGAAGGTTTCTAGTACTCCGAAAATACAGAAAATGAGCCAATTTCTTCTAGAATGCTCGGATTCACAAGTTTTTTGGACTTTTTTTCTCTTAAGCGAGACGATCTGGACGCGAGGTCGGGTCGAGCTGGACAACCTGGGCGAGGTGGTCTGCATGAACTGAACCACCTCGCGACCAGGTCGTCTGGCAAAAAATACGGGCGATGTGGTTGTCCGTGTCAATTTCAGATGGCCAGTCGGTCCCACCTAGTGACCAGCTGGCCAGCGAATCTCTGAGATGTATTGTACAGAAAATATTTCATATGATCTAATGTAGCTGGCGATTTTTTAGTGATCAAAAATAATAACAAAGTTTGGAAAAACAATCCAAATATTGTGTAAAATATATAGTATCCATCAAAGAATGAAACATAAAAGTTTGAGTTGCTCATTTTTCAACGGTTTCGATGTGTGAGCATCACAATTCATGCATAATCATTTCTTTAGAAACGAGTATGAAAAAAAGAAAAAACTTTGCTCGTGTGACTTTCATTTGAAAATATGTAGCGGAAAAAACACAATTCTTCAATTATTTTCTATCATAGCACAATTTATTCCTTCAAAAACCCGAGTTCAACAATTTCCTTGTGATGCAAAAATACGACAGCTAGGAGAATGAATAAAAGTATGAAGATGAGTGCTGTGATTATGAAGATTATTCTGCACAGTTTCTGGAAAAATGTTCCACTTTAAACTTTTGGAAAAAAAATTATTGGAATTTATTATTCAATTTGCATAATTGAATCAAAAATTTTTGATAAAACAATAGGATCATTTTGGTTCCTTGTCTTTTATTTCATTTTCATTTTGTTGCTGAAACAATAGGGTTACGGTAGAAATTTTTAAGACATTGCTGTTTTTAAAACTAATAGTTTCGCGATGTATCTATTTTCGAACAAGGCATTAGAAATCAAAATATTATTCATGCAAACTAATTTTAAAATATTACAATTTTTAGTTATCCAAATTTAGAAAAGCTGAACAAAACAACTTTCAGAAAACTGGCCAAATCTAAATTTTAAAAAATAGGTTCTAAAATGTTCTTTTGATTCAAGAAAATGATATTATTTTGGTCCGAAGAATGTTGAAGTTAAAAAAAACTGTTGAAGTTCAAAAAACCAAGGAACCTTGTGAAATTTAATTAGTTTATTTGATATTCAAATTCTCCAACGTAACTTAAATTAATTAATTCCAGATTATAATAAACTTTTCGAGAACCCATATTCCATACCATCGCACCCCTTCCCATAAAAATCTTACCAATTTCGAATACAATTTTCTCAACTGCTCCTCTTTCTTCTTGATTTCTTTCGATTCCTTCTTCTTTTTCCGACTTTTAACTTTCAATGATCCACTTTTTGGTGTTGAACTTGCTCCTTTCAACATATTCGGATCATATTCTGTTGTTTTCAATGGATCGCCTTCTTCGGCTCCATGCGGTGAATCCAACTCATTCATTTATAAAAAATGAGCAATATTTGAATTTTTCGAGAAAAAAAAACAATATTTTTGTTGTGTTGGAATTTTCACGTTTCACGCAAATTTTGCATTGTTTAATTATCAATTTATATGGTGTTTGTTGTTTGATCAATCAAGCAACCAAAAAAAAAAGAAACAGAAGCCGGAAAAAATTTCGAAACAACAAAAAACAATGTTTGTTTTCAAATTGATTGTTAACTTCTTCTTCTCCTACTTCTTCCAGCCTTCATTTTCTCTTCAATTTTTTCTCCCATTCTTTTCATCAATTTTTTCCACATTTTTTCACAGTATAAAAAGTCGTCATTTTTCTCAGAGACTAACAATAACAAAAAATTGTCTGAAACACAGTTCGATGCTGATTTTGATATTCTTTTTTTGTTTAAACAATGTGTAAGTTCGAAAAATATCCAGTTTGATTTAATTGTTTTGTTTTATGACTACTGTACTTTTAGGGTATTGACAACGGGGAAAAGGACACAAGTTAGTTTTTGATTTGATTATTTTCAATTTTGTTTGTTTTTTTTTATTTAACAAATAATTTTTGCAAGGTTTTATGGATGGTTCCATCGTGGACTTGTATTGGAGAACATTCAATCCCAGTTGAGGAAAATGGCATGATTCAAAACGAGAATCAACATTACAAAAATGGATCTAAATTTGCAATGTTCTATATGGAAAAATTCGGAAAATTTCCATATTTTGAAGATTTCGAGAAATCGATTAACGGCGGTTTGCCGCAAAATGGCGATATTTCCGAACATTTACGACTTGCTGAGAAAGACATTATAGAAATGATACCATCAAAAGATTTTAATGGAATCGCGGTGATCGATTTGGAACATTTCAGACCGAGTTGGGAATTGAGTTGGGGAAAGTTTGGTATTTATAAAAAGGAATCGATAAAACTTGCGAGACAAAATCATCCAACATTATCGAAAGAAGAACTAACTTTGTTAGCTCGACAGGAATACGATACTGCAGCAAAGTACGGTAGTAGTTTAAAACTAACAGATATATTTTTTGAAGTCTCATTCTAAAATATTGTATTCCCTGGAAAAGTTTAATTGTAAGCTCAAAATGTTTTTTTTTAATGTAATTCTAATTCCAAAGATAAATTACCAACCTAGCGATCAAATACTTTTCAGAAAATATTTCGTCGAAACAATCCGACTTGGAAAACGACTCCGACCAAATGCAAAATGGGGATATTATTTGTTCCCAAAGTGCAATGACAATGTCGGTCAAATTGGAGAAGTTAAGTGCAGTGAAAAATTTAAAATCTATAACGAGAATTTGAGTTGGTTATGGAAAGAAAGTCAAGCTCTTTTCCCATCGTTTTATTTGCATCCAAGAACAAGAGACACTCATGAGTTTAATAGAAAAAACTTCGCGGTTAGTTCTTTTTTTTATTTGGAATTTCCCAAATTTCATTCCAGGCTCTGATCACTGAATCCCGGAGAATCAAGAAAATTCACTGCCCTCATTGTGAAATCCACATGTTCACAGGTTTCGAATACGATGCTTATCGCAACCCATTAGATTTATATTCCAAAAAAAGTCTACGCGTAACTCTTGAATCTGCAATGCGAATGAATGTGGATAGTGCAGTGTTTTGGAGCACAAGTAAAGATATGAAAAAAAGATGTGATAATATTGCGAATTATGTCAATAAATCTCTTGGTCCACACATTCAATTTATCAATAATGATTTGGACAAATGTCAGAAGAAAATCTGTAGAGGAAAGGGAGAATGTTATCTTCCAAATAGTAAAGAGTCAGTTTTATTTTTAAAAATTGTACATTTATTTGCAAAATAATCAATTCAGAAATCCAACATCATCTGACTATCTTTGCCGATATGATCAATGAAATCGATAAATATCAAAATGTTGTAACTGGTCGGGATCTGGGCTCTGCAATTTTCTCTAATTATTATTATAATAAGTTAATAAATATTTTTCTAATCAAACCTGGTAATTTTGGAACAGAGCTGTTGTCTGATAAAAATCCAGCTATATTTTTGGCAAACAAATGTTTGACAATATTTCGAACCATTGAATTCATAAAAAGAAAAAGAAGAGGATTGACAAGTTGGTTGAAAATTGAAACGCTGAAAAACTTGTTTTATCGAAATTAGCTGAAACCCATTCAATTTGATTTTACGAGTGGAAAAATCAAATTGAATTGGTTTTTTTTTTGAAATTTAAAAAAAAGTTGAGAAGTTCAAGAGTCATGATTAATCATTTTTAATCTAGATGTTTGCTTTTGCTTATTGTGGAAATTGCGAAATTGCACAAATAAAAAATTGATATAAAAAGTTGAACTTTTCATTTCAAATACATTTCTCGGAAAATGTTTATCACCGTATTTCTAATAGTTATACTTGCAAATTCGGTGCAAACTAATTGGAATCAAGAAAATTTCAACCCTCAACAAGATGATCATTCTTGCAAATGTGTTTCGGACCGATGTGCGTGTTGTGCCACCAAAAAAATCATTTTCGAAAAACACACATGTTTGTGAAACTATTTTTATTTTAGAAGTTGAACCCCAATTTTTCAGTCTGTGTAATTTTCTCAAATCGAACTACCGAAACCGATGATGCATTCGATGCTACCGTAACTATCGACAATTTTAATATGAGTAATCTAACATCAATAAGTAATTCCTCATCACTTTGTGTGAATCATCAAAATCTAGTGTGCTTCGATTTCCAACGCGTAAGTCCTACGTTTTGTGTTTTATATTTCCAAACTTTTTACAGCTCAACAAAACTAATGGCCGATTAAATGGGTGTGTGGAAGCTCGCATACATTTCAGTTTATTTTTCTTGAGGGACATGAATTTCGGTTTAGGATGTTTTTGAAGTCTGTTGATATTTTTTGTTGTTATGAATAAAGAGTTACTAACCAGTAACAAAAAATAGTCCAAATCCAAGTGACAGAAGTCGGTGCAGTTTTGAGAAACGGGCTTATCATATCAGTCACATTTACAAGTTCCAAAGATAAAGTGATAATCACAGCTTGTAACATCAAAATTCGATCACGATCCGAGTTTTTGGTATTCTCAATAACTTGACGCTTTTTAACAATATACAAATAAATAATAAAATACATAACAAGCATAACAACTGGCAAAGACGTTGAACATAATGTGAAAAATTTGGTCAAAAAATTAGTTCCTAATAATTGTTCTTGAGCGGATAGTTTTTTCTTTGAGAACACTTTAACAGTTCCATAATTATAGTTCCAAAAAACTATAAAGTTGATATAAATCCAGATTATTATGGATATAAGATGAATGTTTCTTCTGAAATCAAAAGTCTGAATTTGTGAAGATACAGAAGTGAGATGAAAACTAACGTTGTGAAATATTTCAAAAACTCTGGAAAAATAAAAACAACAAATCGATTAATGGCCATTAATAAAGTAAAATATAGGGAGGCTTGTTCGGTTATCATGATAAAATATGAGCCAATCTTATACCAGAAACGATTTGCAGAATCTTCATCACTCTGAAAAATACGAATTCAGAAACGGGTTCAGAAAAAAAAGTTTTAAAGAATTCCATCATTTTTCGTGTTCTCGTCGTCAGAAATATCTCACATCACCTACAGTATCACCTCCTCCAAACATAAAATATCCAATTCTATTCTAGTCAGTTGTTTATCCGCTCACCTCATATAACATAATCGGCAAAACAGTTGTGCATTGCATAAAAACATGAATTGCATTAGCCACCGTCAAATGATAAACAATCGCAAAAAATGGGAACTCTTGAAACTTCTTGCGACCTCGATATAAAACTATAATAAAAAGTGTGACACACAAAACACCGACTGCTAAAAGTGTTGCAAAAGTGATTGCAGCTGCAACAATTGGAATATATTCTGTTGTTGTGACATTTAATGCAGTTATCGTTTCATTCAAAATTAATGTGCCTTTTCCCTAAAAATTTTAATTTATGCAAAAATTTTCCAATAAAAATATTTTACTGAAAACTTACTGGATCTTCTGTGACAGCTGCAACTGTACCATTTGGCTCAGCCATTATTGTTGAAGAAGTTGTGATATCTTCACTCATCTCAAGAGAAAAATAATTTCCGTTGCTGCAAAAAATAAAATTTGATTTCAAGAAGAATGATATTATTCAGAAAATGTCATATGTAAATTAATTTCATGTGAGTACGTGTTGGAACTTGTGAGAATGATAAAAAATGTTGAAAACAAATTTAGATCTCAAAAATCAACTGAGTAAATAGTGACAAAATTATAGATTATCAAAGAATGTGTGGGTTCAAAAGAAGAGATAAATAGTAATTTAAAGATTTATTTATAGATTATTTATGCTTTGGATTTTCATCTTCGAGTTTTCAGGAGCAAACAAAATAAAAGCACTGTATTGGAAAAATATCACCTGACAAGAAAAACATATCAAAAAATTATGGAAAATCTAATAAAAAAAGAATTTTGTCGCGATATAATTTGCCTATAAAACAAAAATCTCGAGTTAGGCGAACTCTGAAAAATATGGAGATTTTTGAGTTTTCTGACAAATAAAAATGATAATAAATTTGTTTGCGCAGTTAATTATTTGGAAGGAATCAAAAATCCCTCGTGGACACCAATACTTTTTCCGAAGTGAAAAATAAAATAAATAATATTTTTTGCTGATTCTGACTGAGTCATAGAAAAAACACGAGATAACACAATTTGAGATATTTTAGGTGATGTATCATTAGAAAGCGACACTTCTTGAAATGATTACTCATGAATTTTTAATTTTTAATTTTTTGCGTACACTTTTAAACCAGAACACAAAAAAATGATAAAAATCATCCCAGTCATTTCTGAAATAGTCTGAGATATTTTAAGTAATATATCATTAGAATACGACATTTTTGAGAAAAATTATGATTACTGATAAATATTTGATTTTTCAAGTACATTTTTTGAAAAATCAAACCAACACAAAAACTTTAATCAAAATTCATGCAATTCAAAACGTGAACTATGCAAATTAATTTCTTGAGTACATTTCTTGGAAATTTTGAGAAAATTTCAAGTTTTGGTTTTTTGAATATACGATTTGAACTCCAAATTCATTTCTTGAGAAATGTGATACGTTTCTCAAATCTTACCAGAACACAACATTTTTCAAGATTAGAATTTAGAACTTTTATTCAGCATTTTGAAACGTGATCTAACTGAAAGTTTTGCAAGTAGAATATATTCAATGAGTCATAAAAAAGACAGGTGTGATAAATAATTCCCGAATCATTTTATATTTTTTGCAAAACAAAACATTCTGTCCGTATACAACTCATGTGATAAATCAAGTTATGTTACGCGAATTACGAACACCCCATAATTTGAAATATCAAAACACCAAAAAACAAGTGTGTTTTAGTTCTCTCAACAAAAAAACGAATCAAAAAAATCTTTATTCTAATTTTTCTTATTCAACTCTCCAATCACCACATATTCTCTACGCATTTTGTTCGAAAACTTTTTGGGTGGCAATTTGTCATCTGGAATTACAGCAAGATTTTCGGCAGGAATTCTGGTCAAAATATCCGGTAATTGTTGTTTTCGAGCCGCTAAATCGTACAACAAAGCCAAGTCTTGATATTCGTCGTTGGCTTTGAAGTTGACAGATTTCGAAGAAGATGTTTTTGATTTGGATTTGGATTTGGATTTGGATTTAGATTTGGACTTTTTGGTTCGAGGAGAAGATTTTCTAGTTTGAGACGATGATTTTGATTTTTTGCTTCTTGTTGAACTTTTCGTGGAAACGATTGAACTTTTAGATGTTTTGGATGAAGAACGACTAGGACGAGAAGATTTTTCCAAATCTATTTTCAACATTTTCATGAATGATCTTATAGGTCTTTTCAGATCATCAGGTCTATCAGAAGAAGTTGAAGACTCGTCGTCATCTCTGAAATTGAAAAACTTGTTATGAGGGTTGGAAAATTTTCATTTCAAAAACTCACTCAGCATCGCTAAAACGAATATCGATGTAGATTTTCTTTCCTTTTTCCGTTTTCTCCGATGCTGTATCATAGTTCGAAATTGTAGTATAAGCACATACTCGTTTTTTCGAAACTTTTCTCAATTTTGATTTTGATTTCCCCTCTTTGCCTTCAGATTTCGAAGATCTACACGATGGTTTGATAATTTTTGGAGTTTGAGTTTGACTTGACTCTCCGCTATCTTCGCTAGTATCAGACATATTCGCGATTCTTTAGAAACAGTTTAATTTCAACCAGTTCCGAATTTTCTTCGATTAAAAATTGATTTATTATTTTTGTTTTTTCTCCTTTTTTTTTGAAGGGGCCATGAATCACGAGTTCACGTTTCAAATGCATCCTAGCAACCTTTTTTTCGCGTTTTTTTGCGTGTCGAATTTTTAGTTTGAAAAATAAAAAAATGTCAAAAAGCAGTGAAGGTGTAGCTCTTCGAGAGATCCATTGGAAAACATTGGTTCTGGGTTCTCATTATCCAGATGAATTCAATGCTGGAAAATTTCGAAGTATTCCAACTGATCAATTTCCAATTGATATTGTTTTGGGATTGGAAAAACCTGCCAATATTTATAAAGTTCAAATTGATGTGGATGAAAAATTGACACGTATGTTTTTGATTTTTTTTCTTGCTGGGTCAGCAATGCTGACATAACGTTTTTACAGCCTCCAGAATTTCGATTCGAATTGGCTATCAAAGAAATCTTCAAGAAGAAGTAAATTATAAAAATGCGCGACTTGCGAAATTTCAAAAACCAGTTATTTTGGATTACCATAAAAGACAAAGATCAATGAGTCGTATTGATACAAAGTAATTTGAATTCGAAATTTTGAAACAAGATTTATTAATGTTTAATTATAGAAACGCTTTTACTGATTCTGTCGGTCAATATGTTTGGATTACTGTAGAAAAGGCGATTGATCATATTGTGAATCCAAATGGAATTGTTGGCATTGATAAATTGGTAGTTCTAGGTTACCCACTTCCGGTTCATAAAATCGAAGAAGAAGAGAAAGAAAAAGAAAAAGAAAAAGAAAAAGAGAGACCAGTATCGAAAGCATCTATTAGATCTTCAACTCCCAAACCAAAACTTGAAGATCGAGTTGTAAAAATTGAAAGGCATAGCTAGTAAGATTTATTTTACTCCAGAATTCCAAATCCTAAAAAATTCCAGCGAAGGCGATGGTATGTCAATGACAAGTGAAAATATCCTCGGAGGGGATCCATTGACATCAGTTCGCACAATTCGACGAGTTTTGGAGAAGAAAATGGAAAAATCAAACGAGGCTGGCAAAACAATACAAGCTACAGTATGTTTGAGAGCTATTCAGCGGATTGATGAATATGAGGCGAGGATTGAAGATTTGTCAACCAGACGGAGTAAGGCTCTTGAAGTTGGCGATTTGCAAATGGTAACCTTGTCTCTGAATGAGTGATACCAATAACAATTTCTATTCATTCAGGCAGAGCGACATCGTTTAGCTATGATTGATTGTCGAGACACTGTTTTTCGCGCAATCCATGTGGATCTGCTGTTAGATAGAGAAGAACTACACGCAATTGGAGTGGAATCAGAATGGGCTTCAAATGAGCAGACCTGAATTATTTTCAAAAAATAAATATTACTGTATTTCAAGGTGCACACACAATTTTTTCTTGGTCTTGTTGCGCGCGCCCGCGAAGTTTTTTATTTAAATATTTTCTTTTTTTTCGAGAAAAAAATTTCCGTTGTTTTTTATTTCTTTCTCGTCGCCATGGAACCGCCAATGCTGAATCGACAAGAAAGTTTAGAGTTCAAAGATGCCGTCATTGATGAGAAATGGTTGCGATCGGCGGCGAATAGAAAAGGGCATTTGGCGAGTGCAGATCACCAGAAAAAGAAATCTGGTTGGTTTGGTCCGAAAAAATCGGCGGATGAAGAACTATTGGAACGTGTGGAGAAGCACGAAATTGAAGAGTTGCAAACATTCATCGCCCAAAAACTGTTTCGTGTTGATGGAATCATTTGCGATGAGCAAACTAGAATTTTATTGATCGAAAAATTGATAAACGCCAGGGATTATCCAGAGGTCTCCAATGATGAATTCATCTACAGATATGGGTAACTATTTTTGCTTTCTCGATAGAACGAAATTAACATTTTTATTTTTAGAAGTTCGATGGCCGGTTGGCTCCGCGATAAACTTGTTCCAACAATGGCCGATTGCAGTTCTGTTTTGAAGCGTGCAGCTGCCGAATTCTACAAGAATAAAATGTCAGATCCACTTTCAAATTGGGGTCAAATGAATCCTGAACACGTTGCGATGGTTGCTGGAAGAATTTCAAAGTTTTCCGAAGAAATGGCCAATAAAGTCAAATGGTCTTTGCTCGTTGAACCAGGAAAGTTCAGCTGTCATTTGACCGAATTTGTGCAAGAATTCAATCGACTTGACAGAATGTTCATCACAAATGATTTATCATCTGAAGAAGTTTCACAGACAGCATTTAATGCAAATTATTTAACAAAAGCAAGAAGTAAAATGATTCCATGTGCTGATTTCAGTCGAGTTAAACTAACAGATGGTTTGGGAACAGTTGATGATCGAAATGCAATTATTCGAGAAATGTTTGATGATGAACACGAATTCGAACAACATCTCACTAATGTTCACAAATCATAGTATGTTTATTTTACTTGAAACGAATTTCTAAATATATTTATTTATTTGTTTGTTTCAGCGGGACAACTGATTTCATTCATGCCAATTATGTTCGCGGTGGTCCACTTCTCAATACTTTTATTTGTGCTCAAGCACCAATGAAAAATACCCAAGAAGATTTTTGGCGCATGGTTTTCCAAGAGAAATGCAAATTCATTGTTATGCTTAATTCGGCTGTTGATTCAAGCACTTTGGGACCATTGGATTCATCGCCTCGAAACTATTGTCCATATTATTGGCCGAAATCCGAAAAACAAACTTTGATTTTCGGAGCATTTCGAATAACTTGTATTAGTGTTGATGCAAAAGCTGATCCTTTGTTTACAATTACCAAACTTGTGAGTTCCCATTAACTGTAAATCTGAAAACTTATGAAAAAATTCAGAAAATCTCTAAAACAACTTCTGATTTCAACGACGAAGACGACGAATTCACATTAGAACATTGGCAATGGGATTGGCAATATTTGGGAGATGTTCATTGGCCATTTAGAGTTTTGAGAAAGTAAGTTCGTTGGAAAAGTTGAAAAATTAAGTAGCAAAATTCTGGAATTATAGGGCTCGTCAAATGTCAACTCCGACAATTGTTCAATGTATGGATGGATGTGGAAAAGCTGGAACTTTGGTTGCAATTGAGGCAGCATTGATGCATTTTGTCAGAGGTAAGACATTTTTGAAATAGGCAAATTTGTCACGTGTTTGCTCTGTCTGTCCAATTTTGAAAATTTTAAGTTTGTTTCCATACCAAAATTACATTGTTTTCTGTTAGAATCGGCGACTATTGATTTTAAAGACAAAATTAATCCAAGCCAAAAATTTGCAGGTTCGCCAATCAGCAAATCCTTGATTCTTCAATCGTGTGTTTTCGTCCGTCTTCAACGTCGTCTTTCAGTTTCTTCAGCTCTCTATTATCTCTTTATTTACCGTACAATTCTTCGTTGGATCGAACCATACGTGTCAAAATTCTACGATCGATGCGCTTTTGGTCTTCGCTTCAAATCGATTGGTTTCATTCCAAAATATAATGGAATGATTCAAGAATTTAGTCGAATTACACCTCCTTATTAGATTAGGTATTATTTTTACTACTTATATATAATCATTATTACCATATTTTCAAAAAGTTGTATAATGCATGTAAATATTATTTCATCATAACTAACACCAGAAGAGTAAATGTTACTTTATGCTTTCAAAGTTGTTGTTGGTTTTTCTTTAGGTGTCGTGGATGGTGCAACAGTAGTAGATATTGTTGGTGGGACTGAAACTGTGGTAGTTGTTTGAACAACTTTCTGCTGGATCTTGAGAATTTTTGGAGTGGTCGAAGTCAAAATCGTTGGAGTCGTAGAAGTCATGCTTTTTTTCTCGCTGAACAAATTTGTGATAAAACTTCCAAGTTTAGTGAAAACAGTTTTGATGGCTGTGAATGATTTTTGAATTTTGTCAGTCAAAGTTTCTTTCTTTTCCGGAACAATCTTTCGAACCTTGAAATATTAATGTTACATTTAATTTGTTGATCTGAAATTAATTTTTTAAACTTACAATAGTTGTTGGTGCTACCGTAGTTTTTGTGATGTTGACGGATTGCACAATTTCAGCAGCAACTGTTGGTTTCTCAACATTTCCATCTGATGTTGTAGAATTCGATTCAGCCAAAATTCCAGCGAGAAAAAGAGTTGCCAACAAATATTTGAACATTGTTGAAGAAAAACGGGGGAAGAGAACAATAAAATGAATGTGTTATGCGATGCTAACCATATTTTAATACGATTCGCGATGCTTTTTTCTAATTTTATGGGAAAATTGATTCGTTATAATTTAATGTATGTGACTCATGTTAAATATCAAACCCTATTTTTATTTTTGTTCAAAATTTTACATAATATTATGAAGCTGAGTTGGTGGAACTCGACTCGGAATCTAAATATCTTCGATATTCATTAACTGTTCTCCAATGTGCATTTCTCAATAGCACTTGATGTCGTTTATCTTTCAAAAATTCGAAGGCCACATTCGACATCCAATTTCGTGATTTCATTAGATAACACGTGGCTACAGTAGCACTGCGTGTACGACCAGCCTGAAATTGTATTTTAAAAAATGAAATAAACTTAACAAAAATGTTGAAAAATACCTTGCAATGAACATATACAGTTTTTCCTTTGGCAGCCACGTTTTCAATAAATTGAACAGCTTCGTGAATTTGTGGTCGACCTGCTGTTCCAGTAAAATCGTGCATTGGAATTGCGTGGAATTCGACACCCTCTTTTTTCCAGTCCTGAAAAATTTAAAATGCAATTTAAACGAAATTTAGCAATTTCTTGATTTGCGAAAAACGTTTCAAATCAGAACTGTAGTTTCTTTCTACCTCGTCATAATCTTTTTGAATCTAATCAAAACAATGTCGATTTATCGATTCAATGAGACTTTCCAAATTCTTGAAATTTTTAACCCTTGGGAAACTTGCAAATTTGTAATTTCAAGACATCAAAAATCAGATTTAGAATTGAATATTCACAAAAATCAACATTTCATCAGAAATTCGATTTTCTCGGAAAAAATTGGGGCGCTTACAAATCGAATATTTTCTTTTTTAAAAAATTCAAGATAACAAACAATTTTGAAAAGTACAGTATGATTATTAAACCAACTTTCACACATAATTTCTGGAAAGATATTTTCCGAAAATGTTCGTTTTTCTATCTGTTTTCTAGTTCCTAAAAATCCACAAGTTTCAATTTTCCAACAGAAAACCCCAAATTGTTCTAACCTCTTCTTGCATCGATTGATAAGCAGCTTTCAATTCAAATTCTTCTGTACAACAAACAATTCCACCAACATTTTCAACATTTATTAATTCGTTTTTCATCGATTGAAAAGGCATTGCTCCAAGAATCAATGTATCGTCAACCTAGAAAAACATGATTCTGGATTTTTGGGGAAAACAAAAACCACGTGTCAAAAAGAAACCAACCCTATTATACCACGCCCATTTTTTCGGCTGAACATAATTCCTGAACAAATTATAACCCAAAGAAGGATAGAAGATCAAGCCCGTCAACATTTCCTGAAGGATTTTTTGAGTTCCAATTTCTTTTGGTTTTTTTCGAAATGAAAGTATTGTGAACCGCTAGAAAACGGTGCTAGACCAAACTACAAAGATCAATCAGAAGATAGTGCATAATTTATATAAATACAGAGAGAAATATTAGAAAAAAGAAAAAGAGAAAAGATCATTGGAGGGCAGATTATTAATTAGGACACAAAAAACAACAAAAAATTTAAAACAACAAAAAAGAGTCTAGTCGGCTTTCTTATTCATTCTTCTTTTATAAGCATCTTGTGTGGCACTTCGAATTAATCCATTTTCATCTTCATCGTCTGAATCTCCACGTTTTCGTTTCAATAAAGCCAAATCGGAAGATCGAACAATCTGCAAAAAAACAATATTTTGGTAATAGGGGAAATAGATATGAAAAATCAATAAATGAAAATAAACAATTATTTGTTTATCATTTTTTTTTATTTAGGGAAAGATAGACATTTCAAGAGAAATTTGAGGAACATTTAATTTCTATCATAAACCTGCGACAATGTTGATGATTTTCTTGGAGACCAAAATAATCTGAAGAATTTCGAAATTTAAAAATCGATATTTTTCGGTCTGATTCAAAGTTTTCGAAAGTTCCAATATTTCCCACTGAAACATAAAACATCATTTCCCTTCAGATTTTTATACGAAATCCCTCACTATAAAAAACTTACAGCTGCTGGATCATTTGTTGAGGCTAATAATTGATACATATCCTTTTTGACATCTTCAGCTAACATTGGTCCCATCATTTGACCTTTTTCGATCTTTTCATTGATTCTTGAGGTAGCTGAAATAAATAACAATTTCAATAACTTCCACGTTCAAAAATAATTTCAACTCACAAGGTAAATTTGGTATAACCATCTGTGCAAACGATGCCATCAATTTATCAACATTCACAAATGGACCAATAAAACAATGCGGTGGTGGAAGCATTTGCAGCAAATGTGCAGCAGCTTGTGGAGGCGGGAAAACACCACCAGGAACTGGATGATATGAGGCTGTTGTATTGATTCGCGGTTTGAATGGAATCATTTGTGAAATATCTGGACGTGGATAACCATAACGAGCAACTTCGGAACTTCCCGTGGTGTTTGTAGATAAAACATTGTTGGATCCGCCCATGACAGCAAGAGCTGCTTGTGGACCACGAGATGCTTGAGATTTTTGATGATTGTTCGATGAGTTGGAGGTTGAAGATGTTGCATTTCCGTTTGTAGATGACCCGTCATTTTTCTGGAAAAAATTAAGAGTTTTGGATGATCAATAGTTAGAGCATTTTGAAGTTCAGAAGAAATCACACCTCGGCCAAAATCGTCGTTTCCAAAATAAAAATAACAAATTCTGATGTGAGATTTTTCAGTGTTTGACCTCTAAAAACTGAAATTCAATTTTTTTTAAAAATTGTACTCTGCCCGGCGACCGATTGGCCGAGGTGTGGAAGAAATTTAAAAATTCTACTTTCTCAGCTTTTAAGCGTGAGCTTTCTACATGGCACAATTTACATTTTTTTTTAATTCTTAAATGAACATTTCAAAAAACGTACCGATGCTGAATACCCGATTAATTTCAGCTGTTCTCCACTACACGGCAATAAATCCATAAATCGATATCTATCAATAACCAAAAATGCGCTACTAACATCAGTTTCTTGTTTTGCAGTTTCATACGCCTTCTTTCTCCGTTTCTCTACTTTTACAATACTCGCCAAATCGCCAACAGTTGATTCGAAATCCAAATATCGATCCCAAATTCGTCTAAATTTATAAACTATAACATATATCAAGAAAGGGTTATAACTTACACTGCCTTATCTGCTGCCAAATTTCCGGATGTTAAAATTCTCTCAAAAACGACTCGTGTATTATTATCTTCATTCAAATGAGCGAGAAATTCAACATAGGCCAATCCAAATTCCGGTTCATTTTCATACTTTTTCAAGCCCAAATTGAAGATTCTCATCGCAACATCTTTATCTTTATGACAATAATATTCCATAAGAGCGGATGCCACGTAAACTTGATGTCCAGTTCGAGCATCTTCACGAGCTCGTTTAAAAACCAGGCGGGCGTTTTTTGCACCCTCAGTTCGACGAACAAATCGCATTAATTGAATGTAGGTCTATAAAGTTTTGCATAAGATTTAAAATTATTATTTTTCAACATCAGATAAACTAACCAAAGTTGGATTGATATGTTCAATAGAAAGTAGACGATCATAAATACTCTTAACATTTTCGAATTTCATTCGATCTTCCTCAAAATCTGCATATGCGAAATAAATAAGTTTCGATTCTTTCATCAATCCATTTATCGCTCTTTCAAACAATTCTAAAAGAATTAAAATTTTGGGAAGTTCTGAAGATTTTAGAAAACTTACGAATTGTTTCCTGTTTTAAAATAAGAGAAGTTTTAACATCTCCTTTTTCTTCCAAAGATTTACTAGCTTCTTGGAGGAAAAGCGCAGCTTCATACCAGATTTCGGGATAATATCCGAGACATAACAATGCTTGCTCGTATGCGTAAATAACTGGAAAAGGAATTGATTTCTATTGACAATTTCAACAATAATTTTCAATTTTTGTAAATTTCTTCAATGAAAAAGAAAATCATAAGAGAAAACGAACCCCTTTTAGCGAATTGCCCGTATTCTTCAGTTTCCAACGGATTTGTTTTCTCCCACTGAATATATTTTTTCCATAACTCGACTTGTTTCAACTCGGCGGTTGTTCCTTTTGGTGGAACTGAAACTGCTTGTCTATTCAAACCTCTTGTCAAATTTTCCATTTCTCTTTCCACTTTTCGCGATTGTTGATATTCTCGACTTCTTTCAACAATCAATTTTTCGGCCAATGTTGAGTTTATAGTTTTCTCGTAGACACAGTATTCATTCCAAATTGCGTCGAGATTGTGAAGAGGAGTTGCGATTGCTCGCTGATAAACTCGCCGAACTGCTGTTATTCGCTGATTTTCAGCATATTGACCAACTGCTGGACTACAAAACATCAATGAATCCATTAACTACATCAAGAATTCAAAAAAAAGAAGACTCACACTTTTTTGAGAAACGCGATGTATTCGGTATAAATAACGTGAGATTGTAAATCTAATCCCACTTTTTCGAGTGCGAAATCATAAGCTTGTGCCATTTTTTCTCTGAAAGTGCTGAGTTGTCCCTTGGTTTCGAAAATGTAATGAACATAACATTTCCATAAATCAATATTCAACACTGAAACCAAGCATCTTGCAAAAATCTTTTCAACATTTTCGAAGTTTTTTGATCGAAGTTCGTGTTCGATGTATGCTTTCCAGTATCGGCCAGCATTTGGAAATTGCTTGACAAGGCTTTCGTAGAAATCTCGTTCTTGCTCGATTGGTCGTGACTAAAAATTTGAATTTATAAATGAAAAAACAACTCACATTTTTAAGTTCTAACAACAGTACCTGATGTTCTCGAAGTAACAGATTCCACGCATCCACGTCAAAAGGGTTTGTTTCAATCCTTCGTTCGGGATTTCGAATCGTCATCGCCGACATTTTCCCCTAAATAAACGCCGAATTATTATTTTTTGGAAAAAATAATGTTCAAATGCCAACGTGTTTGCAGACAAACATTTAATTTGACGCGCAAACAAAAAGGAAATCTCGAAAATTGCAAGAATCGAGGTTTTGATTCACACCTGACGAGTGTCCCAAAATTTTTTTGTAGTCTGAAAATTTCTTTTTTGCAGACCGCCGAGCAAAAAAATGGTCGAAAACCATGTTTTTCACAAAAAATAACACATTTTTCCTGAAAAAAAAACGTGCACTCAAAATGTTTGTGCAATGGCAATGGCAATTTTGAACACAACTGGTAAGGTGTGTTTTGATAGAACAATAGCCAAGCTACATTTATCTTCAAGTTTCAAAAATCAATTCTTGCCGATTTCAATATTCAGAAATTTTCGCAAACTCGAACGAAAAACATGAAAGAACGGAAAATGAAAATACAAATTGAATTCCTGACATTATTGTGCTTCTATATTAAACAAGAGAGAAAAAATCAACAATTTATTTGTAATTAATAACAATTTAGTTGACTGATTCCTCGGTGTGCTTTCCCTTGAGGATTCCAGTGACACGGGCACGTCCGGCGGCCTTTCTTTCGACCAAGGCACGACGATCTTTATCGAGCTTCAGCTTGGTGATAGCGACCTATAAATTCAGATGTAATTAAGAATAACAGTCGCCAAATCGTAAATATCCGCTGAGATGTGGTGGCGTCGAAAAATAAAAATCACAACTTACTGTTTGAAAAATCTAGTCCTGCGCAAAAAATGAAAACTCACAAACCTGGTTTGTTCGATTCAATGTGCACCGGAACTAGTTTTTAACAAACCTCACCTTCGATGGGTGGATTCCGATGTGCACAGTCGATCCGTTGACCTTCTCGCGGGTGATCTTGTCGATGTGAACAACGAATTTCTTACGGTAACATCTGAGGACACGTCCAGTGTTTCCCTTATGACGTCCGCTCATGACGATGACTTCGTCGTCGACTCTGAAAGAAATGTATTACACAAGGGCTAAGACAAAGACGGAAAAATTCCGTTCTGAAGCAAAAATGCGCAATTACTTTTATTTCTCCATTATGTCCAAACCGAAGGAAACATTTTTGTTCGCCCGGGACTACTAAATGGAAAATTGAGAAATTTTCGCTTGAATTACATACCTGATTGGGATCGATCGGATTCCGTGCTTGGCGCGGAGTTCCTTGGTGAGTGGGGCAGACATGATTCTTCTGCGCTCGTGGGATGGAGCGGTGAAGTGAGCCTTGCGGTTCTTTCCGGAGTCGCGCGAAACGAATGGATTCAACTTCATGGTAACCCTGAAAATAAAGAATTCAAAATATGTCACTCTATGAGAAAACGAAAGATACGAAAAACGTGAAAAGAGGTTCAAAGTGTAAAATTTAGGCACTCCGAAGAGAAAAAGAAAATAAATTCTGAGGGACGAGTGAAAACTACGGTAGACACACAAAGCGTGACAAGACCCAAGCAAACAAAAAATGTGTGCGTCCTCTTTAAAATTTATTTATTTTTTGTTTTTCGTGGGTTTTTCGCTTAAAAGGGAATTTATAGTGGAAAGTGAAACGTTTCAAAATCTTCCAGATAGCAAGATGAAGCCAGATATCAAGGATCGAGAATACATGTACAAATTGATAATCGGGTGAGTTTCTTTTTATACAAAATAAACTTGGAAATTTTGAATGAACAATTATTTAAGACAGTTGTTTTATGATGGACATCAACAAAGCGCAATAAGTCTTGCCAATTTGATGGGTTGTTCAGCTCAACCACCACCACCCTCTGATAAACTCTTCCGACTTGTTTCAATTGCAAAACAATTCGTTGAAGATCCAGATTACAAAGAGGACTGTGGTCTCCCATTTGAAACAGTATCTTCTGGATTAGATCTTGAATATGACGCAGATATTCAACCAACATCTCCAGAACCATCACAATATGAAACTATTTATTTGACTGTTCACAAAGCTCCATGCAGAGCAGCTGCTTTCAATTCAGACGGTAAGTGATTTGGATAATTTTCTAGTTCAAATACAGTTTGGATTTCAAGGATCTCTGGTTGCGACAGGATCAGCCGATTGTTCAATCAAAATTATGGATGTTGAAAGAATTCTTGCGCGCGAAAGAGAACATCGAGAAATGAATGAAAATAATCCAGATGCACATCACCCAGTTATTCGAACCTTATATGATCATATGGATGATGTGAATGTTGTTGCTTTCCATCCAAGAGATCCCATTTTGATATCTGGTTCAAATGATAAAACAATCAAACTTTTTGATTTCTCAAAAACCGCAGTGAAAAGAGCCATGAAAACATTATCAGAGGTTTATCCAATTCGCGCAATTTCTTGTCATCCTGGAGGCGAATTTATTTTAGTTGGAACAGATCATCCAACTCTCCGATTATACAACATGGAAACTGCGCAGTCATTTGTATGCGCAAATCCAGATGATCAACACGCTGATTCAGTTACAGATGTAAATAAGATGTGTATTTGGAGATTTAAAAAAATAATGAAAATTAATTTCAGGTTCAATATTCGGATAACGCAAGATTATATGTAACAGCTTCAAAAGATGGTGATGTAAAAGTTTGGGATGGTGTTTCAAATCGTTGTGTCGAAACATTCAAAAGAGCCCACGACGGATCAGCAATTTGTTCCGCAAAATTCACAAAAAATGGAAAATATATTATTACAAGTGGTATGGATAGTATTGTAAAACTTTGGGAATTATCAACAAATCGTTGCCTAATTGCATATACTGGAGCTGGTGCAACTGGAAGTCAAGATCATCCAATTCATGCATTATTCAATCATAACGAAGATTACGGTTCGTTCTTTTTTGCTAGTGAAAAATAAAAACAATGAAGTGTTTCAGTGTTATTCCCGGATGAAAAAAGTGGTAGTTTATGTTCATGGGATGCTAGAAACGCTGACAGAAAACGATTATTGGCACTTGGACATACATCATCAACTCGAACATTTGTTCATTCTCCAACAATGCCAGCATTTTTAACAGGAAGTGATGATCATCGTGCACGATTCTGGTATCGAAAACCGACAAATACATCTATGCTCGGCTGATTTCTCTTGTTTTTGTTTTAATTTATAAATATTAATTTCGAAGATAAAATAAATTATTTAATAATAATTAACATTAATTAATAACGCTCCATCAAAATTCTTCTGGATCGGAACGGACTTTTTGGACGGTCATTTGCACCGATTGCTATTTTTGAAACTTCATTTGGCTTCATCGCTTTTTCTCTTGCCTCATCCACAATTATTTCATGTTTTTGTGAAGAAGATTCTGAAATGCGATAAAATTTTTTAATTTTTTCAGCACAAAAAAACGTGACCTATTTAGGAAAAATTGTGGATTTTTTTGATGGACGTGGTTTTTGTCTTATTTTGCATATTTCTATTCTAATAACCTGCCATCGTTTTATATGTTTATTTATTCAAAAGTGAGTTTGAGGGAGGAACTGGGATTGTAAAATTCTAAAATGTGAATCTCGATGAATGAGTAGAATATCATAAACTACAGTGATTTCCACAATAAAATTTTCGGGAAGCTTTTTTTTATAGATATTCCAGAACTCTTTTTTTTTGTGATTTCTAATATATTTAGTTCACCTAACTCACCAATAATAGTATTTTTCTCGTCACTTTCAACTCCTTCTGAAACTGATTCACTAATCGCTGGCCAATTCACAAATTCGCCATGTGTTTCTTCTTCATTTTCATTTGCCAAATCTAAATTAGTTCCACTAAAAGGATCATTTGGTTTATCAGTTTCTTTGAGCAATTCTTTCTTGGCCGCTTCCTCGATTGCTGCTTGTTCACTTGGAAGTGTCAATTCTGGTGGGAATAATGGTTCACCATGAAGAGCCTCTTCATCAAGTGGAACAGCAACAACATCTTGTGGTTCAGGAACATGCATTGGAAGTGGACGGGCTCTCAAATATTTTAACATAGATTATTGGTTTTCTATTTCTAAAAACTAACTTATAAAGTGGTGGCCATGGGTTACTTGGATTTCCACCTGGTGGATAAAATGGCGAAACTCCTAAACGCGAAGATGTTCCATCTTTTCCAATTAGTGGAACTTTTCCAATAAACGGAATGTTATCATAGGAAACATCCACGTAACTATACGGTGCTGCAATTTTTCGAATTAGAAATATTTCTAAATTTTTTGAAAAATAACTAACTATAAACTCCCAATCCTGGTCCATAGGCTGTAATTGCATTAATATATTCTGTCAATAATGGTCCTTGTGGATCACTTAAAATATTCAATGCTGGAAGTGCTGGGGCACAAGAAATTGTGGAAATTAAAATTGATATTATAATTAGCATCTGAAAAATGATATTATAAATTTAATCAATAGAATATCCATGAAAAAAAATGAATAACAAAGAAATAAGATGAAGCATTGAAAGAATATCTCTTCAGATAAAACCAGATTTTTGTGGGTAATGACTATAGAAAAAAAAAGAAAAATATCCAAAGAAAATGGAAAAAAAGAGACAAAGAAGTGTCAAGTTACTAGAAATGCGTTTTTTTCAGAATCAAATACGAGGATGAAAATACAATGGCCATTTTGGGTGGGTTTGATGGGTTTTTTGTGGCGAAATTGAAAAAAATAAATAAAAGAAAATAATCTTGGAAGAAAAAGGGAAGAAAAATGTATATAGTATGATGATAAGAAGACATTTTTTATTTATCAAACATTTTTTGAATTTTTTTGCAGATTTCGAGTTTTTTGGTTATCTCGTCAACAGTTTTACTATTACACTCTTTTATTACAATTCAAGGAGCCGATCAAATAACAACGTCGAAATTTAGTTTCAAAGGTATACATTTTGTATTTGGGGATTTTTGAAATACTGTAGCTTTCGAGTTTCAGATTTAAATTTTTTAGAGTTGGGAATAAATTAAAAAAAAACAAAATTTCAGAAAATGTTTAAATAATTTTAATCTCTGATTTTGGAAATGTTTATTCAAAGCATTCTATTTTATAATACGGCTTTCCATTTTTCCAACAAAAAACTAACTAAATTTTTTTCTAGTATAAAAATATTTAATATTTTCCTGTGTTCAACCTGATCTAATTTTGAAAGTATCTAATTCGTTTTTTTTTGCAGATGATCTTCCAAATGATACACCTCGACTAGTATTTGTTGTAATTGATGCATTTCGATTAACATTTCTAACAGACACTGATTCTCCAATGTGGTTTTTCCGTGATTCAATTTTCAATGGAAATGCAATGGCTTTTGATGGTTATGCTCGAATGCCTACAGTAACCATGCCACGTATTATATCATTTATCACTGGAACTTTACCATCATTCGGAACACTTATCACAAATGTTGCAACAACTGAAATAACAACCGATAATTGGGTGACACGTTTGAAAAATAATGGTAAAAATGTGCATTTTTATGGGGATGACACGTGGATTCGATTGTTGCCCACTGAATTTTCAAAATTTGATGCAACAACTTCGTTTTTTGTCAATGATTATACAGAAGTTGATAATAATGTGACACGGCATTTGGATTCGGAATTGAAATCTGGTGAATGGGATGCAATGATTTTACATTATCTTGGATTAGATCATATTGGACATTCATTAGGCGGAAGATCACCAAAACTTCGAGGAAAATTGAAAGAAATGGATGGAATATTGAAAAGAATTGTTGAAGAACTTGAAAAGGTTCGTCCGAAAATTACTTTTAATTTTCAAATTTTTGGTCACTTTTTCTTGTTTCAAAAAAAAACCCCCGTTTGTTTTTCAGACAAAAATTCCTACATATGTGATAGTTGGTGGTGATCATGGAATGACTGCTGGTGGATCACACGGTGGTGCTTCTCCTGATGAATCTCGAGTTCCAATTGTTATCTGGCCAATTAATCAAAAATTTGCAAAAGTTCCAATCGACAGTTTTGACAATTTGGAAAAAGTAGAACAACCTGATGTGTCAGCAACGATTTTTTCGATATTTGGAATGCAATCACCAACCGATTCACATGGTTTTAGCCTAACTGTTGGAAATTTGGAAAATGAATCACATTTGATCACAATGCGACAATATTATCATTTTTATGAATTAGCAAAATCTCATGGAATCGATAATTTATTTACATTGAGTTGTACAGAAGATTCGCCTTGTGATTTTTCGAAACCTTTTGTTCAAAAATTGATCAAAGATGAATGTAGAAGAATTCAAAGAAAATTAATGGAATCATCTGCATCGATTCCAAGTTTACAATTAGCGATTTTTGGAAGTGTTATCATTTTGGTAAGTGACTAACTTTTATTTTTCTAAATTCTAAATAATAAAACAAATATATTCAGGCAGCAATAATTTCAAAACTAAATTGGGAATATGAAAGTCTATTGGATGTATCTGTTTTCATTTTGAATATTGGTTGTTTTGCCAGCTCATTTATCGAAGAAGAACACGAGATTTGGTTAGTTTTGAACAGTTGATACCTGAATATCTTGAATAGCACCAATTGAAAAATGACGCTTGATTTTTGAAAAATGTCCAAAAATATAGGATAATTGACAAAATAAAAATAGAAGAGCAAATTTGTCGCATAAAATGTTGTCGATTATAAAATTGGCGATTATTGCGTCTTCATCATTGATGATTTTGATGTAAATTCCAGATAAAAAACGAATCTGATTTTGGAAAAAAAGTATTTGTAGAAAATTACATCATGAGTTTAGGGCTGGTTGGAATAGATGTTTTGTTTTCGGAATCGCGAATTATTTTTTCCTACCAATCAACTTACAATTGAAAAACCTAATAATGGAAAATGTTGATGAATAACTCCTGTTTCGAAAGTTTTTGTAAATGCAGATATATTCATTTTCGAATTTAGCGAATAATAATTCACAACGTGGAAACTTAATGCACTTAATGATAACAAGAATTCAACCCAAAACATGAGAAAATCATAATCATAAAACTTAAAAGGTTCCTCTTCTTTTTCGAAATCAGTATTGACCGAATTATTTGCTCTGATACATATTTTATGCCCTCTTACAACTGACAAATATCCACAACCTTTTGGATTACAATTACTATGAGTTAGAATCATGTAAATTATACTGTTTATGTAAAAAGCAAGCATGAGAAAATATATGAAAATATCCCCGCAGAACATTTTGAGCTTTGTAATGTCGTGAATTAAAATGAGACGTTGGAATGAAATTAGGAAAAGAATAAAAAGAAGAATTGAGGTTGAATTGAATGAGGTAGAAATTACACCGATCATAAGAACTATTCTGAAATAATTTTGGCCCTTTTTTTGAATTTCTGCAATCCTGACTCTGACTTATACTTCTAAACATATATACTTACATGGAAATAACATTAGCGTATTGAGTTATTATGATAATTGTATCAATAAACCTGATAATTTGAATATAGCTTATTATATTGAAAAGTTGTTGTGTTAATGGATATATAAGAGTGATTTTCTCATATTTCGCAGTCATTTTGAAAATAACAAGAAAAATTAAATAAATTATAATCGAAAAAATTAGAAAAACGATGTAAAACAACATTTGGGAAAAATATGAAAATGATAATTGTGAGGTGACAAAAAGAGAAAATTTTGAGACAAAATGTCGAGAGAGAAAATAATAATAGGGTTTTTCCAGGTATTATGTGACGAGTTCATTGATTGTTGTTCATTTTTTGAAGAATTTTCGAAGTGTTGAGATTGACAAACAGGTGAGAATTGGAACGAGGGGGGAGATTTTCGAGATTTGAAATTCATTAGGGAAATAAACTTAACTATTTTATAATTATTTCAAACATTTCGAGTTTTTGAAATACTTGAAACAGTGAAATTACAAAATCTTAAATTTTGAAACATAAAAAATATATAAGATAAAATATGAAAACGTGGTTTGGGACCTTCAACCTAAAACCCAATTAAATTTTTTTCAGAAAACCATATTTGGCTCAATTTTGCTCCTTCTTTTACTTCAACGATTCTGTATAAATTGGACATCTGGAATGAGAAGAAGATGGGCTATGGATCAATCACTTTTGCCACCTCCAATGTTTAATGAAATGATTGCCAATTTCAATATACCAGATGCAAATACATTCTTCAGGTTAGACCCATTCTTTCTATCGTATTCTTTATTCACATTTTTTATAGAAACTCGCCATTTATCAGTTTGGCTGTTTCAACAATAATTTGGTTATTTGTTTGTGTTTCACTTGAATCATCTCCAAAACTTTCTGGATTTATGATTCTTTTTCCACTTTTTTCACATCTTCTTCGATTATTTGGATATGTTAATTTTGATTCGGGTTATCTACTTGCTTGTCGTATTCTACTTATCCCATTTTATTTGCTCACTGGAAAACACACAATTTGTGTCCTTTGTTTGGTTCTAATCGTCATTCCAACTAATCAACTTTTGCTTTTTATTTCGATTTTTTTGATGGGTCGATTAGCAGCTGATGTGAAATTGGAAAAAACAGCGACGGGTTCAATGATTATGTCAACTTTTTATTTTTCGGGTAATTCGAATTCATTCGCCACAATTATGCTACAATCTGGATATGTTGGACTACTTGATTATTATCCGATTTTGGTTGGAATTCAATTGTTTTTATACACTTATGCGGGTCCCATTATTTTTGTGATTGGATTGTGAGTTTTATCAGAGAGGGAGAATTGCGGGGACAAATTATTTTGAAAAATTGAAATTTACAACAAATGAAACAGTACACGTGAATTTTTCCGTTTTTTTCATTTCAAAAAAAATTTACATACAGTAATCCAATTTATTTTTCCAGTTATTCATCTCGTCGAAAAATAATTCCACAATTGCTTTCCTATTTTCTAACAGTTCGAATAATCAATCTATTTTTCTCAATTTTATGTTTATACATTTTTCAAAATCATTTATTTGTCTGGAGTGTTTATTCGCCAAAAGTCATGTATGATCTTTCGCATTGTATTGTGGTTGTGATAGCCGGAATTTTACTTGTATAAAATGATTGAATAAATTCTTTCTTATAGAATAATTTATTAGTTTTTTTGGTATAAATATACAATTTCAAGTAAATATTTTTGGGGAAATATGTAAAGGATAAGAAAAAGATAAAAAACCGGAGAACATACACCTGATATCTATGAAAATAAACTATAAAAAAACATTATTAGTAAAAGTTGTCAACTTGTGGTGCATAAACATTTTCATGGTGTTGATGTTCTTGAATTTGTTGATGTTGTTGTTGTTGTTCAATTTCGGAATCAAAAGCTCTTTGAACAATTTGGAATGTTTTGTAGATTTCGCGAAACCATGTATTCATATTATGAATTCCAAATCCATGACATCTATTCGAATATAATTCCATACCTTCATCCAAAGGTTGATATCCATAAATAATTTCTGGTTCTCCGGTTGTTTTGGGAAGACATAAACTTGTCACTGAAGTGATTCTTTCCATTGTTTTGAAAAATGAAGTGATCATACTTCGAAGTTTTGCTGGTGGATGATCACAACGTTTCAACGATTCAATACACATTTTTGCAATTTCTTCACTTGGAAAATATGTGGCAGTTAGAGAATCGAAATCTTGCGCGAGTACACGTGCTTCTTCTGAAAAACAATTAAATTAATTTTTTATAAATTTTGAATTTTTGTAATATTTTTCTAATATTTCTTTTAATGAGAAATATTTTTTAAAGATTTTTTGAAAAAAGAGTTTAAAAAACCAACCTTCTAAAAATGGTGTGAACTTTGATTGAAGACACGATGTTCTTTGTGCATTTCTAATCTCAATTCCATATTCATCCCATAATTGTCTTCGAATATGTTCAGTTCCATTCTTTCTTTTTGCCTTTCTGAATAAACAATTCAATTGGCTGATATTGAGACTTTCTGGTCCTTCAATTCTTCGTCGAAGTTCTTCAACAGTCAATCGATATTTTGTCAAATTTCCAACAATTGCCAATCTTCCACCAACAACATCAAATACTTCATGATCTCTTGATTTATCCCAATTTGGAATCATATGTGGTCCTTGAATTTTTCGATTTTCTCGTCTTCTCAACCATTCAACTCTTTGTTTTTCAAGTGAAATACTTCTTTGAAGTGCGATATCTGCAGCAGGAACTTCAACATTTCCTTGAGAACCAACTTCCTCGTCTTCTCCTTCTTCATAATTTTCTTCAATTTGCTCATTTGACTGATTTCCAATAATATTTGGCGAAGTTTCAGAATTTGATGAAACATTTCCAAGATTTGGTGTTGATTGACTCGAAGATGGTGTATCAATATTTTGTTGTGATTGAAAACGATTTTGTGGAGTTTGATATTGATAATATTCTTGAGTTTGTTGATTTTGTTGATCATATGGTTGAATATTTGATGGTGGAGTATGTTGTTGTGGTGGATATTCTTGACCAACTTGTTCTGTTTGTTGCGATGTTTGTTGATAAATATGTTGACCTGGTTGATGATAGTGAATTTGTTGCTGATTTTGTGGAATCATCTGGAAAAAATAGTTGATGAAATATAATACGGTGAAATGTTGGATCTTTTAGGATTACTGTAGGGTAATTTTTCGATTACTGTAGATCTTCGAATATTGGTAAAAAACTACTGGTCACCATTTTTCAAGAAAGTTTCATTGCCTACGATACTGTAGCAAAAATATTCCATTCTCAGATTTCACAACCTTTTAAAAAATTATCTGAAAGTTTTTCAAACTCACCCCATAATATTGATAATGTTGTTGATTCAAATCCTGATAGAATTGTTGTTGTGTTTGTCCTGGTGGAAGTTGTTGTTCTGGTCTGTGATTCCAACCATGATCTCCCCATCCAGCTTGTTCAAATTGTTGATTTCCAGCCATAAATTCAGCAAAGCTTTCTGATTGCTGCGCAATTTGTCCATTATTTTCTACTTCTTCTGATGTCCATCTTTTTGTTTGTGGCGCCCATTCTTGTGGATCTGCGTGGCGTTTTCGAGAAGTTGCAATAACTTGATCATCGTGTGGTGCATACATTCTGCAAAAAAGACTTTGATTGATTGAAACCAAGTAAACGAAAATAATTTCAATAAAAAATAAAAGGTTCCTCGAGAGGATTTTTAGAAGTCACCATTCTCGATGATGTCTTCTGACCTAACTGATTTAATTTTTGCTCCAAAACCACACCATTCCTTCGCCCCGCCTTTTTCTCAGTGGGCGTGGCTTATTTTGTTTTTGTTTAGTTTTTGAGTGACAAGGTGACAGATTCGACACTCTGCGTCTCTCAACTATCTTATACTATCTCACGTCGGCCCCGTTTTGAATAGTGTTATTTTTTTGGATGGTTGTTTACGACACCATTGGAAAGGTGTTGATTTTTCAAATATTTGGCGCAATTTGGGAAAACTCGCACAACAAAAAATAACAAAAAAGGTGTTTTTTTCGAGAAAGAAATAAACAAGAAAAGTTTGTAGTTTGTGAGAAGATTTACAAAAGATCAAGTAAAACTTACAATGTTTCGCTGTCATTTTTACTGAACCAATTAACAATAGCAATCTTTGATTCAGGAATATCGAACATAACTTCAAATAGACAATAATTAGTAGAATGAGCCGAAATTTGTGAGTAGAAATCAGTTTGAAAATTGGCTCGGCTTGAAAAATAAAAACAACCCGACAAAAATAAATTATTTCCGCGTGATCTAAATTATTGACCTACTTTTAGAATTTCGCTTATAAAAACACGAAATTTTTGGGAGTCCGCTATTTTTAGTTGGCTGAACTATCAGATTTAGTTGATATCGTGAAAGTTTGTAAATTGTGAGTTGGTAAAGGGTTACTGTAGATTTGTGAGATAATGGCTTTTGAGTACTGTAGAACAAATGGAATGAGGGTTGAGCACTGTAAACTAGATAGAAAGTGGTCGAGGGAAAATACTGTAGATTTTTGTGTTGTATTTTTCAGAAAACCATAGTCAGGAATGTTTTGAAATGTTGAATTTCTAGCATGTTTTGCATTTTTTTTTGGATTCGTAAATAACAGGTGTTGTTTATTGTTTTTCCCGGTTTCTTATTATTGTTTTGATAAGTCGGAAAAGGTCAATTAACATATGGATATTTATGATATTCTTCCCATTTTGAGCATCAAAAATATTTTGAAAAAAATACTTGCAGATAGATGAGCAAACCAAGACTACAAGAACAAATTCTATCAAAGGAGCCATGGTATCACGGTCTTTTACCACGTGAAGATATGAAAGTTTTACTTATCGAATCTGGCGATTTTCTTGTTCGTTTCACTGATCCAAAAGTTGGTGAACCGCGCAAATTTGTTCTTTCAATTCTAACAGCTCCCGGTGGTGGCGACGACAAAATTCGTCATTATGTTTTTCGTGAATATTGTGATAAATTTGCAATTGATGATAAATGGTTTAATACAATTGCTGAATTATTGAATTATCATCATCGAACAAAAGAGCCGGTTTCAAGCAAACAATCGGATACTGTATTAGTTCGACCGGTTGGAAGAGAACCTTGGGAAAAAGCGCATAGCGATGTGAAATTGATAAAAGTATTGGGTGAAGGTGCTTTTGGAGAGGTTCATCGTGGAGAAGTTCGAGTTGGAAATCAAATGAAAGCAGCTGCAATTAAATTGGCAAAACTTGAAGCATTGACAAAAGAACAAATTAAAGAAATAATGCATGAAGCACGTTTGATGCGTAAATTTAATCATCCAAATGTTGTTACTTTTTATGGCGTTGCGGCTGGACAAGAACCATTGATGGTTATTATGGAATTGGCTGATAATGGGGCACTTGATTCATATTTGAAAAAGAATTCGGCGATTTTATCGATTCAAAAAAGAGGAGAAATGATACTTCAAGCTGCGAAAGGACTTGAATATTTGCATGCACAAAATGTTATTCATCGTGATATTGCTTCGAGAAATTGTTTGTACGGAAATGATCAGGTCAAGATTTCGGATTTTGGTTTGTCGAGAGAAGGATCAAGTTATAAGATGAATCCACACAAAAAGTTAGTTTAGAAAAAATGATTGAAAAATATTAGAAGAAAAATCAAAAATTTCTACAATTAAAAAATTTAAAATTTTCAGTTTTTTCAAAAACTTTTTTTCCAGAATTCCGATCAGATGGTTGGCTCCAGAAGTTCCGCGCACTGGCATGTACACTTTCAAAACTGATGTTTTTGCCTATGGAATAATGTGTTGGGAAGTTTATCACGATGGAGAAGAACCCTATCCAGGAATGCGTGTCGCTGAAGTTCTTCCAAAAGTTCAAGAAGGATATCGTATGCCATTCAAAGATGAAGTTCCAGCCTCAATTTCAGCGTACATTACAAATCGAGTTTGTCATGGCGATGAATATACAAGATCAACAATGAGTGACGTCGTCAAAGATTTGCCCAATGTTTTGGCTGGACAACACAATTTTGGTGCGAATTCACCAGCAAATGGTGACCCAAGAGGTGATGATGATTATTTCGGGACTTCTTCTGCTCCACCTCCACAAGAATCTGGAGGCACAACAAAACCTTTGACACCAAATAAAATGAGCAGTGAATCAGTGGATCAAGATAAGGGAAAGGAGAAGCCGAGTCCAAGACAAAATGGAATGGCTGTTGTTTGTGATTCGAATCAAGGAGCACCAGCATTTGGCGCAAAAGGTCCACCTGTTTTGTATATTCTCCCATACATGTCACACCCCGTTCAACCACCAAATGGTGTTGTTAACACTGGTGGACCTGTTATTGACGTCAAGGCTGATTCGCGTATGTTTTTTTTTTTGGCACATTTTATTTTTTGGAAAACTTGATTTTTTAGCTCCAAAAGACAAGAAGAAAAAGAATAGCATTGTTCGAAAACCACAAAAGAAAAGCAAGGAAAATATGGTGAAATCGGCAATGAATGGAGTCAAAAAAATAAAGAAACCACAACTCAAATCGACATCTCGTAAAGGCAAAAAATAATGAATTTATTTAGTTTTTATTGTAAATGAATACTTATCCAGCATCTGGTGCTTGATTACACGAAACACTGGTTACAATTCGAGAAACACCTCCACTTGTGTACACCCAGTTTCCATTTATACAAGACAGCGGAGCGTTTATAGTCTGCAGAAAATTTGGAATTTTATGTTAGTGAATTTTTGAATTAAATTAATTACCCTTCCCATATTTGAATTTTCTGCCGGGCCACCTTGATTCACATTGAATTGCATGAATGCGTAATAACCCGCATCTGCTGTACAAGTCGCTGTTAATGTTAGACACCCATTAGAATCTGTTCCGAATCTGGAATTTTTCAGGACCTAAATAGTTATTTTTCCATTCCATATATTTTTTCAAATCCATAATTTTACAATCGAACTCACATTCCACTCGTATTTATCTGAATAGTCCCTGATGCCTGCTGAAATGTAATTTGACCTTGTGTACAAGTAGTGCAATCTTCATTGAAAAAGAAAAAAAAATGGTTTTTGGGCAGAAGAACATATGATAACTCTCACCTACCAGTTGATGTTGTTGGGGTTGTTGTAGAAGTTGTAGCAGCACAAGAGAAAACTCGATAATTTAGAAATGAAATTGGGAAAACTAGGTAAATTATTAAATTGGAATTCATTAAAACAACAAATGAATTTGAATAAAAATGGAGTGAAATACAATAAAAGAGAAAAAGTACTTGACATATTCCACTTTGAAATGCAGAACAATAAATAAATGAGAATAGCAATGATTTTAAAAGATCAGAGCTTCAGAGATCAGAATCAAACCTATTCAAAAAATCAAATTTTTGTGAAATCGCGAAGATTTGAACTTTGTTCGAAAAAACTTGATATTTTGGGGACAACTTCATTGACCATATATCACTTTTTTCCCGGAATGATGACAAAATTTGGGTAATTTTATAATTTTCAAAATAAAAAATGAGTTTGAGGATTTTTCAGAATACTTTAATTTTGAAGTACAGTAGCACGTTGAGAGATCATTTATAAAAGAAATATTTTTATTTTATTTTATAAATTTGCTTCTAGAAGAATTTTGTCTATTTTTCAAATACGGCATTGAAAATTTACTAAACTTCGCATACTCTCATATCGCAAGTTTTACTTTAAAATATAAAAAAACAGTTATAAATTCTGAGGCACTCTGGATTTCTAGTCGTTGCTCACACTCATCCATTTTTTTAAATTTCAATCAAATTTTCCAGCCAAAGGTCATTATTACGAAATATTTCTTCACACTTTCTTCTAAAAATCCCCCAATTCATCAAATCGACGGAAATAAACACTTTTGTATTCTCTCATCTTTTTTTTCATCTCCAAACCGATCACAAGATCCCCCATTTTTCTTATTCGCGATCATTTAAATCATCTATCTTATCAATATTTGTATGTGGTCAAAAATATTTCCAATGGAAACAACGAAAAAAAATAAATATTTGGTTTTTATCAATCATTCCCACGTGACAGACAAAAACTAGACTCAAGTTCGATTTCGAACACTTCCAAAACCATGTGTTGTTAATTATAGTTGAACTTCTTGATCTGATCTTCTAGTTTTATCAATCATTTCATATAACTATACTGATTTGGCTATTTTTAGATTAACATTTTGCAACCAACTACAAATTATAGCTTTTGGAACAAACTAAAGTTCAAACAAGGAAAACGTTTCTCATCATAAAAAAAAGCAGCTGACACACTTTTGTTTATTTCAAAAATTATGATGAGATAAGAAGTTTATGTTGCGGTAAATATTTGATTTTTGATTCAGGAACAACTTTTTATGAGAACAAAGTTTGGTTTTTATATTAAAAAAAAGTAATTTTTCTAATGAAGCTCAGAAAAAATATTTCACAATTCGGTCCCGGAAATTCTTATCAAATCTGCCATTCTACGATCAGAAATCAATAAAAATGTCTCTTTTTTTCGTCGATTTATCATCATTGGAAAACGTGGAGCCAAAAACTAGACTTTCTATCGAAATTTGAAAAGTTTGAAGATTATTTTCATTAAAAATGACGGCAAAGATAATAATTTTCAAAATTTTGTTGATAAAACAAATAATTAACAAAAGAAACATTGTTGATTTTTGGCTTCAAATTTATCAATTCAATTTTATTTTATAAAAGAACTGTGAGATGAGAAAAAATAGAAGAAGTGATTTGAAATTGACTTTTTTCAGATAAACAGTTTTACTTCAAGGTCGACTTGAACCTCGTGACTAAATAAGCAGTTTATTTTGGAACGAAAGACTTTTTTTGCAACCACCCTGATATTTTTGAAGATTATCTTCTCCCCTCTTTAATCCCAAAAACAAAAACCAAATTATATTTACTATCCATGTGTCTTAAAAGTCCCTTTTGCACTTTTTAAAAATACTATTTTATGTCACATTTTCGACTTTTGATTGTGACTTATCTCTTTTTTTCTGTGTGTTTAGTTTGAACTTCCTTGATAAGACTGGGAATTAGGCACTTTTCTTCATTTTTATCTGACTCACTTGATGCATACACTACACAATTTGGAACTTTTTAAGAACATGAGTAACATTTTGAAAAATACATCCTATTATGTGAGGAGGGCAATTTTGGAATTTTTTTGAAATAGAATCCCGGATAAAAAAATCGAGGTTACTAATGCTAGTCGTTTGATCTTTTTCCAAAATCACTTTGAAAATCTCAGAAATTTCATCAGTCATGAAATTTGAGAAATAGGGCAAACTTTTGTTTTAAAAAATTTGAATTATTTTTTTAAATAAAAAAACACAGTAAAAATAATCATTTATTTGAAGATACTTCATACAATTAATTAATTAACAAAACATCAGAATATCCGTTGTTTTTTGTAGAACCCGATTCTAATTCGATTCCAAACTATTATTTCACAAAAATACAAACAATGATTCAAAATCCGAATATGTCTTTCTCTCATAATCTTGACGTTTTTCGTGGATTTTCGCAACGTGGAAATTTACAGAGCTCAAAATCACCATAGACTTGAATATGGAACATAATATATATCTCTTGCTTTTTCAAAGACACAAGACACACGATTTGGAGCAAGATTTATATATATTGAGATATAAGCTCCGCCCATTTTAAGACTAAATTTTCTTCATACGATGACCGCCAGTGTTTTTGATGAGCTCACACATGATAAATGAAGAAAGATAAAAAATATGCTAGAATAAAAATACACAGGAAATATGGTAATAGCGGGGGATAAATTAAAATTTAAAAAACAAATATTTTGGGACATAATTAGATTAATTTCCGGATCCACCTTCTTCCAAATTTGATTTGACTCTTGGTTTCACGTCAAATGTAAACACAGCTAAATATGATTGAAATGATAATTTAAACATTTTGTGGAAACGAACAAATTTCTATTTGATTTAGAAGTTTGATTCGACTGATTTTCGAATTGCTCAACTTTCAAAAAAAAAATGTTGTTGTTATTAAATCCCATCTTTTTTATACAACAAAAAACTTGATTGTTTTGCAGATTACCATTTCTTTTTTCTTTTTTTTTGACAGGAGCTTTGTGACGTTGTATGTTTGGCATATACATAAAATGTATTTGTATTCTTCGACAAAATACAAAATATAAAATGAATGTCAAACATAATCAACAATTACTATTAATATCGGTTGTCCTTTTACAAAAAACTTCGAAAAAACAATGAAATTGATATTTGAATTCTACTTACTATGAGCATAGGTCACAAGTTTCCAAAAATATATATCTCGTGCAATTTTTTTCCTAAAAAGGTTGTTTTTCTACGTCACAACGTCTTCTAGTTTTTCACATTGAACTTGAACATATCTAATTCATTGAATATTTTCATATTTATGAGCGTGTATGTAGTTTAGTTTAAACTTTTTCACAAATTCAAAAACATTAGTAGTTTCGTTAATGAGTAAGGATTGAAAAATTAATGACCCCCCTGTTATGAGAAATTAATGAGCAGTAGAATAGAATAGAAATCAAAAACTCAATCTGGTTGGTCTTATTGAGACACATGACAAATTTAATCACAATAAACAATTTTGAAATTAATAGTATCTAAAAGTGGATTATCTTAAGAACGTTGCCGTGCAATTTCTATAAATGTGTGCCCACGGCAAAACTGTTTCTTGGTATCATGAAACATCAAGGAATTATCCACACAGATACGGATCAAAATATTTTCTTGAATATTCTCATTGAACTCAATTTTTCTATAAACTTTTCGAATGCATAAAAAATCTCGAATCGTGTCAAGAGCCAGTGGAAAACAATTTATAACTTGTTGCAAAGTTTCTGGTTTGGGTCAGGTCGGATCGATTGAAAAATATACATCTGAACATCTCGATAATCTAAATAACACACACACACACATTTCGGATTTAGAAATTTCCAACATTTCAAAACAATGTGTTCAATTTGATTTCCCCACACTTCTTCCAGATATATAAAAATCTTGTTAAACACAGAAAATCCCCCAAATTAATTTTCAGCCCTTCCAAATCTAATGTGACGAATATCAAAAACTGCAAACAAGTTATGTAAAAACTCGTCATTCGAAAGTTTTGTAGTATTTGGTAAGCAGTAACCAGGCAGCCGAGCGAATACAATATTTCCAAGCAGACAAACATCCAACGTCTACATGATTTCAACAAAATGCGCCGAAATGAGCACATTAGCACGGATTTTCATTCAAACACTCATGGGACAAACATTATTTTTAAATAAAAAAACAAACTGAGATTTCCGGCACAAAATGGGATATTTTTGATCTAAATTAAGAATGAGATAAGATTTTTAAAAACTTCCAGTTGGAAGATGAAGGAAGAATTAGTCACATAATTTTCACATCTTTTTTCGTTTCATTTTTAAAGATTGCAAATTTAGCAGTAAGCGGATTTAGAGACCAACGCCTTTACAAATCTTATTTTTAAAAATTAAAACTTATTCCATCATATTTGTGGATTACGAATCATAATCTAGAGGATAAAATACTCATCGAGAACAACTGTCATTTACAAATTGCACGGATTTTTTGAAGAACGGGATTTTCGAAACTTGAAAAATGTCAATCCAAGATTTTTGACTAAAAGACTCTAAAATATAGTTTATTTCTCAAAGTATGGTCCTAACAAAACAAATGTTCATTTCCATATCCATTATCCAAATATTTTTCTCTGAAAACCAATAGAACCAGAGATCTGGGTTGAGTTGAAATTGTATCTGTTGAGCTGTATATTTGTATTGTATTCAAAAGATCTACAAATTTTGCGTGGATTGATGTAGAAATAACATGTTCTTCCTTCAGATAAAATTACAATTTTTCCATATTTTGCAATATGTTCTTTGAAACTACTAGGTTATGCGAACTTATGCTCTGCTTATTAGTTTTCAAAGGCCTCACAAACTGAAAATTCAGCCACGCCCATAAAATTTTCGCTTATTCTTCATTTATTCATCTAAATCTGTGTTGTCCGAGATATTGAAATTCTAATAATGATTCACATGGAAATTGATATCTACCTTCAAACACTCGAACTTCAACGAAAACAACAACAACAACAGCAGCAACAACATCAAAGAGTTCGCCGTTAATTTCTCTTCCTACTCG